AAACGAAGAATCCTAATAAATTTAATAACATCAATAATTATAAGGATATATCGATATTGATGGTCATTTTGTATCAAACTAAGCTGATAATACTTAAAATACTAAATCTGAGCCTGCTGTCTAAACCAATTAGGAAGAAACTCAAAATAGCTAAGTGACTATAAGTGATGATTCTAACAATTTGTAAGCTACTACCTAGGAAGGAGCACAATAATTAGTTTCAACCGATGCAGAAATTGATCCAATGTTCGATATGGAGAACTCAATGCCTTATGAATTCCCAGAAGATACATAAGTTTAAGAAGAGTCAAAAGATTAAGACGGTGATAATCATTATTTGTCAGCCAGTTTAGAATTGTAAGTATTTACTATTTAAACTTAAGACCTATTCGAAATGAAAACTAAGTTTATGATTCATTAGGAAATTAAATCGATTCTTACGATGGAATGAGAACATACTTGTAAATCATTTTATAAATTTAGAGCGCTTGATATTGCAGAATAGGATGACAATTAAGCCAACATCAGTGTGTAAGAAAAATAAGAAGATTGTATTGTGATCTATTCAAAATGCGATTTCTAAGGAGAAAGCTTACCAATTTGTGAGTCTTTGAAGGAAGTTGAGTAAAATTAAGCGAAATTTTAGGGATTTCTAATATGATATCAAGTCCATCTATTTACCTGAAGGATACTAAATGACAATATATTCTGAAGAGAACTATCAAGGATAATAAGTTACGTATTAAGAGAGTCAGAAGTGTTTAACATAAGCCATTTCACTTGCCTAATTAAGAGGAAGATAGACCCAGTAAATTTAGAATTAAGATCCAAATCAAAGTATTTTAACATCAAATCTAAGAATCAGATAATGATGATTAATTACAAAAAAATAAAATATTTATTAATTATTCGCAAATCTTAATTATACATTCAGCATATCAAGATGAATATGAATTGAAATCTCAATTTGATTTAACCATATTGAAGTAAGAATTATATATAATATTCAATTGCTATGTTTTTTAAAATATTAAACAAACAATAGATTACTAAACCTAATCATTTTTGAATAGCCTGAAAATCCTATTAAGTTCTTATGTGTTTCTTATTTTGTAGAATTGGTCGGTCTATAATATATTATTCAAATGGCTTCTCTTAATCTGATTTTTAAGCGATCTTCATTGGAGGAGGAGCTCCGAATCCAAAGACTTACATACCTTTTGCTCTCTCTTTTACAGACTTTATATAAAATAAACTTTACTTGAGGTTAATTCGTATTTTAATTGGCCTAAGGAATTTGTAAATTACCTTAAGGTTTCTATTCATTTTAAGTTTAGGGTTTTATGGGTTATTCATTTTCAGTTTTGGGCTTAACAGGTTATTCATTCTAAGTTTATGGCTTAACAATCTATTCATTTTAGGGTTAGGGATTTGTAATCTATTCATCTTAACCTTACGACTAGTTTTATGATTAATTTATTGTTTATTATTATTCTTTTTAATCCTTAATTAATTATACTTAAGGTTTAATTTAAAATGGTTGGGAAATATTAGATTTTGATTCCAATTTTTGAGGAGAATTTTAATTTTATTAAATGAAAGGATTTGATTGTAGTTTATTTGGCTTTTATTCTTAGGGTTCACTTGGTTTGGTTTCATTTTAATTCTATATTTATTCCTACTTCTAAGAAGAATTTGAATCTTCTTAAACAGAAGGATTTAATGCTTATACATTTGAATTCTAGTCTTTATTTGATTCATTAGCATTATTTATTTTTTCCTAGTCCTATGGATTTGAATTTGTTGAGGCTTTATCTGAATTATAGATCTATAAATTTTATCTTTCCATTTTTATTGAATTATTAAGTTGTGGATCTGATTCATCTTTTTAACTTTATTATTAATTTAAACTTGTAGTTTTCTTGAAGTCACCTTATTCATTAGTTTTTGTAGTTGCAATATCTTTTTTTTAATGCAAAGATCCATACATACCCACCTAGTTTTTAGGATTTTAAAAAGCATTCTCAACTACATTTACAAGTTATTTAGTATTTGCTGATGTAGTATTGTCACTTGTAGTTTATGGAATAGGCTTAGCATTTGTATCTAAAATGGAATAAGGAAATACTTTGAATGTGCTGTTTTCTTGTAAATTAGCAATTTTTGCATTTTATTTAGAATCCAAAACTGGTATCGGTGGGATCTGCAAGAAAGTTATTGCAAACTTATTACATTAATTTTAATGAATAAATAATTAGATTTTAATCTAAATTTTCCAAAGCATGACCAATCTAAGTTTCAATGCTATAATGAAGTTAAAAATGGGTTCTATTTAAACAATCCGAACGACGTTTATTACTTCGATGAGAATGAGGGATGGGCAGATTATAATGGATGTTATTATGATAAAAATGGATGCCCTGCTGGATGGGTATTTGTGAGTTAGGGTAAATATACGAGATATAACATGAATTATGAGGAGATTAATAATGAAAATAATAAGTATTATCATGAAACCATCTCTGAGGAGGAGATGTAAAAAAGATAATTTTAAGACTAAAATTCCTAGTAAAAAAGTTCCTGTCAAATGGATGAAAATTCTTAGTCAAATTAAAACGTAGATGAGTAATCTTAATCTATGAAACAACCTTTCGGAAGTTTGAAAGAACATCAATAAAATTTTTAAAGATATGTTCAGGATAATAATATGCAGTTACATTAGACTTAGTTCTAATAAAGAAATTACTAAAAAGGATATTAAGCGGAATAATAAACTCAACTATAGAGTCACGATTATCATAGAGACTAAAATTATAATTAAAACTAACATTGGAATAAGCCCTAAAATAAATTTAATTCTTATTAAAAAGACCAACACAATGATTATTAGAACAGGTAGCATCATAATAATAATAAAAATTTTAATAATTAGGACAATAGAAATAGTCATGAATACTAATCTGAATCTAATTAAAATAGAAATTATTAGATAGATAATAGAAGTTATAATAATCATAATAATAACAGAAACCAAAACAATCAAAATCGTGATGATCCAAAATGCTTTGAATTGTATAACAATCAAAAATATGATTATAAATTGAAAAATCCTTTCACAGAGTAAACATAATAATAGTAATTAATCTATAAAGATAAAAGAAGAAATGATGATTAAGATGTATATCCTAAAGTAGAAAATAGAAAAGAATAATCAATAAATTATAAATATAACTACTCTTTTTAGAAAAATGAAAAAGGCCAATAAAATAGGCATCCAGATTATAACAATTATCAAAATAATTATAATCAATCTAAGAATGATAGATAAAAATTTCATAAAAATAATAATTATAAGTAGAATGGCAATTTTGGATCAATGAGAGAAAGAAATTAATACGATGGCGACACCCAATAATAATTTCAATATGTTTTATGTAAAAACAATTCATAAGAATAATATGAATTTCATTAGCCGCACACTCAACCAATATAGTAATTTGAATAGAGTAGCAATTAAGTCCAAGATAAATAAGGAGCACCTGAGAAAAGAGAAAGAAAATCAAGATTAAATGATCCAATCGAATATTAATAGTGAAAGAGTTGAACAATATTTCTTATTTTAATTCGAAAAAATATCTATTTACGATTAAAAAATATATATCAGGAAAATTAGAGATTATATATAAATGAAAGGGTGTTATAATGAATAAAAACATATTTCTAAATAATTGTAATATTTCATTGCTTTTACACAATATTATATATTATTAATATTATGCCCATAAATTTTGAAGCTCTTTCAAATGAATTTTGTTACATTAACTTTTCATGATTTTCTGTTAAAATCTTTAAGGTTTTGATTCTTACATTCATTAACTCTACATTTTTATTTAAGGTTTTTCCCACCTATTCCTCAAATTTGTTAATTTCTTCAGAAATAAATGTTAGATTGCAAAAGTTGATATCACTAACTGATAATTACAATTTTTCATAATATAATTTCAACTGAGATGAAACTAACAGCTAAGCATCTTCTTTATATTGTTCTGATTCATCTTTGAAGATCTTAATTCTCTATTCTAATTATGGTTGAATTGGAAGTTCAGTTATTTATTTTTCTTATTAAACCTAAACATTTTGTTATTAGACTTATTAAACAGCCAATTTAGGTACCTCTTTTTCTTACTACACTTAAGGTTTTGATTCTGATGCTTTTGATTAATTTGGCTTTTCTTCTCGGTTGCATTAGACGCACAATTTAACACCTTGTTTACTTTTCATGATTGGTTATAAACATTCAATACAAGACTCACTCAACATAGCCCAGCCCTATAAAAGTAATTAACCTATTTTTTTTGATGCTTCATCAGCTGCAGCCTTGTTTACAAAAAATCTTGAATTAAAATCTTCTACCTAATCATCAAATTAGAAATCATCTGAATCATAATCTTTATTGTTCTTCACATGAATAATCTCTGGTTTTGATTCTGAACCACTTTGATTAGTTTTATTTTGAACATCTTAAGGATCTTAATCTAGAATCACTTAATCTTGAGAAATGATGTCACACTTGGGACAATATAAATTTCTGTTTTCAAGAAATATAAGCAATGTGCCTTTACATTCACAGACCATAGTAGTCAATTTCCAACCTTCATCAAGCTTTCTATTCATTCTTTGAAACTGGCTCATTGTTAAACTTAAATTTATTTAATAAAAGAATATATTTTTCCTTATCATCAAATATCAATAATCAATAAATACTCCTATAATCAATATCTTAGCTTTTATGGGGTTAATTTAGAAATGACGGCATTGTTCTACCTAATGACTTTGTCCATCTCATTTTTCCAATACTAAAGAATCATTAATTAATAAAAATTTTTACCTTTATTTCCTGTTGCAAATCGGTTATTTACTTACTAAATTGTTCTTTTAAAGTCTTTTCTTTTTCATTTTTTTTTATCAACTATTACTCATATTACCCTATTTTCATGTACAAATTGGAGTTCTCACTCTATAATATTTTCAATTGCTCATTATTTTTATTGGCTTAATTAAGTTTTAATTCCATATCATTCAATTATTATTAAAAATTCTAGCAAACAATATATCAATCAATTTACCCTGTCTCTGGGTGTTTAAGTATTTTTTGTTGTTTTCTTTAACAGCTCAATTTCCTCCTAGTAAATCTATTCTTTTACAGCAAAGTCTTTAAACTTCTTTTAATAATCCGACAACGTTATATTGGATTATTGCATCAATCCTTCATATTTCTATATTACTTCCTATTCTTTTGTTTTATAATAATCTATTAAATTAACGGTTGAATTACCATCGTAATATTTTCTCAGCTTTTCTCTCTCGACATTATTCTCCTATTAATAGTAATACAGTTTATTGAGTGCTTCCCTTGCAATATCCCCTTATCTTTTCAATTCTTCCAATAAATTTTTCTCATTCTATTTCAGATCCTTGATTTTACCTTCTTGATTTAAAATTATCTTTTCAAGATCCTCTCTAATTTTAGTAAATTATTACTTGTTTTTAATCAAGGTCTCAAAACTCTACCTTAAATTCAAGACCTGCTCTTGATCCACTATTGACTTAGATTTGACTTTTTTTTTGGAAGTTTTATCACTATTTTTATGTTTATCCTTCGGTTTCTTCTTTGAATCATTTGGATGAGTATTCTATCGTGTAGCCATCTATTTCTGATAAAGATATAATTAAATGATAAATGTTTATAAAACAATATTCTCTCTTATTCTATTTTTTATCAATTAAGTAATTTAATATTATTTATTATCATTTTAAGACCAACACATTGTGGATCTTTTTGAGAAAATAAACTACTTGTTTTTAAGTTAGATATTAATTCAGGAATAATATACAAAAAACAAAAGTCTCTATGTTATTGGATAATCAAAAAAATTGATTTATTGAAATAAATAATTTTTGTAATTGAGAATCTTAGCTAGGTTCTTCGGAAATAGAAAATCAGTTGATATTGGTATGCTATTTAACATTTTATTATTATTAATTTTATTATAAAAAGCAATAAGTTTAAATATGATAGAGTAATCATTCCTTTAGAATTATTATTAATGCCAAAATAATTAAAATTTTTGTAGTCAGGTTTCAATTCATATTTTATTATTCGTTTATTTATGCTCTTAATTCTCTAACTGGATCAATTACTTTTAGTTATTGTTTGTAAGTATCTAAAAATTAAGTTGATTAAGGTAATGAATAATTAGAAAATCTAGTGAATAAAAAATATGATTCAAACTTTTATAATAAGTCAAGTTTATGAGAAAATTTAAATTAAATTCTATATTTCCATAATGTGATAAAAATTATTATGAAATGAGTATCATTCACATTATTTTTGTAAAGAATTCTAGCACTTGAAATAAATCTAAATTCATGTTTATAAATCAACATTTTTTTTTGATTTGATTATAATAATAATAATAAGATTAGTTTTATGAAATAATTTGAAGAATAAAGGAATAATTAGCACTTGAATTAATAAAACAATAAAATAACCTTAAAGAGAAGCGTTAGCCCTATTTGCAAATTAGTACTTTTTAACAATCTTGGTTCAAATGCAAAAGTCTAAAAATCAATGAGAGCAAAGGATGATACTATAATTTTGGATGTTCAATTGTATTTAGAATAATAACATGAAAATAAATGCGTGGTCACATTATATCTTTACAATGAACCAATTAAGGTTGATAAAAATACATATTTATTGCCTTTCTTATAAAAGCATAAGATTTAACAATTAGATTATAAAACAGATTAGAAAACAGATTTAAATAGGTTATATTAAAGTGATATTGGAATCGAAGATGAAGGCCCTGGATTAGATTTAAAGTTAAATGAAAGAGATTCATCATCTTGGGGATTAAATTTATCTAGATTGAAAAAAAGCTATTTATCGGGAGAAACTAATGACACATTGATTTAATAAATTAGTCCACGCAATCAATAAGAATAATTACCTTGTTGGAAAGCGTCTCAGAATAATTCTTCAACTTAGTCATCAGTAAATATGGGATTATAACAAGAAGGCAAAAGTGATAATGATTCTTAATTTACTATTAAATCAATTGAGTGTCGTTATTGTAAATAAAGTTACAATAGTTAAGAGTTGAAAACGATACTTGTAAATGCCATTAAAAAAAATGTAATAGCTCTATGTCAGATGTGTTACTAAAAAATACCCAGATCTATGTACTCAAAGATAAAGGTAGCAGATAAAGAATATCATTATATAAAATTATCATTAGAACTAGAAATTCTTAAAAAGGATTTAATTCAAAAAATGGATATTTAGAAATGTTAATTTTGTAATTTTTTTTGTATTTGGGATAAGAGAAAGCAATCAATTAACAGATTTTGTCCAAATTGCCTTTAAAATAGCATGATTTCTAAAAATTATTGACTTTCCATTTGCACAAAGATTAATTAATAAAATGGATTTTGTTTTTCTATTAATTTATATTAAAAATTTAATATATTATCAACTTATGGGAGGAATATCATCTTCAGGTACAAGCACTATTATAGGAAAAAAAGGATCAATATTAGTTACTTTTTATGACATGGATAAACCAGAAAATTAATCACATTAAGCAATGCGAATTACAGAAGAGACCACAATAAATAATATAATTTAATATATTAAAGAGAAACAAGATTGCTAAAATGTATCATTGTATTATGATTAAATTCCGATAGATGATCTGTCATTTTAATTATATGAATACCTTGATTTATTACCAAGTAGAAAATTTGGTTATAGAATTAATTAGATGTAATAATAAAATACAAAACAATCATAAGGCGACAAGCAATAAACTTCAATAAACAATCAGCAGTAACAATCTAAAATAACAATGACAAATCAAAAACTGCATCATGGTGAAGTAAATGGTCAAGATATACCTCCATATAAGACATAATTCAAAACACCTATCAATAATAATAGTGATTTTAATCAACCAAAATAAGGGACATTAAAAGTAATTTCCTCCCAAACAGATAAAGGGCATATTATTGAGGATCAAAATATAAATTAAGGGAACAATTATAAATCAGAGAAAACTAATGTTCTAAATATTTTTTTAAAATATACTCTATAAAAATATTAAGAAGCTAAATAATAAAGTATTTAATAGTAACGAGATATGGAAAATAATTTTTAGCAGTTGCGGAGTATAAATAATAAATTGGAAAGTGAAAAATAAAATATGAGCAATTATATTGAAGATCTGAAGTGTAAGATTGAATCAATGTAAAATGGTTACAATAAAATAAAATAAGAAAATGAAGAATTGCAGCATAGAAATAAAATTTTATAATCTGAATTATAAAATTTCTCAAAAAAGAATGATTTACCAAATACTACTATTCAAAGTAATTTATCTACAGACCGATCTGCTATTATTAATGAATCCTAAATTATTGAAACGCAGTAAGTATTTAAAAATAAATGTGGACATCATTTAGAAGAATAAAAAATTTAAAATATATTAAAACAATCTTTATCAAATAAAACAATCGCTCATTGTTATTAATGCAAACCATCAAAAATTTCAGGTCAAATTTTAATCAAGATGGAGCCTCTAGGTCAAGCATATAAAGAGTTTTAGGCTAATGAGGAGCTGAATTAATTATTGATAAATCTTAAATCGTAAAAAAAAACAATTTATAAATGCTCAAGAAATACTTGTAACTTCTTTTGTATTTTTAATAAGTCAAGTTAAATATCATCTGAAAATTCTTTTTGTCCCTCATGTTTGCTTAAAGGCATGAAGATAAGTGATTGAATATTATGAAATTTATGAGAAGTTTGCAAAATTAATTAATTTTTTATTTAAATTTAATAATAAAATTAAATTAGATACTCTTTCTATGAAGATTAGAGTTAGATAATCAAAATAAGAAATAAAACAGATTTTGAAATAAATAATCTAATTTAATTATAATCATTTTGAAACTAAAGCAGCTGAATGGAAGTAACCAAGCGAAATTTATTTGATATTATTAATTTTTAATAAAACTGGTTCCTAATCTAAATCATCTTATCCAAGACCAAGTTAATTATGAAAATTAAATCCCCACATATATGCTTATCCGTTCTTTGTTACTGTACAAGCATGTCTACATCCAGCAACTATCATATCACCTTATATGGGCAAAGGAGTAGGCTCATAAATGTTGTCAGTTGTTGGCAACCCTAATCGCTTAAAGGAACCCTTTCCAAAGGCATAGATAATTCCTTTAGTATTTAAAACTAAGGTAAAAGAATCTCCACATTGAATTTGAGAAGCCCTATTGGAACTATTAAATTTATCTAATTAAGTAAACCAAGTCGCCACTTCATCATCTGTACTAAAGGTTCCTAATTAGCCATCAATAGAAGTTCCAGCCATATAAACACATCCGTCATTCGTAACGACTCCCATGTGAGACACTCCTAAGCTTACCGATTTGATATCGTTTAAAGGCACTTATTCTGGTTCTGTAAGAATTCCTAAGGAATCTATCATGCATCTTCCATCTTAATTATTTCCAAAGGTGTATAACATTCCTTCTTTCATAAATCCACTTTATGAATGGCCAGCATAAATGGATTCAACATCTTCTTAAATGGCTATTGGTTAATTGATTGATTGACAGTCTCCATTTCCTAATTGTCCATCATCTCCACAACCCCAAGAGTACAAATTGCCATCACAAATAGCCAAACTATGTTACCATCCACATGCAATTTAAGTAGCATTTCTCAAGTTTTCTATTTTTTTAGGTGTTAAAATAGTTTCATAATTTCCTAATCCTAACTATCCTTTTTGTCCTCTACCCCACGCATAAATAAAACCATTACAAATAGCCAAAGTGTGGTGGAATCCACAACTTACCTATGAAAATTTATAGTTGCTAATTTCTTAAGGAATTTTACAGGTTTTTTCATCGCCAAATCCCAATCTTCCATCTTATCCTGATCCCCAAATTAATAGTTTGTATTATGAATCTTCATTATTTGTATCCGATATACTTTGTTTCATCTCTTCCAATTAAATTGCAATGTTTCTTTCCAAAGTTGATATGGTATCTTACAAATCTTATTCATTTATTGTGAATTTGCTTAATTCCTTGTAATATTATTAAAGAAGTTCTGAGTATTTATTTTAATACTTTTGTTCTAATTTGAGTAGAGCTTGAAACGAAGACTTACTTGATTATTACAAAGACTAAACATAAGTAAAAATGTTGAAATTTTATTAACAAGAACTTTAAAACTGCTAGTCCTACAATTCTTAGGTCTGTTTCTCTCCATTCACAATAGGAGTGTTTTTCACAATCTTTGCTCTTTGTGCAAATTACAAAGTTGACAAGGTCTATGTATTATTTCCCGGAGAGATACAGCATATAAGAACAGTAATAGAATTCCCTCCCAATGAATTCTAAAGTAGTCTTGTCAATTTTGAATCTCTATATGAAATATGCTATTATTTTTAATCTGTTAATTAATTGATAACGTTGGTTAAAGCTAACAAACTCTTATTGATATAACCTGTCTCATGATTTATGTCATTTTCTGATGACACTCTCTCACTCCCAGCTAAATCAACTATATTTAAGCATGAATATCGAGAGCCATTTTCTATAAAAATCCGAAATATTGTGTGTGATCTTGAACTTTTATCATGAATCTGAGTCTCTCTGTATATTCTTCTTTCTTCTCCTTCATTTAGTAATTGTATTGCTTAATCAAAACTATTGACTGGGATTTACTTCAATTGTAAAGTTGTACCCCATTTTTAATCATTCACTATTTACAAAGTTGTGCATTTTGGATCCAAAAGATCATCAATAACTTCATTGTATATTTGAACGTACTAAATTGAACATTTAACATTGTCATCTAAAAAAACATCTCTTAAGGCGCAAGGTAATATTCCAGGATTATCATGAGTGCCTAAGGTTGTGAATGTTTTCCCGGATGTAGTTTGTCCATAACACATTATTGTTGTATGATAGCCATTGAGCGCCTTCTTGACATTCTATTTGGCTATTTTATTATAAAGAGTTTAAGTCCTTGTTTCACATTCTACCTAGTCAAATGTAAAAGATTTATTCTAAGAGTTTATATTATTCTTATTGACGAACCATTATGCATTTTTTTCATGTTTTAAAAGAGGACGAACTCTTATGCAAACTTATAACATCCTTAAATTCAAATTTAAACTTTTATATATATAAATGAAAAGTTGTAATTTAATATATTTTGCATTTAATAAATTGAAAAGAACTTGTTAATTCTACTTACTCTCATTCAATGTAGGCGTACCATGAGTAGAAATATTTAACTTTTATATTAGGTTTTATTTTCAGCAAACCCTCAATTGCAATTTTGATTAAATAATTTAAAATAAATATAAATTTATTTCAAATATTTTATAATATCCAAACAAAATATAAAATGTAAAATGTTTAAACACATATTTGATATATCAATTTATATCGTATTACATCTGAATTATTTCAATTTACTTCTAAAACTAAAATAGCTTTGTCAATCTATCATTATTTTATATTAATTACTTGAATGCTTTAGTATATATATCGATCAATATTAATATGTTAGCCTTAATATTTAATACTTATTATTAAACAATGAAAAACACCCATAAAATGAAAGGTTACCGTCTTGACACAAGAATTAATAAATCCGCTTACCTTGATTTTAAAAAATAGATGCTTCCATAAAAATTTGAAATTCCTCATGAAAGTCAGAAGCCCTTGGGAATACAATTCCTTCAAGCTAATTTGGATGATGAAAACTAGAAAAATAATCTTTTTGTAAGTCTTTTATCTAGCTCTTCTTAGAATGTGACATAATCACCATAATTGAAAAAATATCTAATCCAATCATGTATCACAGAATTTCCATTGTTATCATCATTAAATAAGATAGAATTGTATCTGAATAGATAAAAAAATGAATTAAAAGGATAATCCAAAGCCGAAGAAATGAAATCTTAGAAAAATCATAGCCAAAGCACTGAAGTGTACTCTGTAAATAAAGTAGCTTGATATTATTTATTTGTTAATCATGATTACATTATTTTTACGAAATCCTGAATGATAACCAAAGTTGACATGAAATAGTTTTAAGAATCTTTTTATTCATTCATTCTTTTTTTTCTATGAATTTCTTATCTAAATTCTCGAAAATGATTTATCCACTAATACAAGTTACATTTTAGAGTAATCACAATTTTATAGTGATAATATGAAAACCTTTAAAAAATGATATCATAATTCAAATTCCTTAAATTAGATTACTTAACAAGTCTTTTTACTGATTTTTTTTCTTCATTCTTTTATTTCTAATACAAATGACTTTTCTTTCGTTGATTAAAACCATAACCAAAGACTTAACTCCTTATCACTTTTTAATAAATCTCAGTTCATTTTAGAATTAAAATTATTTTTTATAGTATAAACAATTTAATTGGAATTTTTAGTATTTAACTATTTTTTTGTAAAGTTCATTGCTAATTTCTAGACTAATTCGAATTTAAGATAGTATTTTCTCACCCCTAAGGAATAATCTCAAATTATGAAAAGTCTATTATCGAAACTCTAAACATTACTTTTTTAACGAACTCCATCTCGATTACTTAGTTATAATGTTTTTATCATTAGAGTGCTTTTAGAAATCCCTCATACTTTGTATAATCTTATAGTAGAATACATAATAACTTCAATAATCAATTATTAAAATAAAATTGTTATGGATGATCTTTATTAAGCAGAAATCAGAACGAGATATCACTCTTCAATGACTTATTAAGAATATTTGGATACCCACGATTAGCCACCTCCTAAACCTACGTTAAAGTATAATTTATATATTGAATAGGGCTAAATAATCTCCACAAATAGTTGAACCTTTAACCCTTGAACCCCCCAAAGGACCTAAAATTCAACAACAAAAATTGGCTATCTACACGCCCGATGAAGTCATATTAGAGGAATCTGAAACTGATGAAAAGCAACGATCAAATTAAAATCCCAGAGTACCATGTTAAAAGGCCTTAATTGAACATGTATAATAGGTTATATATTTATAGGATGTGAGAATACGTAGTCAAAGTGAAAATCTAGGTTTTTCTGTATTTAGATTCCTGTAATAAAAGAAAAAAGTATGATTAATTATAAATTGTTTTATTCATGTTTTTTCACTTCCACAATGGATTTCCTTGAACCCTTCATATGTAAATGCCATAATCAATCTAATATATTAACTTAATTTGCAAAACGAATTAAATTTTTTGAAAAGGAATTTTAAAGAGAATCCTCTGAAAATCAATCATTAATAAATTTCAATTTAAATGCCGCTAAATTGGTTAGAAAATAATGATTCCATTTTTCTCTTAATCTTTAGCAAGATCTTTCAATCCTGTTAAATTTCATAGGGTATTAAAATCACTGATTTCAAAATAAGTCATAATATTACTTGATATTTTCTTTGATTTTATGTTAGAATTTGTAGGAAGAATAATATGAAATAAAATAATTCTTAATTCTAATTTAGATATTTCAAAATGAAACATTGGAATAACAATAATCTATATTATGAATTCATTTTTATATAGTAAACTTTACCAGAATTCATTAGGCTTTCGGATGCCAATGAGACAAATAAAATCAATATTGAAATAATTATATTTTATTAAGTACTCTTTGAACCTACTATATTAAGAGGGAATTATAATACAATAGATATTTTACACATCATAAATCATCAGAAACTTACTTTTTTCCTTATTTATCGATAAATTCACTAATTGCTTCTAATGTTAATGGACCATCAAATGTAACAACTTGTCTTGTTTAAGAATTGTACCATCTAATCATTGGAACTTCTTTAATGAATTAATCTTTAACCTAAACAAAAAAATAAATTGATAGTTTACTTCGTTTTCACTTGCATCAAACATGCCAAAAGCTTTTTATCCTCTATATTTTTAAAATAGTTGCTCAAAAATAGGAGTAAATTATTGGCAAACTTTACACCAACCAGAATAAAAATAGATAAAAATATTATCATGTTTAGGTAAATCTTCTCCAACAATTGTTAATATTTATTTTTCCCAATTTTCATTTTTAACTGGTGTCTAACTCTTATAATAAGGTTCTAACTTTTTGTTAAGGAAATTATTCACAAATTTTCTAAGTTCACTTAATTCAGAAAATTATGTTCTATATTTCTTTTAGGAATGGGTTTAATCATAAATAACAGCTAAGGGACGTTAAATGCCTTTAACTCCTAAGTAATTTAATAATCGATCTGTCACTTAATCCTACTTGACTAATATTGTATTAATTCTAGAATTAATATTATTATTATTACTCTTTTTAATGTGTTTTGGCTAAGTCTCTATAATCTTTTTCATCAAAAATGAATAAGACTGGCTTTTTGGGTTCATAAAAAGCAGTTTCAACAGACTCTTGTGTAAATTCTTAATAATATTTTTCTTCGTGATCCTCAACAAATTTGAAGACTTTTTCATAGGTAATTTCTCCATCGTAGTCGTATCTATTAAGACCTTTTTCTGTAAACATTACAAGTGTAGTTTCTTCTCCGACATTGAGTAATGATCGAGCATTTGGTAGGGTGGTATAAGTGAAATGGACGTGATGTTTGAGAGTTTTGAGCCATTTCAATTCCTACTTGAATTAGTCGTTGAAAACTAAAACACTAATATTATGGGACTCATGGATCCATCTTATTGTTGGTTCTGAATCAGAATCTGATATATATGATAATGCTCTTATATCTGTCCATGCTTCTAATTTTTTCTATTCCCATTCACCAGAATGTTCTGTGTAAAGTCCTTTCACGTATAGTCTTAGGACAGGATATCTATTAAGCTCATAATTTTTGATTCTAGCCACTGGAATTCCAATACTTCCAGGAGTACCAACATTGATCATTTCAGATGCTTTTTCTAATTCTTCTTCCAATCTTTGGCAGTGATTACAATCATCACGAGTAAAAAAGATCAAGGTGTAGTTTTATTTTTGGACCCATTTCTCTAAATTTGTAATGTTGGTCATTTTGCAAGAAGCTAGAACAACTAGAAGAATAAAATACACGTAATGCATTAATTTTATTAATGGGAAACCAAAGCGAAAAAAAAATAGCTTAATTTAAATAAAAAGTCATTGGTTATTACTTTTACCCTACGACTGCTATTTGCATATTATTTCTGCTTGCCAATTTATATTATGGTTATGCTTTGACAATATGGGGTGGCATAGTAATTTCAATAATCACATTAATACAATACTTTTGCTATAATTAGATTAGCAAGTCATTAGAATTGGGTTTGAATGCAGATTCCTATTCCATTTATTTGGATGTTTTAGCATTAAATGGAGCCATTCAAGTATATTTTATATCTAAATTAGTTTGGTAGCATATTGTTTGACTTCTTCTGGTATGGCTATTGGATTATCCCATTAATATTGTTGTACAAAGGATCCCTAATCATTTGGGGCTGGTTGTAGAAGCCTTAATATGCCGAAGATGATAAAAAAGACAAAAAGAAAAAAGATAATAAACCCAAAGTAAAATATGTTAAATGAATATTAATAAATATATAAATAATTGTTAAATACCAATCATTCTATTTCCACAGCTGATTCCACTACCAAACTTTATTTTAATCTCTGTTAATTCGGATAAAATATCAATATCAGTATTGAAGTAGGTATGTAATCACTCAGCAAATATAATCCAAATGATATGAAAGACCTTGTCATACACAATAAATCCATACCACAATAGAGTATCCTTTGTATTTTCACTGTTAAATCCATATTTAAAATCTATTAAAAAACTCGTACACCAAATTCTTAGCTAAAAGAATACTAGTCTCACTGCTTGTCCCAATATCAGCAAAACAATTGAATAATTAAGCTAAATTTATTATTATTTACTATACGTATTTTTTGTACTTTTAGCTTATGGTATCGATTTATTTAATGTGATTCTTGAACAATGCACACCCTGAAACAAATATTATTAAAGTTAAAACTGAGTATACGAAATAAAGAATTGAATAACTAACCATCATATTTATTATACATTTTGTCTATTTCTGTATTCCATGTTGAGTAGTGATAAGATTCAGCCACAAGCAAAAATATTTGGCATGCAAACCAAAAACTAAATAGGAATACATTAATAATCATTTCAATATTAGAAATACTCTTAAAATATTGGAAGAACTTCTGCATTATTGAAATCCTTAAATAAATCAATTCTCTTACCATTTTGCTCCTATGACTCCCAAAACTAGATCGTAAAAAATGAAGCTTGAAGATTGTAATGTTCTGAATACAGAGGGCTAAAATAACTATTATCCAGGATCCTTTAGGAAACATCCTAAAACTGCGTAAGAATAGGCTTGAATCCTTACTTAAATCAAATCTATTAATACTTAAGCATAGAATGAACAACAAAGTATTTATTTTTAAAAGGGTTGGATCCATGATTTTGATATAGAATCTAATTAGTTTATGAAAATTTGAAGCCTGCCATAAAATCATAACTGTATTCATCATCAAAATTATAATTGCAAATGCCTTTTCTAAATCATTTGTAATGAAATCACTCAAGTTTTATTTATATTTCTCGTTAATCATAAAATAATTTGCAATTATTCTAAATCTCTATTAATTTTAAAAATAAGAATAACTTTTATTAATTTCTTTATTTCCGTAATTTCATCATCAAAATAAAACAATTATTTACAAAGATCATCCAATAAATCAAATAAAATCCTTAACAAAAAACTCATATATTCAAAAACTTATTATAACAGTGTAAAACTTATAATCCCTCTATTTCAAAAGAATTTTATATATAGAGAGTATCAATTTCATTAATATTAAAAACAACTCATATTTCCTTAATAAAAATAGTATTGATATATTTAATATGGTATATAAATACTTAATGACTGTCATTTTTAGTTAGGGTAAAGATAGAAATTTACGATTTGATTTACATTGTTCATCGGTCTCTTTTTTCTTAATTTGGTAGAGTTAATATATAGAAATATAAAGAATTTAATGAAATTTCTAATTTAAATACTTTTGTCAAAATTTGTTTCAAAGCGATCATCATTTAGAAGAGAGTTTTCAAAATTATAATATTCTTAACATTTTGAATTATTTATTCTACTAGAAATTAAGATCTTATATTAAGACTATTTAATTTAAAACAACTAATTCATGATTAAAAATCAAGATTACAAGAATCAAAGAAAAGATATGGAAATACTAAAATACTCTAGATATCTTGCTTCACTTACCTATATTTAAAATATGCTACTAAAACTAAAAGTTAAATATAATATAATAATTTTCATTTATTTTTGTTTGGTTTCTTCATATTTTCTATTAAAAAGTTCTTGTCATGATTATGAGCAGGAATCTTGGCCAACTCATTATTTATGCCATGACCCTTAACGTTGGTTGGTGGGATGTATTTTGGTAAATGGCCTTTGAGTATGTAAGACCTTAAGGTTATATACAATTCTTACCAATACATGGATTCTGTTTCAATGATCAATTTGGCTTCCTTACGAATTCCGTATTCTTTAGGCTTAAAGCCCAATTTGAATTCAGTTCCTTTTTTACCATGTGGTTCTAATAGACCAGTTGTCGGTTCAACAGTGAATTCAGAATTCGAGTCAGGTGTAAAGTAGGCCTTAAAATTAGCAATTTCTTCAATTCTGTTGGTCAACCTAAAACTAACCTTTGTTAATTGATTAATTTCAGAGGTTATTACAATAACATCATCGATTTGTGGTTCTAGAGCATTAACTTATAATTTAAATCTATAAATTAAATAGTAAGAAATACCTCCATAATCCACCAGATTCTACTTTGACTTGTAATTCAGTTTGTAATTTGAAAGGCTTGTAAGGAATAAATCTAATATCAAAACTGAGAGGCTGTGTGACATCTTTAATGTGATGATCAGGCAAATTAATCTTTAGATGTTTCTTTAGAATTTCCATATCTGTAATTTTGTACATAACTTTCTCATTGCTTTTTAATCCATCTAACACAACATTCAATTTAGTAACTAAAGGTATCCTGCATTTCGTTTATATGAAATGAACATTATTCATCTCTTCATTCTCAATCAAACCCAAAAGAGGATAAGTCCACTTGACTTGATGATTCATTACAAGCACTAGATTACATCTATAGGATTTGATATCAACAGCGCTGAATTAGTAAGGTATTAGTAAACTGGATTAAGGGGCAATGGTAATTCTTTATCGTTTCATCAATAAAGTAAATACTCCTTCATTTTGCTGTTGCATCTCCATTTGGACAGTCAAAGAGTCTTTCAAAGGATTTTTGAATTCAATTTATTAAGTGACAGATTGTCCTGCTTTACATACCACAGTAGTCTCTTGGAAAGGAGTTGGGGATTCACCAGTTCCGAAACATAAAAAGATCCACTTGCCAATTTCCTTAGTCTTAATTTAAATTTCACCGGAGTGAGCAGTAAGAGCTGAGGGCACAAATACAACGTAGACCGGTTTTAAAGTGTAAGGTTCCAAAACTAATTATTGGCCTCCCTCAAATTCTAATGAGAAATTAGTAGGATTGCTATTTTCTATTTCTGCTACGATTGTATTGCAAGTTGGATTCTCAAGTAACATCTCACATTTATCTAATTTCCCAAGTTCAGTTTTAAATTAGGGGACCTTGATGCCTCCTCGATCCTCTCCAATAAGATTCAGTGTATACCAGATTTCACCCATTTTTGGATGACAGAATGAGATACTACCTTTCCATCTTCCTTCTTATACTGGTTAGAATATTAACTAATATGTTGATGTTCCTCCTGGCAAGACTGAAAACCAAGGGTCCCCTGATAAGGCTTCACCTATAATTTGGACTTCATATGTAACATTTTCTGGCAAAGGATTGGCGATTTCGATATCAAATGCAATAGCCTTTCTAATTGGAGAAACCAAATCGACTGTGCCTAATGGTTTAGGATTAGCAGTATCCAACATAATGGTCCACCATCTATAATGACCATTTCCAGTGAAGGTGATAGATCCAGTGAATTGACCACTAATTAAGGGATTGATGTTTAATTTGTATTCATAGGTTGTTTATGGTTAAATGGTAATCTCCTATTCCCCTGCAGCATTTAAAACATCTGTTTCCACAGAATATCTGAGTTCTTCATTGGTGTTATTAGCAACTGGAATAATTTGTGTGATTGGTTGTCTTGCCACTGCTTTTATCGTAAAATGTCCTTCTGATAAGGGTTCTTCTCCTTTTCCAATTAGTTAATACTCATAGAAGTCATTGGTTAAAGGATTGATAATAGATAGTTTGGCTTTAACCTCACAGATCCATTCAGGAGCGAATTACACCACTACTGCACCATTTGTTGGTTAATTGTTAAGTTTCTTCTTTATCAATTGTTCTTTTTAGACATTCTATTGATGGGAATCTTGATCCTTGTTATTCTTTTGGGTATTTTCTTTTGTGTCTTTGTGATCTGCAGCTTTCTCTTGTTTTCGTCTTTTGCTTTAGCCATCTCCTAATATTGAAAACCGATCATCTCCAACCAAATTGATCTTAAGATTAAAGTCTCGATCAGTATTATTGACAATGGGAATTTCTTATGTTACTACTTCCCTTGCTGGAATTGTCATCTCCAATATGACAGTTATTGGCTTTGGAAGTGAGGTTAATTAAATTCTAAATCTTCTTACATCAGTCTTAGTTTCATTGACTAACATAAAGTGACTCAGATAGTCTTTAACAGCAGTTTTGAAATTCATGAAAAAATGGATTAAATTTTGTTTATCATCTGATTTTTGAAGTTGTTACTAGGGATCCTCCTCATCATCTGAATTTTTGGTGTGATTAAGCAACAATTATTGGTAGTTGACCAATTGAAACACTTTGTCACAACTAATATAAGATTGCTGTTCCTCCAACTAGACAGAGAACATCACATCTTCCATCGGTAAGTTAGGTTTAGTTTACAATGTAACTGAATTGGAATTTTGTCGATTTATTATTTTCTTCTTCTCAATTGTGAGTTGATCTACCTATTTCAATGCTGCCTTTAATTATGGATTGAAAAAGGGGACATGATGATAGAAGGAGGCTAGTTGATCTATGTACACTTAAAGATCAGGTTTAAGATCATATAAAACTTCAGGAGGTTCTACATTACCATGAATTTCATATTGGAATTCACCTACTTGGAGATCCTAAAACACAACCATGCATTTTTATTAATGCAATTAAGTGGGTAAGAATTGCATTGGCAAATTATACTAAGCTCCTCTTTTCAATCTGATACTCTCCTATTTACAAAAGAAAGCCGGGGGGAATTCGACTGAGGTTAATCTTTCCAGTCTTTGTTTTTCTTTCAATTCATTATCTGCTTCCTTTTTCTTTTCAGCCATTGACATAGCCTTCTTCTTTTTCTTAGGAGTCTCTATAACTAATGGTACTTTAATTGGGACTATTTAAATAGTAAAATGACCGAATTCTGCATTTGTAAAAGTGTTTTAAACAGTTATACTAAATTCTTTCATCTCATACATAATGGAACTAACAGTCCATATCTTTTAACTCATTCTTTCTGAAATCACTCCTTTTAATTCGTATACGATTGCAGCAGCTATGTTCTTATTACCTTTCTTATTACAAAAGGTAATCAGAGCTGTTTATTCATCACTGATCCTTGAAGTGAATTTAATATTGTAATTGTATTTGCCTCCTGGTTCTATCTTAACTTGATCTTCTTCAATCGAAAAATCTGAGGACCCTTCCAATTTCACAAAATATACAATGGGATCTCTTGTAGTATTTGTTAACGTGATAGTCTTCATTACAATGGATCCAAGAACACATTTAAAAATTAGAGGTTCTCTTTTGGGCATGAAATTAGGCACCTAGGTGTATAATAGCATAAGCATCAATAGAGTCTCAGGATTGCTCATATTAACACAATCATTGAGCACTAAATGAGACTCAATACCTATATCTTGGAGGCCTTTTAAGAAAATAGACATATTGCGACTGCAATCTTATTCTTATTTTGTTATTTAACCCAGAGGCTAAAAGTATTTCAATCCTCCTGGACCCAAGTAACTCAATAACATTGCTGTTAGGATGTGAGCATCTTTTAACATTCCAAAATTGACAATCCTCACACTCTTTGATTCTTTCCAATATTATGTGGCTTAAAGTTCAATCCATCTTAAAATAAGCATTTCTTGGGTGGAGTAAACATTTGATTAAGGATATTCGTTGATGCTTCCATTTATCTATCTCATTGCCTTCAAAGTGACTCTTGGTAAATAGTAAATACGAAGGATTTGAGTAAATAGTATCAAATAAGAAGATTTGGAAACTTGATCAAATTGTTACTATGAATATTTTTGAAAATCCGGATGAGTGAATTTCATTTCAATTGTCTTTAAATACAATTAGTAATCATCATAACTAAGTAAGTAACAAGGTCTAATTTAATTTAATAATGCTCCATCTACCTTTAATTGAAGCAACAACTCTTTGTATTGTTAATAAAGCAATTAGGAAATCTAAGATTTCTGCTTAATGCCTTATAATTGAGCTCGAAAGGGGAACTAAGTTTTACCAGTCAGAAATGAAATGAGCTCGAAAATGTGATGACCTTACATTAAGACAATAGATGATGGGAATATATCCAATTGGCCTACAAATTAATTGTACCATCTCTACACATGTTCACATTTACTTTCAATAGCCTTCTCTGATATCTATTGAGTTGATGTTAATTTTCTATGAATAGACTCCTTGCTGTCCTCTGATTCATCAGTCTAATTAATCTCCGTTAAATGAGGCACTCCCTTGATGAGACTGATTTCTGATTGATTATCATACATCCATGTAGTAAATGAGCAATTATCACTAGTTGCTGAAACACTGATACTGTAACTATGCTGAGTTTCATCAATGATTTCTAGAGTTTAAGAAATCGAAATTGGATTCTAAGCTGTATATTTAATCATCATGTCCAAATATTACTTTGTAATTCCGACAGTCTGGCCATCTAGAAACTCTACAGTAAATCCTTCTAATGGTTTAACTGATAATTTTTATGTCTCAAATCCATCATTAAAAACTTTGAACTACAATTTGGATTCTATTCCCAAAGGGACTGGACACAGTATTAACTCTCTTCTATCAAATTGGATACTCGGTTTTGCTGCTATTCCATGAAGTTAGACAATTAAATATGGTTGTCCTGGTTTGCTATCTTCTAGATAAATTTAAGCTTGTTTTTAATAGGTTCCTTCGTATCTTGGATTGAACATTACTTTAACTCTTAAAGTTTAGCCAGCATCAACTCTTCCAGCAAGAGGAATCACTTGAAAAACTGATGGAATATTTCCAGTATCAGCATCGATTTATATTTTAAATTACATTCCTTTGTATTCAGGATTGGACAGCAAGATTTCCTAAATATTGGGTTTGTTCTTTTCAGGAGGAGACAAAATGATCTTTCTTGGGAAATCTACAGTTTTTGGTTCCACTATGAACTTAGGAGAACATCCATACACTTAAACCATTCTTTTTATAGAATCAATAGCTCCAAATTTATAGATTTCAATAGGCAATTAAAATGAGTATCTTTTTAACTCTTTAGGATAAAAATGCAATTGAAATTACACAGTCTGTTGAGGTGTCATATTCAATATGTATTTCTTATTTTGACAAATCATCTTCTTCTTCATTCTTGCAGATGAGAGTAAATCATCGTCTGATTCTTCCTACTGCTCTTCTTCTGTATAGTTCTTTAGGAATTCTTATTATTGTTTCAATATCAGACATCCAACTCCTTCATTGGCCTCTGGATTTATGTCTTCATTTCTTAGATCAAAAATTAGTTTGACTTCAACATTGCTTTTGTTGGCAATTGTTAAGGGTAAGGCAGTCTAATTACCTAATGTAGTAACATCTCCAAAATCAAATAGTTGCTATGTTATGATAACATTAGGAACAATACATTAGGCTGTCAATGGTATCCTGATTACTCTTCCAGATCTGAGCATCATCAATATTTATGTATTAATGTTGTTGGGTTTGTCACAATTGATCTTAACAGTAAATTCCTTATTCTCATCAGGCAATATTTTACCAGAAGATGGAGACACAGTGCAACCCATAGGTAGATACTCAGTCAAAATCTTAAATATTGCATTGTTTCTGCTTGTATTTTTGACTTAAAATGGCAACTACTTTTCTTGTGCAACACAAATCTCTGAGAATTCAACAGTACTTTTACAAACACATTTAACATCACTTACTAATCCAATGCATTTCAATTAGATTTCAGAACCATCCTTCACTTTTAAAATGATTTTCTCTTCATCTTGTCTTGTAGGATTCTAATTTTTAAATACTGCATCACTCTCAGAATCTTGCGGATCCTTCATTATTTTACTGGGAGTATAGGTAATTTAAATAATTTAATTAGATTGTCCCTAAATAATTCCATTCAAACAATCAAGGGTGAATTTGGATCCTTCAGCCTAAATGAAATTGAATTATGCTGGTCCTACACCATTATTACTTAATTTGATGGAATCATTCACACTCATGCCTCCATCTTCATTAAATTACATTTTAACTGTTGTTTTAGAAACCTCTAATTTAACTGATTCGACATTGGCCACAACCATGATTTCAAACGAATGTCTCTCATTCAAAATATATCTCAATGTTTATTTCAATTAACCTAATGATTGAGCCTAAACGATTATTTCAAATTATCCTTCTTCGCCACTATCTATCACTTAAGGTTCTTGGAATGTCTTTTTCAATTCTTCCTTTTTGTCAATACAAAGTCTGGCTATGATGGCATATCTCAAATTGTTATGTATAAAAAACGTTCTTGACATTGGAGTGTTAATGTAAATTGTACCATAATCAATTTTTATGGGTCCTGCTTAAACTCTCTTCAAATCATCTGCTGTCAATTCCCTGTTTACATCTCTCACTTGTTTATGAGATTATGGTCTCCCTGATAGTATTCTCTTGACTGGTTATTTTGGATCAGGTTTGAAATCTACCAATTCATCATCTTATCTTTTTAAAGGTTCATACTATTGGAAGGGTTTGACAACATAAAGACCCTCCTTATGATATGGAATATCAATATCATTATCCATGTTATCCACTTGCAATCCCAATTCAAATTCGTAATCCTTAGGAGGTTTTGATCCCTCATCTTTCTACTTTTCTTATGCTTTTGTAATTGTTTCAACTCTCTATTGAATTATTTATTATCTCTATTTTTCTAATCGATTATTCCTTGAATCCTATAGGAAATTGTTTGTCTACATAGCAGCTTTGGGTTTTTTCTAAGTATCCTCAAAGTATCCTTCTACAATATTGCCAGGCTGATGATTTTATTCAATAAGTTCATTATTTCTCTTTTTAACATATTCTATTTCTTTAGTATCGATGAATTTGGGATCTATTTAGAAATCTTCTGCTCTAGCCTCAGGTCCTCTAGTTTAAGGTCTCTTTTTGGCTATTTTCATGGCTTCTCCATTGACTTTAACTGGAATAGTCAAGTAATCATTGAGTATCATGTCTATACTTTGAGAGTATTTTCCAACATTTTTTGGAGTAAATTTAACTTGGATAGTAGTTTAAGATAAACCATTAATTGTGACACTTTCAGGTTTAAAAAAGAAACAAGAAACCTTTTGAAATGAAATGTCCACTGGATAGGTTTACAAATTAGAAATGGTGAATAGAATGTCTTTATTGTCATTGACATCGCAATCTCCAAATTGCAATGCTTATTTTGATATTCTTACTAAAGGGAGCAATGCCTTGACATTAGTGTAAGCAATCAAGTCTTCATCAGGTTATTGAACAATAATTGAGTATTTGATTTCTCTAGTCATTTGCTCCTTCTCTACATCAACTCCAAAACAGATTTTCTTGGCTAATTGCTGTTCTTTGGGAGTTATTTGAATCATGCAAGTTAAGGATAACTCAACACTGGAATATGCTTAGACATAGCCTGTAGATGGTTGGATAACTAATAGTTTCTCACTCTATTCTATTCCTAATTCATTGGGTGTTTGTAGGTTTACAATATCATCATTTGGATTTATGATGCCTCTTCTTGCAATGATTTTGAATTGATGACCTTTGGGAGCGTTGTTCACATATTTCAATTTGATGACTTTAGATTTGCCCATGTAAAGTTCTCCGAAATCCAAGGATGTCACTTGGGAGCCTTTAGAATCCATTAGGAATCTGGTGTAATCGACTGAACATGCAGCAATATCCAATTTTTGGGTTCCACCTTCACTGACAATATCCATGGTCTATCGAAAGTTGCCCATCTCATTAGCCTTGTAGATGATGCTGATCTATTGATATTCTCCAGGGGCAATAGTGATGAGATTAGGCAAGGCCCTTAGATTTAAGACATCGCTTTTTACTTGAACTTTAGCATCTGCGAAACCCACATTTTAAATCATTAATGATTTGGTATTTTCTGTACCTTATTATACAAATCCAAAATCGATGAATTCACTAAATTTTAATTTGGAACATGCTCTATATGCAGCTAAATGTACTTCAGCTCTAAATTCATCAGATTCTATAACAATTACATCTTTATAAAAGGGAGGAGGTTTCTGATGTTGATTCAATGCAGCAATATCTCGTTCCGATTCCTTAAATAAAACAAGAACCTTCAGACCTAATCCAGCAGCTATGCCTTGTTGCATGTCATAATCAGCTCGGAATTTGGAAGCTTCCTTAAATACGAATAATTACTTTTGGGTTGTTACACTCTGATTCTGACAGGATATTTGGCCAAATTCTGCACATTCAAGATTTGCTCATAAAGGATTCCAGGTTTGATGTCTTCGAATATTATTTCTTTGGGGTCAATGTGAAACATTTCCTTCACAATGCTTCTAGTCGATTTTGCTGCACTCTATATTCGTGTACCACCAACCCTCGTTTAGCCACTTTGAATTCGTGTGTAACCACTCTGTATGCGTTGACTATTATTCGTTGGCTGGGCAAAGCTCCCTATGCCAGACGGGACTCTTTGGGCAGATGGAAGGCCTGGACTTCTTTGCATTGCCGATTACACTGTTCTTTGATTTTATAAAGTCATCAACGAAGGTTTTGCAGATTGGCTTCTTTGATTCGATAAAATTGGTTAGAGCGAACCTCCTGTAGTTGTGGGGACAGGTTGTTACATTATTTTTTAAAATTATATATATATATAAAATAAACAAATTAGAAACACAGTTCAATTGTGATATTTCAAATGTTAAATTATCTTACGATTAATTCTTCTAGTCTGCTCATCAGTTGGCTTGATTTCTTTACTATTTTTAGTTTTTCTTCGCGTAAACTAAGCTTTAATAATTTATATACAAAATTTTAAAGGGATTAATGAACAAGCAATAGAAGAAAACCCAAAAGCAAAATGAGAAGTTAAAGATATAAAGCCAAGAAAATGATAGCCCCCAGAACATAGAAGATATAATACATGACAAGAATGATTTCATTTGTCCCATCTGTTTAAATTACATTGTGGCAGCTGTCTCCTTAAAATGCGGACACACCTTCTGTGAAATATGTTTGCATGAATATTTGCTGTATTTCAAAGGCTGTCATATTTGCAATGATAACATGAGAAAATCTAAATTCGCCTATTGTTATTTATTAGATCAGATGATTCATGAATTCATCAAATCACATCACCCTGAAGAACTAAAAACCTATGAGATGGCTAAAATCAGCAACAAGGAGTGGCGAAAAAAGAAACAGTACTATCCATTTATAATCCTTAGAGTCCAATCCATAGATGTTGGTTAGTAGATCGATGTAAGAGATCCCAATTTCGTCTGGAATGTTGGAACTATCAAGAGACTCAAGATATCCTAGGAGGTAGGCAAAATCAAATACCTTGTCATTCACTACGAAGGCAAATCAGACAAACACGACGAAGAAATAGCCGAAAACTCTCCAAGGTTTGCTGCCTTAGGGTTCTACACAAGCAGAAATGACATTCCTAAATATTACAAACAGACCAAGAATCCCTTTTTAAAAAACCTATTGTACATAGAGTGCATGGATCCAAATGACAACCAATTCAATTAATAGTTTTTTATAGAAGACAATTCTAGCGAAAGTGAATGAAAATATATATTATAAATTAAAATTTTATCAATTAAATCTCAAAGATACATCTTCATTTGACACTAGCCTCTCAATCACACTTCGACAGTATCATCTTCTTTAAAAATACTTGCAATGCAAATGCGAATCATAAAAAAGTCCTCATTTATTTATAACGTTGATTAATTTTATTTGTAAATTTTAACAGACTGTTTATGTAGCAACTTAAATTAAGCAATAGCAAAGAGAATTAAGATTGGGATTTTAGTAAGGTGGAATCAAGAATCTAGCTTTTAATAGAAGAGAATTAGAGATTGAATTAATCGCTCACAACAAAGATGGAAGAAATCTAATAATTAAAAACCGAAAACAATCATTAATTAATGGAGTTGAATAAATTTAGAGGCTAAGATTGTGAGCAAAAGATTTTAACTGAAATTATTCTACAAAAAACTACTGATTGTGATAAAAACAAGAGATAATTATTGAAAGCTGAAAAATCTATTGATGATTTGGAATAAGAACTTAGTATACTTAAATCTGAAAAGGATCAGTATTCTAAATAAATGCTTTAAGCATAAACTTAAAATATTTTATTAGAATAAGAAAGATTGAAATAAATAGACGAGTTAAAAACCTAAGTAAGAAAAAGTAATTAAGGTTCCAACAATTAAATTGATTAATTGAAATTTGAAGTCAATAAATCTTAACTAGAAAACGATTCTTTGAAAGTCTAATTAAAGCAATTATAGGATGAAAATGTATTAATCTATATAAATATTCATAGTCCTCAATTAAAAGACATTTAGGTTGTTTAAGTGGGTATATACTCGAAAATGAGCAATTAAGAAAAGAAAATGAAAGTTTGAATTAAAATTATTAAGCTTTATTAGCAAAATAATGAAATAATGAAATCTTGATTATCACTATCTTTTTATTATAATCATTATTAAATTTGAATTATGACCATCATTTAAATATTGAATCATTTTTCATTATTTTAGAATCTATGATAATATATATCATCATTTAACTACTTCAAAATGAGAACTATCTTGTAAAAATGAAAGATTATGAAACAACAATAAAGAAAAATCAATAGACATATACATAGCCATTTTCACATCCAACTAAAATCCATCCTTCTTCAACTATCATCTCATAGATTCCTGATTTAGCTTAAAGTACTCTGTAATTGTGCATTTATCTTACATCAAAGGTGACAATCTTTCCATCTAAACTAGATATATGGAATTGTTGATTATAAAATAATATTTTAGTGATTGAACTCTAAAGAATATAATTTAATGGAATACCTTGCATAAGCATAATTTTTCAATTAATTTCATTGAATTCCAATTGTAGATGTAGATAGATCCCAAAATATCTCCTGCTACAATAATCTACTAACCAGTTCCAATGAGACATAACTCAACAATGCTGTCTCCTAATGGATCACTTTTGCCGATAACCTAAAAGTTGGTATTATAATAAAATTACTTTTCCATCTTCAAAATTGATGAATGCAATAGTGGAATCACTACTTCCAGTTGCAATGATTGGTTATTTGTGATGTTAGACAAAACAGACGACATCATCCTTATGATAATTGTGTTTATGTGCAACTGAACTTATTTTAACAACTTATTCAGAAGTATTGGGTTTCCAAACTCTAAATGATTGATCAGCAGAACCACTTACAACTAGTTTACCATCTAAAGTGAAACCACCACAGGTAATTTCTGCTTCATGTCCAGCAAATACACTCATTACTTCACCTGTGACTCCATTCCACATCCATAAAGTAGAATCTTAGAATCCTGCCAAAATAACATTTCCTTTTGGATGCCATTTCAACACACTTGGTTCTGTTTGACTTCCATCAAGTATTTTTTCACTCATATCATTTAATAAATAGATATATATCTTTCCTGTTAATATACCAGCAGCAACGTATTTGCCATCAAAACTAAAATCAACCAATCCTACAGTTTCATCGTATTTCTTTTCAAAAATTACTTTTTGAGTGCTGAGTTTAATAAGTTTTAGATGATCATCTTCAGAACCACTGGCAATAATATCTTTTGAAACAGGATTTTAAGCAAAAGTGCATATAACTTTATTATGTATTTTCAATTAAGCTTTAGATTCATCAATTTTCCAACTTGGATCAATGTGATTGTCATCAATTTATTCTAACAATTCAGGCTATTATTTAATCATTTATTCTTCTTCTTCCATTATCTTCTCCTCCTATTAGTCAACTTCTTTTTCTAGGGCTTCTAATTCTTGATTATCCACCTCAACAACTTCACCTAAATCATCTTCCCACGCATCACTCCTTTAACTAGCTGCATCATCGAATTTCATTATCAAATATCCTTTAACCTACTCCTCTGTGATGGTATTAAGATTCTTTAATTATGAATATCAAAATCATTACAATTTTTTCGAACTCTTCAGAGACATCAATTATATTATACTATTTGTATTCTTCGATGATGTCTTGATTTTGTAGGAGACTCATGGCATATTTCATTGGGAATGCAAAGTTTAAGGTCTTGTCTTGATTCCTCAATCTAAAGTCATCAATTAACTGATTTACTTTATGGTTTAGTCAATCAATTGAATGTGTCTTTCTTGCATCATCAATTCTTTGGCTAGTGCAATTTCTTGTTCTGCAGAATGGCCTTCATCGTTGCTCAAATCCCAGAATGATTTCTCAGTGAGTGCTAGCTTCTATTTGAGGAGATGCAGAAACTATGTCAAAGGATCGTGCTCCATAAATTAAAAATAATTAAAAATAGTTAACGATTATAAACATGAGCTCTATTACGTAATTAGATTAGGAATATAGAATGTTATTTGAGCAAATTATGGGAATGCTCGATCAATTGTCATCAATTAGTTTGGAATTTGTAAGCTCCAAATTAACATTTCTAGAAAAATACTCTTAAACTTTAAAATCTTCATAAGTGGATGCTCGACAACATAGAAATAATTAAATAAAAAATCTCATCGAATATGTTAAAATGCATCGCAAATCCAAAGTTCGATCTGTGATTCATTCCCCATCCAATAGGACATTCCATCATCACCATCACAACTCTTTGGATATGCAGGATGTCCAATTAAAAGATAACATCTCTGTGATTCCCAACTCTAGTACTGCTCCTTAAAAAAGTTTAAGTGACACCAAGCTTGTGCATACAAAAACTATTAAAAACATGCTATAAAAGATGGTTTCTAAAAAGAACAGCTCGCCTTAGAAAAGTGCAACAGAACCCTTAATTAAAATACTTGAAAGTGCAATGGCTTTATTGGAAACACACTAGTAATTCTATTAAGACGACTATGATTAATTAAAGAAAGAATACGATGAAGTATTATTAAATAATCCATAAATTATGGCCAAAGTAAGTTTGCAGAATAAATCAAGCAAAATTAAGGAAAACTTGAACTCTCTAATTGAAACTTAAAAATCGTTCAAATCCTATTTGAATTCTATAATGTGAATGATGACAAGTTTTATATATATAACTAGTTCTTAAGATTATAGTATTGATAAACAAATCAATGACCTAGATCTCTTATATTAATGTGGTTTCCATGATATTTTTAATGAATCAATAATTCTATTTTTTAGTTTGATTTCCATAACATTTTGGTTATCTTATACATTATTATTATATAACACATCAGTATTAATTATTTTTAAATATACACATAATGATTTTCAATTCTGAGTTCTCAGGTCAATAACAACATACAACATAACCTATAGTAACTGGAGGCAGTGTAATAGCACTAGCTTACAAGGGTGGTGTAGTTGTAGGAGCAGATACACTTTGTAGTTATGGAAGTATGGCAGATTTCAAGTACAAATGCATAATTTACATCTAGAAATGTTGAGAAGATTGCTCAGGTGTCTAAGAACACAATTTATGTTTCAAGTGGCGAATTTTCTGATTTTCAATAAGTAGTGAGGGAATTAGCAAAAATCGACAGATCAGCCTTATAATATGACGATGGAGTCCATCCATCCCCTAGAGACTATGGCAATTACTTAGCGAGATTGTCATACAAGAGGAGATGCAAAATTAATCCATTATATTTATAGAATGTGATCGCAGTATTAATATCTCCTTATCTAGGGATTTCATAATGGAGAACGATATCTAGGTCTTGTTGATATTTATGGTACTTACTTGGAATCAAATTTCGTGACCACTGGTTTTGCAAGCTACTTCTGTAAAGCCATCATTAGTAATTATTGGAATGAAAATTGCACTCTTGATTAAGCCAAATAAGTGATTAGGGAATGCTTCAAAGTAATTCAAAAATTGTATTGTAGGTGTTATTCTGCAGAGATTGCAGAGCTCACGATGTGATCCAATTGGCTTATGTTGATGAGCAAGGAACACACATTGAGTAGCCAGAGAGAGTGGAAACCAAGTGGGATTTCAGTGGATTCAAGAACAGAGCAAATGAGAAATTACACACATAATGAACATAATAATTATTTGATTTATATATTTTCATATTCCTCAAGGATCAGATACTTGTGGTCTAGTCGAAATAAAGCTCTCTCTGCCAGTGGGCTGCCATTCCATTGCTTCGTACCAGAATGTACGCAATTTCATGTCTCTGCATCTGATGAATCTTTCAAATCGGCTTGATCTCCAAAAGAATTTATCGATTCTCTCATGAGAATGGTACAGGATATCATATAGACACACTGGTAACAATGTGCCCAAAGTTGTGAGTACCATGCACACAGGTGCTATTTTCAACACTGTTCTCAAAGGGATCGGATATGAACTATTTGGTACAGGCATAATTATTTATTAATATTATTGTTTAATCAATTATTATCTTCTCCATCCATCAATTATTATCTTCTCCAAAAGCTACCTCATACAATTCCTGCATTCTTTTCCTCTTCAATTCCCGCTTCAATTGAGCTTCCTTATCAACTGTCATTACATCCTCATCTGGCTAAAATACAACTGTCTTCCACCCTCGAAATAATTAATCTCCTGGCTAATGGATCTTGCCTCTCACCGTTTTTAGATTCTCATTCTGTTTCCTTATCTAAAGAGCCTGTCTCTTCTTCAATTGATTCTCATTCATGTACATCTTAAAGAATTGATCATCATTGTTATTGTAAGTACAATACATATTGTACTTCTCTTCTCGATCACATAAATTAACAACTTTCTGATAAAATGGTAATTTCTTATTTAACTCAATTGTCTTCTGCAACAATGGATGATTTTTCAAATCGTTATCATCTTAGATCTATTTTAAAGAGATCGACTTCAATTCATCGATAAAGAATAGATAAAATAATCCTCTTCGGAATTACTGTCTGTTCATCAATGGTTTCAATAGTTCGAATAAATCTGATTGACTCTTAAAATGATTCTCAGCGTAAATCAGGTAGGCCTATTCAAAGAGTTTGGCATATTGTTGTATTTCTTAGATTAACACATCCTTATCCTTACAATCAGCAGCTCTAAACATTATTTGAATTGAAGTATATGAAAACCTGCTTAAGACTGATTAAAGGGATTTCTTCTTAGTTCCTAATATCTTGACTAAAACCTTCAAAGTGTTTCTTATGCCCAAAACTGCATGCTCTTTAAATCTACATTAAGACATTCTGACACCAGTTTAATTAAAAAAATCTTTGGTTGCTGTGATATGATTCCCTCTGCATTTGATGTCTATTTCCAATAATTTTGAAAATTAAAAATTGGACAATTCTTATTTAGGAACTTTAAAAGACTCATAAATCCGTTTAAGTTTTTGAGGAGACTTCACTTGAAATTAGCAAGCATTAAAGAGAATTCGAGCCACATGTGCCCAATTCCTACAATCTTCTCCTCCAAAACTATCAACTATTTTGATAAATTCTTCCACCAAACCAGGCTGGCTCATCATTTTCTTCGCCATTATAAATTTTTAATCTGTTTTCTGCCAAAAAAATTAGTTCTTCAATATCCTTAAAAAAATTGTATTTATAAATATACACAATTTAGATATAAATTCATTTAATTTCAATTATTTATTTTTTCCCATTCTCATTATGAATTCTACTTCCATCCAACAATTAATCGTCCTCACTCAACACTGAATTAAACCACTCATACCAAACCCCTTCCTCATTGTTCACTCTCTTAATTGTGAATTTCAACTTCTGCTTCTTTGCTATGTTTACAGGTTTCTAATGAATTATTGAGTTTCAAATACCTCAAATGGAAAATAAATAGGGAACCAAGAATACATATCTGGAGTACTATTATTTGGATGTGTACTGAGTTCAATATCCTCATACAATTTGGATGTGAAATACCCAGCCATTCCATGAATCAACAAATCCTGTTTACACTCAAAAACCAAGTTCTATTTATTTAATTAAATCTTCATACTTGTTCCTATGCTAATTGATTTTCGTTGTTGAAATCTGGATGTTTAAATTGCATGCATTTTTAAATGTCATGTATTGTGTAATACTTCTAATAATGAACGACATAGCTAGAATCATATCCATAGCTCTTTTTAACCTTTGCATGCAATTGGGGACAACTTACAGGAACACAGTATGAGACAGAATCACAAGGAATACTTACAGCATCTGGTTATAAAAACCTTTAAGCCCACATCAAACATTCGGGTGACAATTCATTATCTCCAAAACTACCCAATAATTCAGAAACAATTAGATCAAACTTTAGTTCAGTTTACCAAGATTTTAAATCATCCAAAACTATTTCCACATCCTTCCATTACTTTTATCTCTTCTTTTAAAACACTAATGTCATATAAGCATATGGATTTTTCTCTAATGCCACTATCTTTGTTTTGCATTTTGCACCTTAAGCTGCGAAAATCACCCTCTCCAAAATACCTCCTCTTCCTGCACCTGCCATTAAAATATTGATCTCAGCCTTTTTGACATTCTTCAAGTATTTTCTGCAAGCATCCTCATACAAATCATATTTTATTTTGTCCTATTCAAAGACCTCATAGGTTCCTGAATTCAAATTATCTTTGTATGGTTAAAGAGGTATTTATAATTCATCGAAAAATTCAGATGCTAAATGGGCTTGCTCTGATAAGGGCTATTAATTTTTGAATAGATGAATCAAGTATTATCTATGATCAGCCAAATCTATCTAAGGGGATTTGGCAGATATTGAAATGTAGTTTTCAAATTGGAAATATGAAGTCAAAAATTAGTTTTAGATATCATCCAATTTTGGAGCTCCTTGATCATTCATTGAAAAGAGATCTTGATTCAAATGCACAAATCGTATGTTTTCAGATAACCATTTTCTTTGCTCATTCTAGGTTATTTATTATTACAAGTATTACCTTTGTTGTCATCTCCTTCTTTAATCTAAGGAGTATTGGGATATTGAATTATAATTCCTATCTAATTTGGTTATACTTAATCCAGTCCTTTGTGATTTCTACGTCCAACACAAATGTGTTCAAATCAATGAAATATTTGGTAGCCATCTAAGGTTATAAAGACATTATACTTTTCTTATGAATTTGGCTAGTTTAACTGGATCACTATTTGAACTTAAAATAATTGATGGTACACCCAAATATGCTGCAAATTGTATTTCCTATTTCAATATCTCTCTATTCCTTTTTCTCACCTCTTTGTTCTCATCGCTTAGACTGAGGTTGGAGATTAGAAAGTGCAACTTCTAGATGTCATCGGATTTAACTTCTAATTCTGATTTTAAATAAGAATGCTTGATGAAATCATTAATATTTCCTTCTCTTTCAAAATTGGCTGGGAAAATGGGCATAATGATGGCATCGAATTTCTTCTTGTTTACAATAGTAAGAATTTAGGGCACCGAATCTTTGAGTTCTTAAAAATACCATACGGTTTTTAATCCCCAAGGCACAGCCTCAAATTTGTAAACCATAAATTAAAATATTTATTATATAATATTTCACTTCTTGTTTTTCTAAACCTTCCAGATCAACTCCTAACTAGTCTCATATTGTTTATCCAATAAATCTATATCTAAGCAACGCTTGCTTAACTATTTTTTACCGTTTTATTCACTATAGCTTTTGGCTCTTTAGCTTGGAATCTTGATATACTCAAAAGTCTTACTTAATTAGGCACTTCGATTGGCTATTTGATAGGGACATTATTATTCAACGAGTGTTGTTATTTTACATTTTTAGTACTTGAACTAATCAAATTGTTTTAAGATTGATTCTGGTTTGGTTATTGTTGCATCAATTGTAAATTCTAAGGAGAATTCATAATATTGATGTTGTTTGTAAGAACCTATTGTTAGAGATTGCAATTAGCTCCATAACAAGATTTTGATGAGGATCTAGTGTTTTCCGATTATAGTTATTATTATTAAAAATAATTTGGGGGTCTTTAACTATTTTATGAAGCCTTGGAAGTGCTGCATTAATCGTATTACCTATATGATTAAGCGATGGAACCTAAGAAGTATTACACAGATCTTACATTTATAATTGTTGTCATTAGGAGTTATCAATGGGGATTGCTTCTCTTCAAGTACAGTCGACAATTGAGGGTAATCCAAATTGCGTTTAGATTCTGGCCTATTGATAGATGACTAGTTTTAGTTGTTTTCTTTATTGGATTTAACATCTTATTGGGAGGGTTTATTAAAAGCAAATTGCTTGTTCTCATATGTGTTTTTAGCACTCTGAGGATGGAGATCTATTTACTTACTCTTTTTTTTCTTATTCTTGTCATTGGATAATTGCATAGACTTAGGAACAGATAGATATTAGTCATCTCTAGTTGGTTCTTCTAGTTCCTTATTGATGCTTTCATACGCTGAATCGAATGGTGTCCCTTACAACTACATGATCGAAATCTTTATACTTCCCAGTTTGATATACCTTCTTAGGATTACTAAAGATCTTAGAAAAATTTTCAAGTTTTAGGATTTCATCTGGTTCACTCTTGATTGGCCGAATAGGCGATAGCTTAATCTAGTCTTTCTGTTGAGAATGTTTGGATCTTCGATGCTTTTAAGCCATCAGTTGCTAAAGTAATGCAGTCTGTATTTAAATAATTTTACATTACGTTGGACTGATTTTGTTTATGTGTTTCAATACTAATCTCCATAAGTTGACTGAAAATAGAGGTCCATCCATGGAGTGTTTGTTATATAAGATGCACATCATTAGAAAGAGAATCCAAGTTAGGCAAATGGTTATCAAACAACCCTACTTACGGGAAGCTAGACATTTGATTGTTAAAAATAAAATTAATTGTTTTACATATTTTTAAACTCTAAAGCAAAAATAATTCAAAATTACTTACATTTTAAAAATAAAACCTCAAGAAATCTTTGTCTTTAAATTTCAAATAAAAACAATGAGAGAGCCACTTAAAAAATGAAATTCAATGTACAATAAAAATTTAAAATCAATCCTTCTTCTCTTTACCATCTGTGACTTCTTATTTTGTGTCTATATCTTATGAGTACCCAGCATCCTAAATATATTTAAATAATAAGTACTAATCTATTAGGATCTACTTTGTAGATTCTTCTTTGATATATATATATTAAAAATATGACATCGTCTCTAAAGCAACTCAATCTCTTCAACCACGGCATTGTAATTATAAAAGCAAACAAATCATCGATTATAGTATTCAAAAACTTGTATATCATTGTTCTCCATGGCAAATGAGCCACTGATTTTAGTTTATAATTAATAAAGAGCTAAGGAGTCATGTTTATAAACCCGAATAAATAAATGAATTCAACCAAACTCTCTATAATGAACGAGTAAATTCCTTTGTGCTCTTAGTAAATTAGAGCATAAACAAGGTAAGCAGCAAACAATGGGACTGATAACTTATATAAGAAATTAGCAGCTTTTTAATCGTATTGTTAGGTTTTTGATTCATATGATTTTTGATGCAAAAATTCCACATATGGAAATACTTTAATTATTTTGAATTTTGTTGTTTTGGTGATCTTCCACATCATCAATCCCAATTCAACAAATTATTAAACAATGATCAGATATGAAGTCTCATTATCCAGCAAATACAAGGTGATGATAATATCGAAGACAAAATTTGTATACAAAGCTCTAATGGAGATCCCCTCTTGTGAACCCAAATTCTTCCAATATTAAAAGTCATTCTTTATTGCCAATGTTGAAAATATCGTATGCAATACACTAACAACCATTGTTAATGCAACCAAATAGAAATTTGTCTCGAAAAGCATCTCCTTTGTATTATCTTCTGCTATTTCGTCGTATATTTCCATGCCCAAATTTTCATAGAACTTACCTGCATTCTTCAATGAATCTATCATGTAATACTTCCAAGAATAATAACAATTAAACTCTATTGGAATCTCATATGTCTCATTTGCTTATATCAATATGTGATCTTTCTTTCTCAAAAAATAGTTATCTACGTCTAGATTTGGAGTGTAAATGAAACCTTCTTCAGTCCTTTGGAATCGATCTTAATTTATATTTCAATTAATTATACATTTAATTTATGGTGGAATTTAATTTTTTGGGTAAGAATTTGAGTCATGCACAAATAATAGATACTATTTATTTTTGACATGCCATTCATATTTTGAACTCGTTTAATTCTCGTCTTGTTTCTTAATCATATATTCATCGTGTTTATCAAACAACAAATTCTTTTTTTCATTCTATTCCACTTTCATAAGCTTTGTTAATGAGAAACCAGAATGAATATTAAAATTACTGTTGCCCAATTATATGCTGAAATAAGGATTTTCAAGTAACTTAGATAATCTATATTTATACTTCTATTCCAGTCAAAGTAATGTTCTTCACAATTGTGGTGTCCTTACTATACATTAAATCTAATTCGTTTAAAGTCCAATCAGTTACGTTGTTTGTGATGGTTAAGTTGAACAGACTATTCGAGTTTAGGATGTTGAAATAAGTGTCTACGCGAGAGTTTGATTATGAGAAAAATGACATCAAATAGTTAACTCCTATCAAGGTTAGAATTATTCTGAAAAACCCAAATCCTCCTTGTTGCTAACCCTGATTCGCCTGTGGTGCCTAATTGTTATTCCCTTGCACTTAGTTATTCATTAAAACTTGTAATGAATTTAGATTAATAATTAAAAATTATTTATACTTCATTAAGGAATAGTTTGAGAATAATATGAGAATAATATGTATTTTGGAAAACTTCAATATCTGAAATTTTTGATTATAAATTTTCAATTAAAATTTCTAATTCCTTGATAAGATATTTTCTTATTAAAAATTTAATGGGATGCACATGTAGCAGTAAAAGAGAGTAATCTCCTTAGAAGACAATCAAATCAACTCAATCTACTTCAAATCAACTACATCTTCTCATAGAAACCAAAATGTTTAAAATCTATAGACCTCATCAAAAATTATAAAATGTAAGTAATTTCTTAAAAATATAGATCTCTAACAGTACAATATTAACAAGAAGAAGAATAAAAATGGAAATCAAAGATCTCGAATACTAAGAAACTAAATGAAAGTTATTGTTTTTTTCTTGATTATTTTTACAAAAATAACATATGCTTTCGTAATATCGTTGAGTATATCTGTCAATACTCCCGATCTAAAGGCTGTGCTACACAACTATTGTGGTTTGTTTATTTGGCAGAAGCCCTAGATTTTAGGAAGGTGAAATAAATCCTAATTTTTGATCAAAATACTGCTTTTAGGCTAAAATTGTCAAGAGAATACAATTGAATCTTAATTATTCGATAATGACAAATACGCCTAGCCTATTTTTTACAGATATTAAAACTATATTACATCAAAATAAGTTTAATATAAAATATTCTGATAATTATTTTTAAAGCTAATATGTACATCTTTCCTTTTCGATATTATACACTTCATCTAATACTCTCAATATTAATAAATATATAAAAAAAAATTAAATTAACCTCTTTTATTTGTTTACACCAAAGAGATATGACCATTTAAATCTTTTATGATAAATTATTTAATAATTAAAATTATATTGCATAATATATATTAAAAGTTGTAATAAAGTATTAAATAGATAATAACACTTATTTGTGTCTAAATGGATTCAAATGCACTTGGATTTCTAATAATTTCTCTAATATTTATAAAATTAGACAGTGTATTCTTCTAATTAACTATCAATAATTTCGCATTCAATAAGATATATTAAACTAAAATTATTAAGAATTAATTGAATTCCGTATTACAAACTAAAATTGATCCCTTCATAAATAATATGAATTAGAATTAGTTCTAATTAGAATTCTATGATTTTCTTCAAATTTTCATAATTTCGAAAATTGAATAAGAATGTTAAGTTAATATAATTGTAATATTTAATTTTCATAATTAACGAAGAATATTAATAGCTTATTAATCAATTAATTCTACCGGAATAATCGTCAAGGATAATCTGATTAAGTTGATTTAGTTTTGTTGAACTTTACTAAAATAGATTAATGCTAATCCAATTGCTAACAAAGTGAAACATCCAGTTATCATAAAATACACAAGAGCTTCATTAAAATTACTTTCAATTTATTCATATGCTAATTTTAAATTCTCTTGAGCAAATTAATCAAAAGCTTATTTAGCATTCGTAAAGTGTCTTCCAAACATCTAATTGAAATCAGCTGAATTCAGCAAAGATAGTGTATTTTGAAAATCTACATCAAGCATTTTATTTTCCAATTCATAGTAATAAGATCCCATTAAGTAATTAATAATTTTTGTATAGATGCCTATTATTCCTTTATTATAAAGATATGTGCAATTATCTTTGATATCTGGAGAAATAGGACAAAAGATTGAGCAAATATCTTAAAAAAATAGCTGATTTAAAATGTCAGCATTTTTTGAATTGATATTTGGATTCTTGATTAAATCTTATATTATTTGAATTTGGCTATGCTTAAAGGAATCGAACTAAATATAAAAATAGGTTAAATTTTGATAACGATCTTATATGAAGTAATTAGCAGATTATTACAACGTCTTTAGTGATATAGATTCTGTTAATGAATTTTGACTCAATAGAATATTCTAACTCTTAATTCTAATTGCATTGCTCACAATAGAATCAACTTGAATGGTGAAATGAAGAAATTCAGCCCCTAGTTGATACGAGGGTTTGAGTTGCTTTTATTTTTAAGAATTAAATAGGAAGCCTCCAATATTAACAATTAGAATAATTAAGAGTAGAGCAAATAAGAATGCCGATATTGAACACATGTTAAATGTTGACTATTAAATTCTTGATGAAAGCAGTGTTGTTTTTTTTTATTTAGTATTTGTTGTGTTGATTTACTATTGTTTATTTAGTGGCTAATAGATAATGTGCACATAATCAGCCTTCTTCCAGTTGATTGAGTACTTGTCATTTAATATTTCTCTCACACTTTATAATTTTTGGATTGTCACATAAACATCTTTTTCATACAATCTGCAGTTGAGATGCAGAATCTTCATGTGTAACTTCAACAAATCAAAAAAGAACCAAAACTGTAAGAAAAACATGCAAAATTATAGAATAGTTTAGATGACGAATAGATTCAAAATCAATTCATCATTTAAGTCTAATTCCACATAGAATTTATCAATTAAGGATCTAATTAATAATCTAAACAAATTTGTACTATTTTCTAAATTTAAAACTTCAAAAAGAGATTGCTGAAAAAAGTAATCGTTAAAATTACTAAAGTTATTATCCTAATAGTATTTTATTAGAAGTCTGAAATAAATAGTGAGTTTGGAATAGTAATAAGTGTAAGAAGTATTAAATTCATCCGCTTAATCAATATAGTAAAGTGTAATGTTGGAATTTAACAAATCCTATTCAATTTGATGAAAGACTGGTTGATGTAGAGACATGTTTTATAAGTAATTAAGATTTTTGAATCTTGATTGAATGGTATTCAATAAGTTTTAACTTATTTGAATCCCTTCTACTTTGGACAATTTTTAGAGAATATCATGAGATGTTAATTCACAATAAATGCCATTAAATACATACGGTGCTTAGATCTCAAGAAGTTATTTATTTCCATTATCTCTTTATTCACTTATAAATATGACATTCAGAATATTAAACAAGACAACACTTAAAACAATACAAATATCCAAGAAAATGATAAAACTTAATTAGATGGGTCTGGCTTGAGATCGTGATTTCATTTTTAACAATTCATAATGATGATTCCTCGATCTTCTTGCAATAGACCCACCAGAATGTATAGCCTGCATTTCATTTTTTTAATCTATTTATTAGTCATTGTTATTATTTGATGACTATTGATCCTGCAGTTTGTCTAGTACTGTCTTATTTTTCGAGTATTATTATTGAAAGTTATGATTTTCATATCCTAATTCTTATTGTAATTTGATTATCTTGAATTCATCCTCTAAGTATTTAGAATCATCATTCATACTTTTGTGTTTGATTAAATTAAAAGTAGCCCTTTGTGAAAAAGGAGCCAAGATTTATCTTGAAGATTCTTATAATTGATCAAAGAAGGATTGATCATATTTACCTCTCATTAAAGATATTTCTGGGTGTTATTGTAATTTATCATTATCTTCCACCTTCCCTTTTGTAAAGCTTTCATCCTAAATGGAACTTAGCATTAAATGACTTGATTTATTTAGATCGGACAACTCAACGTTTTACAAACTATTTTATGAGAATGTCTCTCCATTCTCAATGTCTTAAGCAGATATAATGTCATTTATTTCTAAAGTGAATAACGGAATAGATTTTGAGTAACCAAGTATGAGATACTCTAAGTAACATTTAATCTAGAAATTTGTGGTTTGAAGATTTTGATCAATAAATTACTACATCTTTTGCTAATAGGTTTCATCAAACAAATCGCAATTGGGTTTTTGAGAATCAAATAAATTCAGATTTAACATAGATTTTTAATTTTTTTGTTAATTTTCTGGAGTATCAAATGTTGTCCACAAACCTGCATAATATAATTAATGTTTATTTTTGCCTTTTGAACTTTACATCAATTTTGAAAACTATTACTTGATGGGATTTCCAATTTTTAAAATAATCTTATCGTCTTAGTTATTTTCTTCTTCTGAATTTCGATATGCATTAATTAAATTGAATATTTTTGGGATTAATTAAAATACATACCCTGAAGACAGATGTTCTTAAGTAATTGTTTTATCTATTGTTTAAAGTAATTTGAACATTAAACTATTGACACCTAAGATTCTACCCTTGTGATCAAAAAGCATGAATAGACATTTTTCTTTTGTTTTGGAAAATGCAGCCGTTATAACATAATCATCATAACTGATAAAGAAATTATCAATAGTAATATCTGCAGGAATGTAGAAATTATTTTTGCCTTTCAGAAACACTGTTCTACTCTTACCAAATAAAATGCTATGGCCTAACTTCTTAAATCTCTCAAGATATTGATCATGAACAGATGCTAGAAAGTCTGGCATTAATTGATTTATGTGTTTGATATCTCTAAAATCCATTTCGTTTTCGTATCCCCAAAATTAAGCTATTTATTAAGCATTTAATTTTATGATTGATCCTTATGATTTAACAATACTGGTGTACAATAAACAAATTTTATTTTCCATTATGTTACCGTTAAGTAGTTTTCCTTCAACCAAACTTTCAGATCGCAAAATGTCATTCATTACTTTCTACATCTTAATAGCTTATTCATAATCGTTTATAATTATTGCATAATAAATTATCAACACCAAGACTTCTAGGACTGTTCTTGGCTCCTCAACCTATTCGATATTGGTACAATTATATAACTTTTACAATACTAATCGACATTCCAATAATTTTTGACTCAATAAACATGTAGTCTAAAATAGTTTCTTTACATTTGAGATCAATGATATCAATTATTTCCAGTAATTTATTTTGTGATCAAGAGTACTCAGAATCAAAGGAATGGATATTTCTCGTATTTTAACTGCCTCATATATATCCTTTGTAGATAGAATGCGATCATCCTAATATTATCCTGCCTTTAAAAGTTGATTTATTCCATCCTAGACCTTTGTAACTGAATTCCACAATTATTTATGTTGACTTGGAAATGTTATTCTAAAAAACAAGGAATGATCATGTGGGATATTATAATACTATTTTAGTCGGCATAGTGCAGTCAAGGGAGCTTTATGAACACATAGAAAGTGGATTAAGGCTAATTCTAAGATCTCATAATCGATTTTCTACTTTTTATTTATTGTTATGTTATTTTCTAAATAGCAAATTAATACTTCATTCTTTTTTTGGTCTTCATGCTAAGATACACATTTGTTTTTGTGCTGTCTTAGTTTTAAATGCTATTGAATGTCCTATGATTAATAGAACTCTTGGCATTAAACTAGAATGATATATTAGTTTTAAGAATCCATGTCTGCGTATCTGTCATATAATTGAAATGAGAGTGCATAGGCAAGAGTGCCTATTAGAATTGTAAAATAAAAGATATTCTCCTCTGATTTATTGAATAACATTAGGGTATGAATTACAACCAGAGTGTAAAATAAAAAGTTATACTGAAACACTATTTTATTAAACTAGAACTTGTAGGGTTTAAAGATTATAATATCTAAGCAAAGGGCTATTCCCTAAATGTGTAGTAAAATTATTTGCAAAATGTGAAATTCAAAATCAATGTAGCAAATAGTGTCCAATGCTGCACTAATTACTGTCAATTAAGTGAATTTCCGTATGAATGGATTACTATGAATAAATTTAGTTGAACGATTAAAATAGAGATTAAATACTAGAATAAAAAATAAGAGCAGGATTCCAAAAATTGATATTCCAATATTCCCTGATGAACTTGAAAGCATTGCTACTTAAGGTATATAAAATACATTCCATAAAAGGTTATTGTAATAGAAAACGAATTAAACTTTGAAAAAGCTGAGAATGAAGATTATAACATTGAATAATATGAGAAGTATTTTAAGTATGTCCGATATCTCTTGATATAAAAAGGACAATATGACATAAGGAACATGCAATTTATAATCTGTGTATTTCCAAACATCCCATCCATCCTATGGGAATATGAAATGGAGTCTCAAAATAAATTACAATAAAATGGCACTTTAAAATAGTGATTCTCCTAACTGAATTTTAGGAGATGAAGTCATTAAATCCAAATAATGCTCGATAAGCCTTTAAGTTAATTCCATCATAAGCCAAAAGATTAAATTATTAAAGCTAAATTAGCTATAAACTTAATAATAAAATTAATATCAATTTATAAACAAGGAACCACACAAACAAGGTTTACCACCTCAAATATCCTTAAATCCATGAAAGACAATCAGTTCTTCGTTTATTATTATCAAAAAAACTCTACAAGATTTAAAATTTGTTTTAAACAAGTATTTACATTCTCATTCATTTATTTTTAATGAATTGCAATTCAAACCAGAAAAATTAATTAATTTTCTCAAGCCTAAAAACAACAACTAAGAATTTGAAACCTTTTGATTGGAATAACTGAGACTACTTTTGTTTAAAGGGTATTTCTGTAATATCAGAAGGCCAATCGAGTAAATAACACCAGGTAAATAATTTTAAAGAAGAATTATTGTAAATATTTACATATTTTACTAGTATAATCAGATAAAATATATAATTAATATATCTCTCTTCCTCATACTGAATATTTGCCAAAATTTTTCCTTCTCTATATTATAGTGCTAACTGAAATCTAAATGTTTATAAGAATTTTACATTCTATAATTAGGGTATTCCATTTTTGTATTTATTTGAGAATGCCAAATATTTTAAGTTTTTTGGTTCACTATCGAAAGATGACCTGCTACTTTTCTCGCTTCTGCTCTTTGTGTTTGCACAACCCATAAATAATAATATATAACTTAAAAAACGAAAACACTTGATTAATTAAACCAACTAATAAACGTAGACTAATAATAACCTGAACAAATATATTTTTTATAATTTCAAGGTAATATTAAAATGGATTTCATTCCTGAAGAATCGAAAACTAACTGACTAGGATTATTGGGCTGTCTGATTTCTATTAAAATTCCAGGAAGATTGCACTTTCCAAATTCAATTGGAAATAATAAATAAGAAAAAGTTGCTTCATCCTCTACAAATTTCATCTATTTTATCTTGCCCATAATGAAGAATTGCTTTTTATCTTGGTCCTTCAATTGAATGAAATAATTTTATGGTTCTCTAGTCTTTAATTTTACAACAATTTCAAAAGTCTATTATGCGTTGGATGTAGGGGGAGATATTATTTCCACATTCTGCAAATATGATATCACATTGACATTCTCAACATCAACTATAGCTTCATAATTCATCTAATTTCTTGTATATTTGATTTTATATTGTCCAAAATTGGAGTAAGTAGTTTAATCCCTGGTCATAAAAATAACATTCAATTTATTTTTATTATAAAAATCAAGATCAACAGATGGTACAAATTCAGTTTCAATCAAATCAATATTTTATACTTCCAATTAAACTGCGCATTTACTAAAAACACTCAAAGTATTTCGATTTCTATTTTGAGCATTCTAAAACACACTGCTTAATTATTTTATTTTTATAAAGTAAATGAATGGGAAAACAAACTTAATCTTCTTAAAATATTCTTCACCCTATATTTTGAATCCAACAATTCTATCATGAATAATGCTATCTGTTATTTGTAAAGTAAATTATCTGCTATTTATTGTATTATTGTTATTTTCCTTTAACTTTAGAAGGCAATTCTTGTTTAAATTAAAATTCAATAACTCAACCTCCGTTTGATAACTCAATTCCACCTCAATTTCATTTAATTCGTTGATATAGGCAAAGTCCTATTTAAATGTAATGATAGGAGGATCTCTTTTATAAGTGGATAGCAACCCAACTTTATATTTGTTCGAGTAAAGTTCTACATCTTTGGCAATAATTTTAATTGATAATTTATCCCTATTTATAGCAACAATTAAATTACAAATATTTTCCAAAAAGTTGAATTTGAACTGGTTTTTCTATATTTTTATCTGTTTTTATAATTGTATGATTTGTTGCAATAAATTCTATTTGTTGGTTCTTACTGATAATTAATCCGGTCTCAATCATGTCTAAAATGTGTTGAGTTATATTCATATCTATTTTTAACTGAATACTTTGTTCATCTGATTCAAGTTTAGAAATAGAAATGAATGTGTTAGCAGGAACAACAATATCTAAATTTTCACTTAATTGCTATGCCAACTTCTTGATGTCCTAAATTTTATCCTGCTCATATATTAAAATATCGCTGTAGATTTGTATTTATTTTGTCAATTGTGCTGATTAAGCTTCTAAATATAGGATATTTTTGTATTCGTCAATTAATCCATAAGAAATTAATTGATCAGCAATTTAGGATTTCAATTCAAAGTTTTAAGTGATTAATATTTACAAGTATTTAAAATAAACATTAGCATAATTGTTTTGATTCTAACTATTTTCATTATACTGTTTCCAAAAATCAAAAATGAATTACACATTAGGGGCTAAGTTAATTTCATTTCTTCTATAATTGATTACGTGCTTAAAATAGAATAGCTTTTAATCTGATTTTATATCAATAGGCTACTCATTCTCTTTTTCTCGAATTTAATAATTTGGTCTTCCTAAATATTCAGGTTCTTATTTCGAAATTAAAAAGCCAAATTATTGAATCGATTAATCGGGGAACATATCATTAAGTTGTATCAATTTGATGTAACTCAGCAAAGTCGCCTATAATTATTTGATACATATGTACTTGGAAATAGTTATACACAATAGTATAATTGGTTACCATTAATTTAGATTCAATAAATTTAATAATAGCCACAAAGATTTTGACTCTCCATAAATATTCTTGTATTTCAAACAATTTGTGGAATATTAAATTTTTAAAGGTTTTGAAGTGAACCTCAAAGTGTTAAATTACATCTTGAATTTCTAAATTTCTGAATAATTTGAATCTTAATTGATCAGCAATCTATAATTTTGAAACATTATAATACTTCTCTATATTCTTCTGCTTGTTAAATCAATTCATAGGAAGTGTAAAATGAATTATCATCTGTAAAGTTTAAGTAATCCTTCCTTTTTGTTGCCAATTAAGTCACAATTTCATAAGATGTTTACATATGCTTATTTGCCTTTTTTGCATTGTTTTCAATTTCACTAATTAGAGTTTTCTTGATTTCAAAAATTAACTTCTAGTCACTCAATTCTGACTTTTACAATTTGCTGGTTTCAGACTTATACTTATTAAATAGTTCTTAATAGAAAGTGTTTGAGTCATCCACAATCGTTTTCTTGATTCTAAATTAAAATTTAGTGGCTTTAAGTTTACCTTTTCAATTGTTGACCAATGTTTTCAAATTCGACTGCAAAGACCTTTCTTAAATCAATTTCCTTCTTTAGGTAATTAAAATCAAATCCACCTACATTTTTACCTGTAAGTACTATAGTGATTTTAGGTTAGAAGGATTTAGCTAAAGAAATGGTTTACTTTAGGATATTGTAATTGTCTAATAGTTTATCCAATTTCTCAGCTATAATAATTCAAATCTATACGTTCAGAGATGTCATATATCCATATAACAACAGAGGGAAACTAAAATAATAATAATGTAAAAATACAGTTTTTAATTTGTGAAGCCACGACAATTTAAAAATTCCCCCACCTTGATGAGATTTCTTTTTATAATCCAATTCAAGCAAAATAATGAATCTAAATAGATTTTAATTCCTTACTATTGCATACCACCTTCAAAATTAGTTAATTGACTTTTTAATTTATCCTTGTAATCCCCTAGAATGCAAATGATTGATTTGTTGGTGGTTATTAAATCCATAAAATATTCAATATATTATTTATATCAATATAATTAATTTATATGTAAAAATCAACCAAATTCAATATATAATGAACTTTCATTTTTTTATAAATTTATGTGTTAATTGATCTCAAATCTCTCGTTTTTGTTAGAATTTAAAGTAAATGAATATTTCTGAATAATTCTTGAGATCCAATAACTTAATACTCTTCCTATGATAATTTTCATAATATGCAAACTCAGAAAATTATTAAATATATATTTATAATTTCTTTAATGGATAAACTTTTAAAAGTGTAATGAGTTTCTTAATTAGAAACAATATTAAGAATTCAAATAAGTAGTATAGTAATACATTAATGTGCGGTTTTCATGAACTACTGCTACTGTCAAAAATAAAAGTAGTAATAGTTTAATTATAAATCCTGATAAAGATAAAAACACATTATTCTTTTAATTTTATAATAGGAATTTTACAATTACATTTTTCCGACTAAGTTCTATTAATAGTAAGTTTATAATCTACAATAACCATTGAAATAACTATAGTAATAGATATTTAGAGGTAATCTTTAATTTAAGTTTATGATTATTAATCAAATATATAAAATATACACTGCTTGCAAATAAAGAAGAATTTACAAGCAAATAAATTTTAATTAATAAATAGTCTTTTAATAAAAAATTGGAATTTCTAAAAGGATGGATTAATTTTAAATTGCTGAAAACTCATCTTAAGTTTATAGTTACTACATGACTAGAGAATCATTATTAAACAGTAGATAAGAATACTTCAAGTCTATTCTATAGCGGTTATAATTTAATAATGAAGACTAAAATCAATTAAAAATCATAATGGTCCAAACAAACCAAAAATTGGAGTTACCAAACAGTTTGGATCTCTCATTTGCTACATCCATCCCAGATAAAATAGATGACTAGATATAATACTTAATTATTAATGAAACAATTGAGACTGATTCCTAAAACGTTGAGGAATTGCAATACTAATGCATTCCTGGGTGTAATTTGGTACATTCCTTCCTGTGGAAAGAGAATATGGATAGAGTTGATTAAATATACGAATATTTACTCAAATACATACAAGAAGAACAGGATGTATTGATTTACTGTAAAAATGTTAATGAAATATAATTAATGGCAAAAGCATTATCCTAATTGGGTGAGATTTAGGTTAGATTGTCACCAGAATTTAATGAGGTGTATTAAAAACTCGATTAAAGAAAGAGTATATAAGCAAATCATATTATTTACTTGCTTATTGATCCCTAATATTTGGAATCTGAATGTATTACTCTAATTATTCACACTCAATACAAAGAAGTCATAAAACCCTTCATAAAGAGTAGTGTCCTATATAGTGATCAATTACTGTCTAGATAAGAGCTGATAATTCGAGAAATTCCAAAATCTAATTCAATGGGGGTCTAGATAATATACAACTTTCCCAAAGAAACATATGTAACTCTTCCTCCAAAAGCAGTCAAACTAGATTCTCATCAATTGGATAACCACATTGAATAGTTTGATAAATCCAAAAACAGTGCAATTATTAAAGGAGCTTTGAATACCACAGGCATGCTTTTATAATATTAAAAACAATCCAATTTAACAATCAGAATCAGTCAGCTTTGGTCAAATAAGGGTGATGCTTATTCATGGATCGAAATAATTGAATAGCTCGGAATCTTTATTAATTCAATCCTGCTAAATGCAGATTTTGATAAAAATTAAAGCATTTTTGAATTAACTTAATTAGAAAAATGGTGTGAAGATAATATGGTAAATCTATACAAAGGAATATTAATTTTGCTTTATGTTTAGTAATTCTCTCAAGAATATGTAAAATAAATAAATATTATAGAATTGCCCTTCAATTAATATACTTAATGTCGGTGGTTTAACTGCTCCAATTAGAAGGTCGTCCAGTATGTAAATAGTTCAAGAAGATAAACCATTAGTTGATGAACAATTAAAACTAAATTTCCCTATAGCCGAGTTAAGAGAAGATCAATTCTATCATGTTTAGGAGCATAATTTTAAATTAAACTAGTGTTGCATATAATCTTAAAAAGGAAGACTCTAATAGCACATTCATATTTTGGCTTTGAAAGAGAACTCAATTATCTATCTCCATAATAAGAATAGAAAAACGTCTGTAGTTCAAAAAGAACTAATCATCAGTAATGTTGGCAATGCAATTCTGGAGGAACTATGGAAAAATCAAGGCATTGAGATAGCTGAATTAGAAAATAAATATAATTGTTCAATTGAACCAAATGTCTACTTAAATTTGATATCCGTTTATTCTGACGATGCAGTTGACATGAGTGAATTATATGCTAGAATTGAAAAAATTAAAGAGAATCTTAAAACATAAATTTTGGAAATCAAACATGTTAGTGGAAAAAAATTAATTTTCTAGAGTGGAGCTCTGATTAGTGAATGGATAAGAGAACATGAATCTAAAGAGTTTAAACTAGTGGGACTACCGCCCAAGGTAACAGAGGATGAGATCAAAGAATTATTTGAAGACTTTACTGTTATAACTCATCTTAAATTAAACTATTTAGAAAATGAGACCTAAGCTCAAATTGTTATTGAAGATAAAGATGATATGCCTTACATTATTTAAGGATATGATTAATCAGAGTACTAAGATAGAATTATTAATGTTATCACAGAATAGAAAACTTTAAAATAACAAAATGTTAATCAATCAAAATATATCTTGAATGTCATATGGTATTCCAAATTATGCACAGGTGTATGTGTTGTAATATTTAATGAAGCTGAACAAGCATTAAAATGTGTAAATCAATTTAATAATCAGCTATTGGATGGAAAAGAGATTAAAATCAGTTAAGTAGATGATGTTACTTTAAAATTCTAAAATTTAAGTTCTTTCACAACTGAAATCGATATTTTAATGTTATGTGGAGGGAAAAAGAACATCAAATACCTTGATTTGCAATCAAAGACCCTTTAAGAAAGTAAGGAAGATTATTCACAGAGAATAATACATTTAATCAATAGGAATATTGAAAGAAATGAAAAAAAGGATGTTGATTTCAATCATACTCACTTGATAAGAAAACCAGGAGGTAAAAGAATAGCTAAAATATCAATTTCAAGTGTTCCTACTATGCAAAAATTATTAGAGATTTTAAACGGAGAAAAAATATAATTCGGAACAAATCTGGTTAAAGTTCATTGTCAAGGATAATATTATTAATATCATTAAATTCCTAATCAACTCAAACCCCATATTTAAAAAATTCTGAAGGAACATGAAAAGTTTAATTTTAAAGTTAATTTTGAATAAGGAAATCAATCCAAACAAATAGTACAACAAGTTACTATTCGTTCTTAGAATATATTAGTACATTAATAATTAGATCAAATTTTGACTAATTTCTTGTAGGGCTACAAAGTGGAAATAAATAATAATGGGGATTTTCTGTTTACAACTTTTGGGTAAAATAAATTAAAAGACTTTGAGATGTTGGATGGAAGCATACATTTTATGGTTGATCAATACAAAAAAGTGATTCGTGTTTGTTGTTCTTAAGAAAAATTAAATGAGATTACTGAATATGTTAATCAGATTACATAGGCAGTGGTTTCTCATAAATTAGCAATACCTCCAGGAGCATTAAAAGAATTAGTAGGATTAAAAGGTTAAGGTCTAGATAGTCTTAAGAAGTAATTCAATTTGACCTAAATTAAATACAAATAACAGAGTAAAGAATTGTTTTTAGAGGGATCTGGCTAAAATATTTAAGATGCTGTTGCTTGCATAGAGTCTGCTGTTTCTTAAATAAACTTAGAAGGAGAAGCAGATATAAATGAAGTCAAATAGGCAGAATGCCCAATCTGTTTTGATAATATTAAACACAGTTATTTATTATAAGGTTGTGGCCATAAATGTTGTTTAGAATGCATTTCATTGCATTGCAGTAGCGTTTTACAAGATGTAAAGTTATTTCCTGTGAGATGTCCAGTATGCAATGAAAAGATGATTTTAAATGATATATTGTAAATAATTGGGAAGGAAAATAAGGACAGCTTGATAAATTTGGCACTTAATAAGTTTGTTTAGGATAATAATTAGAATGTGACATTTTGTTATACTCCTGGATGCAATAATTTTGAACAAATCTAATAGTAAGATAAAGCAATATATTGTTAAATGTGTTTAAAATAATATTGTTGTTTATGCAAAGTAAGTATTTAATCTAAGTTAGGCTTTAAGACATCCTGGATTGACATGTGAGGAAAATAAGATTGGTGATATATTGTTACTATAAAAATTAATGAAAGAGTAAGACATTAGAAAATGCCCAAGTTGTTAAGCATTAATTCAGAGAATTGATGGATGTTATAGAGTGACTTGTTCTGTATGTAAACAGAGTATTTGTTGGAAAAATAACAATAAAGGAGTTCCTTGTATGCAGGTGTTTAAGACATCTTCAGAATGCTATGAGCATTTATCCAAAGAACACGGTGGTTATTGGTGATTTCATTAGATATTATATTAAATTTTGAATTCCTTTTATATTAAGAATTATACTATATAATTTCAAATTCTCTTTTATATTCTTCATCTATAGTTGAAAATCAATAAAGAGCATTAAATTTACTAACCAACCCAATAGTTGATTTTCAATGCATCAATAATACTAAATCAAGATTAGCAATCCTGATTTAGTTCTATAATATGATTTATTTAAAATTATGGCGAATGGCATTATATTATTAATGAATGATCATCTTATTAAGAATGGGAAACTGAAAAAGCAATTAAAGATAATCTAATTTAGAGAAAATAGTTGATTAATTACTTTACTTATTATTTATTATAATAAATGTTTTGCTGTGGAAGGAATGGGAATTAGCAGGCTTAGAGGAATAGAATGACAAGATTCCGTTTTTCAGCCGAAGAGGTTCAAGAATTGCATCGAAGGTAATATGCATACTTAAACAAAGATTTTAAAGAATGACTAATGGATCTAATTTTTTAACAAAAAATCAATTTAGAGACAACATGGGACTACTTGGTCTTGAAACAGTTCAAGTGTTGAGTGATTGTTTATTTTAAATTATTGATGAAGATCAGGATGGTAAAATTTAGTTTAATGAATTTCTTGCTTATTTCGATAAAATCACATATGGTTCTCAGGATGAAAAGGCTGAGATATCATACAAATTAATCGATTAAAATAGAAAAGGATATTTCACATTAAGAGATTTCTAATAGACAATGCAAGCTTTGATTGATTCTTGGGTCGTTATGACGGGAACTGCGATAACAAATGAGATAAGAGATCACTTAGAAAAAAGAGTTGCCTACATATTCACCTAAATGGACAAGAATAATGATGAGAAAGTCTCATTTAATGAATACAAAGGAATTTTGGCTAGCGATCCATCCCTACTCGACATATTCGAATTCTTAAGGAAAGGGATAACTATATCTATTAAAGAAGCAACATTAAAATAAGATTAGATAGTTCTGAGTGAGTTTTATTTAATCAAGGATTAAGCAGTAGACTTATTTGAATTGATGATAGGATTGAAGCCAAATAGATATTCGACAACTTTATAAGCAAAGCCAAATTTAATTTCCAGTTTAATGTTTTGTTAGAAGAAAATGTACAATTTAATAATTGATTTTCAAGGAGACAAAATACAACTAGTTAGTTTGGAATCCAGTATTTGATGGGGGAAGAGATCGATGCCTTATCATTGAGGATGTCAAGCACTTTAAATGTGAATAAGAACCGTCAACAAGGAGCAATTTAGACCAGTCAAATTATATGTGCCACTAGTTAGATTGGTCCATTCATACATAGAGGAGATCAGGAAATTCCTATCAAAATAGATTATAATTTGTAATCAAAAGAAAGTGAGGAAACCTTGGATCCAGAATTGACTGATGGATTAGAGAAGATTAATTATATGGCAGAAGACTAAATAAGAGATAATTATAAAGAAGCATTAATTAAGATTCACGAATTAAAATAGCAAACTTAACAATCTTTGGATAGATTAGAAAAAATGTATTAGAAGAAATTGGAAGAATTCAATGTCAAAAAGAAGAAAGATTTAGAAATAGCTGAAAAAAGAAGAGCTACAATAGCTAACATAAATAAAAAGAGAAAAACAGCTTTGTCTGTATAATTTGGACATTAGAATTGGAATCTAGTATTAAATATGATGATTGGAATTTAAATGGCAGTGAAGTCAGTAAATGCCTTAAGTGATTACGAAGTTACATTAAAAGACTTTAAATTAAAGTACTATTTTGAACTCATGCCAAAGAGAACTGGTAATGAAAAGGCAACTTTTAAAGTTTGTAAATTCTTTGATTACGCTCCTTAAGTGTTTAATCACATTAGAAAAATGTTCTTTATAGATAATGACAATTATTTGAGTAGCATAGGGCCTGAAACACTATTATCAAGTATCTTAAAAGGAGATCTAAGTACACTATCTGAATTAACATCTACTGGTAAAAGTGGGAGCTTCTTCTATTATTCTTAAGATGGCATATATACATTGAAAACAATTTCAAAAACAGAGTTCACTTTTATGAGACATATCTTATATAATTATTTCAAACATCTTAAAGATTATAGGCAATCCTTGATAATTAAGTTGTTTGGAATGCATAAAATCATTTTGGATGATAAAAAAATACATTTTATCATTATGAGTAATGTATTCAAAACATCCCACGAAATTAATTTGAGGTATGACATTAAGGGGAGTCTTCACTAAAGGAAAACTCCTAGCAATGCTGATTATACTGTGGCAAGGAAGGATTTAAATTTTTTGGAATCTCATGAAAAAATTAATATTAGGGTTGACAAATAAAGTGAATTACTCACTTAATTATGCAGAGATGCTGATTTTTTTGCCTAAAATAATATTATAGATTATAGTTTACTCTTGGGGATTCATGAAATTAATGTTCTTCAAAATTCTTCCAGGACTGACTTACTCCAAGATTAAGAATCAGAAGACATTTCCATAATACAATCAAAAACTGGCGATAAAATTTATTTCTTTGGAATTATTGATATATTGACAAATTTTAAGTATTAATAGACATTTAATTTATCGTAGCACTAAAAAGAAGATAGAGTACTGTTGTAAAAGATGTTTTCAAGGCCCTGACATTTCTGCGATACCTCCTCATCAATATGCTGAAAGATTTAAGAGATTTATCACGAATATGTTTAGAAATAATGTCTGACTAATTTAATTTCTCATTGATTATCTTAATATTATTAATTGTAACAACAAAAAGTTTAGATATGAATTTATTTCTGTTTATAAATTAATTTGAAATAGGTGTGTAATTCTGTATTAATAAAATTAACAACTTTAAATGTTATTAAGAGGAGGAGGTTGTGGAAGTTCAACACCAAAAGATTAATCTAATGTCATTACACCTAAACTGTTTGAATAGAAGATACCACCAGATTTGGTTAATTAAATAAAACTGCACTCCACTAAAATTGCTTAAAATGCTGTTCTAGTTTTGGATTAGCAATCAAATTTAATGAATAGTTTTTCTTTTTTTTAATTGAATGCCAGAGCAATATGGTTATTGGTGAAAAATTAAAAATACACAAAATAAGTTATAGATTTAGTTTTAGAGAGTTTAGAGTAACTTTTTCCGGCTTTCAAGAGTTTTCTCTAATCTAATCTATTATTTGCACTATACACTTCATAAATTGTAACCTAGTTGACTTGGGTAATGTTTACATTCTTTTCAACAAATAAAGACAGGTTTTTGGAGTTATCTAAACAATAATAATATTTAAATGAAATGGATCAAATAAGTGAGAGATTGGAAATAGAGAGTGACTCTTCCCGTTACTAAAATCACATTGAATATGAAATATTCGTAATTTAAGCGATTATTTTTATTACGCCGACAAATTCAACTGAAGGTAAAGAAATTCTTGTTAAATTTTTGGGAGGTGCATTCAAAGCCATTGCAACATTTTCATTAAATGATGATTTGATAGATAGTTTAAAAGATGGTGTAGCATATCTATATCAACAAGGGATTAAATATTGTCGATTGAAAAAGTTGGAATTGATTTATTCTTTACTGACTTTAAAGTACGATTCTATGGATTAGATGGAAAGAAAAGGAGAAACTAAATAGGTTGTTGAATAGTTAGGAAAGATTTATAGTGAAATTATCAGAGAATCTAATGATTGGGAAATATGGTTTACATGGATATAAATCCTATCTTAATTGTATTGTTTCAAACCTATATTGGAGAACATGTAAATTGATTAGCAACTCTATGAACAAATTACATTCAAAGAATACTCTATCCCCATTATAAACAATAAACATGTCCTTGCAATAAAAAATCAACATATACAGAGTGATTAGACTACTAAAAAGTTATTTGACAATTCTTTAATATTGCAAGGACAAGCTCTTTTATAAAATATGATTTTGTAAGGCCAAGGTTTATTGCATAATATGGAGTAACAATACTTTGCCAGATTATAAATTCAAAGAGATTCCTAATAGGAGTAAGAAAATCTTATGCCTATCTCTTCAGCCAAAATCTCATCTATCCTCAATGTAGCCAAGCAAGCATAGGAGGAACTAGTAGAATTTTATTAACTAATAAATTAAGATGATTTAACTGATGAATCGAAGTTAAAATAGGCTGAAAAAATATTGAAGAATCAATAAAGAGCTTTGTTGACTTTATTATCAGAAATAGAAAATGTACAGCGTTTACAAAAACTAGTGCAAGTACTCATTTAGAATTCAGAAAATGGCAATGATATTATAGAAGAATACTACTAAATTTAATAATTAAACATCTAATAATATTTAAATGGCCTTATTAAAAGTTAAAACAATAAATTTTAGGAGACATTTTAAAAAGATCATTTTGTAGTAGTTATTGATAACTTGTTCTTAAAGTCTTCCAATTCATAAGACTTTCAAGTATAATTACAAGGATTTAAATAAAAATAAGATGATTAAAGTGTAGTGAGAAGTCTTATAGAAGCAATAAAAAAATTGCAATATGATTCGAGCAAATCTAGAATATTGAGTTTGGACTCTTTAATAGGATTGAATAGTGCAATATCATTAATGTTATAAGAGAAAGTAGCTTTAAACTGGAATCTTGAATTGAATTTGGTTTTATAAGCAAGGATAAAAACAATAAGTAATGAAAAAAAATAAGAAGGGAATTCTTAAACTTATTAACAAATAGTATAAAATGGTAATTAAATGATCCCATTTGAATCTCTCTATTAGTCAATAAAATTCTTATATACACAATACACCTAGTGCGAAAGCAATTAGAAATTTAAAACCGCAGAACTTTAGTTAACTAATAACCTTGAAAAACTATTAAAGACTCTATTGATTGAAAATTTTGGATCCATTAATCATATTAGTTAGCTTTTGATGAAGAATTTATTCAAGGAAATCAAAAGGCCAGAGGATGTTAATTTCGATATAGAAATTCTGAAAATGATAGAAACTAGAGTTCAAGATACTATAAATTATGTCAATTAAATATAAAGTTCAATCAAAATGATCTCAGACTTTCTAATGTATGAAAAAGAATCGAATGCTGATAATAGAACTGATGTTTAGATATTAATAGATTAAAAACCGTTAGCAGAAATATAGAAGATATTTCAATAAAATCAAATAAATAATTTCTAATTGTCAGTGTGCGTTTAAAAATTGAATTCCTATTTTGACTCTTTTTTTATAGTGTTCTTAAATTTTGAAAATGCTTTGAAGGAGAATGATAAATAGTTCTATCATTAAGTACTAGAGAAGAAGCAATTCCTTGAATCGTTGTTATTCTTTTTTTAGTCCTTAGTATCATTGAATATTCTGAATAAGAATGATTAAGAAGTGGCTAGCAGGCTTAAAGTGGATATAGATAAGAAATTCTAATAGTTACTTGATTTGGAAATAGTAAAGCCCGCAAGCTTTAATATTGATACTAATAATAAATTAACAGATGATTTCTAATTTTATTAGGACATTTTTAGTTAATTAGATGATATAAGATAAAATTAAGAAGTTTCTTTAAATAAAGTTAAGTAATTTATAACCACTTGCAAAGAAATCTTATTGCAAGTTGAGAATCTAAAGACTGTGGAGAAACTAAGTTAACAATTGCCAGAATATGAGACTATGTTGTTGGAAACCAAAAAGTTCATCGATTAACTTATGGCAATGCTGGATATTAATTCTTTAAATTTAAAAGTAGAATATGGGACAATTCAAAATCTATTAGAAAAAAGTTAGAATTATCAGTATCAAAGGGATCTATAATCATAAATCATATTTATCTTGAGTTAAATTGATACTGAAGAAGTGGAGTCTAATTTTTTGGAGGAGTAAATAGATATTATCAAAGAACAACTTATGGATATATTGAGTTAGAATAAATGGAGGATCAGACAAGTCATAATATTCGAATTATAATAAATGAGAACTTTCAGTTTGTCACAATAAGCAATAAACTTTAGTTCAGGCTTGCTAGTGAAATTCTAGGTTTTTGAGACTGATAAGAGAATCAAAGTGTTGTTTGAGAGTTAAAAGGGGGATGGTTCTATTTTGATCAGTAAGTTTTGGCCAAGTTAAGAGTAATAGATTTAGAATAAAATAAAAGAGAAACTAAAGGAATTAAATAATGTAGCGTAACAATTAGCCATTGAAGACGAGCCTATCAAAAAGAACTAAATGAAAAAGGAGTATGCCAGATTGGAAAAGGAAGTTTAAGGTATTTTGGAGAATGTTTAGAACATTGGAAACTCATTAGGAATAACAGTGCTGTTTATGCAAGACCTTAAATAGGATTTATTGAGGATAGAGAGCTAAATACAATAATTGTAAGAATTGATGGAGAATATCAACTAAGATATTAAGTATCTGAAGGGACGGTCAGTGAAGGAACTTTTAGAAATGAGAATGCAGCGAGTCTTGTAATAAAGATTAATTCATAATTCTGATAATGTTTACATTTAGATCTAAACTAAAGAAAAGAATTTAGAGGAGGGCGTTGAAGATTCAGAATCAATTTTATTTACAGAAGATCTGTTTGGGAATGGGGAGATAAATGAATTTATATGGAAATAATAAAAAGATTCCTTATTGATACATGGATAAGCCGGATCAGGTAAAAGTACTGCTGCTAGAAAAATTGAGGAATTCCTTTGGGTTACTTATTAGAAAAATAAAAATTAACAAGATTATGTTCCGCTTATACCTATATTTGTTTCTTTGCCTTAGTTGAAAGATCCAATTTATTGTGCTATTGAAGAGACTTTGAGGTCGGATAATTATAGGTTCAGTGAGAGATAGGTTGAAGAATTAAAGGAAGCAGTAGAGACAAAACAATATAGATTAATAATAATTCTAGATAGTTATGATGAATTAAAATAATAATATATTGGATTAAATCTAAATGCTTCCAATAAAGTAAGTAAATGGAGATGCACTTCAGACAAAAACAAATATCCCAAAGTGATAACGACATCAAGATCTGAAATATTCACTGTAAATGGTTATTGTACTTGGTTCTTTTCTGAATCAAATTAGATCAAATTTTACAAGGAAGTGAGACTATTGAAATTCACTGAGGGTCAGATCCAATAGTACATAGATGAGTATACTCAATTGTGTGTGAAGAGAGTCATCAAAGACTTCTATTTTGGGGCATATTAAGAATAGAATTATCAAGAATTCGAAAATTTCTACAATGAATTGGTAAAATAAGTCGGTATAGTGAATTTTCGATAAAATAAACAATAGATGTTGAGTAATGAAATGATAAGTGCTCTTTTGCAAAAGTGCAAGTAGTTTGTGCCAAATGAGCATCTAAAAACCGTTCAATAGATGTTGACTGAAATATGGTCAAGTTGGCATTATCAAAACTTTATTAAATTGATGAAGTTATAATCTCTAATGGAAACTCCCTTTATGGTGGAGATAGTTATGGCCGTATTACCTTATATAGTAAAGTAAAGATAGGAAATAAATAATATAAAGGACAATTTTATTAGGAAATACATATATTTGAGCAAGAAAGGGGATGCAATTTAGAAATAAGCCTTGGATGAGTGGTAAAGAATTCTAGGTAATCAATAATTCATCACTGAATTTGTTTAAGAATTTTAGATCAGTGAATAGGAGAAGAAAATTCAATAATATTTTGAGCATCACTCAAATATAGACATAATTAAGTAGGCTTTAGTTTAGGAACCCTTATCCACATATGATTTTTACGTTGAGTTTTTTGAACATTATTTTAAACGACAAATTAATAAGTTGAGAGAAGCTGGAGAATAAATAGAGTATGATGCTATGGGTAATGAATTATGGGAATTTGCTCATAAATTAGCAAATAAAATGACATTTAATAATTTGAGTTAGGTTCAATTTCAACCTAGTGGTTTGATATTTAAAAAAAAATAAACTGATTGGAAAGATAAGTTTTTTAATGATGATGAGAAAGAGGGTGTTTACAAAAGATTATTCAGGAAGTGCATTCCTATTAAATAAAAGAGTGGCATCTATTCATTTAATCATAAATCGCTTTAGGAATTCTTAGTAGCAAAATGGTTTATTGAACAAATTACTAGGATGACTCTTGAAGTCTAAGGTAAGTATGCTAATCTCAAGTAGGAAGAAAAAACTGCAATATTAAAATATAATTTCTTTAAATAATCCTGGGATTTGGATTATATGCAAGGGCCAATTAAGTTTATCATTGATAAAATCAAATTTAATGAAGAAATCAAATAGAAATTGATGAATCTAATTAATTGTTCTAAAATGAGTAAGGAACTCGAAATGGGAAGTTCAAATAGTTTATATATTCTCAACTAGATGGGACAATCATTTATAGGATAAGATTTTTCAGAAATTAGAATTAAGGAAATTAGTTTAAATAATGCTAATTTCTTTAATTGCAATTTTACTTCTTCAGTATTTACCTAAGTTAAGTTATCAAGAGTGAATTTAAATCAATCCAAAATTAACGACGTTTTTTGGTAAGAGATTTAAGTAGATGAATTACCAAGAATAGAATCGAAACTAAACTCAATAGATTAAATCACTTACATAAAGAGTAGAGAACTCTTCATTACAATAGATGACTTATCAGTTAAGCAATATAATTTATATAAATTATAGGAAGAAAATCAATTAAAATTTGAATTTAAACCAAAATTAGCAGTATTATCAAACAATGAATAGATTTTAGCACTAATGAATAATAATGAAATATTGCTATTTGACATTATCAGAAATAATCCAATATAAAAATTTATATATGGGGAGTGTTTCTCATGTTATAAATCATGCATTACATTTAGCCCAGATGATAAATCTATAATTTTGGGAGGATCAGATGGGGCTGATCAACTTTAGATAACAATAGAATATTAAGAAATTGAAAACCAATTGAAATAATAGGTTGATAATAAATCAAAGGTAAATGTTAGTGCAACTAATTCAAAAGTAAATCCTAAGCGTTAGAATGCAAAAGGAGATGAGAAGGAAGTTCAATAAAGTTAAATAGGTTAATAAAGTTAAATAGGTTCAAATATATAGAGAAGAGAATCATAAAAGGTGACCATTAAATTGTTACCTGATGTTATTGTTTCTCCTGATTAATTTACTTCTTTGATTGATGAACATGTAGTTAGTGTAAAATGTGCAAAAATTGTAGTTTTTTAGCATTATACTAACACCTTCTCTATCTGCAATCCGACTGATAAAAAAGTTGAGACTCACGAATCAAGATTGTAGAGAATGACTTGCTTAGATATCAATAAGGATAACACATTGATTGCCATAGGAGGTTATTAAGGTGAAATTCATATATTTTAAGTGAATTCAATAGATTCATTTTTTGGTTTAGAAGGTCATAAAGATTATGTATCACAATTATAGTTTTCAAGAGATGGAAAAAAATTGGTTACTTGTTCTTGGGATAGAACTATAAGATTGTGGAATACACAATAGTAATCATAGATCAGCCAAACTTCATTTTATTTGAAGCCAAAAGTTCTCTCTTTAAGTTAAATAAGTGATACATCATTAGCATTGACAGGATTTTCTGATGGTTTAATTTAAATGTGGGACTTGGAAAGTTCTGATTCTAAATTGGATTAAGAAAAGGGACATAGTTTGAAAATAACCTGTGCCATATTTTCACCAGATGGCAAATTCATCATCTCTGGATCGTTTGACAAAACAATCAAAGTTTGGAATATTTAGACTGGCCAATAAGATCAAAATCTAGTTAAACATACATAGGCCATTACTGCTTTATCTATATCGAACGATTCACAATTATTATGTTCAGGTAGCTTAGATGGATACATATACCTTTGGGATTTCTAAAAATTCAAGTTCTTATAGGAGATTAAACATTATGGATCTGAAATTCTAGACATAAAAATTATTCTGTTTAATAATGAATATAGAATCTTGAGTCAAACTAATGAAGAGACTGCTCAATTATGGTTTAATAATGATTACCAAGAGTATTATTTACTTTATGATTACGATGAATAATAGAAGGAGAAAAGAAAGATGCTTGGATATGAATGTAAGGAAATACTGAATCTGTCTAAGGGTCTATAAGTGGATGTGGGAAGGAGTTACAATATACTATATTATTTTTTGAGAGATTAGAAGATAAGTGCATTAGAATCTAGTTTTGATAACTAGAACAAGTTGATTGGAACTGACAAGGGAATCCTCTTGATTATTCAATGGAATGGGTAATCTTAGTAGAGGATTGTTTCTTAGAATAAACCATTAGAAATCATCAAAACTATTAATCACAAATATTTTCTCACCATCACTGAGTAGAAAATACAGATATGGAAATTTTCGGATTACCTAATCAGAGATACAGTAATAAGTGGGGATTGGAAAATCGTTGATCTTTTTGTTTGCAATGATAATATCTATTGTGGAGGTAACATCATTGAGATTTGGAATGTCCATCAGAAGACTAAATTGATAAAGAAAATTACTCCGACTGATTCCTTATCAGCTATTGGATACGATCAGAATAAAAATATTGTATATGCTGGACTAAATAATGGGTCAGTAATAATTTTCGATGTTTCCTACAATAATCAATCGGTATTCAGTGCTCATGATGGATAAGTCAAAAAGATTCAGTGGTTGAATTCTAAGAATATGTTATTTACTGGAGGGGATGATTGGAAACTTAAATTATGGGATTCATAGAACAATCTATTGAAAGAAGTGTCTGTTGACAATCCTATCTAATCGTTTTTTGTGTCCCTAGATGAGACTTATTATATTTTATAGTAACTTAATTCAGTGTCTTTATGGGACTTAGATAATTTAGAACGTGTAGAATACATGGTTAATATTTAGAAAACTTCCAAGGTTTTAGCAGTTTTTCCAAATTAGTAGGTGTTTTGGACAGAAGATACTCAGGTATCAGTGTTGCCCATCATGAATAAAAAGATTAAATTTTCATTACTATAGTCCAACAGATCCCATTTTTCTTCGACCATTGCAACAACTGATAAAATGATATTGACAGCTGACCACAAAGGAAGTATATTCTTTTGGAATTTTGATGGAGAGAAGATTAAGTAACCCATAGTTTTGGACAAAAATGAATTGAGATCTATGGCTATATCTCAGGATTATACTAAAGTCATTCTAGGATTCAAGAATTTACTGAACATAGTCAACTTAAACACAAATGAAGTCATCTACACCAAAGACATCCCTGATACTTGTTTACTGACAGCACGTTTTCTGAGCAGTACAGAAATGATCGCAGCATCAGAATCAGAGAATTTCCAAACTCTAATATTCAGCATCGCCAATGCAAACCAAAATCCTGTTATAATCAATGAACATGTTGGGCCCTCCTTTGGAGTGTAGGTTTACATTTAAGGACAGACGACTACTTATTTAACATATGGTAATGATAAATCAATTAGATACTATGTTAAATGTGACAAGGAATACTCCTGTAAATATGCTTTTTCATCTACTTAGAGATTTGAATGCCAAGGAGCAGTCATATAGAATAGTGAAATTTCATCCAAGTCGAGAATTGATCTGAAGGAATTGTTCAAACAAAAGAAGGCAACCTTCGTTGATAAGAAATGATACATATTATCCATACATCCTTTAAGGTTATATGATATAATTTATATGATACATTTTTTAAATTGATTATTATCTAAAAAACCTTGGTATTTTTAATCTTACAATTAATATCAAGATTATGTAACCGTTGGAGCACAAGTTTACAATCGTTGCAAACTAATTAATTAAGATTTATTTGATTTTTGGTTTATAAAATTTGGCTGTATATGATTTTTTAAATTGGCCAAAAATGGCTTAGTTTAATTAGAATTTTAATTGTAAATGAGTTCAAGGTACCATAAACAGGATTAGAAATTTGACAAGGAGTTCTTGGCCATTGTGGATGCATTTGGAGGCAAGAATTGCACAAGTTGGACTTAAGTAGCAAGGAAATTTGAATTGCAAACAGGTGAAAAAGTATAGAAAGCCAATACACTTCGATATCGTTGGGAATAATTAACAGGATATTCAGAGAATTTTACAAAAGAATAACAAATCTAATTAATAGAAAGTGATATCAAATCCAGAGGTGTCAAAAGATAAGGCCTAAACGATTTCTATTAATTAACAGGAATTAAGTAATTAAATTAAATTGATTTTTAGATTATACAAGGGAAGATTTTGTAGAATATCCTCACAACATATAAAACAGGCAATCCAATCAATCGATGAGGTATTTGCAAAGGAAAGGAAACACAGGAGATGTGGAAAAAAGGATGCAGAATTCAGATTAAAATTATCACATTTGAGCATATATATATTACTCAGAGCAAAAGACACTTTGAATTCAGAGGGATTCAAACAGAAGAATAAAGGATTGGATCCATTCGAACAATATCTTTGTTAATAATTAATAGAAGCATCAGAGATATGTGAAAGACTATACTTAATGCATGCCCGAGTGTTTTAAGCAGACAGAGTGGACAGATATCAATCATACATGAAAGTAATCAACAGAAACTAATACAGGAAATTGATGTTTTATGTAGAATACTTGGATATCCTCAGGAAAATCAGTGTGGAACAATGTACTAATGATACTATGGTATCTCATCCTTTGGTGCTCAGAAATATTAAAAAGAACAAGGAAACATTAGTATATAAGAATCTAATCTTGGAGAATGACTGGAGCTAAAAGTATTAATGGTTCAATGAATGTACATTGACACAAATCTAAGAAGAAGAGTTTTCCTTATTGCTTAAATCAAGTACTAGAAAATCAAAACCAAAGAGTTCATAGTGTAGTGTTGATCCTTCAGAAGTAGATGATAAAAGATAAAGTAAAAGAATCGAACTCAACAATTTACAATTTGATTTCATCCCTAAGCATTGCTAAAAGGTTTATGCCAAAATCAATTCTGGCAAAGCTAATAACAAGAATGAAAAAGAATACAGAAAATTCAGAGGTCATTTTATCAAACCTGGAGATACTAGAACAGATACCAGATACACCAAGATTTTCACCTGTGATGATGATTCTGAATATGATGCTGATCAAAATGAGCAAGAGGCTTAGATACAAGCCTCTTCTAGGTAAGAAAAAGTTATAAATATTGTACAATGAAGCCTTCATATCAGTACCTAATAAGAAGAAATAAAATTAGATTCCCCAGGACACACCTCAGAATAATCCTTGATGAATTTTATCAATATAAACAAATTAAAAATAATATAATCAAAATTCATTTATTTTTTCTACTATTTAGAATTTCTTCTCTAATCTTTATTATTCTTTCTTGGGTACTCAATCTTTCCTTCTGTTTACTCTTGCTCTTACCATTTTCTCTATTGATTTCAATCTTATCTATCATGCTCTAAGCATCTCTAGATATACCTATAAATAAGACCTGTCTAGATTACTTCTATATAGAAATTGATTATCCTTCAAACATTGCTCTATTCTTTCATTCACTTATTCCAACTCATTTAGTTTTAATATGATTCTGTATATTTCTTTTTCATTTTGATTCTAAATTGAATTGTAATGAGTCTAATTGTTAATTATTCATTTTCACCTTTGCATTCTTTCTTGCTCTTTTGGTTTCTTCCTTCTTGTTTTACAAATAAATCTCTTAGAATTTATTTCCAATAATGGCTACAGGAAGTGAAAGTAATAATACTCCAAAAATTAGACTCAAGACTCCAATGAATTTTCCAAGTAAGGATTTAGGAACGTAGTCTCCGTATCCAACAGTTGTTATTGTTATGATTGCCCACCAGATTGCTTAAGGGATATTTTAAATTTGACTATCATCCACAAACTCTTTTTCTGCGAAGTACATAAAACTAGATATCAATATCACACCTCAGTAGTTTGAATAAATCAATACATATCATTGTGAAAAATAGGAGTAATGAGAGTGCTTGCATGCTTTCTGATAATCCTCTTATTAATATCTATTCTACTTATCAATCACATACCTTGACTCCCAAGGAGAAAGTTGAAAACTTAAATATTCTGATCAGACGAAGAACAATGAGCATTCTCAATACCTTTATTCTAGGATCAACCCACACATCAACAATATACAAGATTTGTTCAATTATAGAATATACCAATGCAAGTATATCCACTAAATTAAAAGGTTCTTAATTAGTTACTAATTTACTCTTAAAAAATTCAGCCAAAGTTTCATCAAAAGCATTAGAAGAGGCGACTCTAAAAACATATTCCACTAAAAAGTAACCACTCACTCCTGAATTAGCAGTTACCCAAATGTCCATTATTCCTAATTCCTTTTCAGTCTCTAAAATTAGTAAAATAATATCAAGTGAGATTATGAAGATCGATAAAATTGATAAGAAAAACGCCTACATTATTCATTCTCTTACTAGCTTATTGCATTCGTAATCATTCAAAATTAAGTAAATTTTTTATTATATTTACTTCTTTCTCTCCGATGAATACTCCCCAGAAACTGTTTGTCCTATCTAAGCTTATGACTTTGCAGATTTAATAGTTTTATATGATTAATCATCCGAGGGCTAATTCATTATTTTCTATTTTCCTTGAAAATATTATTAATAATTAATAGTTGCAGAATAAGTAAAATATTACATTGTTAAACCAAGAATAATATATTATTTTGTACTTTCGATAGCATAAAAACTCAAAATAGAATAGCCAATTATTTTTGAATTATAAAATATAAAATCATTAAAACAATTAAACACAGAATTCCCTCAATTAATCATCCTAAATAGATATCCATATATATTTATGTTTTTTTTTCTCTTTTTCAAATTCCAAAATAGCATCCTTCAAAGACAATGCAATTCTATTCAGTAAAAAGTTTTGATTTTCCTTCTACTCAAATATTGCTTGTGGTATCGCTAATAATGGAATACAAATAGACTCGACTTTCAATTGTTCATTGCATATTTATAAACTATTATTTTACAAATATGATTACATCTTTTAAAAAAAGTATTGCAATTTCTCAGCTCTTGTTTTCCTCTATTACACAGGACCAATGAATGTTAAAATATATTTGATCTTTTGTTCTTATAGTTTAAAACTCTTTGATAGAACCCACCTATTCCCTTTAGTGATCTATTCTCTGATATCCTATTCGAGAGCATGTCCTGCCTTTTCTATTATTTTCCCACTAGCTCCAAAATATGGGTTATTTTAATTCACTGGATTTACAAGTACCTCTACATCCTGCACATCCGTAATGTATATATTTGTAGCCTTGACATATTCTGAAGATTAGAATGTTTTTTAAAACCCATAGAGTATATCTTCATTATGACAAACTACTATAATTTCCAATTAATAGTCCAGTTTTAATTATTCTTAAACATCAATAAATGCTTTTTTATATTAAAAAGCCCAAACCTTGGGTTCAAAATTATCAAAGAATTAACACAAAATAGGAATAGCCACTTTCTTGTAATTCAATTGGTATGACTTAATAACTCTAAAATGTAATTTGTAAAAATACATATTTTTTATAGACTATATCATTAAATATTCATTGAATTTTTCTGGCTCAATTACAAATAGTAAATTTTTTACTTATTGTTCATTTTATAAGTTATAACTCTTAATGTGATCCACATAACTAACATCAAATCTGATATCTGTCATTTCTTCCTCCTTCTCTTCCTATTATTTCATCACTAAGAATTGACTAAAGTCCAAAATCAATTATTTCTCCTTCACCTTATTAAATAACACTGGCTATTCATCTAATCCACTCGCCTACCTTCTTTTCGCTTTTTCCTTTTCCTTAAGCTTCTTAAGTGCTTTTTCAAGCTTTTCCTATCCACATTTCTTAAATATTTCTCCAGAAACTCCAGGCTCTCTTAATAATAATGGGTTTGTTGGAAGTATTATTGCATCAAGATTTTCATACTCAGTAATATTCCCTTGTTGAATATTAACACTAATATTGCCAATTTTAGAAAGGGAGGTAGATAATTACATGGAAAATAATAATTATTATAATATTAGAAATCTTACATATATAAGTGGATATTAAAATTAATTTGTATACCATATTTCTTTATAAATAATTCAACTATAAATAAATCCTCTTAAATTTCATTTATCAACAAATAAATCAATCCAATTCTGAAAAGAAATTGAAAATGCAAATCAAAAATTCAACCAATGGATTTAACTATTTTAGAAAATTATGATAATAAAATTAGACTTGAGATAAACAATAGAGAAAGTGCTTAACTATTTATTTTAGGATAAGATTTCTGTATGAAAACTTATTTATTATATTTTAAACATCAAATCAAGTTCACTTCTTAGATTTCTTTTGCTTTTCATATGCTTCTCTTAACTTCCTATCATTTCTTTGTAGATTTTCTAGAATCTCTTTATTTTTTTAGGCTAAAGGAATATCACCAGCTTTTAAAGCCTATAAATCTGATCTATTTTTGTGATCGCTTTCTAATGGTTATTTGTCCATTTTAATTTTATGAGGAACAACATATCTGTAGTCCCAGTATCTCACATCATCGAAATTGATGAAACCAATATATGTTCCAAAAACTGTGGAAACCTTCTAACCTTTACAGGTAACATCAGCTTAAAAGAAATCAGATGTTCTTTAATATGAAAGAGACTTTACCTTTTTTTGACTTTGCCAATATCGATAATACATGACAGACCGTTGGCTTTGTCAGTGAAGGTAATTTTGTTGATGGACTCCTACCTTAATTACCCAAAGAATGTGCCACTATACAATTCATTGGGGAAATCAAAGTCAATTTTCTATCCATCATTGAATTCAATTGATCTTCTGCCTTTATTAATAATCTAAAATTAGAACACAGAAATATACAGTAACGGAGTTTAATCCAGCCCTGCCTTCGACTAGATAGTATCCATAATATTTGTATTTTCTATTTGGACCAAAGACCAAGAAATAACTGACAGGAGGGTGATGCATGATTTATTCACAATAAACCTGAGTACCATCATTATAATTGGCTTGAAGGGTTTCTCCTAGGATTGGGTTAAGCTTTGCTAAATGAGTAAAATACAGGTTTTAAAAAGGTATTTGTCCAGAAAAACGAAGACAAGGTGGCTGTGATAACAAGTTTGAATCTCTCTAAGAAATCAGGTGTCATTGTGGCTTTGGTAATATACAAGGGGAAAATGGAGGCTAATTGTTAAATAATGAATGGTACTTCCATGAACTGATGTTTCTAAGGCTGTCTTGGGAATCATGACTCTAATAGGGAAACTCACTTTAGTAAGATTTAAGGATCCTGACAATATTTTCTTCCCAATTTATTTGACCATTTCCTTTCCCACACTTCTTGCTTTGGTTACTACTTTCTTATCGGCACAAATTCTGCCTCCCTTCTCATATCCTTCTGGATGACGAATGTCTTCATCATTAGGAAAGCATTTAAAATTGAGCACCAATTATAGGATGTCATCAGCTGGGATGTCATGGTAGCCAACGTATTCTAATTTATCAGGATCTGCGATGCCTTCATTCTCTTTATCCTATTCTTGAACTTAGGCTATTGGATCAAAGCCTTTAGCCTCCAATTCTTTATCTTCGTTTGTAACCACCTATGTTTCATCCTATAATAATTCATAATATATAAATACATCTACAAAATCACTTTCATCTTTTTCTTCTTGCTAAGCTGAATTCGATTCTGGCTTCTTCTTTTTGAACCAACCAAACATATACTGTATATTTAATATTCAATAAATTTATTATCAATAAATGGTGTTTAATGTCTCAATTCCGAATTCTCTTGCTCCAAATCTTATAAAATTGATAATATGATTCTTATAAATAATTATAGTGATAAATCATCAGAATTGAGTTAGTTGAGATTCATAACATGAATCTAAGGATGCCAATGTTTGCAGTATGTTTCTGATGTATTTCTTGAATGCTTTGTCATCTACAGGGATCTTACTAAAATCTGTTTTCTTAAAAAAGCTGAGCCATTCAAGATTAACATCAATGGGAATTTTCAATAGATTAGCTCTTTCTTCTAAGATTTGCTCTCTTGAATTGATATTTTCTTAAACTCTCCGTAATCGATCATTGAATTCAGTTAATTTCTACTTGTACTCTACTCCAATCTCTTTGCTTATTTGCAGAGCCTCTTAACTAGCCTTCAAGGTACTCTGCGTTGAAGAATTGTATCCTTTCTATTTAAACCCTAAAGACGCAAGAGTTGATTGAAAAGTGCTAGATTACCTGAATTTAGACCTAGGCATCAAATTAGACTCTTATAAGTACAATGCCATCAACTCAACCTTCTTATCTTCTGAATTCTCCTATTTTAGAGAGTTGGCAGAATTTAAAATAATTTCAAACTAATAATTCCCACCACTCTCTAAATTGTCAGTGTCTTCAGACTTCTTGAGTTTAGCAATCTCAAAGGAATTCTAAGATTTAACCTCTGATACTAACCTTGCAATTTTATGTTGAATTCCCAAACATTCGAACTCCACTTCAAAAAACCATTGAGGATATAGTAATCTCAATTCATCTAATTTATCATCAATTTGTTAATAGAAATCTTAATTAACAATTTATTGTTATCCCTCTACAAAAGATTCGATTTTGTTATAACCTAATAGAGTCTTCTCATAACTAAAAAACTTCCTATGACCTATCCAATGAACATTGTATTCATTTATATCAACATCTAAAGCAACTATTACGTATTTCTTTATTAAGTCTCTATCTTCTTCTATTTTTAGATTTCTAAAACTCAATTTTAGTATGTTCTATATTTCTGTTGTTAATGTGATTTAACACCAAAACCGGATCATGTAACCTATTAATTTAAAATGGGGATAGAAATTAGACTAGTCTATTTAAATATTAAATTGCTTATCGTACATCAATTGCATTATGTCACATTGTAGATCATACTAATTTTAAAAAGTGTTCATCAATTTCTAATATTAATGATATAACCTAATGTAGAGTCTGATGTTGTGAGCAAAATCATTTTGTTTGTAATTTTCCAAATACAATTCCTTATAGAATTGACACAAATGAGCAATGTTATAGAACACTACACAACAACTCTCCAAGAATTAATTTTTAGGAAATAGAGAGTGTTACTGTTTAAAGAAATCTACAACACACCATTTCAAACAAATAAGAGAATGAAGGTCGTGTTCCTCTAATGTAGAATTGAGGAAATTGTATTATTCCTATTCTGGAAGTCCTTCAAAATGTTCTCTACTACGTATATACTTTGGTAATGATAATGCCAATTAGAACCATTCTGATGTGAACTAAGATATTGGATCGTTTTGGAGAATAGCCAAAGGTTCAGAGAATTAGTTTGATTCTTTTAATTGATTGATTTTTGAACAATGACTCCTGGTTTCCTACTATCGAATTTAAGGGTATAGGATAAATCCTAGATTCTATTAATGCACCAATTAATTAAAGTGATTCTGACAGAAGGAACATTCCCAAATTGTTTTTCTTATTTCTGTTATCTCCTTTTAATCTTATTAAAACAACCATTAGTCTTAATCTTTTTTGATATTTTGCACAGAAACATTTTGCGATTTGTCACCTTTCTACTTATTTGTCTTAATATATTAATCATTTGTCTCTTCTGGTTCATCCTCAAAACATTAAGCCCAAAGATTTCCCATTAATTAATTAATTCATTGTAGAATAGTATAAATCAAATTTAAAGAATATTCAAAATATCATTTTTAATTTGTACTTTCAGGATTCCCAAGCTTTTACACAACAAAATCCATTTCATAACACCTGTAAAAGTATCTTCTACCTTGACATTACTTAAATCCATTCATTCGGAATTCAATATAAATTATGAACAGAATATCAACTTGATTTTACTTTACCAATTATCTATATATATAATCTAATATTGCAATAAGTTACACATAATAAAAAAATCATTTTTCAGATTTATTAAAACTTATATATTCTTAATATTGCTTTTAAGTAAGCGATGGTTTAACTTTATTAATTGCAAACTCAAAATCTTCTTTCCTAACTGGCCTAATATTTTAAGCAGACATGGCGACTAAAGTAATTTTATCCTCTCTTAATGGCTGCATACAGGCTTCCTTAACCACCGCCTTTATGTCACTCGCAGAATAACCTAATTACTATATATGCGTAGTATTACCAGCCAATTTTTCACATATCTTATCAAAAGCTATATCTAAAATAGAATGACTAACAGCCTGCATAAGTGATTTAACTAGACCCAATCTAGCTTTTTGATCAGGTTGATCAATTAGTATTTTAACAGTCTTTATTATTTAAATTCATTACAAATCTTCTAAGAACAGCCCCATCAATATCTTAAGGTCTATTAGTAGCCGCAATTAAGAAAATTCTATCTTAATCGGTTGTTTGCATCCCATCAAATGAAATCAAGAATTCAGTCTTTAATCTTCGACTCGCTTCATGTTCTTCGCTTGATCTGCTCGATAGAATGGAATCAATTTCATCTATAAATATTACCTAAATAATTCATTTCTATACTGATGGCTAAAACTTAAATGCTACATTAAATAAAGTCTTCATCAATTTTTCTCCTTCTCCAAGATGTTTCTATACCAGAGTTGAAGCACTAACATTGAAAAAACAACATTTTATTTAATTCGCTACAGCTTTGGCTAATAGAGTTTTCCCATTCCCAGGAGGCCCATAGAATAAGATACCTAAAAGGATTCCTTTTAATGTTAACCTTTGGGAGGAGCGCGAATTCCTGTGAAAATGTCAGGTCTTAAATTTGGTAATACAATCACTTCTTCTAATTAATTTTTTATGCTCTCTAAGCCTACAATTGAATCAAAAGTAACATCACATTTCCTTATCATTGCTGTCTCTATTATTTACTTGCTGTATGGATCTTAGGAAGCCTTTTTTTAATAATATTTGATACTATGCTTTGTTGCAGTTGGTCAATTTTCTGTGTACAAATTTCGGCTGTACTTATGGCCTTTATTAATTATTAATATTCAGCTGTATGATCTTCTTCGTTTTACTCTACATTCATAAATTAGATTACTTTTTTATTTTATAATTGGTAATAACACTTGAGAACTATTTATCAAAACAACTTTTGCCATAGAATATTATTGATTCTAGAAGTATTTCATACCCATTTCTATCATTTTAGACGCATTCTGAATTTATTAATTTGGATCTTATTATACATTCTACTTTTCTTTAATTTTAGTTTTGCAGTTCTAAAAAGGTGACCTAGATCTATTAACTTATTATTTATCATTCTTTATTGTTTATTTTATTGAATCTGACATTGCAGAAAGTGAAAATTATATATAAAAATATAATGATAAAATATTAATTAATAAAATCTTGAAAAAATATAATACATTGGTGAACTTGAATTAATTTAGTCTCATTTTATAAGTATATTTATGGTATTGAATCTCATTCTGAATGAGGTTCTTCGAATAAAGAGAAAATAAATAAGCTTTATAAATAATTTAAACTATTCATCTAAAATTACTAGTAAATAAGATAATACTAGATGGCATTAATCAATTTTAGAGTTAAATAATTAATCATTAGAACCGTCAGTCTTGCTAATGAGATATTCTAATAGATGTGAGAGCTTTAATTTTTATTAATAAAATTGTATGTTCTATATAAATTCTCCAAGAAATTTAGATATTTATTTTCAAAAACGATTTTATAAAAATATATTAATCATTTCAAAGACCTATCAAATAGGGACAAAGAATTGTTTTCAAATAAAATCATTTAGTTTGCATTAATATCTATATAGTAATCCTAGGGCGACTTGTATTTTGATAATAATTTGTTATAAGGGAATATCTAATTCAATTCTTCAATTAATAAAGGAATGTAGTTTATATAGTTTTGCTTGGTTTAAGGACATTTAATCTTTGGATTTTTCATTACTGAAGGGACAGCATAGCCTTCCAAAAATTCTTACCAAGCTTCTCTTGCTTGTTTTCTATTTTATTATTAACCCTGGATTATTAACTGTTGGTTAGAAAACATCTTTTTAAGATCTCCTAATTCAAATTTCTTCTACTATGATTCCTTATCTTTTTTGAGTTCTTTCAAGTAATTGACAACTGATTGCAATCTCTTATCAACAGCCCAATGATAGAATTAATTCATAAAAAATGGTACCACTCTTCGTTTCAAGGTGCCTAAATTCGAGGACTGTATTCTCTTTTCATTCAATTGCTGAATGAATTTTAGTGTCAAGTCTAAATTTTTCTTATCTATTATTAATGAGACTTTTTAATCATTATTAGATTCTTAACTTAGATTTATTTCTTGAATCATTAAATGAAAATTAATTTATTTAGATTGCTATTTAAATTTAATTTTAAAATAGAACAAATTTCATCTAAGATATATCAGTTACGAACACTTAATTTTTTTCTTGATTCACAATTAACAAGGGAATTATTCAATTCCCTTGTTAATCATAATATTTTGATCAAAAGAGCCCACTAGAACAAAATTTAAATTATCTATCCATCACCTATATATATTTTGTGTAACTTTACAATATTGAATATAAATTATTTATCTTTTACTACTACCATTTTCATTCTCTTATTAATTAATCAAAACCTTTAGCTATCAGATAATACTATTACATAAGAACATACTAATAATCAATTAACAAAATATATCATGCATGCTAATTAGCTTTTAACATTTTATTTTGTCTAAATCTATCTCAAAAGCTTGTCTTGCTTGTCAGTTCTGCTCTAATTAATACAATTCTTATTTAGAAGTTAAGGACATTAAACTTGCAATCTATCAATTATTATTTTGATATAATGAATTATTAAATAAATTATAATTTTTAGTTTTATATATTGTCAATATTGTAGATAATCTGAAAGTGAGGAATTTTCTTTAAATCGTTCTAAAAGTTAATTTTAATTAGGATATAATTCTTAGGATTTATTAAGGTTGAAAGTAGTTTAATCGAACTAGATAAAGTCTGGATTTTAAGTTTTGCAATATAAGTAGCATAAAATTACATGAGCAAAAGCAATATTAATTTATTAATTTTTATAATCTAAATAATTCTTTATTTATTAAGAGAAGCCTTTATTAAATTATTAGTCTTAATCCCTAAACTATGATATTGAATCTTATAAACTTTCCTCTGAGAATTATGCTAGCTGATCTTTGACATCAAACAAATAATATTAAATTAATTCATTATAGGATTCCATTTCGCGATTTTATTCTTCAAGTAATTTATAGTCATCTTTATATTGCTTTTGATTTTTATATTAATTCATATTCTCCTTAATCAATTTGAGAATACTTTAACATAATTTTTATATTTTAAAACATAGCATATCCATAAAATGAGGATTACAAAGAATTTAAATAACCTCTTGCAATGTATTAGAAAAGAAGTACATCTCATTTATCAATTTAGTAATCTTATCTATTTCCAAACTCAATGTATTTTCTGCAATATCATTTCTTATTTCTGAAATATCTATAATTTAAACAGATTTCTATGATAATCTGTCCTTCTAAACGATTGATTAGATTGGTTGTTATTATTACATAATTTTAGATTAATTTTATTCAATTTATCCTGATTATTACTAATAAAATTCTTGATAGTCATCGAATGAAATCGTATTAGCCTGTAATTGAATTTTACTGGTTATACCTAAAGAATTAATATTAAAAAGGTACTATGAAAAGTTTTATCGGAAGCAAAAACAGGATGACGCATTAAATCTTTGAAAGTGATTCTGTTGTTAGGATTAAACTAGAGCATTTTCTCCAAGAGATTTATAGTCTGGGCAGACACTTCAAATTTATTTTTCTAAAAACTAATGTTTGCTATTATTTAATAAATAATTCTTATACGTTGACTATTCGATGTGTAGTCCCTTTATTTGAATGGTAATCTATCAAATAGGATTTAATAAAAGATAACTCCTACGGAAAACATGTCTGATGATAATCCATATTGATTTTAATTAAATATTTCTGGGGCCATTGTATATAATGTTCCTAATTATAATATAGATTTTTGATCCTATAATAATTATGATATCTAATACTGCATTTGAAAAGACTTTCGAAAATCCCAAATCAGCAATTTTGTAAATGGAATTATTATGAACCATAATATTTTGTAATTTAAGATCCCTATGAATGATAAATTTTGAATGTAAATCTTTTAGACCTTTTAATATTTGCTTAATAATTCCTATAGCATCGTTTTCAGTCAATTTCATTTTAAGATTGTTTAAGTGTTAATCCAAGTCTCCAGCTAAAATTAAAATAGTTAATTAAGATTACAATCACAATACTCCATCACTATATAGCAATATTCTTGATCTTAGAACGACTCAATAAATCTAACAACATGGTCACTTTTAACCAGCTCTAGAGCTTTAATCTCTGATTATACTAGCTTTCCTACAATTCCATCACTTTCTTAGAATCTTTTTTTCTAAATAAGTTTTATGGCTACTATTTCACGAGTCTCAAATTTTAATGCTTTAAAAACCTTAATTGGTAATTCATAATTACTTGTCCAAATTGACCTTTCCCTATAAATGATTAAATCTAATATCCCTGAATCATTTGAAAATTTGATAAAAAATATGGGCTAGTTTATTTCATTAATTTCTATTAATTATATTTTAGAAATTCATTATCTCAAAATAATTCGGAAGAATTATTAATCTTTAAAACTGAAATGTAGAAATATAAGCATAGAAGTAATAATGGATTATAATCAGAAACCAAATTTATGAGATTTATTATTTTTGATTAATGAAGTAAATATATTATCACTACTCTTTTTTGATTTAATCAAAAATTTCTAATTAAATTAGAATTATATTTTTATAATGTAAATTTATTAAATAGAAAAATAAAAATCTAGAATTACTTTTAAAATTATGATTGTATCATTTAATTATAATAATGTACAAAGTATTATATATAACCAATATTATGAAAATTATTAACAATTTCTCTTGTCTTAATCCTCATTTAAGATTTACTTTATGAATTAATCGAATCAAAAAATACAAACATTATGGATTGTAGTTGATTTGATTGATTGTAATAATTAGAATTCCAACAAGATCACTAAAGATTAAATAATATTCTTCTAAGGAAATAACAATTATATAAAATATGAATAATTTATGAATTTTGCATCAAAATTATACCTACTTTATGATATCAATTAAATTTTTCTTTTTTATATTGAAGAATTCTTCTTCAATTTCTATTTTTTCTTAACACAAATCTTGAAAATGCATACATTTTTAAATATGGAGCAACACAATTACTAGATCCTTCTTTTTTTTATTTTCAGCTTATTTATTGATTTCTTATTTAATTTATGTATGTAATTCCATTAATGCTTGACAATAACTATATTAAAATACTCCAGTTGCCTACTCCTAGAGTTCATTATTATACTCTTATCTCAAATTAGCGAAAAGGTTCTAATTTCCCCTTCTAATGGATAGTATTTTAATAATAATACATCTAATTAAGCACATTATAAAATTCGGAGTCTTAAATATAGGCTAAGAAGGCTCCTTTCAATCCTTATAATTCTGGATAATTGGCTAGATCTTAGAGATAACTTTTGCTTTCAGATCTAATTCTTTTGAGGAGCATAAATTTTCCAATCAAGGACTTAGATACATGATCATGTTTACTTTGCTTTCATTTTCAAACTATATTTGATTTATTTCACTATATGTCCTATTGCAAAACTACAAAGCATCCTATAAATAAAGATATTTTTGTTAAATTTTTGTATTCACTAGACTATTAGTGTTATTAATTTAACTTTTTATTTGTATACTATTGTAAGTTCTGTCTGTTTTGAAAACAGTCTCCTTTTCTTTGAGTTATTCTAGAGTATTTTAAATTGGTTATTAATTTTGTGACAAAGATTAAGTAGCCCTTAATTCATAAGCTAACTTCGATACATTTTCTTAATTTTAATAAGTATTGTTAATAATATTAACTTTCTAGAGGCTCTCCACATATTGAGATTATTAGTTTTATTAAGTTTTAAAGACGTCTTCATTTTACTTCAGAACACTCATCCCATCCTAATAAATTTGAACTTCTTTTTTATTATTATAAACATCCTGATAGTAACGAGAAGTCTCTATTTTGCTAACATTTTTCTAAGCGATTTAGCTGACCTTCGACATGTTTTAAATCTTAGTGAACATGGAATACTAAAATAATTAAGGAAAGGTTAATCTTTCTTTTGGATCTTCTTTTAACATTTTACTAATGACTTCTTTGATTTCATTTTGAATTACCACTCCATACTTGTAAAATTCGATTTTCTCTATATACTATACACTCTATTTATTTACATTAGCGAATGGCTGACAAATAGACTTTAACATCTGAGCAGTCAAAAGGCAATTCTCCAAAGAGGAGCTAATAGAATATGCATCCAATAGAGAATATATCTGATTGTAAGCCATAGCTATCATATCTAGCCACTTCTGGTGCCATGGTCCCAATCGTTCCCAAACATAATGTGACCTCCATATCCTAGATGTGATTTATAATAAAAACTTTGTTTTGCAATTATTTACAAAATCCAAGATCTGCAATTTTGACCTAATCGTTGTGCATCAAAATATTTGCCAATTTGATATCTCTATGAATTATATTGAATTTATGCAATTCACTTAATCCACTTAAAACTTATATTATAATATCTATGACTTTCTGTTCTTGCAATCTTTTACCTTTTTTTTCCCAATATTTCTCCAAGTCTCCTGCTATAAAGTAATATTAATTAAATATTTACCATTACAATACTCCATTAAAATATAGCAATTAGATTTCGATTAAAAATAATGTTCCAATTTCAAAACATTGGGAGAGTCTATTTTAGCTAGGACACTGATCTCATCTTTTAGTAATTCTCCCACTATTCCTTCACTATTGTTGAGAGACGCAAATTGAATAATTTTTATAGCATGATAGGATTAATCAAAAATATTCTAACATTTATAAACCTATTAAAATGATTATATGAATAGAGAATTACGCAACCAAAGGATCCCTTGCCTAGTTCGTCAAGGAGTTTAAAGTCTCCAATTTATTTCCCTTACAGCATTTTAATAATTAATTTATATTAAAAATATATAATTTTCACCATTATATTTAATATAAACCTATTTCATCCATTAAAATTATATATTTTTTTTTCTCTTTTTTAATGATTTTTTGTACTTGATGAAACTCAAACCTCATTCTAACTTTTTTTGTAAATGTCCAATTGTAGGACTAATAATTTGATGAAGAATCAAATTAATTAAGGAATTTAGAATTATCTATTCTTAATTAAGAATTAAAATTTAAGAATTCAGAATTATACACAGATCAAGTATTTAAATTCAAGAATTCTAAAAGTTTTAAGCATTAATTAAGAAATGGAAGAATTCACAATCCCTAAAACCTTTAAGGCAGCCTAATTAGTTGAATACGGAAAAGATCTGAAGATTGTAGAGATAGAAACACCATAATTACAAGAGGGACAAATTTTGATCAAGGTTGAAGCAGCCCCAGTCAATCCATCAGATTTGCTATTGAATGGGGGAAACTACCCTGCTGGAAAGGTATTGCCTGCAATCCCAGGAATTGAGGGTTCAGGAATTGTAGTCTAATTAGGGTATTTATATTAAGTCATCCCTTAGGCCAAATGTAGATAATGTTAAGTTGGGCACTAAAGTTGCATTCACTTCACACCAAAACTATGGCAGCTACAGTCAATACACTGTTACAACCAATAAATAAGTAATCCCACTTAATGATGACATCTCCTTTGAATTAGGAGCATCCTCCATTGTAAACCCTGTTACCGTTCTCCTTATGTTGGTAGAAACATAAGAATAGGGAGCCAAGGCAGTTGTCCATACTGCTGCTGGTTCAGCTTTAGGAAGAATGTTAGTTCGATATTTCTAAGATTCTGGAATAGATGTCATTAATGTTGTCCGAAAACCAGAACAAGTGGATCTTCTTAAAAAAGAAGGTGCCAAATATGTCTTAAATTAAACATCAGAAACCTTCTTCCAAGACTTAAATGCGTTAGCTACTTAATTGAAGTATTATTCCTATTTCATTTTTTTAGTGCCACTGTCTTCTTCGATGCCATTGGAGGAAGTTTGACAGGTTAGATACTCAGCTAATTACCAAATAAATCAACAGCCTTCGTTTATGGATTGTTATCAGGATAACCTATCAGTGATGTCACTGCCAATGATTTGCTTTTCAAGAGCAAGACTGTTAAGGGATTTTGGCTTAGCACTTCACTCCACAAGTATAATCCCTATGCCGATGTTAATGCACGAAAAAAATTAAATGAACTACTCAAAACAACATTAAAGACAGAATATGCTAACCAATATCCCTTAGACCAAATAAATGAAGGAATTGAGTTTTATAAAGCAAATCAAACTTAAAGGAAGATCTTGATTAGACCAAATCAGTGAACCAGTGTATATATATAGTAACAATTATTAAAAAGTTTTATATTCTATATCATTAAAATGGAGGATTCAATAAATATATCTATAATCTATATTCAATTGAGTTCTCTAGAGACAAATTCATACCTAAGCGACGTCCTCCTGAAAGAGTTTTTATATTATACCAATAGCTTAATCTGTATTCACTCTTTTCATCTTAATCATCGCACAGTAATAAATTTATGCTTTCATTAGGTGCAAATCCAAATGATTATTCTTATACTTAATACCAGTAGATATTTCCATGAGTACTTTTAATCGCCTTTTAAGAATCAAAAGTTGGTCTAAACATGTCATTTGCAAAGTCACATGCTATTAAATCAATGATTTCTAAACTCATAATGCTTAAACCTCCCAAACATAGTAAAGGGTTATCCCTGTCATGTTTAAAAACCATTTATTAGATTGAAGCCATTGTTTAAAGTAATATGGGCTTATTAAATAACTCGTCATATATTAATTCAAATCCCTTCAGATTATTTTTTGGTAGATGTAAATGAATTTTGATTAAATGTCTAAAATTCAAAAGTGTATATACGTAATTTTTCAATTGAATTATCTTCCTCATCACATTCTCCTCCTCTATGTAATCTATTATTTTCTTTAATTTTTTTTTTTATTCCTTTTTTACTTGAATTTATTATGCAGACACAGATTTGATCTATTCTTTCTTAAAGTTTTGTAGTTAAAGCATTGATGATATTTCTTATATTTTACTTCTCAAATCAAATTCTGAATTAAGAAACTATGTTAGATTATTTTATATGGCTTCTACTTGACTCTAAAAATTGTTCTTATCTTTTTCTAAATTCAAAGTATAACTTTATTTAAAGGTATCAAAACGCAGTTTTAATTTTTAAATACTGTCTATTACTTGTGTAACAGTCTAATTTAATGCTTATATATCTCCAGTTTGATTTATTAATAAGTATTGGTGCTATTATTCAAGTAGATTAAAGTTATCCTTCAAATTCAAGACATCCTACTATAATTAATCTTATCTTTGAGTAGTCAATCCTTGTTGCCTTTCAAAACTTAAGATCTCAAATTGATTAGATTGCAAATAGAATAAATATGGAAACAATAATATTAGGAGTAATAATAAAAATTTATTGTACAAAGATTATTTACTAAATTAAGTGACTTGTTTTTCAAGCACTTCTAGTTTCTATTGGGACCTAAATTAATTATAAAACTAATTATAACCTTTTTATAGTTGTTCGTATGTCCAAATCAAGAGACTGCATATATTTCTCAATTTATGAAAACAGTGTTGTTAGTTATGATTTTGAATCTTCTTAATATTTATTTTCATCTTCAAAGAAAAACTTAACATAAAAAACATGAAATGAGTTTTGGTATGGAAATGTGAATTTTTGCTCCAAATATGTAGAGGTCAAAAATTTTAGTAACTTGATTGTTTCTCCTTCTATTTTCTCAGTAGCATTCTTTATTAGATCAGCATTTCTACTTAATTATACTTCCTAGATTTTATTCTTTGAAAAGTCTAGCGCTTACTAAATAATCATTTGAATGAAAGTATTTCTTCTAATTTGTTTCTTTTTTATTTCATTAATAAATTATTCGAGCTCAATGAAATCATCAACATGCTTTACGACTTTGTTTTTACTTAAATGATATTTAGTTAGACATTAGTAACATTAAATTTGCTTTTTTTCAACTTAATAACATTCCGCATTTAAACAGATATATTTTTCTGGACATTAAGTGTTTTAGCAAATTACAAATTCCATAAGTATTTAATATAATATTTTAATATCATTTGAGCAAGAAATATTATTAAATTTATATAATAATCAAAATTAATATGACTAATAATCTCTATATATTCCATTAAGCGTGTTATTATTTAGTAACACAATAAGAAAATATAATATTAAATTTTATTTGTGAATTCTCGCTACTTGGCCTCTCTTTAATGTGGACTAGGCTTCACTTGTAAAAATTTGAAAAAATTGAAACTTTTCTTAATTATTTATATTATAAGAGGCAAGATAATTTAAATATTTCAAGTAGAATATTTATTTAATCTATTTAACTTTTCCAATCTTAAATTACCAATTCTTAAAATTTACGATGTCTCTCGGTCCAATCTTGTTATATAATTTGTCCTATTAACTTCTTCCGTTACTATTTTATATCTAGAATTTAATAAGAATCGCTTTGACTTAATTAATTGTTATTTCAATTTAAATAGTATATATATGACAGATCGATGAAAGTGCAGACTAATGATTAGCTTGCCATTTTAAGGAAATTAGGTTATAGATTCTATTTTGAGTTTCAATATTCAATCATATAGATTTTATGGCCTTAACAAATTAAATTGGCTCTTCAAATTATTAGTTGCATATTTTACCATATGATCTGGTGAAAAATAGAGATTAACAAATAGCTAAGAGACCTAGTCTCTAAGATAATCGCCTAAATAGCAAAATTCTCATGCTTTAGATGAATTGATACAATAATGTAATAATGTGAATAAAGAAGGTTATTGTGTAATCTTTCTCTGAAGATCATAAATTCGATTAGTTAGATTATATCTGGATTAGATTTTCAAGAACATGACATTTTGATAATGAAATAAAATATGAAAGGGAATTCATATTAATCAAACTCAATGATTGCCATTTAAGGATTAGTTTACCTTCCTCATGGATTCTATTTGGGAATTGCCCAAATACCTTACCTCTAGACTTATGAATAGATGTTTAAAGAGAAAGGAGAAGAAGTTGTAAAATAAGAGGTTAAAGAGGAGTATGATTCAGAATCTGTTAAAAGGGAGTACGAATCTGAATCTATTGAAGCTTGTAAAAAAAACATAAGAAAATTCAGTCCTTATATCTGGCCTGGAGAGACAAAGAACTATTATAAAAATATTGGAAAAAAGTTAGCATCATTCATTACAAATAGTTTTGACTAATCTTATGTCAGAGAAGACCCATTTGTTAACTAATTTGTGAAAATGTAGGGGTAAAATTACAACAGAATTCATTTTTAAAAGCTATTTACTTCAAAAATTGCTCGGAGAATAGCAACAGAATTTTTTGGAAATTATCAATGGTGTTCCCAATTTATTTTGTAGAATAAAACTGAACTCGGGTTGTACTTAAGACATAACAAGTAGATGTATAAAAGGAAAAGTTAGTCAAAAAAATGAAAACCATTAATTTATATATGAATTTAAAGCACAAAAAATTATCAAATCCATTTATTACTAGTTGATCAACAATTTTTTTAATATTTTAGCAGCACATAGAGCTAATGTAATGCACAATTTATAAAGTGAATTGATTCTACAAAAATAGAATATTTTTAACTTTTAATCTGCAAAATTTACCTTTCCAAAATATTTGAAAACTAGATATTTCAATTTTATGTATTTAACAATATATTATAAATCACATTAGAAATTATTTTTGTAAAATGATATTACTTTTTCAATTAATAAGCAATTTTTAAATATAATATAATTCATATGAGTTTTGCTAATATTAATTATTATTATTAATATCGAGTATATTTTATTAAAATAAATTCAATATTAATATAATCTCAAGTGAGCGAATAGTATTTCTTTATGAATTTACTTAATTGATTTTAGTATAAGAATAAATAAATACATTAGCAATAAATTATATAATCCTGTTAATTTCTTTTATAAAAAAAACAATGTTTTTTTCATTATTTATAAGTATAATAATCTTTTAAACCAAAAATTTTCTTCTCATGGATTAGATGTCTAAATAATGTTATATCTTGAAAATACTTATTATATATAATACATAAAATGATTCTTTTTTAGATATCGAATATAATAAGTTATTTATAAAATCATTCATAACTTTAATAGGATGATGAACCCCTCCCATTTCAAATAATATATTAGAACTCAAATTTCATATAGTAAATACAATTTTTAAATAAATGTTCTTGTTTCAACATCTGATTATTAGAAATATTTAGTGTTTGTTTGAATATATATATAATCTGCATATGCATAAATTTTATTATACGAAGAACTTTTATTTGATGATGTTATTAATTATATGAATTTCTAATTTTTTAATAATGTTGAATTATTTGTTGATCCCTTATAATCTTGTGATTCTAATGAATCTGTCTTAGATAAAATCTATATATAACTCAAGTTTTACTTAATTCGTATTAAGGATGTGTTAATTGCTCAAGAAACAAAAGTATTTGAGGGATGCTTCAAATTTAGGTACAGATCTGTTGTGTCATTAATTCATTCATGGATAAATCTAGAATAGGAGAATTAAAATATTTTAATAAGCTCAATGTGAATCTGAAGTAACATATTCTTAAACAGATTTTATATTTTAGTTATGATTTATCTCGAATAAGAAATCCATTCTCAAAATCAAAAATATGGTTTAATATTTAAAAATACTTTTTTTAATATTTAATCATAAAATCTATATTTACAAGTGCTAGAGAAATTTTTATATTTTATTATTTCACATTTTTATTATTATGATATAAATTTTACTACTCTATAGTATAATAGTGAGAGCGTAAAAATTACTTAAAACTCTTGAACTCGATGTAAATAATAAAATCTCAGGAATAATCAATGTAGAAAAGAATGATGAAAACCTTTTAATAGTATTTTAATTTGATAAATCAACTCACCCTATAGCATTAGTTTCTTAGGAGGAAATTTCAGATTCAGATTTTAATACAACAATTAAGCCAATATTTATTGAAAGTACAAAGGTTGTTTTTTTTGATTATGAATCAATTTAAACCCATTAATCCATTCATTTGGTTGAAATATAATATGTGGAGAACATATACTATTATGTCAAAGATAGATTTGGGCCATTTAAACTGAAAATATAAGTTTATTCGAAACCTCATTCTATATGCACAAACAATTGTTAAGGATTTTAGGTCAATAGTATGAAGTAAAGTTCTAGGTGTAGCACAAAATGTGAATGTGAATCTGGATACTTTGGATCATATTGTTAGTTTGAATTAATAAATATAGAATAAGACGTAAATTATAAGATTCATTTAATTCCCCATAAAGCTGTGTATTTATCATTTTAATTGGAATAAGAAGCCATTTTAATAGCAGATGATGTCATTGATCCTATTAGTATCAAATCATTCAATTAATATAGCTGCTAGTTTTGGGGTTCAAGGGAAGAAAGGTTTCGAGATTCCAGATCAAACATCCTATACTGCAATTCTCCACAGCCAATTGAGTCTGACAAAATTGATTCAGAATTTAAAATTTCAGTTTAAGGATGCTAAAATATTGATCATTGGATTGTATTGCCGAAAAGATTAAACCATAAATGTTGTCCTTAAGCAAGAGTAAACTCCCTCAATATGGAGTGGTAATTGTTTGTTTCTAGCCTTTGCATCTTTCAACATAATTGTTATAATACTTTGTTTTGGAATCACAAATCTATGCAGACACAAAGAGATTACAGTGAAAAAGAAGAGAAAAATAAAGATTAGACCCCCAAAAATAGAAGACCCAAAAAACTTCTCTGGTTCTTTTTTCAACAAATATTTCGAAATCTATGATTATGATGATTTCATATAAATAAATCCTCAGTACAACTAGAACACCCAGTGTGTAGTTTGTATGGAGGATTTAAATCAAAAAGAAATTAGTGTAACTCCTTGTGGTCATATATTTCACTATTAATGTTTAAAGAAATGGCTAATGAGAATCCTTAATTGTCCCTCTTGTAGATTCCAAATCACTTATTAACAGGTTATCGAAGGAGGATGGCTTGGAAGTAAGCTTTAATAAAATCCACTCTGTTAATAATCAAATTGTAAATCACATTCAGGCATTCAAAGAAGTAATTCTTTGATTGAAAACAACGAAAACGCTGATAGCATTCAAATGGTTGAAAAAGGCGATGAAAATTGTAAATGCGTAAATAAAGAATTCTGAAAATAGATTTAATGATTTGAATTTCAATATAGAATAATAAATAAAATTATAAGTAATGTTCTATCCAATAAATAATAATCATCTATATTGCAAACAATTAGGACATGATTTTTGTTCAGCACAATCTCTATGATAAACCTTCAAACAAGCATCACAATAAGTGACATTCTTGATATCAAAAGCATGGATTGGTACCATACGCTAACAAATACTGCAAATATGCCCTCTTTTTTAACAACTCTTACAAACATCGATATGCTTAAATAAAATAACATAATATCCTTAAATAACTTTTGTCAAACTTCCATTATAAATTTCATATAAATCCTTTAAACTAAAGCAGTTCCTCTTTAAACAGAGATTCATTCTTTTGTCGAGCAAAGTTTGTACTAATTTTGGATCGCAAATCATGTCATATAATAAGTGAATTTATCTTTTGAGAACTAGAAATTCAAAAAGAGTCTTATTGAATTACAATAATTTCGATGTTGGAGGTATTTCAAGAATGGGTAGATCGTATAATTTATCTATTTCAGATTAAGCAACTTTAGAAACCTTATAATGTCTTAAATCAAAACTCTCCAAGGCTTTCCATGGAATAGGCATTCTCACCACCGACATGCAATCGTTACAAAAATAGCGGCCGTGAAAAAAGCATAAATCACAATTAGCACCAATAGTTAAGAATCCATTTGAAATTGGTTTTTGACATTGCCAACATTTGAAATTCTATTCTTTCAATTCATATTGTGGAGGAGGCTATGTGAATCTGTTAATATTGAGAGTTTCAATAATTTCTTTGTAGATCTAAAATGTTATAGTAAAGTAAACAAACCTCGTCATAAAGAATTTGAGAAGGTTTCTTTCCTTTATGTTTAGTGTATAGGTGAGGTGGAAGCTTAGTAAATTGCTCGCCAGAATCAGGGTGTAAGGAATCTCTTGATTGACTAAATATCCCAAAAAAATTATTAGGCTTGTTGACGGTAACCTAGTTTTGATTAATCCAAGACATTTAAAATAAATAATTAACAATTAATGTTTGATGAGGCTGATGGAGATTATGTTGAATAGACACCTTAAGATGATGGACTGGTGGATGTGGAAGTCATTGTGAACAAGGAGAGGCAATATCAACAGGAATTGTTGCAAGTGCTGAAATGGAAGGAGGATGAACATAAAGGATTGCGACAAGAATTAGGAGAGATTAAGTGCAAAATAGAGCAAATCCAATTAAAGTGTATTAGAGAGTCATTGATAAATAGAATACCAAGACGAAATACCTATGGTTGATCCCTACCTCAGAGAATACATTTAGGAATTGGGCGAATAACAATTATTCGACTTAGAGTCCCAAAGATAAGAATTAAAAGGAGAGAAGCAAGGCAAAATTGAATAATTGAGATAATTACAATAGGCCAAGAATTAAATAAAATTATTCTTTACATAAACTGAGATTTCAAGCTATTTACAAATTTCATACAAAAACATGTTAGAAAATCTTAATTAAGAGTTATTCTAATATATGCAGGAGAGAGCAGACTTGGAAGACGAACAATTTAGTTTCGACAAAAGACTCAAATCTCTTAGATCTTAAATTAGAGTATGATATTCTTTTAGTTTAGGAAGTTACTGAGAAGAATCAAAAAATTATTCAATAAATAGAGAATAGCAAATAAATTGAATGAATTCTTGTATTTTATCATTTATATTTTCATAAAGTCATTGAGTTCTTTCAATCTTTTATTTTACCTTTGGGAAACGCTCAAGTTACTTCTCAAACATTTGACTTACCACTTAATCAAGAGGTACATCCTTACTCACAGTCATGCTTTTGGTTCCTGGAGACAATACTGAATTTGTCAATTTTTTAATGTGATCTTCATTCTCTTCCCTTTTGGAGAGATAAAGCAAACCCTTTTTGCTTGGCCCCTCATTCTTTTAAGGTGGCTCAAAGTTATAGGTTTTCCTTAGGAATTCAGCAAACTGTTTCTCATTCTTTCTAAATTAAATTGTACACTACCTAGCCATTTTTTTAAGCATATAAGAAATATAGAAAGTTGCCCTTCTCAACATTACTCATTTATCTCTGTATTTTCTTTTCTTGTTATTTTGGAGGCATGGAAGTTTCAGATTATTACCTTGTTTACAATTTTATTTGTTTAGGTTTGCTTTAGATTGCAGGCAAAGGATTTATCTATTAAGATTATCTATGCATAATGCTATTTTTCAAGGTTAATCTAAGCAATTGTGCTTATTTAGAGTGAATGATAACACCTTCATCGATGATTTATTGAAATTAAAGTGATTATATATTTTTCATATTTTTGAAACAAAATCACCAATTTCATTAACAGCATTTCTCAATTAAACCAATTAAGACTTCAAATTATTTATGTTCTATTCCATCTCTGATATTTTGTAATCATTCTCCAATAATGCCTTTATATGTTAAAATATTCTCATCATGTCTGCATCCAAATCACTATACTTTGTAAAAATACAAAATTATTACATGCTATTGCATTTCAGCCACTCCATTATTATTGGTTCTTTGTAGTTGATTGTTCTCATTAACAATTGCAGCTATTTAATTAATTCTCTCTTCACATTCTTCACGAGTGACTCCATGCTTATGATTAAAAAGTTCAATCTACTCGTTTACACCTCCAAATTATTGGCTAATTTCTTCGAGTTTTTCTTGCATAACCATAAACTTCGATTAAATCTCCTTATTTAGGATCTTATATAAATTATCCTCAATGCTCTTGATACCTGCTAAATTGTCTTTTGAAATTTTCTTCTCTAGTTTCTCAAGTTACCCTTTATCCAAAGTCACTTATTGTATAATCTGAGAATAATCTTATTATTATTATGACTTGTATTATTGATCATTCAATTCATCTAAAAACCCTTATTGATCTATTACAGCTTTTTCGAGATTCTCCATTTTTAACAATACCTTTTGATTGTCCTCTTCCATTTTTCGAATCTTTTGCCACATCTTTTCTATTACCTATTAAAATCTTTCTGCATTCACAAATTTTTTTAATTCCTCTTGCACTTATAAACACGTTTGGCATGTCTTCTATGTATTCATTTCTTCCTAAAATTCTATTGTTGAAGGACCTTTATCCTAAAAGTTTTATTTCATTATAAAATCGATAATATTCAGCTATCTTCCTTAGTTTCGACATGAGTTCGCTGATTTTAGATATTTATCTTATGAATTTTATCTACTCATTAATTTAATATTATAAATTGAAATACAAAAGCCAAAATAATCATATTTCAAACTATCTCCTCCTATTATAGTAGCAGCTATTGAAATAAGAGAACGTAGAAAACAAATAAAATTTAAGCTATAATGATAAAGTGAAAAAAATTCATACATATGGGAATCACCCAAGGAATCTTCAAAAATATAATATTATTAAATAAATTTTGATTAACAATTAATTCAATGTATTTGATTTTATCTAATTGCATATCTTAAACATTACATGCATAAGATTATTTTTAAAAAAATTAAGTCATTAAAAAAGGATATTAACTAATTTATTTTTTTCATTTAATGATTTGCTCATTTAAATATAGAAATCATTGAAAATTTTTATTAATTAAAACCTATTGATATATTAGGAAATAAGATATGCCTTTCATTTGTAGATTAATCTGTTTTTTAAAGTTTAAAAAGATAGGTCTTTATTATCTAAGAAAATTAACAAAGTTCATATATATGTCAAAACTTATCCATTTGTAATACAAAAATCATAGTATAAAAAGGAGTAGAGAGTAAAATCCTTTATGATTATATTCGTTATTAAAGATAAATTCCTTGTATCCAAAATTTCTTGTTCTTAATTCCGAAGTCTGCCAATAATTAACACATATACAGAAATATTACAATTTTATTTATTCAAAGAATATATTGATTTATTTAGCTCTATCTGAAAAAAGTGAGTGATTCTGAATTATGAATTCAGATCCAATAGCATTCTGAGTATTTTTATTTTTAAATAATTCCCTTTTTTAAGATTACTTTTTGAACCGTCAATTTACAAGAACATTGATGATGTACAAAATATTGATTGGCTTTGATATTTGAAATAATGGAAATTTAGAAAAGTTTATTCTATTTAACAAAGATTATAATGTTCTTTTGATTAACTTAATTGAAAACTTGGATTAAATTAAAAGTTAAATCAATATTAGCAAGAATATTGTTTAACAAATGATTCTAATAAGATGACAAATATTTTGCATATGACAAATAAAATAATTTTCAATCTGTTTTATTGATTGTATGGCACTTTTTCATTTCCATCCAACATCCTAAACCACAAAAACCCAAAAGACCAACCAATATAGCAATCAAAAATAAATGACTGAAGGAAGGTTCAGAATACTCTATTTCCATTAAATCCCTTAATTAAAATGTTTATTTATCTATATCAAATTACTCAAGCATTAAATGCTTAATTATCTTTTATCACATTATAGGTTAAATATATGCATTAAATATATTTATTTATTTGATTCTTGAAATTTATCAATGATCTTGTCCCTTTGTAATTTAGAAGAATCAGAAATTGACTCTAAAATGATATTGAATAAAAAATTTTTAAATTAGTCATCGGCTATTCTATTTCTATAATTTTCAAGTTAAGCACCCAAATCTAGATCTTGCTAGTGCTTTTCTACTTGCCACACAATATTTAGACAATTTTCAATAGTTATGAATGAAATTTCTTTGATCTATTATATACATATCAAAAAAATTGAATAGTTAGTTTTCTATATTATGTTTTTTTTTTAAATTGATTAGACATAGATTAATAAACTATCAAAATGCTTATCTCTAGATACAAATTTTATACATATCTAAGAACTTTATTATTTGTTAATAGCTCAATATAAAATGATAGCATTGATTCATCTCTTTTATGGAACCCTATTACTATTAATTTTAAGTATCCCATTGATTATAAATTGCGCAGAATAATTTCTTCTCATACTAAGCAATAAATTATAATTTTCTATTTCATCATGCACAAGCTTTTTATTTTGTAAATTCTCAATTTTTATGTGTTAACAATTCGCAAAATAATTATACTTAATTTTAATTGTATCTACTTTATTTTTATGTAATTTTGAAGATGGGAAAAGATCAAAACTTTTTTAAATTATTTGCATTACAATAGGAATCTAATAATACTAAAATGTTTATTACATTTATCTTTAGTTAATTAACAGTCTTCATCTACATTATAGATTGAGAATAGTTTTCAAAGTCCTATTTTTAAGATTCCCATCATATTTATTGTACTTGCTATTTATATTTATAATTCAATTAATATTATTCATGTGTTATCAATTATAGGTTTATTAGTTTTGGGTTAAGGAATTGGGAAAAATTGTCTACTAAGAGCTGAATAGCGTGAAATTAACGGCTCATCAGTTATCATTAGATCTGTGACTAATTTTAATGGTGTTATTGGCAAATCTCTTAACTGAGCATTCACTTTATTCTTAGAACGAGTAATAAATTTTGGGTACTGATGTAAGAATTAATATTTTACGTCCTTTGGTGTCAATAAATACTGCTTTTTCTCATTATTTTCAATTTAATTTAATTCTTCGGTTCTAAAATGAATGGCATTTCCCTCTAAGATAATAAAGAATAGCCTATTTCTTACATAGATCATTGAAAACCATATAAATTTAAACACCACACAAAGAAGCCAATTCATATGCCTTCTTTAGTAAACCTATCTTCCTTTTATGAAATGTAATCTAAACCATATTTAAGAACATACATTTCTTTATTGTCTGTCTTCTATTTTAGTGATTGAAATCTTTTTTCTGCCCATTATAATTTAAATTAAAATAATTAAAATTTCATAAGCTCAATAAACCATCATTAGGTTAATCATAGATGAACTCTTTTTCTTTAAAATAGAATCCTTTAACTATTATATATATATTTAAAATTTAAGAATAATAAGGCTTTTTGAGAGGACTAATTAAACTAAGAGCTTAATGAATTACTTTAATATAAATTTACTTATGAAAATATTATACATTATATCAATTTAGATAAAATTATTTAACCTATTTACTTGATTTGACCAATCTTGATAATACTTTTGTTGCAATAACTATCAAGACTGTTGTTGCTATAAGGGCATTATAATTGAAATTATCCAGTAACATATCGTATGTCTAATATATTATTAAGAAAAATATACTTTATCAGGAGCGATTCTAGTGAAGAAAATATCAGAACCATAAACTAATAGTAACGCTGAGGATTCTAAATTTGTTGATTCTATTGAAAATTTCTCAATTTCGAACTAGATTAAATAATTAAAATACAGTTTAGTGATATGTCAGCATGTTTAAAAAATTAATTGGTAATTAATATTAATAAGGAGGAAGCTCTGCTGATTACAGAGAATATTCTAATATAGGTTGATCTGCCTTTTCTCTTCTTCTAGTGGAAACTAAGTTACGATCTAAAGAATGCAATTATCCTGAAGTTGTTATAATCAATAAATTCTTTTTTGTTAATGATTTAAGAGTTCTAGACATTCCCAAATACTTGATTCCCAAAGGGCATCCATATACTTATTACAAGAAGAATGATTCAAAGTCAGCTTTATAATAGTTAGTAATGATTGGTGTTTTTGTAAAGTAATAGTTTTCCAACATTTTAATAAATGATACTTCAATCTTAGCATGATAGATTTCAACAGTCCAAATTTCAAACATCATTTAAGCCTTATTGTAATAAGTAACAAACACTTAGTGTTCATCAAAAACTAAATTAATAGGTTGGTTAAAGTCAGCCTCACTTTGGACACTCTAAAATATTATTTTGCCAGTCTTAGCATTAATAATAAATAATTTTAATTTATCCCCATCTGAAGTTAAGACTGCAAAATTAGATTGATCAATCAATTTGAATATGACTTTTCTATCATCCCATATTGCAACTCTTGGATTTTCTTCTCCAACATGATAAGAAGATCTGATTATCAAAATTTCATCTTTCATATTAATTGTCCATATGTTGACTAATTAATTATTGAATAATTTATATCCTTTAAGTACGCCATTGTCATTTCTATATAAGATGATCTCTTTTGTATTTAAAGAATCATGTTTGGGATATGTAAATATATTGTTTTCTTCATCAATTAGAATTACAATATTGTGATGTTGCCCAGGTCCTCCTTCCACTCTGTAGGGGATTGTCCATAAAATATTATTTGAAGATTGTGATGCAACCTATTGGATTATTCCATGTTATAAATCTAAAACAAAAGTATTCAAACGTTTTTTCTCATTCGAATAATAAAATAACACGTGAGTTGGCTTTGCATCATTGCTATCAAAATGTCTGATTAGATTGGAACTAAATTATTATGGAATGTATTACTCTATTTAATGATGTGCAACCAATTTAAAGGATTTATCTTAATTATTAATCTATAATTTAATTAATAAAGATAACTCTTAAGTGTCATAACATAATAATGTTCCATAAGTTGTCAAAAAGTAGACCTTCTATTTCAATCCATAGGTTTATTCCATCTCTCTTGTTTAAACCTTCTCTTTACCCAAATTATCAATAAAATGAGTTGCTACCTCTTGTAAATCTCTGACCTCGTTCAAAATCCTTGAAACAATATTTTACACCAAAAACAAAGGATTGTTTGTACCGTGCTTCTCAAGTGATTCATAATATGTATTTTTATGTGTCTATTCTTAATTTTCGTATTTTTCGTAAAAAACAGTATCAATGCTAATTAAAGATTGTTCAGTTGTCCATCTAATACCTTTATTATCAACTAGTACAGTCTGTAAATCTTTATACTGAATTAAAAATTATTTTTTATTTTAATCTATCAAAAAAGCATTTAATATTGATGTCTTTGTTTCTAATTCTATCATTTCTGAGTGATGTTATTTTGTATCTCTGTCAAAAGTCACAATAATTAACTCATTATCTTTCTATTTTAAAGTATAATAATATTTTTGAGTCTCTAAATTTTATATAACATGCTCATCTTGATTTAATTCATATTCAATTTACCCATCCAAATTAACTATCTATTTCTTTGATTTTTCATTAATTACTAGAGTTTATGTTAACCCAATAAATCTATCCAATTTCTTAATTAGTTCAATATCTAATGGCTTGGCTGATTTCTCTTTGAGGTGATAAGCAAATTTTTCATCTTTATAAACAAGGGTGTTGCCAAATTCATAAATTTTACCATTATTCAAACTTTATACACAGTAATTTTATTATATAGATTCTCTAATTTAATAGATGCAAATTTCCGTTTATTTTTGCAAAACAACCACTGGAACATCAAAGATATATCCTGCGTGTATAATTTAATGATCGAACCTAAAGATATCTAACTTATATTCATACTTCTTAGTGAATTTGTTATTAAAGGTCGAGAAAATAGTTTATCCATATATAAGTATAAACTCTCCATTTAATCCTATTAAGCAATGGTCGATTTAGTCTATAATTTCTCCTTCTGTCAACACTGAATATCCTTCATTATATAATTGCACAATCTATTGATTTGGTTCATACCTGACGTAATTGTAGGAATCACACATAGTATAAGTATTTCTTTATTTAACTTGGCCTAAATTATACGAGTACATAAAACCTGTAGATTTCTCAATAATTCCATGTTGATTGTTCGTATTTTAGTAAAATATAGTTTAATCCTAAACTTGAATGTATTTTAGTTCGCCAAATAGTCTTTTATTCCAATCATGCACTCCTGCTTGTTGTTAATGCAATGCAAGGACATTATTAAAGATAATTCCAGCCACGCTCACAATTAATAATAACATTTATTAAATTTAATATTTTAAGTTCAATTAAAAAATTTTGTATTAGTCTAATGCAGATATTTTATCATCAATATTTCTACTAGAAGGAAGAATCAATTCTTATATATAGAAGTTCCTGTATTGCTATCTTGAATTTCTTTAGGGTATTCAACAACTTATGTATTTCGATTAAGTCCATATAATTCATCATGAATTTAGGAATTTGACTGTGATCTTATTTGAATCAAAAGTATTTAATGTTATACAAAATTAAAATTTGCCATATTCCAAATCATTTAACCTTTTAGATATTTCAAAAGTAGGATAATGTTTTGATTTTTGTTGAGTACTTTAATTTATATCACATATTAATTATTTAAGATATTGTTGATCTTGATTAATGAGATCTTTATTTCATAGTAATAACTTTATTGATTTCTAAAATATATCAAAACTAATGGAATTTTAAGAGGTTGTCTTAATATAATATTTTAATATTAATTAATGATTATTCATTCATCAAGCCAGAATTAAAACTTAGTTTAGAGTCCAGTTACCCATTTGATAGCAATTCCTTTATAACCTGATAAGAAAAGAACTTTAGTTGATTATGATGGATTCCTTCCCATAGCTAATTTAAGTTATGTTTCTGGATTCTAAATAATATCATGTTAAGATAAGACAATATTATCTTGTTCGGCCTAATAAATGAAAGAAAATGAATACTTCTGAAGCATTTTCTTCTAAAAATGTAGCTTTGAATGATCCATCTTCTGATTCTAATGTGACAATTTTTCCGTATTCTTTAATTTAGACCTTAAACTATTTTATAGTTTTAACACTTTTATATAAATAATTAAAAATACGCTGTCTCTTTGTTACCGCTTGTATCATTAATTTCTTATCTTTTGATGGCCATCTTATTTACTAACATTTTATTTGCTTAATCTTTTAAGACATCTTGAAGACTATTTGGCTTTTGTTAATTTTGAGCGGGTATATTAGATGGGATTTGAGCGGGGATTGGAATTTAAGGTTATTAATTTATTTTGGATGGTTATGCCACAAATGGACTTTATGGTTGTTAAGGAATAAATGGACTTGTTGGCTGTTATTAAGAAACGAAGGGGGAGGTTGGTTGTTAAGTGGGAGTAAATCCTGGTTGATTAGCAGGTTGATTGGTAGATGGAAAGTTACTTGGAACACTATTTTTGTCCTAAAATATTTGAATATATACATACCAAGCATTCAACTCTTTCACCTCCTTAAAGGAATTGATTTATCTTTGTGCTTTTTTAAATCGGTTTTTGTTGATCATTTATTCTCCATACTTTATCTAAAAACTTACCATTTTTAACATGATCATCAAAAATGTCCTCAAATGTATCATTGGGTTTTAATTGAACTTATTTTCCATTGACTGTAAAGGAGATGCTCATATATGATTTCTATTAATTAAAAATATTTATATTTCTATTAACTTAATTTTATTACATTTCAATAACCCTAATAAATAAATATAGTTATTAATATATATTATCATCAACATTCAATATTTTTATTTCATATTCATGATCCATAAAACTCTCTTTTATTTAATTTCATTCATATATATCTAAAGGTATTATTTTTTTAATTAATAATATTCTAACTCATAATTTACTCTTATCGCCAAATTGCTATTTAATTCTAGATCTTCTTCATCTCTTAATTCTTTCAAATGATAATAGTTACTCTTATTAATGTCTCCATATTTAATAAACTTATGTTTTGTAATATTTAATATTTGGAAACATAAATAAACCTTGTGCAGTTTACTCATAACTAATCTTGTTTAATGATTTTAAAGGAGAGACTAGTATATTTTGCAATTAATTTAACTAACTTATGAAACTGTGTCATTTAGTTGTTTTGTTCTGAAATGATCAACCAAAAACAATCAACAATTAGCGATATTATTTACTGTATTATGAAAACATCACGTTTTTTTCAAAATTTGCACATTTAAAGAAGGAACTTTTTTACCATCGTCAATGATTGTTGTTGAATTTGATGAATTCAATTTTTAAAGTATTACCTGCAAAGAGTGGAATTATATTTATTCATTAATTTAAAATGTATAAATCCAAACGAACCTAATATGGTGGATCGACTGCCAGCACTTTAGATCTGTTACAGTCATAGGATTGTCTATTTTGTCAATAATCTCATTAATTTTGTTGCCTCATTACTAGAGCTCTTTACATCAAATATTCAGCAAGCCAGAATTATTACTATCAAAAGGATATTAATATAATACTTTTGCAATAACGATCTAAACAATATACTGCTTATAAAGAATGGACTTATTATGATCCTAATGAGTATTTAAAAAGGTTTTATTCTTTAACTGATACAAGATAAAAAACCATAGTATTAACTGAATATTATAAAGTAATTACTTTCAAAACTATACTGAATAGTTTCATCGAGATATTCCTCGTCTTTTCATGTTACCTATAGCTTCAACATTATCTAAATATCATGATAAACGCCGCAGAATAGAATATATAAGAATATCAAGGATGCTAGGAGGGCATGTTGAATAACCAACATCAACATAAAATTCTATCTAAACAGTATTAATTGAATATTTACATAAACTTAGTCATTGCAAAATCTATTGGGTTAATTAAATTTTACTAAACAAGAATAATCTAACACTTTGATTGAAATATAAAAAAATCTAAAAGAAGCCATAAATACATCCTAAAACAATCAAAGAGAATTTGATTCTCGTAAGTATAATCTACCTCTATAACTAAAAAATTCTGATTATTACAATAAATCTAAATTAGATCATAAATCTGATACCAATTCAAGATTGGATTTTAAAGAAAATATAAATGATCTAATTTATAAAAAAAAGCCATTAAAAAATTCAGGTATATAAACATAAAGAGAAATTTCTTAACCCAAAGTATATAGCACTGAAAAAAATTGTAAATTATAGGTTCAATAGATTCCCCTCACTTAAAGAAATGGCAACAATACAAAATAATCAATATCTCCTAGACCTACGACTTAAAGATCTATAAAACCTTAAATTATGTAGTTATTAAAGCCTAACCATAATAACAACAATAAATTAAAGGCTACTAACATTATCTTAGAATGTCTAATGAGAAAGCTGAATTTAGATCAAAAGACTCTCAAAAAATAAAAATCCAAGTCTCCTAATAATCCTTCTAATTAACAAGCGAAAAGAAAGAGAAGAGTAATGAGCACAAATTAAGAAGCAACAAAAATAGATTTGACTTAACTTAAATAAAAATAATCATAATTACTTTAGAGTAAGTTTGATTAAAATATTATTAATAAAGGATATAAAACAGGAAGAGCCTCAGCAATGGCTTGATTAATTTAGTTATATATTTATTTATTTATTACTATAAAAATAAAGTCAATTGTAAAAAGAAAAGTTTAAAATTGAATCTAAAATATCATACCCTAATTCAATTGTTCCATCTATTAAATATAGGTTTTCTAATTTTGATCTAAAATTTTTATTTGGTTTATTCAAATACAAATCGATATCTTTCTATGAAAAATTCAATCTCAATATTATCCATTGCAAATAACACATATGTAATTTTAGACTTATTGAATGATGGAACTATCCCCTTATTATATTAGGACCTGAAGTAGTGCCAGAAAGTTTGCACAAAATAAATCTTTGATATATGATATCCATAAGAATAGTTAGTTAAGATATATTTAAATCTAGAGTCCATATATATATAAGTTAAAAACTGTCAAATGTCAAAAAAAAAATTGTTTTTTTTCTAATCTATTTACCATTAACTTTAAAAAAGTAAATATCTTGAGTAAATTCATATTTTCTAAAAAATGACATAATCATTTCAACAAACTTTATATTGCAATTTAATAATAAAAATAAATACTTTAGTCAAGTGAAAATGATGAAAAATTAAAGCCCTGAAAGTGATAAAAACCCAAAAATAATGAGAAAAATTAACGAGCACAATGCTTCACATCGCACAGATGAAAAGTATAATTTGTTAATGCAATTTCTGCTTATTATCATTTAAGAAAAAGTAACTCGATACAATAAAACAGAATACCAAAACCATAAAAGAAATGCATAATCTTAAATTAAAGTAAAATTCAAATGACAGAGAATTTATTTTATTGTGACTCGTTTGGTATAGGAATCCTATGGTAGAACTCTAAACATTCAGATATAAGATACTGTATATTTTCAAAATGGAGGGGCTAAATCTATTTTATAGAGTCTCAAAGATAGTATAGATAAGCCATTCTAATTAAGAGTCTAATTATGGAAAGGATCATTATAAAAATTAATGCAAATATATGAATAACAAAAGAAAGAAGATTGCAAATGCAAATATATAATTAGATTTGATTCAAAAATGCGAAAAATAATAATCAGCATTGAGTATTTCAACATTTTATATAAAAATGTAATTAAATAAAGAGTAAATAAATAATATTAGTGAAAAATTAAGGAAGCAGTTTTGGTTAAATTTGATGATGATTCAGTGTAAATAATGACTGAAGCTGAATTTTTTTTGTTAATGTCTAAAAGAAAGGGCGATAAATTCTGGAATAAAATATTTTCTATTTTAAATTACATTAAACAAAGGGTTTTTTTAACACATAGAATTCATTTTAATAGAAAAAGAGATAGTAATCATACTTATTTTGAGCGAAGCGCTATGGAAACTAGAATAATTAGGGGCGAAGTTATTTCAGCATCCACAGAGTATATTAGTCAAGCAATAGAAGATGATTTCTTAATATAATGAAGGAAAAAAGTATTTTTGAGTATTTAAGATATAATACGTTTAAAATAATTTAGTTCTTAGATTTAAATATATCTTATATGAATTTAGATACTTGATGACACCATCATAAATGAAGGTAATTTGAATGGAATCAAGATGATAGAGCAGAATTTCAATTTTTTAATACTTATTAAATCAAATATGAGAAAAGAATAAAAGACGAGAGTTATATTTCTCCAAAACCTCATCATTCTAATAATAGCAAAAATGCAAATGACGTTGAAAATAGTGAGGAATATAGAGAAATTGACCCAAGAAAATGTTTAATCGAAAATATTAATTGCAATTGATTGCTAGGAATGCATAAAATATATTAAAATTAAAATAATATCATTTATTATACAAAGATACACCAAAGATAAGTTAATGGCAAGGTTGTATGTAAGATGATTATCAAGCCTTATTGTAATCAGTTGGTATTGATAAAAATTAATTTAACTTAAGGGAAGATAATTAATCAGAGATGACATTCAAACATTTACACCCTGATATATAGATAGTATTTTAGAGGATGATGAAAGGTCAATAATTATTTAATAAACTAAAGAGTAAAATTTTATTAAAAAAACATTTTAAAACAACTTTTTATAGAGAACAACAAATCTAAACCTATCTCTCATTCAAATATGTTACATAGACTTTTTTTAACACCAGAAAAAAAGCAAAGATCACAAGCTGTTTCAAAACCTAGGTGGGATTTAATTTCAACTCTTAATTAATCTTCATTTAAGAAAAGCATCAGGTCGGTTGATAGAACGGTCAGCGAATTTAGATATGAAATAAGTAGAAATGGAAAAAGATCAGCAAATACTCTTAATAAGGTACTTGGGTTAGCTAATACTTGGTTTGATATTATTTTATTACCAATTATTATTAGATCAAATAAATTAAAAATCTTTATGATTATTAATTATCATTTAAATAATAAAGAAATAACAAAGTAACTAATGTAGAAGCAAAATATGTTGATTGAATTTAATTTATTAAAAGGAAAATTTTACCATTAACAAAACTTACATCAACATGAATATTAAGATAAAATAATGAATATGAAATAAAAATATTGAATGTTGATGATAATATATATTAATAAATATTTTTATTTATTAGGGTTATTGAAATGTAATAAAATTAAGTTAATAGAAATATAAATAATTTAATCTATTAGGGCTATTGAAATGTAATTAAATTAAGTTAATAGAAATTTAAACAATTTAATCTATTAGGGCTATTGAAATGTAATTAAATTAAGTTGGTAGAAATTTAAATATTTTTAATTAATAGAAATCATATATGAGCATCTCCTTTACAATCAATGGAAAATAAGTTCAATCAAAACCCAATGATACATTTGAGGACATTTTTGATGAATATGTTAAAGTTAAAGGGTGAAATTTTTTTAAATAAAATATGGAGAATAAATGATCAACAAAAACTGATTTAAAAAAGCATAAAGATAACTCAAATCCTTAAAGGAGGTGATAAAGTTGATTGCTTAGTATATCTATATTCAAATATTTTAGGACAAAAATAGTGTTCCAAGTACCTTTTCATCTACCAATCAAATTGATAATCAAAGAAGATTTATACCCCTTTAACCACCAATTTAACCCATCGATTTTTTATAACAGCCAAGTAATCAACCAATAAATCCATTAGTGAAATAACCAAATAAAATAAATTAATAATCTTAAACTCCACCTAAAGTACCCACTTAAAATTAACAAAAGCCAAATAGTCTTCAAGATGTCTTAAAAGATTAAGCAAATAAAATGTTAGTAAATAAGATGGCCATCAAAAGATAAGAAATTAATGATACAAGCGGTAACAAAGAGACAGCGTATTTTTAATTATTTATATAAAAGTGTTAAAACTATAAAATAGTTTAAGGTCTAAATTAAAGAATACGGAAAAATTGTCACATTAGAATCAGAAGATGGATCATTCAAAGCTACATTTTTAGAAGAAAATGCTTCAGAAGTATTCATTTTCTTTCATTTATTAGGCCGAACAAGATAATATTGTCTTATCTTAACATGATATTATTTAGAATCCAGAAACATAACTTAAATTAGCTATGGGAAGGAATCCATCATAATCAACTAAAGTTCTTTTCTTATCAGGTTATAAAGGAATTGCTATCAAATGGGTAACTGGACTCTAAACTAAGTTTTAATTCTGGCTTGATGAATGAATAATCATTAATTAATATTAAAATATTATATTAAGACAACCTCTTAAAATTCCATTAGTTTTGATATATTTTAGAAATCAATAAAGTTATTACTATGAAATAAAGATCTCATTAATCAAGATCAACAATATCTTAAATAATTAATATGTGATATAAATTAAAGTACTCAACAAAAATCAAAACATTATCCTACTTTTGAAATATCTAAAAGGTTAAATGATTTGGAATATGGCAAATTTTAATTTTGTATAACATTAAATACTTTTGATTCAAATAAGATCACAGTCAAATTCCTAAATTCATGATGAATTATATGGACTTAATCGAAATATAATAGCAATGCAAGACTTTTTAATTACATAAGTTGTTGAATACCCTAAAGAAATTCAAGATAGCAATACAGGAACTTCTATATATAAGAATTGATTCTTCCTTCTAGTAGAAATATTGATATCTCTCATTCAAAATGTTACATAGACTTTTTTTAACACCAGAAAAAAAGCAAAGATCACAAGCAGTTTCAAAACCTAGGTGGGATTTAATTTCAACTCTTAATTAATCTTCATTTAAGAAAAGCATCAGGTCGGTTGATAGAACGGTCAGCGAATTTAGATATGAAATAAGTAGAAATGGAATAAGATCAGTAAATACTCTTAATAAGGTACTTGGGTTAGCTAATACTTGGTTTGATATTATTTTATTACCAATTATTATTAGATCAAATAAATTAAAAATTTTTATGATTATTAATTATCATTTAAATAATAAAGAAATAACAAAGTAACTAATGTAGAAGCAAATATGTTGATTGAGTTTAATTTATTAAAAGGAAAATTTAACCATCAACCAAACATATATCAACATGAATATTAAGATAAATAATGAATATGAAATAAAAATATTGAATGTTGATGATAATATATATTAATAAATATTTTTATTTATTAGGGTTATTGAAATGTAATAAAATTAAGTTGATAGAAATATAAATATTTTTAATTAATAGAAATCATATATGAGCATCTCCTTTACACTCAATGGAAAATAAGTTCAATCAAAACTCAATGATACATTTGGGGACATTTTTGATGAATATGTTAAAAATGGTAAGTTTTTAGATAAAGTATGGAGAATAAATGATCAACAAAAACTGATTTAAAAAAATATAAAGATAAGTCAATTCCTTTAAGGAGGTGAAAGAGTTGAATGCTTGGTATGTATATATTCAAATATTTTAGGATAAAAATTAACAACCCTTCGTTTCTTAATAACCGCCAACAAGTCCATTTATTCCTTAACAGCCAATAAGTCCATTTGCGGCATAACCATCCAAAATATTTTAATAACCTTAAATTCCATCTAATATACCCGCTCAAAATTAACAAAAGCCAAATAGTCTTCAAGATGTCTTAAAAGATTAAGCAAATAAAATGTTAGTAAATAAGATAGCCATCAAAAGATAAGAAATTAATGATACAAGCGGTAACAAAGAGACAGCGTATTTTTTATTATTTATATAAAAGTGTGAAAACTATAAAAGGATTTAAGATCTAAATTAAAGAATATGGAAAAATAGTCACATTAGAATCAGAAGATGGATCATTCAAAGCTACATTTTTAGAAGAAAATGCTTCAGAAGTATTCATTTTCTTTCATTTATTAGGCCGAACAAGATAATATTGTCTTATCTTTTAATGATATTATTTAGTCCCCAGAAACATAACTTAAATTAGCTATGGGAAGGAATCCATCATAATCAACTAAAGTTCTTTTCTTATCAGGTTTTAAAGGAATTGCTATCAAATGGGTAACTGGACTCTAAACTAAGTTTTAATTCTGGCTTGATGAATGAATATTTAATTATCACATAATCATTAATTATTATTAAAATATTATATTAAGATAACTTTATATTATATGGATATATAGCTTCTATTTTCGACGAATCTATTATTTCTAATTGATAAAATCTCAATAAACCTTATTCTGTTTGAGCTTTAACAACTTTATGATTAAAATATTAAAAAATTTTAGAAATCAAATGTGTTTTTAGATAAATTTCTTTCCATCCTTTTTTTTTGAAATTCGTTATTTTTAAATGCTGCATTACATTCATTAATATGAATAAGAAGACATCATAAAACTATTTTTTAATTTATTATTAATGATTTTGTCTGAAAGGAATAAACCAAGTATTCTGCTGTAAAGAAAATACAAACCTATTTCTTTATCTTAAGTTTTGAAAAAACCACTTATTGTTAAATCTTTGCCTCCTATTTATGTTTCTCCTTAATAGAGAACATCCTAGAAAAAAGAATAAAAATTAGAAAATAGCTTCTCTTAAAGACCTCCATAACCTTAAATTTTCAATAAATTTGAAGGCATAGGAGCTGTAGGATTATCACTTAATCCAATATAAAAGTAGCCTTTTTATTAATAATATGTTTTAATGAGCAGTAAAAAACTTGCTATATAAGTCTCAAAAAAGTATAATATACACAACAAAATTAATATATATAATTTACAAAATTACTCTTAGAAATATTATACAGAATCTCAGGCTGACAAAGCAAATAAATGGTCATAAACAACATTTGATGAAGAATAATTATTAGAATATTTAAATAATTGAAAATAGTCATTTATTTTCACACTGAAATTTTTATCAATATGATGATTTTGTATGATTAATTTTTCTATTTTGGTGACAATAATTATAAACAATAATTTTCGTCATTCTCATACTTTTAGACTTTTAGATATGTGTGTTAAGAAATATAATTGCCTAATTTGTATCAGTTTCTTCGAAAGCAAAAGTTAATTAGTTTAAAATCTTCTATTAAAGATAAATGTTCTTCAAATAATTAAAACTCATTTTTATTAAAATCAATTACAGTTTTCCTAGAATGATGTAGACAATATCATAAAGAGTCATTTCAAGTAACAACAACACTATTTTGAAATTGGAACTTATCAATTAAATCAGCTATTACTTTTCTGTTTTAAATTTAGGATCACATAACATCAAGAAGTTCATTCAGTATAGCATAGTAGTTTATCCTTCTCTTTAGCTAATTTAAAGTTCCTTCCAATTTCTTTTTAGTTGCTATTCAAAGTCAACCTAAGTTGCTGTATTTGAGTATCCTTTGATCAAATAATTATTTTAAAGCGACTGCGATTGCTTGTTGTAGACTGCAGTAACAAGTAGGATTCCATAACTCTCTCTATTCTTTTTTGGCTATAAAACTAATCATTTTGGTATCTCATTATTTAGAGATTCAAATTCTGATTAATTGTAGTTTTGTGCAAATTCTTTTTATAAAGCATTTTCAATTTTTAAAGAGATGATCTGATGCTTCTTATATTTTGTCAAATTCAATGTCAAATACTCTAATCATTGAATGATTGAATGATTGATCATTAATTAAAACTACAATCAGTTTGATGCTGTAAATGATTTGAGGACAGAACATAATCTGTTCTAAAACTGATGTATAAGTGTAATCGCCTTCTTTTATAGCAAATTATTTATTAATCCAAATTCTAATCGATCCTTTTGTTAAGCCTTCACAATAGTAATCTTCTTTCCTTATTTGAGGAAACTATTTCAATATAGTGATCTTATTTAGAATATTGTCAGACTATAAAGAACTTCTCTTGTCATTGTTTTTAATCTCATTTGATTTATTGATAAATAATAAAAATCAAAATTGTTTGATTATTTTTGTAAAATTTAATAATTTGAAATAAAAATTTATGTAATTTATTTTCATTTTAATGCTTTAAGCAACTATGCTAACATAACTGCATTTGAAACAATTATTTTAAGAGCTAAATTTTTTTCAGAATTTGAATTTTATAAAATATCTTTTATCGATTACTTTAGAGTATTTTATAATTAAAAATTTTTATAATTGTGATTCTAATATCCAACCTAAGATTGAGCGTAGACAAATATTGAGTTATTCGTTTTTACATCATAAAAAGGAATATCTTTCACAATTTATATCTTTTATTAAGTTTCTTGGCTAATTTTGGGAAGTAATCCCCAATCTAACTAAAGCGAAATTCATTCCAAGAAATTTCAAAAGTACAACAAGGTTTAGATTACATTATTTAAAACTAAAAGTCATGATTTAAAAGTTCGCATATAATCAAGCAAAATAAAACAAAACATTAAATCACCTATTGGCGAGTCCAAACACATTCTTTAATGGGCTTTAGATCGTTTTGTTATTCAGTGAGAAGGATTTAAAGATCGACATCTTGAAATTGAACTATCTTACAAAGTGTTATTTCAATTTCTTGAGTTTTGGTGTATCTTATATATATTAATTTCCACATTAACGTAATCTTTGGCACATTAAATAACAGTGTTTATCGTTAACTCATCTAGGTACTCAGTTTGCAATGCTTTCTTGATAGTTGACACACTCACCTTAACATAATCAACATATGCTATTTAGTTCATTCATAAATATATTTTAGTTAACATTTCCAGCCTATAAATATCACTTATTAGTTTTTATAATTTAAGAAAACTCACTCGTTTCATCATTTTTTAATATTAAATTTGTTATTTCTTCTCTTCATACGGATCGCTATATGTAAAATCTGTTTCGTCACAACCTGAATTTAGTTCATTTAAATTAACTTTTCTCACTACCTGTATTAGCTTATTCTCAGAGAATGTGTTTAAATAATTAAGCAAATCTAATATAGGATGTTTAATATCAACTAAGTTTTGAAAAAATACAACAACATCTAAATACGGAGCATGAGACGCTAAATATTAGATGAAAAATTAATGGATTTTGTCAGATTGGACTAATCTTCTTTTAATTGCGTGAGTTCTTAAGCAACTCTTTATATTTCCTATTGTCTTGCAGATTATTTTTAAGGCCAAATGATTGGAAGAATATCCATTGGGTTTAGTTTATTCATTAAAATACATATTATTCAAAGATAAAGCAAACAAAAATGAGATAAGTATATATTTAGCAAGAATAATGTATTTAGCTTTTTAGCTAAACTCAAGTTGAGTTACTAATATCAAGGCAATTAATTCTAAAGCCTACTTAAAATTAAATGCAAAATAAAAAAAATTTAATTCTACTTAATAGATTCTTCAAATAAAGAAGATGATTTATTATAATCTAAATTGAAATTATTAAAATTTGATAAGTCAACCTTGCCTTTTATTAGGTTTTAGTTACGACTGAATTGTATTTGCTAACTTAATAAATTCAGTCAAGTATGTTGGCGTGATGCTGGCAACATTAATATTTGCATTTTCTAATTTAGTTCGCATATTAACAATCTCATGCAAAGGAATAAGGCTTGAAATATCAGTAAAGGACTCTTATTGTTCATATCTATCTGTAATTTAGGAAAAATGGGTTGGACTTATAAAGCTTGATTTCTGAGGTGACATTATTCCACTAAATTAGGTTATCGAATATTAATGACCCTTAGCTGGGAATTATAAGTTGTTTTATTAAGGTGGAGGTGATAACGAAGATATTGATTATATTCTAGGTCTAACTTATGGAATATTTACTTTTAATGCAATCCATTAATTTTACTTGGAGACGAATTTTGATTGCTTTTACCTGACTTAAATAGAAAGGAATCGTTTTATTTTGCTTTCTTACTACTGTATTCTTATAGTTTATTTACTAGATTGTTTAACGAAGGAGCACTGTTTATTCAACTTATAAATACTTAGCTTGATCCCTCTTTATTGGAGTCTTCCTTTGACTTTCAATTCCATTTTTTTAAGGGTCAAATCTTGTTTCTACAGGAGACTTTGAGTATTTATCGACCAATCTTTCCCTGTATAACTTTAGATTAAAATTTAACGATTCACTCATTAAGTATATTTAATTAATGACAATTTAATTATCACTCCTATTCATCTACAATTAATTATTCCATTTCAGAATCGACAAACACTTCATTTATGATGGATTCAGTCTTGTCCTTTAATGACAGTCTTGGGAAATTTTATATTAAGTCAATTTTGGCATGTGGATCATTAAAGCAATCGTCTTCTTGACTTTCTACAAAATCAAATAACACCTATCTTTAGAATTCATTTATACTTAGATTTTATCACTAAAATTGAATCTCCTTGTTCGAGTAGCATTTACAAATCTGAATAGTATTGATATACCTTAAGTATTGGCTGGTTCCTCGGGTAAATTTGATAATAACTAGGCTTTTTTCAATAATCTTTACTCCTTATATGTAATAATATTTTTTATACTTCTTTTTGCTATTATTCAATTTATTTGGTTTATTCTTATAATCTTTATTCTTCATCCCTTTATTTTTTCAACATTGCCTATTGTTCTGCAAAACGATAAGCTTCTTTTTATTGTTGAATTAATAAATCTCTTTCTCTTTAGTCCTCCTTTTACTTTTGCACTTGCACTTGCGTTTGTTATTATTGTTAAATATATTGGAAAGGGTGTTAATTATTGTAATAGTAATTTAAGTTCGGCTAATTAGGAGAATTGACTTCTTTTTTGAGATTTTCTACATAAATGTATTCTTTATTGAAAGCTGCCCTAATTGTCTTAATCCTTTAGGCAGTTACTTCAAAATTGGTATCCAAAGATAAAGAAATTTGTTCCATTAAAACAACTTCATCCACAATATCTAATTTGTAAATTAAAATAGCTGGAGGTTCTGGTTTATTTGGAAATTATTCATTAACTTATGGACTATTCAACAACCCGAGTATTGAATAATTTCTATTAAGATTTGCTACAAGGCTTTTGCAATCAGACATTTTTTGCAATACCAATAAGTTTTAATGATTATGTAAATAGACTAATAATGGCCTTGTTTCTTCATTTGCTTTTTTCAACTTTTCCTAAAAGTTTCCAGATTAAAACGCAATCTGTGTTTGAATCTACTGTTGTTAGAGGTATTTCAAGAATTCATTCCCATAATTAGGTGCATTTTTGACTATATAGGAACTTAAATATTACAAAAATACGAGACGAGACCTGCGCCTATTCGAAAAGTTTTATTGATTATGCCTTCCTTGGCTCTCTTTTCTTCCTGATATTTCCTATATTTTTCAATTAATGCATCATCTTAAGGTTATCTTCTCATACTTTAATTAGAATTTTAAACTCTTCCTACCTCTATAAGAAATATATTGTACCCTATGGAGTTTCTTAACTGTTTGACCTCTATTATAATTAATCTTATTATGGTTTCTATTGTGTGCCTTGACTTTGAACTCCCTCAAAATCAAAATAGAGTTGTATTGCATTCTAAATAATAATGTTGTAATACATCAAGCTTATCTTAAGCCATCTAAATGTATGATTATGCTTTCTAATAATCCTGGCATCCAGTTATGGCCATGAAATTATTTATGTTCTCTTCAGAATCAGATGGCTGCATTTTTTATATATTTTTAATTATTATAGTCAAAGGTTTAATAGAATGGAATATAGTCTATATTAATTAATTATATATTCTGATAGTTTAGTTTTGAAAAAATTTAAACGGTTTTCTTTTATTCATATGAATGTAAATGAGTGAATTTTGTAAGAGACAGCAACAGAATACGTGGGATTTACTGTAAATCATTAATTATTTATAATTAATATTCGAAATTTATTTTATTATATTTATAGAATCTGCACATTTAATTAATATTGGTTACTGTTTATTAGTTATGATTGGAATAATACAAATGATATTTATATGCTAAACGATTTTAATTAGCTACAATGATAAGGTAATTTTGGAAATCAAAAAAGTCTTAAAATAAATAAAAAAAAATTGAACTATTTAAAAAAAACTCATTTTAAGTAAGTATTTCCAAATGTATGAAGAAAATAACCTGCCAAGATAGTTAATCAAATATCAATATTTTTCTAAATTATATGATCAAATTCGATAATTAGTTTTACTTAAATTTATAATAGAAATTTAATAATGCATAAAGCAAGTAATATTTCATACATACATACATAATATTCAATTTGAATTTCATAGTATTTAAGCTATATTGAAAAGATTTAGAGATGGTGGATGGCACCTAAATTATTGATAATTCCAAACTATTGTAAATAAAAAAGGAATATAAGGATGCTTTAATGTAATCAATAGGTTAGCTTCTCTATATGTTAATTCAAAAAAAATAGATTAGTTTATAATTTATAATCCTCCGAATAATCAGGTCAGTATAAATGGTTTGCCTTTATCAAATAAAGATCGTTTTGGAAGACATTAGAATATGATTTATAATTATACAAATTTAATAAATACTTAATCTTCAAATTTTGGGAAAGTGAAAGGAAAGGAGTTCGATGAATCGAATTTATTTGAAAACAGGTGATAAACAAATACAATTTTAAGAAATGAATTATTGCGTTTTAGTTTGTAAGAGTAATTAAAGAATAATTGAGGGTGTTTAATTAAATTACATATATATTGATACAAAATGAATATGATGATAGAATTAAGATTGTCTTATATTTTTTTGTCATCCAATTTACATATTGAATGTGCATAAATCATTTCTTATAGGTTCCTATATCCCTATTATAATTTGATGTCTAAAGACTGATGCCCATATGAAGTAGTGCGTCTTAGGAGAATTGAAGACTCTGTTCTAATAAACATCAATATTTTTAAAGTAGCATAATTTCTACCAGAAATTTTAATTAGAATCAATCTATTAAGTTTAATGCAAATTAAAAGTGCACTTTTGTTTATGCTCGTAGTTCGATCGTGGCAATCGGAACAAAATACTTGCGTTTGTGGTCATTTAAGCAATTAGGAATAGTGTGCTAAATCAACAATTTGTCAATGGGATGGAAATATTTGTGTTTTGAAAGAGGCCTATATTACCACGTAAAGTTAATTGGATCCTTCAAACTGTAAAATATATCCCTAAGAGAAGTGCAGTACGTTAGAAAAATGTGGATTTTACTTAAATATGTGTACTGAATTTAAGGATTGCAGCGTATTTTAGAAAGATTAGTGTTCTGAATCTTCTTATAGATGTGTGAGTGATGGGGAGAAATGTGTAGAAGTAAAAGAATGCGAAGACTATTTGACCAACGTAGCATGTTAAAATAAGAACATTCACGGTAAATATTGCAGTTGGGGCATATCAATTAAACCGAATTGTCAGGAAATTAAAGATTGTACCTTTTTGCCTGAATACTTTAAATCAGACTAGGAATGCAGACAAGGTCTTTCATATTGTACAGTAAGCAAAAAGTCTTAAGGATGTCAAGAGAGTGGGGAAAATTGTGTAGATCACCAGAATGAAAATTAATGTATAACTAATAGATCTCAAACAGTCAAGTGCTATTGGGATACAATAACTTTATTATGCAAAGAACTAAAGTGCGAAAATATCACAGGATATACAGATGAGAGTTGTAAGAAGATATTGCCTGAATGTACTACAAACGGGATAACTTGTACGGAGAGGAAAAATTGTGAGGATGCCTAAAATATTGAGGGGTGTATCACAGACAAAAAAAATAATAAATGTGCATTTTATAATAAGGCTTGTATGATTAAAACTTGTTCTACTGCCTCGTCATAATATTCAAATTATTATCTTTGTTAAGGATACGACGATAAATTAGACTGTGTAAGTGTTAAAGGAGGAGGTTGTAAGAAGAGACCTGCTGCATGTGAAGATTTTGAATAGCAACTCGATTGTGATTTATAGGAATCTCTGGGATGTATTTGGTATGGTGATTAATGTTTGGTTAGATAATGTTCTTATGCTCCTTAAAAATACAATTAAAGTGACTGTAAGACATTTGGATAATGCATTGGGAAAACTGGAGGTGGCTGTCAAGATTGGCCAGAAACATGCGATTTGATATTGTAATAGGAATTTTGTGAGTTCGATAAGGAAGGAAATTGGTGCAGATGGACTGACGGTACTTGCTTATAACTAATGTGCACTAATTTTAAATATCCAAAATACGATTCTCATACTAAATGCCAACTCTTAAGTAAGAAATGTACATACAGTGTTCAGTTTGGAAGTTGCGTAGATTATTTATGTGAAACAGTTACTGATGATATGCCTTGTCAAAAGGATTATAATAATAATAAATGCATAAAGAGATTTGGATGTACAGAAAAAAAATGTTCAAATGCTCCAGTTGCAATGAATACAAACACTTAGTGTGAGGGTTGGCTAGCAAATTGCACAGTTAATGTATTGGTGTTTGGTTCAGTCCAGTCCATCAGAGGATGCACAAAGAAGAAGGCATAATGCAAAGATTGTTATGAATAATAATGTGTTACAACTGTTATTGGCGAAAAATGTAAATGGTCTTCAAATAAATGTATTCCTAAATTATGTTCCGATGCAGAGATTACAATAATTACTAACGAAGATTGCTTAAGATACAAACCTTAAGGAGCTGCAGTTCCCTGTATTTTAAAAGTTGCTGGAGCTGGCTGTTAAGATTGGCCTGTAATATGCAGTGCTTTAGGGAATGAGGTTCAATGTAATTACGGATTGTATAATGGCACAAAATGCTATTGGAACGGGGCAGCGTGTAAGGACAGAACTTGCAATAATGCTATAGATACTATAAACTCGAATTTTCTATGCGTTCAATATAATCCTATATGCATATTAGATTCAGATTAACTGGGTTGCAAACTTAGACCTAGTAACTTACAATGTTCTGATGCACCTGATTCCCCACTATATGATTCCCATGAAAAATGTTTTGTATGGAATAATAAATGCACTGTTTAACCAGTCGTAGGTTGCTATTAGAAATAAACCTTGTGTTCTAATTATTTAATCAATTAATGTAATTATACCATTACAGGATAAAAATGTAAATGGGTGTCTGGTTCATGTGGACCTTTGAATTGTGAATTGAAGGTAGATACAGTTTCAGTATACAATAACTTTTGCGAGACCTATGATATTAATTGCACCGTAAAAACACCCACTACTTGTATACCATTAAAAACAAATTGTTCTCAATATGTTGAAGAATAATCTTGTGTTATCAATTCAACTTACGAAAAATGTAAATGGATTATATCATCTAATACGTGTACTGATTATACGTGTGAAATGAATACAACTGCAACTACTGAATCCTAGTGTTTCGCTATGAGATAAGGGTTTAAATGCTAATTAATAATGAATTCTGATGGAACTTATGGTCCTGGCTGTGAAACTAGAAAGACTAGTTGCAGTGGGCTAGTGTAGGTAGTTTGCAATAAAACAGTGCTATAAGACGGATCTAGATGCTATTATAATTCTTCCTCTTGCACAATCTTAGGTAGTGAAAACTGCAGTGCAATTCAAACAGTGGGGTAATATTAACACCATATTTGCTTATATTATGCTTCTTATTGCATAGGGGATATATCAGGATAGTTAAATAAATGTTAGCATAAATATTATTGTGGGTATTTCAATAATGCACTGTGCAATTATATGATGTCAAATTATGACGAATGTACCATAGACTATTACTCGAATACATGTCGAGATAAAAAGTATTGTTCAAGTTATCCATAAAACTAATGCTCTTACACTTCTTTAAGTGTGAGATGTGCTTGGTAGTCAACTTACTCTTATTGTTATGAATACGGTTGTTCCACGATCACAGCAAGTACGGACTCTAGTTGCCAAGCTTCATCAACTATGTGTAGATATCCTGGTAGCGGGACATCTTGTTCTCTTGTATATTATTGCTCTGATGTTTAATATAGAGCCTCAACTTGTTCAAGTACTATAACCTATTATAATGAAAGATGCTATTATGATGGCACTTATTGTGTATCTAGGATTTGCAGTCAATTAACTTATCCCTCCGATAATTAATAGTGCTATAAATGGAGGAAGGATTGTATTTACTCAAGTAGTTATACATATTGTATAAGTGGGTCATGTTCATATTTTACTGATGTCTACTAATGTTTTAGGAACAACTGTTATTATTAATATGGCTATGGTTGCACTTCATAAATCATGTGTAATTAAAACTCTAGTGCAACCAAGAACTATGATTGTGAGCTAATAAGTCCCATTTGCAAACTGAATTATAGGAATGGTCAGGGATGTGAATATAGATCTTGTAAGGATATTACAAGTTCATCAGTTTGTAATAGCTCTCGTAATTTTCATTGGGTGTATTGTTAATATACTTCAGGTTGTGTGCATATGACTTGTGATTAAATTACATTATAATCCAAATGTCAACTTGCCTATGGCTATTATAACACAGCAGAAACATACGTGGCTAAATGTTACTGGTGTGATAGTCTTTGTTCCTACTCTAATACATGTGCATTAGGCTCGACACAACTCCCAGTATCACACGATGAGTGTCAATATTTGAATCCCACAAAAACCATCGCTTCAGATACCTTTAAATGCACTTTAAAACTTAATAATTGCAGTGATTATCACTATTACAGACAATGTGAATACACAGTTACTGGGTAGAAGTGTTTTTGGGATAGAAATCAATCCCCTTCTTGTTTTGATTATTGTCTTACGAAGGTTCAAGCAGGTTTAACTCATGCTCAATGTTAAGCATATCATCCTCAATGTGTGGCTAATGCAGCTTCAAATAAATGTATAAACTTAGTCTGCTCAAGTTTTTCAACTAGTTTGAGTTGCAATAATTTAACAACTTTGTGTATGTGGGAGCCAATCGATTCTGTCTGTGTTAAATATGAGACCTATTTATATTGTCATAGATTTGGTATAGAGGCGGATTGCAACTCTGGTAAAAATACTAGTAATAATGGATGTCTATGGAATTCAACAAGTTCAAAGTGCGAGGATAGAACATGTTCTAATTATGTTGGTGTTCCTACCAGTTTAGAAGACTGTGATAATTGGCTAAAGAATTGTCAATTTGATTCCACTAATAATGTGTGTGTGGCTGATTGTTCAAGTGCCCCAAAATCAAAATAGTATGATACTTTAGAAGAATGTGAATAATATTATTAAGATAAAATATGCACAATTGTTCCAGGGGTCAAGAAATGCCAATCCTTATTCGATGATTGTTCTTCCTATTTGATTGATTCAATGTGTTAAATTGATAGTGCATATAACCCTTGTTTTTGGAGCATCCCATTGACGAAATGCTTTTCTTTAAATAGTTGTCTTATATTAGAGACAATCAATGATACGCATTTAAAATGTAATACTCTATGGAAAAATTGTACTGTGAATACTTCTTTAGCTGGATGCATCGAATTGGATGATTGTGCTAATTATACAATAGAAGATCAGTGTGTTATCGACAAAAATAACATTGATTGCTAATGGTTTCAAAGTAAATGCTATATTAAAAGTTGTTCAACTGCTCCTCTAGTTCTATACACACCCACCGATTGCCAAGCATATTTTCCATAGTCGATATGTACAAGCAATAATGATTCGGATGCATGTTTTGAAGGTCACAATGTTTGCAAGAAATATCCAATGTAGGCTTGTAGTTTACCAGGATAAATGAATACTTCAGGAGTTCCATGCTTTTGGGATTCAAATTAATCAAGATGCAGAGAAAAAGTATGTAGTAATGCTCCATCCAAGTTCGAAACCACCGCATAATGTGAAGGCTTCCTTTCGAATAAACAATGCTAAGTTATTGGATGTAAGTAAGTTGAATGTGAGGATTTTCCTTTTAGAAATGATGAAACTTGTAGAATTGCAATGGAGAATTTCAGGTGTACTACTAATGGATACGAGTGCATCGAAAGAACCAATTGTGAAGATGCAACATTAGAAGATGCTTGTACTTTCGATTATTAAATGAATGAATGCCAATGGACTGATTATCCTGTGTATTAATGTGTGTAAAAAACATGTGCTACTGCTCCTGTTGAATTGAAAACTCATATTGAATGTCAAAATTATCTCAAGGGATGCACTAACAAAATTGAAGGGGGATGCACTAATCTGAAAACTTGTCCAGAAATCATTACTTAAGATGGTTGCAAAATTGATATTAACAATGAAGAGTGCTTATGGGATTCCTTTTATGAAAAATGCTTCCCCAACCATTGTTAGGGATTTTGTGGGGATGGCATGATTTAACTGCCTCTAGAAGAATGCGATGATGGTAATTTTTTACCTTATGATGGATGCTATGATTGTAAAATCCAATGTCCTCTCGGATGCAATGATTGCAATGGTAAGATTTGCCAAAAATGTAATGAAATTAAAGGTTACTATTATAACTCAGCCACATAATAGTGTTAAACTAAATGTGGAGATAAGATAGTTAATGGATAAGAGTATTGTGATGATGGAAATGATATTGAGTATGATGGTTGTTATGAATGCTAGTATTCTTGTGATATCTATTGTGTTAACTGTTATCAAGGAGAATGTATTGAATGTCCGAAAGGGTTCAATCAAAATGGACCATATTGTTTAAGCAAATGTGGGGATGGAATCCAAAATCCCATTTTTGAGGAATGCGATGATGGTAATATTAGACCTAATGATGGATGTGATTCGAATTGTTTCGTAGAATCAAATTGGAAATGCAAAGTAGTATCATCTCTAAGTGAATGTTACTATCTGGTTTATCCTAAAATCGTTCTTACTTTAATGACAAAATAAACAGAGTAAAATCAGGATGTCAAAGTGAGTTTTTCTGAAAAAGTCAAACTAAATAGCACTTCAATTACTCCTGATGACTTTCTAAGTTAAATCCAAATTCTTATCACAAACAAAGACTCTGTTGATTTTTCTTTTAATATAGTACCCATTAAACCAATCTCCTATGAATTAGATGATGCCTCCTATAGAATTACACTAACTATTAAAGAATAGATTTTGAAGCCAAATCTAAGAGTTATAATAAAATCAATATATCTAGTAAATCAATTTGATAATACGTTATTTATAGAACAAGATGATATAATATTGAATGACTCATTTGTAGTATCTGAAGACTCAAAATCTGTAGCAGCTAATGCAGCTTTTTTGAGCTAACTTATTATTTACTCAGTTTTAGCATTGGCAATAGTTTCCTTTCTTAGTGGAAACTTAGAAATATTATTCAATTTAATCGATGTTTTATAATAATTATCATACATTAGATACATAAATATTAACTTTCCATACCATTTAGATTTATATTTTGATGTATTCAACTTTGTTACATTGCAACCTCTGCTTGAATATGTTTAATTTAATTCTTTTGTTGAGGGTTCCTTAAATTTGGAAACTCCAGAAATATTTCCTTCAGGCAAATTCAATTTGTTTGGAGTGAATGCATATTTTGGAGTTAATTTTTAAAGTTTCTTAATTTGCATGACTGTGGGTTTTGCTAATTACTTCCTTTCCATAATTATAACTTATATTTTAAAAAAACCAACTGTGGGTTGGGGTGATACTCCAAGCAAAATTTCGAGATACTTTTATCTTCTAATCATGAAGGCCTATCAGTTACTATTTACTACTGCCTTTTCTTACATGCAATACTTTTTCTTTTCAGGAATAATTAGAATTTTCTTATCAAACTATTATGATTTAACATTTTCAGCATTGCTGTAAGTTATGAATTTCAACACCTAATCAACTTTACTAAAGTGGAGTTCCCTTTTAGCAGCTGTAACCTTGTTGATAAATGCCTCTTTGATCTTGATATTTTATGCCTCATTGTCAAAGAAAAATGTATTCTAGAAGAGTCTATATGTATTAGTTGATGGATTAAATATTGGAAGGAATAAATGGAACAAACAATTTAACACAGTAACTTTAGTAAAAAAATTGTGTTTTATTTACACACTAGTCTTACTTCAAGATAGTCCAATATTTTAGACTTTATTGATTTCCTTCATTTCTTCAATTTTTGCTATTTATGTTTTACTATTATAACCTTTCGAGCATCAATTTGAAAACTATAAAATTATTGTGACTGAATTTTGTGTCAGTTTCAATACTTGTTCATTTTTAGTTTATTGCTCCAAAGAAATATTCTATAATAGTGAAATGTCAGACATGCTTGGATGGTTAAATATTTTTATCTTTAGTTTTATCTTAACATTTAGTTTAGCATTGGATTCCTATTCTTAGATTTTATAGCTAAAAAGAATATTTGACAAGATGTTATAACCTAAAGTCAAAAGTAGTAACTAAATTAAAATTTAGTCAACAAAATTGTTCACTGTTGTGGGAGATAACGAAGTAAATTTTTGAATATTAAAAATTTAACGTAAATTAAAATTATCAATTTATCTATTAAAAAATCTTTTATGCTCTTATCTTAAGACTTGATTTCATTAATTCTAACTAGGGCTTCAATTTTTCTGATTCGTATTTCTAAGATTATTTTATTAAGTCCAAATAAGCCTGAAATTCGGTTTAAAAATTTCTATTGTTTTTAAGCAACGAAAGTTAAGGTTTAAGCCTTGAGAGATTTTCTATTGCAAATTCTAATTTTAGTTTGATTTCTATGTCCTTCAACATATTTGAGATCATCTCAGTACAATCATGATCATAGTCGGTTCTACTTGCCAACTCCATTTTAGCTATTTGAGTATATAGTAATTTAAATTCTTCCCTAGATTTCTGCTTCCTTTTTTCTGCAGATGTTTACTACTGTAATGCTAATAATTTACATCTAACAGAGTCATATCCTTATCTAAGCACTGAGGTCCAATTTCGTTTAATTTATCATTGTATTCTTTGAATTAGAGTAAAAGCTCTTATTAGCTTTGCAACCTTTTAACTTAATCTTTTGCTTTGTCAATGTATTACTGTACATTCTTCTCATTATAATTAGTGAATAGAAATAATTGCTTTTGAATTATTAGATCCTCAGCATTTTAACTATTTTGATTAATAATATTTTTAATTACATTTGTTTGACTTCTACATGCTTTTTTTAAGCTTCTTCTCCAGCCATTCTATTAAGTTCTTTTAAGAACGCTGCAAATAATATGAATCATTTAGTTACATGTCTACTCTAATTTTTCATCTGTATTAAGAGGTTCAAAAATTCTTGGTTTCTTCCTGGCACTTGTATTGGTTTATTCCACAATAGAATTTCCAACAGCTGTAGGCTTCTGGTCAATTGTTTTTTGAACTTTGACATTTTAATTAACTTGAGGTTGAGCCTTCTAGACATTTTGAGTAGGCTATTACACTTATTTATTGAAAGATTAATCAGGTAACTTTACTTCCTTGAAGTTATCAACATTTTCTATTTTAAAGTTGATTGTTTTTTTTTCTAGTGATTGTACTGAATTTTCAATGATAGTGCCTGTTTTTTTTGCTACAACAGCAGGTTATTCACTAATTAAGGAGGACTTGTTTTAAAAGGTCATGTCTTATTCTGATTCTGAGAGTGAGTTCATAGGATTATAAAAGTATCGATCATCAATAGAAGAATCTGGAGAATACATAATAAATATTTATGTAAATAATTACAAATAATAGTTAATGTACAGAATATATATAAACTAATAAATCTCTTGCGGGGCAAGATATCGTTTCTCTACTCAAAGTAACTTTGCAATTCTTTCTTTCCATATTTCTATATTTTTGGAATTTTATTAGTTTTTTCATCAATTGGAGGAAATCTTTGTGCTTCCTCTCCGTCTTCAAACAGAATCACAGTCGGCAATTACCTAGACATTTCACTTGTATTGATCCTATAACATTCAGCCAATCTTGGTATTTTAGCTAAGTTAATTGAAATAAACTTCAATCCTTTTGTTGTATGATATAAAATATATTATTATTTGATTATGTATTTACATGAAAAATTAGCCCAAATTTTCCTTAGTCTTTTAATGAATATAAATAAAATAGTACATAATTACAAGTATCTGCCCAATCTACATAAAACTCAGCGAAAACCATTTCAGTCATTTTGTAATTTTATATTTTCTTATTGTTTTTTTCCTTCCCTCTTTATTTCTTAGTAAATCTCTCATTCAATTCTTCAATTATATCTCCATCTTCATTATCCCTAAATTTGACTCCAACCAATTCTTCAAATTCCTAGATCTCTTCGATATCTTAGATTTTTGTCTTGCCATTAAATTTAGGTTCACTACACAAAACAAATATCGCCAAACAAGCACCTCTATATAATAAACTAATCTTAGCGTCCATAAATAAATTTAATATAACAATTCTTTATTTAATATTATACTTATCATATCAAATTAAGTGTTTGATCAATTGAATCTAATTTAATTAATTACTGAGCGATTATTATACATCTAAAACAAAACTTCATATCAATAATTTTTATCTTTTAGCTTAAGGGAGTAATTATTTAGATTCATGATCAAAAAAATCATAATTATAAAGAAGAAAAAATTCAAATAATCTTTCCCATTACCTCATCATAAGTGTAAGGGAAAAATCTTAGTAATCGTTCAGACTCTGCTATAGCCATCCATGATAATTAGTAATTATTTTATCTGGCTTAGTTTGTATTTGTATGGGGGATATCAGTAAGCTGAAGGCATTTTGTAAGACTTTTATAAACTCAATATAAATAATGATACCTATGTTAGGCAAATATATATCATAAAATGCGAATATGAGCCTGGTCCTCGCTGTCGCCATTCACTTTATGCTTTCAAGGGTTGTCTTTATTCGGAGGATAAATATAATAATTAGAATCACAATCACGCTATAGCTGATTCTATATCCAAAATGAAATATTTGTTCATGATATCTTTCAAACATTTTTGAAAAAACTTGAGATAAACGACTATTTTTTCATAACCATTAGATAGCTATAGTTTTATTGTTTATAATGATAAATTTTTTATATTTGGAGACTTTTACAATTCTGATATTTGCAAGCATTTTAGTGATTTATATTCATTTAATTTCAATCTAAATAATTAGATTAAATTGAATAGATCCAAAGGAAGGCAATCGTCTCCGAGAGATGTTAGTTCTATAGCTATTTATAATTAAATTCTATATTTGTTTGGAGGAAAGAATGGTGATTAAAGATTCAATGATTTATGACAATTTGATTTTTAATTTAAGAATGGAAGTTCATCCCCATTTTGGTTTGAGTGATATTCCCTCGAATGGATCTGGGCATTCACTTGTAGCATATGAAAGTTAACTAGTACTTTTTGGAGGAATACATGATATAACTTGGAAATTGGATGACTTACTAGCTTTTAATATAAATAAGAATGGAAACCAATTAATTAAGATACTTCTCAAAGAAAGGAAATTGAAGTTCCTTCTCCTACTAAATCTATTCAATGTCAGTAGAGTAAAAGAATTTCTTTCAAGTTAACACCAATAATCAGACCTATTAGTTTAAGAAAGCTTCATGTTAAACACCTAAAAAAGTAAGATCCTAAACTCAATCTTAACAAATATTATTTTCCTAAGAATTAGAATATAGTAATGAATGAGGCTAATAAAAACAAGATTCTTCCATTATTTCTTCAATAAATTATGTTCAAGAAAGAAAGAATCACAAAGCCTTAAGAAAAAGTCTGCGATGATAAAACTGTACGATGTTGAAACCAATTAATGAGGTTCATTTTAAGATGATTGCAATATTACAGAAAATTAAAAAAAAACTTCAATACTTTTAATTGTAAAACCAAAATAGGATTTATACTAACAAAAGGAACATTCACTGAATTTGGAAAATAAATAATATCCAAATATTATTTGTTTTTAATTCTAGATTTATAATTCCTCTTGTAATGGTAAAATTTAATCAACGGGTAAAAACCATGTGCTCGTGATGGATATGTAATTGTAGTGTTTGAAAATCAAATGGTTCTATTTGGAGACGATAGACACACCATGACTTTTAATGATCTCTATATTTTAAAATAGATATATGAATTGTTATTGATCTTACTATAATTTTAGTATCAATAATTTATATATTATAAATCAGGCAAAATATAAATAAGATATTAAGTATTACATTTGGTTATCCTACAATTTCATAGATGACCTGAAGAATTAATCCAAATTATTGAAATATTTTGGAGTTACATAACTTAGATGAAGGTTTCTTTGCTTTGTTGATTCAATATTAAATTTACATTTTAATTATAAATTATGCAAGAAGTTATTGATTATGATGGCCTTTCATAAAACTTAAATTAATGTCCAATTTGTTAAGAACAAAAGGAAGATAATTCTGAATTAAAGTGTAAGCATGTATTTTGCAGGTTTATTTGTTAATAACATTAGAAAATGTTTAGAATAGTATTTAAATGTAAAAATAGATGAAGGAATAGTAATGCAGATTAAATGTCCTTCCTGTCTGTATGAGCTCTCATATGATGAAGTTGTTTCAAATATTGAGAAAATCAAACTAGACAAATATGCAAAATTAAGAACACTGTAATATGGTGAGAGTGATCCCACATTAAGACACTGTCCTAATAAATAATGTGAGTTATATGTTCTTCTGGATTCCAAAAGATGCTAGTGTGGATAAGAAATTTGTGTTGATTGTGGGAATTAATACCATGGACTGAGCAGTTGTGATGAATTGATGGACTCAATATTTGTATTAGACAGTAGACAAGAAAAAATATAAAGGTGTCCAAAATGCAAAATCGTAGTTCAAAAAGAAGGCGGATGCAATCATATGACATGTAAGAGGTGTGAATATTAATTCTGTTGGATTTGCAGGAGAAAATACACATGTATTTTGTTTAAGAAAATAATGTAGAATAACATTATAATAATTACAACTATTTTTTCGGATGTCCAAATAAACAATACTCAGATGATAGGCCATGGAAGTACCCAACATTAAATAAAATTCTGCCTTTCCTGTTGTTAATCTTACTATCACCTATTTGGATTTTTTTAGGAGTTATACTACTTGTAGGACATCCTTTCTCCGGAGCCTATTTTATATTTAATCGATGGGACAATGATGCAGTTGGTAGGTACAAATATTTATCAACTTTAGATTGAGACCCGTCCAATTTGTAATGGTCATTTTTTTTGTTTATTTTATTGGAGGAATAGTCCTATACCCTTTTGTAGTGTTGTACGAATGCATAAAGATTCTCTATATCTTAGTGTCCTTACTAGTCAGTCTAATAAAGAGGTTTAGAAAATTTTGATTAATTTATTTATTCTAATGTTTCAAAAACAATTTGATTATCTTGATATTGTTTGAACAAGTGGATGATAACATTTATTAACACTTAAATGTTATTTGATTAACTATGACTTTTAAAGTTATCAAAGGTTCTATACGAGAATTAAAACGCCTCTGTATCTTTTTCATTTTTTTAGTTTTTATTTTAGAGTTGTATTAGATTTAATAAAAATTATAAATAGTTGAAGTAGCAAGATTAGATCTGGTTAAAAAAATGCTAGAAAGACTGTCAAAAATTTAATCAGATATTTCATTTTTTAATTACTTCATTAGATACTTTCTAGGAATGTAAAATAAGATTAAAGGGATTATCTTGATAATTTATGGTTAAGATATTTCTATGCTCATAATTTCATATCCAATCTAAATCCCAATTAATATTAGGCTAGTTAAATCGCATCTTCCTAATGAAATTGAAATTTGACAACTTCATATTTTATTTTGCCTTCATAAATAGAAGAAACAGAAATCTATATCTGTAATACTAGCCCATAGTTTTAATATGATTTAATGAATAGTATTTTATTTTTAAGGCAAGAATCAATGATAAGTTTTATAACACATATTTTGAATTTATCATTGAGATTAAATTACAAAATATTAATTCATTAAATATTTTTTATTTGTATTTTTGTCAACAAAATTCCTATTTTTTGGGATAGATAATAAACTAAGGTTATAATGAGGATTTCACCTATTTTTATGATCTTTATTAATTAATAAATGCTTTAATTTAGAGGATTCCTGATATTTGATTTAAAGAGGTCAATATTCTTCTTTGAAATGAGAAGAGACATTGAACTCGACCCAAAATGGTTTGCATTTCAGAAGGATGTTAGAAAAAAATTTAATGAATAAGATGTTTTAGAAGATAAAGTTCTGGAAATGAGCAATATTTATGGAAAAATAAGAGGAAAATTTGATGATTTTCAAAGTAATTAAAATTCAGTATAATAGAAAGGTTTCTGATTCTAATAGCCTAAAATTCGGTTGAGGATATTTATTTAGCTGAATTATTAAATGAGATTTTCTCCATTTTGATAGTCTAAGAGCATTATATTAAAGTATGTCATTCCTAATATACAGTTCTTCAAAGAGGAGTTAGAAGCTTTGGCTTTTTTTGAGGTTGAGAAAATAATTCAAAACAAAGAATATTATTTAATCTAAAACTTTCATTCAATGCATATTCCTAATCTATTCTCATAAATTTCCGATAATCAGAAACTATTATTTTCTAATGATGTAGAATTACAAATGGAAGTATCATAATAATAAGGCTAATGTACAAAAGAACAGATAATTTTCAAAGGATTTACAATTTTTGATACATAAAGATAATGCTTTTATATGTTAATTAAGAGAGGATTTGAAAATGACGAATTATGGAAGATGTAAAGAACACAAATTTCACAATATTTACTCAAAAGGTCAAAAGATCCATTGTAACATTTTTTTCTTAATTATGAAATGGGTTAATTCCTGTTTGAATATGATAATTAGGCAAGTAAATAATTAGTTTTAGATTTATAGAAAATTATTTTATACTACTAACTGATTCGACATCATCTCAACACCCTTAATATTAATTACTATCTAAATTAAAAGCTTTGGTTTAAAAAATTCCAAATTATTAAAAAGTAATAGAATTAATATAGCTAGCTAAACAAACCGCAAATAGAAAATCTTTTAAAATTCAATTTAGTTGAAGTGATTGAAGCTGAGGAAAGAATTTATTACTAAAAATACTATCCTAATTGGATCGAAGAAGAAAAAAAAATTAACCGAAAATTATTAAGATAGAGAGGAATGACTCAAATTTCTTTTCAAGACTAAGGGACATATTATAATGATGAGTTTTCATTGACTGATTTTGCAAGTTAACGAGTGAGATTTGTGCACGATTTATTTTAGTGACTTTTATTTAAAATTTAAAATCATTTTTACTTTTATCCAATAATAATCTCTATTTTATAGACTAGCTTATATAAATAAATATACCAAGTTAAATTGACAGCACTTATCATTATAAATTCATAATATTTTAGGGATTTATTATTTGAATATTAAAATTAATGAGTAAAATTTATCTCCTAAATATTTGAACAATAAATTTTATATTTTAATTTACATGGTATCAATTGGTGAATATTTGTATTAGTAAGTAGTAATAAATAAGTATAGTTATTAAATTCTATCTTCTATTTAATATTTACTATTCAATTAATTAATGATCATACATTTTAAAAATTTGGATTGATTTTTTAAATAAAAAGATGCCTTTTCTTTGTAATTAAGTTTCAATTCTTAATTCTTATTCTCTCTCAATGTTTGGATATTAGTTTTCTCTGGGATGTAACTTTCTTATTACTTTAGTGGAGTGCCAGCAATAATGAGGTGAAACAGAAGATGTCAATTTCTTTGATTTTTAGATATTTCCTTATAAAATTATATAATTTAACATAATAATTATTATGAAGAAAGACCAAAGTGCAGCTTGTTTATTTTGCTAGAAATATAAACAAGATGGTTCATTCTCCCTTGTTCTTACAAAAGCTTTATATTGTAAATATGCTCAATCATAAAATTTTTACTTCTAAAGAGACATTAATGATATTTTAGAAAACAAAAGAACTAAATCAAGAATTAGACACTATGATTTAAACATGTTTGATTTAGAAAATGAATACTTAAGAAGGTATATGATATTTCTTTAATACAAGATTTTATAAATCTTCAGAAACAAATACTCGTATTTAATCTCTTCTTGAATACTACAAATATCATATTAATATTCCAAGAAACTTTAATTCGAACTTAATTAATTGTCGCATGGAAAAGGTAAGAAATATATAATATCGTAAAATTAAAAAAGAATTGGGAGTACAAAATGATGTGCAGTAGAGTCCAGCGAAAAAAAAGGATTCATCAGATGATTGTTCTGTTGAAAACATGAAATATCTTTTGAAGGATTTAAAATTAGTCACAACATAAGCTGATTATTCGAAAATCACAAATTCGACATTGCTTAAGGATCTAATTATTTAGATTGGAAACTGTAATGAAATATTAGATCCAATCGATTTTTTAGAACCTAAAAATCAGATCAGAATTAATCACATCTCAACCAAGAGTATAACTTCTTCAAATGCAATAAAATTGAACATAGAAAAGTAAATCAAATCAAATCAAAATTTAAAAGCCCCCTTTGTCTCTCGTTATCCAAAACTTGTAACATCTAGCAAACCTCCTACCATCAAGATTGTAATTTCTTAACATTAATAAAATTCTCATAAACAACTCCAATAGCAGCAACCCATAAATAAAGGATCAATGACCACTAGAGTCAAATCTAGGTAGGTTTCTATGGGTAATATCGATCTAGCCAAATCTGGCTTACTTACGTCAAGAAGCAATCAAAATCATCAAATACCATAACAACATGAAGGAGTAAATGAAGGACTTATGGACTTTGCAATTAAGCTATTTTCTAATTAAAGTACAAAGCCTCAAAGAAAAACTCCTTTTTCTTAAAATAACAATTTCTTTGTCAAAGGAAACAACAATACTCAGCTGCATCAAATTCCTAATAAGGATGAATTAAAATTATAGTTTAGAAGTTTAAGATCAAAAATAATCTCTCCCAACAGATAAAGTAAATCACATGTTGGCAGTCCTCAACATCGGAAAAAATAGCAATAGTGAATTTTTGTTAATAATCAAATACAAAATATTTATATGTTTTAAATATCTCAGTACTTAAATAGAATAAAGATTTATTTCATTTAAGATAATATATTTTTAATTGTTCATTTTGCTTTAAATTCGTACTATCTATAGCATTTAAATAAACCAATTAATAAATAATTTAGACAGTTTAAAATTCATATTTCCTTTAAAATTTAATATAATATTAACATGCAACATAAATAATAATAATTTATTATTAAATCAATTGTATTTAACTATTAGTTTCTCCATCAAGTTGAGACATTCAACTCTTTTTAATCTGAAATCCTCCTTAAAACTACGGCAATTACTCAATAGTTTATTCACATCATTTGGAGAGAATGACATTTATTATAAGTATTAGGCTAATTGTCCAAGTAGGAATGTAAAGTTGACAATTTTCACATTGGAACATTCTAGTACTTAATCATATAAAAATGCTTAAAATAATATTAAAAGTTACATCTAATAAATTAGGCAGTTAAATTGTAAGCAAATTTAACAAAGTGTATGGAATACTCAAAATTGTTATTAAATATTTCTAAAAAATCTGTATCCTACATAACTAAATTTAGATTTTCATTTAAATGTAAGAAGGTCTCTTAGAATTGATTGAATGTTTCGAAATGAATTTCTAAAATAGATTTTTCTAAGTTTCTAAATGATTCTGTCATTCTAAAATGCTCAAAATCTCTCAAATCTAAGATATTAATTTATTTGTCAATTAGATTTGATTTTATGTCTGTAGTTTTGATCATCACATTTTTTAGTAAAATAAAGGACAATTTTTCGACAGTTGATACCTAACTAGAATAGTTGCCATAGAATTCTAACAGTTATTCCCTAAGTTTTTTTAGAAACAACAAAAATTCTATTTAGTTTTAGATTAACATCCTGTTGATAGTAAATTCATCATTTTCAGATGATTGCCTGTGAAATAAAAACTTTGGATCAGAATGTTGATAAAGGTGCTTTGGAGGACAATAATTTCTTTCTGATTTATATTGATCTTCTCGACATTGCTTATTGTCACTATACCTACTTGTAGTTTACTGTGATTCAACCTTATGGTGGACAACACTTACTGTTCTGTCCTTCTTTTAAGTATTGGGTTGAGTTTAGCAACTTGTGATTTTTTAGTTAGATACATTGTTTTTGTTTTCCTCTTCATTTTAAGGGGAAGCATGAGTTTTTAGATAATGCTTCCCTTTAATTAATTAAACCTATCTGTTGTCAACATGCAATTAAAGAGGAGATATCGTATTTCTTTTTATTTTATCATCCGAGGGACTGACATTGGGAATTATTTGCATTGATTTATTTTATTTGGCTTCCTATGGAGTTAAGTTTTAAGTGTTAGAAAATTGTTATGCTTGTGGTTTTAATGGTTAAATTATGGCCTTTTATTATTAATTTGAGATCATCTATTATAACTACTAAGATGGTTGTGTTTAAGAAAACACCTTTATTAAATTTGTTGTTAATGCATTGAAGCTTGTTACTATTTTGAGCAATTCTTGTTCTAAGAGGGTTATTAACTTTAATTCTGTGAATGACTTTATACAGGTTATTATGTTTGTTAATATACTTAAAGAGGTTGGATTTAAGCTTATGCCTATGCTTATGGATTTTAAGGTTGAGGTTAAACTTATTATATGGTTTCTTTTTTTGGTTGCCTCTCAAAGGCATTTTCAAATAAAGGATGAGTAAAGACTTGTTCCCAACCGAATCTATTATTTTCTTCATATGCCAAGCAACCGGTTATGAATTACTAAGCTGGCTTTGAAATTTTTTTGGCTAAATATATTAAAATTGAATTACAAAAAGCGATTTTTTAATTTCTTTATTTATTAACTAGATCTAATATATCTCTAACATTCCAAGGGGTTTTGCCTTCGATCATTTCATAGAAGATTAATCCTATAGACCATACATCACATTTAGAAGTGTATTACTTTCTAAGTAATACTTGTGGAGACATGTAGAGAGGAGTTCCAACAAGAGAAGTCATCAAATCTTCATCTAATTTATCAAATCGTTTGGCAAATCCAAAATCTGCTATCTTGAATATATTATTATTGGCCACCAAAATGTTGGCTGGTTTGAGATCTCTATGAATGATCCCTCTTTTAAATGATTAAAGAATCCCCCGCAATATTTATATCAATATTTTAGTAGCAGCTGATTCCTCTATTGGTCCCTATAATATTAGATGAAACTATTACTGATCTTTTCATATATTCTTTAAGGTCTCCTCCAGTGCAGAGTTCTGAAATTATATAACAATTATTAGCCGTTGTAATTACATCTATAAGTCTAACTATATTTGGACAGTCCAAGTCTTTCATTATATCTATTTCTTTTTATAATAAGGCTTGATTGTCAGCAGAATATTGTTGGAAGGCGATCGCTTTAATGGCAACAGTTTATCTAAAATAGAAATTGCATAATGGAATACCCTGAATCTATATTTCTACCAATATAGACTACTCCATACGAGCCTCTTCCAATGATGGCTTGTGTAGAAAAAGCATAGTTGTGAATTCGCTTGTCTGGTACATGTTTAGATAGCTGTTGAATACGAGCCTACATATAAATTAAAATAAAATGAACGTTTGAAAATAAAAAATATATAAAATATGGTAATCATTAGTTCTAGCAATAATTCAGATAGGATTCGTAATGTTTAAGAATCACTCCTAATCTTCCATTAATGTCGGTACTATAATACCACTTTAAAAGTCCATTTTCACACATCTATATGGTTTGTAACAATTCCAATGAATGCTTTGATATTTTCTCTGGCGAAGTTTCATCCTTTTTGCCAGCCATAGCCAAGAGCTAGTTTTTAGCATTTTCATTCAGAGACAATATTTCTATTATCTTATCTATACAACCATGTAATTTCTAGTAGAGCTATAAAGTTTCTTCGTCAAAATTGTCAATAATTATTTGCGTAGTTGAATATTTTAGTTTCTAAATTTTATTTATTAAATATACAGAATTAGAATCCTATATTTTTCTTTCAGAAAATCCAATTATTTTTAGACGTTGGATATTCTAAACTGTACAGACGTATATTGAATGTTCATGAACTGGCACACATTCAACTAGCTTTACTCTCATGCAGCAGTCATTATATTGAGGATCAATTATAAAAGTCAAATTTTTTTTCAATACTTCTGTAATCATTTCCACATATCTACTAATTTCTAATGTTTCATACCTCTTTTCAAAGAAATTAAATTGAGTTAAGGCATTGTGATGTAGAGTAATTCTATAAACAAAGCAAGGCTCTCCTTAGTGTTCATGCATTCTTTCCTCAGGTTCAGTAATGGAAAGAAATGGCGAGTTTATGTAGTTACAACATAATCGTCTGCAAATCGGGCAACTCTGCCTTTGCTTAAATTTTTATAAAATAAATATACTTCTAGAGCAACTACTATGCAGTCTCGACAAAAAATATGATTACAAGGCAATTTAATAGGATCTACGTAATCCTCAAAGCAAATGCTACAATTTTCTTATAATGACATATTCAGAAATATGTTCTAATTTAAAAAATATAATCTAATATTAAAATCTGAAGCAGCTCATTCTTAAACATAAACTCAGAAAGAAATTGTTCTTAATTAAATTATAAATTGTAATGTGTTGTATTAATATCATTTATGTCGTCTATCGTTTATTCTTATATTAAAATATATTTTAATTCAACAAGAGAAAAGGAATTCTCAATTTTATCTAATAACTATTTTGAAATATTAGTGTATCTTCATTAAAATAAGTCATTAAGCCATTATTCCCTCATCTTAATCATATTCCTCAATTCTGAATTATCTATATCTCTAAGTAAATGAATAAATGTTAAAACTATAGGTTTCTTTTCTTAAAGAAATGGCATTTTTATTAACATTAATTAAAAACAAATTCATAAAGTAAGAATTAATTAAAAGCCAATTAGATTTCATGTGTATTCATCTTGAGACTAACATAAATTATTAATCATTTAAATAAATTGCCATTACGGAGGACATAATCAACTTTAACAAAGGTATGTGCTGATATTGATAAATTAAATAGTTTATTAACTTATTACATTAAAATGAACAATTTTAGAGAGTGTGAATAATAAATTAATTATTTGAATAAATCATCATAAAATTTAGATAGCTAGTGAATTTAAAAAAAGGAATAATCAAAAAAGCGATATTATATAAATCTTAGAAACCTTGTGGTTTATTCATATTAAATCTAGTTTAACATCTTTGTATAAATAATCATTATCTGATCTTATTAAAAATAACTTTTCATAAATAGAAATGTAAAAAATAAGCAAAGTACTGAATTAAACGTGAAAAGTATAGACATAATTAGACAGGATAGCAACTACAAAAACATGGAGGCAATGATCAGGGTTATGACTGAGATAACAGTTACTAAACAACTGAAAATTTTGGACTTACTAACTAAATGTTGTTTACTCTATTAATGCATTATGTGTTTGAATCCTTTATTCCTGTTCTAACTAAAAATACTGCCAAATTAATACTAAAATATGGTATGAACATATTTGAAATCCCTAAACACAGCAAGGCCAAGCAGTAAATTTCCAATTAAATATTACTTATCTAATAAAATTAAAATTATTTTATTTTACAATTAAAGATGGATCCTTAATTGACAACCAAATTGCAAATAAAAAAACATAGATGCTAACTCCAAACTAGATGATAATAAATATTTTCTAATTCAAAGTTGTTCGTATTTTTTTCATAAACATCCTTTCAAAGAAATTTACTATTTAAAGGTCTAACTTTACCTATTTCCTTGGAAGATGCTCTTTTTATATCTAGCTAGGAAAATATAATATCCTATTGCTTGGACCAATATTTGATATCCAAAATTTCTTCTTGAATTTCAGAAGACCTATTATCAAAATATGTAAATTCATTAAAAAGTATTACAGTTCTTTTATGTTGACCATTGATCGAAAACAATTTCTTTCTAATTTACTTGGTCGATTTCAATATTTCTGAATTTTGCTAACAAAAGACAATGATATATCCAGTAACTTTAGGGTCTCTAAAAGGTAGCAATGTAAAAAATGAATCATAAGATGGTGTATCAATTAATTCTATATCGTATTCTGGAATCTTGGAGTCTTAGAAAAGTTTTTTATTTATAGCCGAAAATTTCTAAACAAATGCAGTCTTTCCTGCTTATTGTAATCCGATGACCATAATCGTCTATTTATTAGGGGCTTCACTCAAAGATATATTTAAATCATTCTGCATAGAATATTATTTAAAATTATATTAAAAAATATTTTGTTTAATTTATATTGTATTACTTAAACAGATCATACAGGTCTCATTATTTCTTTTCTTATTCTCTTGTATTGGTATTTCTTGTATTGTTTGGTCTATTGTCTCTATTATCTCTATTATCTCTTCTGTCTCTATTGTCTCTATTATCTCTATTGTCTCTATGTTCTCTGTTATCTCTTTGTTCTCTGTTATCTCTTTGTTCTCTATTATCTCTTTGTTCTCTGTTATCTCTATGTTCTCTGTTATCTCTATGTTCTCTATTATCTCTATGTTCTCTATTGTCTCTGTTATCTCTTCTGTCTCTGTTGTCTCTGTTATCTCTGTTGTCTCTATTGTCTCTGTTATCTCTATTGTCTCTTCTATCTCTATTATCTCTATTATCTCTATTGTCTCTTCTATCTCTGTTATCTCTATTATCTTTGTTATCTCTTCTATCTTAACCTCTATTATCATCTCTTGGAGCTCCTCTGTTTTATCTTGTATTTCTCTCTCTTTTTTCTCCTTCTAATTATTTAATTTTTATTATACATTATCTTTATCTTTATGGAACAACTTCAGATTCAGGGAGAGGTTCTTAGAATCCAACAGACTTTTTATCTTCTTCTGTGGGTTTTGTTGTCAATTTAACGGTTAAAATAGACAATTATTTAGTGATATTAACTTCAACTAATCCTTCTTCGGTTGGTACATATTTGTCCACAATTTAAGTTGCACCAATTTAATTAATCTATGTTATTAATTGGATTGTATACTTGAGCTAATCCAGCAACTCTTCTTCTAACGATTTCACTGATCACCAATACTTTAGGAATGGCATTTTCAATTCCTTTAATCACAACAAATTCTTATTTTGGGATTTCTTCAGTGCCGAGCAACAATTCAATAGCTCTTTTGATGTATGAGCCATCAAGACGTTTGGCTGACACTCTGATTTCATTAATTGGAGCTTAAGCTTATTCACTTCTGACGTGTTCGTATTTATCTTAAGTTGCTCTCATAAAAAATTAAAAAAATGATTTAAATTAAAATATTTAAAATTGAACTTATGAATAGCAATGATTTTTAGTTTTCTATTAAAACTTTTATGAATATCTTTAGAAACCATATTATTTGATTTTGCTAATAGTTTAAACACCAATTAAGAAAAAATTGCATTACTAAATCGCATTTCATCTAGTTAACAAATATTTTGATCTGCAAATGTAAAATCTCTACGCTAAACCATAATTCTAAAAGAAAATCAATTGATTATCATTTAGTAAATATGAAAGTTTATTAGACACAGGAGATTAATTAAGTTCTAAAAATGTGCATTTGTTTATTGATTTCCACAATAATGAATGACTTCTTTTTAAATTTCAATATTCTTATTAAATCCAAGGAGTTCTTCTTTTTTTGATTGATTTCTTTTTCCTTTAGGGCTCGTTTGGAATTTATATAGGTAAGTTTATTTTGAATAAAATTAATTAAATAAATTATTTATGAATATTTACAATTATCTCTTTAAGTTCATCATAGTTGGAGATACAAGTAAGCTAAAAATAAATATGTTTAGATGTTGGTAAAAGTTGTTTACTGTTGTAATTTACAGATTCTAGATTCAGAAATGAACATGATGCCACAATTGGTGTAGAATTTGGATCAAGAAATCTAAAAATTAATGATAAATAAATCAAATTACAAATATGGGACACTGTATGAATATTTCTTAAATATTTAGGCTGGCCAAGAATCTTTCAAATCAATTACGCGATCATATTATCGAGGGTATTGAATGAATAGCTAATATAGATCAATCGGTGGAATACTTGTATTTGATGTGACAAGTAGATAATCTTTTGAGGATTTATAAAAATGGTATTAAGAAATTTAAGGATATGCTTGCGATAAAATAGAAATGGTTATAGTAGGAAATAAGATCGACTTAGAAGAGAGGTAAAATTAAATCAAGTATGCATTAGAAGGGAAGTTAAAACCGAAGAAGCAAGGCGATATGCATAAAAATAAGGATTTGCTTACTTTGAAACTTCAGCTAAGACAGGTGAGAATGTTGATAATGTCTTTGAAACTATGGCGAATTAAGTGTTAAAGAAGATTGATAGTGGAGAAATAGATCCTACTTAAGAAGTATACTCAAAAAATTATGTTTAGGTTTATGGAATTAAGATTGGATCGATTGGTATCAAAAAGAAGAATGATGTAGTATAGCCAAGAGAATAGCCAAAAGCTCAACTCGTTACAACAAGTTAGACTTAGTAATAAGGAAAGAGCGAAGGCTGTTGTTGAAGATTATTTTTAGTAAATTGTATATTCAATTTCTTCATTTCCTAATTAAGTAATGTAAAATCTATTCTATATATATATCAATTCTATTTTATCAAAATTTCGATGATTTAAAAATGTAATTATTTTTTTGTGTTTCATTTCCTAAAAATACCTAATTCAATAATATTCCTATTAATGCTTCTAAAAGCATATATAAAAATAATTATAGTCAAAAAAACATGTATCCTTTCTTATATAAATATCAGATTATTATGTTATAATCAACTCTTTACACTTTCATAAATCCAAATCCTAAATCATTTGAATAAATCTCATATCTGCTACACCTTCTGTATTTATTTTTGGATCTTTGATAATTTATATATCCCCTTGTCGTAAAGTGTAATAAAATTTATTATATTGAATCATTGCAATTAATTGAATATTGCAACTATTCATTTTTGAAGCCTTAGATTTTATAAGCATTATCAAATCTCACATCCTTTTACTAAAATTCTATGAGTGGCATTCATAGAATGATATTTTTTATATGAAACTTGTAGAATCTAAATTAGAATAATAAGGGGTACTGATAAATTTCAATGTATTAAGCGGTTTCATAATTTTCGATTTATTAAGTATCTTGCTTCTAATAGTATCTAAATCTATTTTATACAGATTGTGCCAGTAAATTATAAACTATTACTTTTTTTAATATATCTTAAATTAGTATTTGATCTGCAGATATAAAATGAAGGGCCCATAAAGTTTATATTTCATCTATTATTAATAATGTATTGAGTAAGATATTTTCTTATTATTCCTTATTTTACAAAACAATTATTATAAAACTGACTGCTTCTTTTGCCATAAAAGATAATTATACCGATGAGGTTTGTACATAAAATTAAGAATCTTTTAAAAAGCATCTGTTAATTTTCTCAAATAGAGAATAATAAAAATTTCCCTTTTCTATTTTGTATCAATGCAAGCATCAAAAAGCATTACTCTTGCTCAGTGCTTATATTACAGCTAATAAGTTCAATGCATATTATAAATAGTGTAAATTTTTTAAATTAGAATGAGGATTCAAGTATTTTATGATGAACACATAAAATAATACAGAAGGCGAGGAGTAATACTTCAATATGCATTTAGATTTGTAAAAGTTATTAGATATGAATATATTAGGACTTAAAATTTGTATCTCTAAAAATTTGAAGAGAGGTTATTTAAGAAAATAGACCAAATTTACACATAGATTTAAGATAATTATCAACAGTCTATCCGTTATTTTAAAGATATGACTATGAATAATCAAATATTTAGGATATTTTAAATATTCTATCAAGTCATAAACAATGAATAAATGTTAATTTTGATTATTTACGATCTAATTCATAATAGATATACCACATAAAAACAGAATCAGTTTTTATCGGTAAGCTAGAAAGGAAAAGTTAATATGTATTAATTAAAAATATAAATGAAAACACATTAATTGATTTAATTGATAAAAACAAATTAAAAATGGCTCTTAAAAGAATTCAAAAAGAATTAGCTGACCTTTCTAAAGATCCCCCTTCTAATTGCTCAGCAGGTCCTATCGATGATAAAGATTAATTCCATTGGTAGGCAACAATTATGGGACCAGAAGGCTCTCCATATCAAGGTGGATTATTTTCACTCAATATTCACTTTCCAACAGATTATCCATTCAAACCACCAAAAATTAACTTTGTTACTCGTATCTACCACCCAAATATCAACCAAAATGGAGCCATTTGTTTAGATATATTGAAAGATCAATGGTCACCAGCCTTAACAATAAGCAAAGGTAATTTATTGATCATATAATTAGTTTTGTTAAGTATTTCATCTTTATTGACTGATCCAAATCCAGACGACCCCTTAGTGCCAGAAATCGCAAATATTTATAAAACTGATAAATAGCGTTATGAGGCAACAGCAAGAGAATGGACTAGAAAGTATGCATCATGAAGATTCTATGTATATGTTTTATACATTGCTATATAATTATCAATTATTTTATATATTGGTTTAATTTGATTGCTAACGATTAAAGTTAGAGGACTGAAAATAGCAAGAGTGTAGTGAAGAGAAATAAATATTTCTATCAATCATCAAAAATGTTTTAGTTTTTAAAATATAAGAAGTTTTTATTTGAGTGTGTTTTTCTCAAAGACTCTTCAATTAAGCTCTTAAAAAAGTAAATGAAGGTGAATAAACCTTGGAAAAATCATTAAAATAAAAGTGAATATATAATTAGATCTTTGAATCTAAAGAATATTTTATTAATTATATATTTTCATTTGAAAGCAATTTAGAATATACTTAAAAGTGAATTCTATATGAATGGTTGAGAATATATACAATAATGAACAAATTAAATTGCTTGCATAAATTCCCTAAATTTATTGAGTTTTTATCTAAATCGTTATAGGCTTTATACGGTCCTTGTGATTGTATGTCCTCATAAAGAAAATATCACGTCAGAAAAAGAAAAAAATTCACATATTTATTTAATAAAATTGCATATGAATTTTTTGTAAATAATCATTGATGCCAAATTTTTGCTAGGGATAGGAGTTGGTTTTTTTGTGGCATCATTTCTAATGCTACCGAAGAATGATAATAATTAAAGTAATGGTTCATATTCAAAACTAAAATTATCATCCAAATCACTGCCTTCAACATAGGATTTAAAACAAGTTTATTTGAAACCAAGCGAAAGACCAAAATAATTGAAAGAGAAGAGTTAATGTTTGCAAGACATATAATAAAAAGGATTAAGGAATTAAAAATAGGATTTTATAGAGGAAGATGAAATAAGAAAAAAGGTAAAAATGCAGTATCATTAATTTGAACCTATGTTTGATGAGACGTCGATTAAAGTCTAATCTATTCATACTTCTTCAGATTTGGAAAGCTCTTAGCAGTTGAGAATCGAATGCGCAACATTGCTGCCCAATAACGAGAATTTCATGTCTTGTTAGGAGGATAAATACTTTAATTAGTATGATAAAGGATTTGACTAGAACGATCGAGATTTAGAAGAGTTGGCGCATATCCAAGAATCTCCAATACTAAAAAATAATGAGTTTAGTAATAGAAAACTAAACGTTAAATTAGAATTCTAAAATAGAAACCCAGAATCAAACTCCAAAGAGGATTGATAAGATTTTGTGAACCATTTTCATTATAAATAAGTTTTACTATTTGAGTTTATCATTTTCGAGATAAAATTTGTATTTAATTAATATGAATAAAGAAATATAGCAATTTTTGTAAAAGTTAGAGAGTGTGATTATATTTTAGTTATTTTCCTGATCTAAGTAATCCTCCGAAACCTGATTTAGAATTTATGGATGAAGATGAATTGTATGAATGGCTTCATCAAAGACTATTATTATTTATAGTTACAAAGGATATTCAAACAGGAGCAGTGGCTATTTAATAGTGGTGCTTAAGGGGATATTGTAATATTATTAAACCTTAATACATAGAAATTAGAATCTGGAATCCCGTTGGTTCATTAATTTCTAACTACAATGGCTGGACAGTAACTGAAAAAGAATCCTAAGATGGCAGATGAAATAATAAATCTTGTACAAGATGAAAAAGAAAAAACAAAATTGATCACTCAATTGCAATAAACTTAACAATAATAAGTAAATATACAAGTATCAGATGTAAAAATATTATTTCATTTAGTCACCCAAAGTATTAAAAGCATAAACAGATAAGAATGACCCTAGCTTCTTCTAGAATATTGTAACAGCCTTAAGATGTTGGGATAAAAAATAAAAATGATACACTTATGATCATAAAAATATTTTTAATTTTCTAATATCTTATAATTTGTTTTTCAATTAAATGATTTATTTACATAATTCTTTTAAAATATCCAGACAACATATCAAATTACTTTCAAATCTAAGATAAATTATAAATTTGAATAACTAATTATTGAAGCTAGCTCAATATTATATTAATCTTAGAATTAAAAAGATTAAATTAAAAGCTCCATATTAAGTATCATCATATATAAATAGAATTATGAATCAAATTATAAAACCTAAGTAATCAATCACACTATAAAATTTCAATCTTACAAATTTATTCTGCTATTAAATTTCATTTTTTTTATTATAATCTAGTAATATTTGTATTTGATAGATTATTTGAGTTTCTTTCAATCTATCAAACCAATACTGTTAGCCTTATTATTTATTGTTCATCATCAATTTAACTTTAAATAGTAAACTCTTGCTTCACAAATTCCAGATAATGATATAAATCAATATTCATTCTTTAAAATATGGCATTATTAAGTTCTTATATTGAATTACAAAGCATTTAAGGTTTATATTGTAATATTTACTTATTTAGTAATTATGATAATTCTAGAGTATTTTTCAATATTTAGAGGAATGTTAGATTGAGTTATACATCTAGATATTGTGTATTGTAATTATTAACGAGTGTTTTTTAGTATGATTTTTGATTTCTAAATTTTTAACTTTTCATTATAAATATGACACATCAATATAGATTCATTGGGAAATAATTTACAAATATAGACTATTTTTCTTAATAAATATCAATGATTCGGGCGGTAATTTTGTTAGGTGGTCCAAGTAGAAAAGCAAGTTATGGGACATATGAATAGGCATCTCCTTTATTTCCCGTTAGTGGAGTGGAAATAATCGGTCATCTCTTAAATGCAATCCAGAAATTACCCAATTTGAAGGATTTTGTTCTGATGGGTTATTATGATAAGAAGTGTTTCTAATACTTTTAAGAGAAATACTAGAAATTATATGGCAAAAATATACGTTATATATAAGAAGAGAGTGAAATGGGGACAGCAGGTGGATTAGCATAAAATTTGGAAGAATTGTTTGAAGAAGTTGAAGGTATTATAAACATAATAACATAAAGATCTTTTGGTAGTGCATTCAGATATTTGTTGTGATTTGCAAGCCCAGAAATTCTATGATTACCATAAGAAGTAAACTATATTGAATAGCATAATTAGTAAATCTGGTGTTTGCAGCATAATGACGGTGCGAGTATCGAAGGATGAATCTACTCGTTATGGGTGTTTGATAAAGGATTCCAATACAGATCAATTGATACATCATGCGGAGAAACCAGAATAATATATTTCAAATTTGGTAAATTGTGGAGTATACATCTTCAATTAAACATTCAAAACTACAATCTTGAATGTGAAAGCAAAAAAAGAAGCCAATTTAAGCGAAGAACTTTAACATCAACCATATGTAAAGTACATAAAAAGAAGTTCAGATTTGGATAAATCTTACTTGTCTTTAGAAAACGATGTCCTGAAATAGGCAGAGAGAGACAAAGTTTATGTATATGAACACTAGGGCTTCTGGCAATCAATAAAATCGACAAGTGATCTTCTGAATGCAAATCGACTTCTACTCCAATATTATGGACAAAATCCTTTCATATTCCTTAGTCCTGAATTTGAAATCAAAAGTGATGGAGTACTGATTCACAAGAGTGCAAAAGTTCATCCATCTGCGAAGTTAGGTAGCAATGTGGTTATTGGTGCTGGTTGTGAAATTGGAGAGGGAGTTCGCATAAAGAACTCAATTCTATTAGATGGCGTCGAAGTCAAAGTAACTATCATTGTAAATTATAGAATTTCTCATTTATTTCAAATTCAATAATCTGCTACAATTCAATCCTAGGTTATTGGTGTAGGATTGAAGGGGATGTTCAATTCCTAGGACCATGGGTGATAGTTGACAATGAATTATATTTAAGGAATGTAGTATGTCTTCAAAACTGCAGAGTGTCTAAAAGTTAAGATGGAGGTTGTTTGATGTGAAATTAATATATATATATATATATTATCAATCAACACCCAAACATATATCGATTGTTGTGTCATATACTACTGTGGGCATAACTGATTGCATAAATTTCAAGAAAATAAACAATGCCTACATGGGTTTGATGTCTGCTCCATTTTGTTTGGCCTTGTCTAGGAATGCCTTCATTGTTGTTGAATGATTGCATGGATGTATTGTCACTTGTTAATAATGAAGATAAGGATGTTCCTCTACTGTTACTGTCTCATTCTGATAGACACTCATGATGTCTTCATAAATTTCTTAATGTTTCAATGGTAAACCAGAATTTAATGCCACTCCCTACAGCCATAATCTTGGACAATGGTATTTACGGTCATAGGTGATTGTGATTGTGTACACTCTCGTCTCTTGTTCATTCAAAGCCTGTTATTGTTTTTAACTCATATCCACACACAGAAAGCCGTCCTATCCTTGATTGTTTTAGAAGTCAAAGGACAAAAACTCTTTTATGCGAGTCTAAGATGTTGCATTGGCTATGAGGTACATCTTTTCTGGATGAGGAGGATCCACACCCTTCTTTACTTGAGCCTTTTTCCATTGCCATCCAGTCATAGTCAATTGATCTCCAGCCTCTATAAATTATTCAGGTGTCATCCATCCTTTCGAATAGAAATCCTATGGTTTTGGAGTAACAAATGAATTCACAAAATTGTTGATTCCTTGAAACATTTTGTTTAAATTAATTATGCCAAATTTTAATCTATATTTATTCTTTTTGATCTATGTAACAATTTGATTTGGAAAATTAATATAGATAAATAGATAATAAAGTCATTACATGTCAATTAGGTATTCTTCCACTTTTTCATATATCAATACATATGCTTATTGCTACAACACATCTTGTTCTGTAACCAGATATACTTTGTGATCATCAAAGTAGTACCACTAATAATATAGCAACTATCTATATACTTGATCTTGTCTAGATGAGAATGAAACATAATGGCCTCTTTCAGATGTGCCTTGGTGAACAATAATTGATCTTAATTTGTATTTTGCTTTTATGGAACAAAACCTATGATAATTTTAGAATTGAAGTTTACTCTTAAACATCAAGACTGATTGGGAATCTCACATGTCCATTCAATTTAATTCTATTTGGATAAACCTAAAATCGTTTTAAATGAATCATCAAATACAAAGGAGGTGTGCCGATTACATACTTCTTAACAGCCCTTGTTTCATTGCAACAGTTTTCACATTAGTAGTGATCACTCAATATTTCTTGGGCAAAAAACAATCGTAGACATTTATCCAAGGTTTATAACTTATTCATCGACAAAGATAAATCCAAAAAGGATTCAAATTTAGTGGATTGTTGATTACATTAATCACATTTAATCAAAGACATCATCTATCCCTGAAAAGCAATTTCCGTGATGGGCTAATCATATTTGAACTGTCCCTACATTTCCACAGTCAATTGTTCGATAAAGTATCTCAGGAATTCTTAGGAGTCATGTTATTGGCGAGGATCGAACTTATTTTTTATTAATTGCTTTAGCAACTATATTTTGATGAAGGCTCCTGCCTTTTTGTTAGCAGCAATAGTAACTATTTCTAAATAGGCATTCAACCACCGATACTTATCTGACTATTAATTAGCTATTTTCTTCCCTTCATTCATCATCCAACAATTTATCTGTTCAACAGACAATATGGTTTGTAAAGCTGCATGCATGAAACAATAGTTGGATTCATTATAAAATCCAATTGGAGGCAATTCAAATTAGGATTTTTGGAAAGGCAGAGTGATGCTCATATATGAAACCGTATCCATCAACCCTGACTACATCGAACTAACTCTAGACAAAGTAGGCTTTTACGTTGAATTCTCAAATCCTTCTCCTTTGCTATAATCTTAAAGAGAGACTTCAGGTCCTCCACCATACAAACTATGGATAAACATCCAAGCATTCCTGTTTAGCAACACAAAATCCACATCTTATTTTAGATTTGGCTTGTAAATAGCATCTATAGAGCTTTAATCAGCAAAGAAGGGCTGGTTATTAATAGGCCCTGGAACCTTGGTATTAATGTGCTATAAGTAACTAGTATAATATTTAGCCCAATCAATGTGAAGCATGTATTATAATTTGGCTTGCTATGAAATCAAGGTTCGTATGATTTGCCCCTCCACTTCAGATCTTGTATAAGTATATGCTCTTACCTTTGAGGGGAATTAAGATGCTTTTTGATGGTCTAGAGAAAGTGATTAACGATGTAATCATAGGCATGTCCGGCACTCTTAATAGCGAACAACACTTACATTCACCTAGGTGATCTTTGTGCTTCCTGATAGGGAGTCTTCCAACTTCGATGGCGAGTTCAAGAATTATTTGCTTGCTGGTCTCATCAGTACTTGTTTCCCTTAGCCAGGGTGCTTGAACTCAGGAAATTGAGGAACCTCTAGATTTGTAGTTTCGTCACTCTCATAAATTCTTGAATATTTACTCATTCATTCGATCTAAATTATTATCATCAACATCGCCTTTAGTTTTTATTAACATAATTAATTATATTAGAACACAAAATCACAATGTAAAAAAACATTCATAAACATCCTGATCAATTAACTACTCTAGACTCTAAATCCCCTCAGTATTTTCAATTGATTAGTCTACTGCGTACACTTGTACACTCATTTAGCCTTGCATTACCAAATTTGCACACTCTCTGAGTTTCTGTGGAAATGCATCATCCAGGTATCTAATCACATCTGAAATCTCACTAAAAGCATAGTTCTTATTCACAATCTTATCCCAAATGAATTAGCCTTCCTCCTACAAAGATTTAAATTTAATCTCATTATATAATTTGTTTATAGTGTATAACTTCTGATCCAATATGTCATCATCTTACAAATTGCTCAGATGCAAATTAGCCTATTTTAAGAACTTCTCAATCTCCTCGTTCCCTTCAGAAGGTACTACTCCTTACATGTACACTTACAATCCATCTGCACATCCTAAGGGCTTTCTCTTAATCAAGACTTGCTGACCCATTTTGAAATAATTGTTTGAATAAGATTACAAGAAATCTGCATAGAAATACAACTTAGAAGTAGTCTCTATATTTTTCAATCCTGTCTAATAATAATTGAGTACTGATGATATCATATCAGTGCTAGATTCCCTTTGAACTATATACTTCAAATTTTAACCCTTTAAATTTAATGTTCTAGTCAAATATGTTTCCTATGAGTCTTGAAACACACTATCGTTTGGCAATATGTTACCAATGTTTAGAACTTCGATTTTGCTTGACAAGAGAGATCCTTAAAATTCCAAGAACTTTTAATAATCCACTTCATCTAACACATTCAGTATCTCTTATGGAGTATTAATTGGTCTCAACATTATCTTTGGTAAATAATATTGTTGTGTTAATAAAGATAGTTTCTGATCATGGAATCTCTTGATATCCTTACTCAATAGATCCTTCACATAATAGAATAGTTATTCATCATCAATACTCATCAAATCAAATACCTTATCTTAAAATTCCTATTGCTTCTCGGAATAACTAAGAATCTATACATTTAGACCATTGATTGTCTCTTTGAAAGACAATTCATATCCAAATAAAAATTCCTATTGAAATAGTCTTTTCGACAATTCTGTATAATATTTCTACAACAACTTCAACATTGTTTTACCCTAAGCTAATGTAGACTCAGGTTTCTCAATGAATAATCCAGTAAATACCATAGCCCCCAATCTACTTGGTTTCCACCAAACATTGCTAGCAACCTAAAATGGTGTCAGTGAGGACTATGCTGCTTTTTCCTTTTCTAAACAATCTATTTAAAAATCTGGCATTGGAAATTCACAAACATACTCTACTGTTTCGAATTTAGGGTCTCTTGTTCCATCAAACTTCCCATCTTTTACTGTCAAACTTAAATCATCCACATGTTAATATCCGAATCCTTATATTTTGTATATAGGCTCTTAACAAACTGATATTATTGCCAGGTTTTCGGGTAAGAATGGACTGATAGCAGGTAATTGGAATTAATATTAGTTGTTAAGTTCAAATAATTTTACTAAAGGCTTTAAATCATATGTAAATCCTTAATGAACTTTATTCAGAATTGCATCCAATATGAATATTGAATCATCTTTTTGTGATTCATAAGTTGAATTCAATTGAAAGTTCTCACTTCCAACTAAAACTATGAAATTATTAGCCAAATTCGATAAATATTTATTGAATTCATCCTTATCAAATATTGGTAAGCTTTCTTACCCTTTCAAAGCATAAATTGGGTCTGAAAAGAGATTTTATCCGGTTGATATTAGATTTTCTTCGTATTTTGTATTGAATAGTAATTCTTCTGTCGCCAACATTTAAGAATACAAGTATTGAAGCTAATTTTCGTCTGCTTATTTTAAGTAATCAAAAAATTAGATCAACTTATTTATGGAATTTAATACACTCCCTAAATCTATATCCAATGTTATTAACAGATGATTCTACCATATTGCACCATAAAATGGTTTAGGCAATAAGTATGCTAAGAATCTTTAACAACTATATTGATCGCTCATAGACAATAATGTCAATAATTCTGTGTCACTTCTGAATTTTAGAATATGTCTGCCTTAGGGATATTTATTTTAAAAGTTTGGTTGCTAAAACTTATGTAAATTTTTTAATTTAGATAAATCTGATTAAAATACTTTATCTAAGATCTTTTCCTATTCTTCTGATGTTTTAAAAATCAAACTTATAGTATCAGCTGAAATATGGGAGATGTACTATTAGAACAATTAATCAGCATCTACATTTAAAATTGTGAGTTCGTTTAAATGTGCTTATTAACTTAAAAAATCACTCACATATTCTAATTCACCAGATTTCGAATCAATCAATAAATCATTATATAAATCATTAGCATTCTTATCAATATCTATAAATTAAGGCTTTGTTAATATGTTGTACAATTCCTATAATTTTGCATTCAACTCTTCAAATAAACTCAATTAGACTGTCAAAGTAGTGTAATTATTGAAAATCTCTATATAAAAATTGGTTTATAGGCATCTAAATAGCAACTCTGTCAATCCAGGCTTGTCTGATGGGTCATCCTTCTTCCCAATATTCAATGTAATTGTCATATGAATTCCCTCTATGGATGATTAAATCAACAACATTTTTACTCCATTTTATAATTCCTTATATGTATAAATATTTTTGGAAAACACAGGCTTTAGAATTTAGATCTAAGATTCTTATTAAATTATAAGTTCTTCCAAATCCTAAACAACATTTTATTGCTCTTCCAATTTCTCCTCTATTTTCTTATTGATATCATCATCATCATCTATCCATTCAGTACGCACATCATTGTATTATTCTATTTTTGAGATATAACTATCTAACACACTATCTATTGCAATCTCATCCTCTTTAGGTGCTTTACTATCTCCATTACTCTAAAGACCATCACTGAGTTTATTAAATACATCCTAAACCGCAGAGTCTTAATAATTATTATTTTATAATGCTACACGTACATCCTTATTAGGTTTCGATGTAATTAAAACTAAACTATTAATTAAGCAAGCTTACCATTATAATGCTTGAGCAACCCAAATCCTGAAAATCCAATCATAATTACTAAAATCAGTATTATAATTGCATCATATTTTGATGGACCTGATTAATCATAATATGGCTCTATCTTATCCTAATTTCTCCAATTTTATGATTTTAATCCTATTTTTTCGTTTTTGTCTTCGTCTTTAAGCAATTTTTCATAATCTTCCTCTTGACTCATAAAATACAAGAATTATTTATTATTCAAAACGGATGATAAAAATTGATTCTAATGAAAAATAACTAAATAAATCCATAAATCATTTTTTCCTCTTCTTATATTAAAATCTTATTTAAAGTGTTCATAAGATATGTATTAACAAATATGAAATTATAATTTATTTCAGGTCTCATAGTGTTATTTAATTGCTTATATTTGAATGAACTAAAATATTATTTCACATATAATTTTATGCATACAAAAATAAAAGATTTTTGAATATCTGATATCCTATTGAATTGCAAGGTTTTGTTTGAAATTTAGTAAAAAAAAATTATAAGAAGAAAAATAATAATAATGATATATATTCTCAAATCTTACGTAGATTAATTTCTTCCAATGAAAATGAAGATCATTTTAATTAGTAATAATACAAAGTATAAATAAATGAAAATCATTTTTGATAAATACCATTATCCCAATAACCTTCAATCACCTTTCCTTACGTTTCCAAAATACCAAAACCATTGTAAACTCCATCATACCATTCACCATTATATATTAAATTATGTGTTGTTAACTTTCCAATTCCTTATTTCTTTCCTTTATGATAGTTTCCCTCGTAAACTTTGCCATCTGGCCAAGTAAACTTTCCCATTCCATGCATATACCCATCTTTAAATTCTCCTACATATACTTCACCATCTGGAAAATAATAAGTCCCTTTTCCATTAATCTAATTTTCAATAAAGTCCCCCTCATAACTAGCTCCATCAGTAAACCATTTAATTTTTCCTTTGCCGTGCTTTAAGCCCTTTAAGAATTCTCCTTCATAAATATAATGTTATTTAAGTATTTCTTATCCAATCCCACTAGGCTGACTCTCTTTCCACTCTCCTTCATATTTCACTTAATTGGATGTGTATTTTCCATGACCATGTTATTAATCGTTTTCAAATTCTCCCTCATATACTTCACCTTCCTAAAACACTATTTTTCCATAGCCATTTGCCATATCATCTTTCCAAATGCCTTTGAAGCAAGAACCATCATGATAAAAAAACTAACCTTCTCCTTCTTTTTTTCCATTAATTAATGATCCCTTATAGACTCCATTAGGAAATTCAAAGAACTCTCTAATCTGACTGGTTGGTGTTTAAATATTAGAATCATGAATTGATTCGAAATGTAAAGTTCGTTTACGATGCAATTTAAGATTAAATGGTACCATCTTAACCTTCTCAGGAGATTAAGATTTTGTAGTATTTAGGGATTCAACTTATGTCAATTACCTTAAATCAGAAATATTAAGATTAAAAGATTTAGTATCAAACTTATTAACAAGGAAAGGTTGTTGCCTATTTTCTATTGAAACGGAAGCAAAATCCTTATCATTTATTTCAACTTGTTAACAATAATTTCCCATATTTAAAATTTATATCAAATTATAAAATAATGTTCTAAAAATTATCTTTTTTCATAATTGAGCATCTATTGAACAATAGATTCAAGAATCTATACCAAAGCAGTGTTTGATAAATAATTTCATATAATAGATCTTCCACTCATTCAACCTCCTTTTTGTATACAATAAATGAACTTGATTTAATTAAGACTAAAAAATATAATTTATATGTGAAGAAAATCTCTTTTGACTTTACCTTTCTAATAAATCTTCTATTAAATTGAAGGCTATGCTTAAATCTTTTGAAAGCAATTTTATTAAATAAGATTTTGATATAAAAGTCATCATTCAATTCCAATAATTACTCTAATGTTACTAATCTAATCAATTTAATTACCAATAAATATTATATATTCCTTACCTAATATTGTATCTTCAATGTTAAATTGTACCATCTCTCTTTTATTTAAATATCCTAGAATATTTTAATCTTTTCTATTGATCATAAGTCTTATTTTGTTTATGCTATTATTTTGATTTAAGAGTTATCAATTTACCTTCTATAAAATCGTATATTTATAGAATTTTCATACTTCAGAATGAAAACCAAAAACCTCAACAAATAGACATAGAATTAAACAACTCTCTATTACTAGACATACAAGTTATCAAGTGAAATTCAACAATGGATTATTATTCTAAAATTAGAAAAGAATAGGAAGAATAAGTTTCTCTTTTGATTTCAATTTAAAATTAAAATTAATTTACTTTTTCTTTTCTCCAATATATAAATGTTTTAAGTATATTAAATTATAAAATGAATAAATTAGTTAAAATCATGTTTCTAAGCTTTGCTTTTTACGTGCTAGTAATGGGTTTAACCATGGTGTGAACTCCCCAATATTCATTTGCTTGAGTTAAAAAATTTGATTATTCTTCTGTGGACCCAATTAAGGTGATTCACTTATAGATGCCTAAAAAATTATTCCTTTCTTCTTAGACTTTTCACTTTAATATTTTAAAATTCATACTAATATTCTTATTCTTTATTTCTGGGGTCTGTTTTAAATTCTATTCCTAGCTACCTTAAATACAGTACTATCCGATGTTCACTTTCAAATTATTATTAATTAGAACTATGGTATTAGGGTAAGAAGCTATCAAGTGATTCCACTGACTCATTAGGTAAGATTTGTTTGTCTAATTCTTCTGGAAAAAGAAGTTCAATTTTTGGTTTTCTCAATTCGTTTTCTCTTTTACCATACTGCATTAAATAAATATAATGTTAATTAATTAATTTTTATATCTTTCCGCTCCATTTTCTCCCGAGTTTATATCTAAAATGAATTGAAAAATATCATATAATATAAATTACGAACATTATTGTTCTAATTAGATATATTTGATGAGTAATTTCTTTTAGGTTATTAATAATTAGAGAAAATATTGATACAATTATGTATTATAAAAAGATCAACTTGAAGATTATTTAAATATATTTTCTGTTGAAGCTTTTTAAAAATAATATTTGCTATTATATAACTAAAACTTTTGATTTTAATCTTCAATTAAAAAAGAGTCATGATAATAGATTTTGATCAAATTCCTTGTCCTGTTATTAAATTATCTTCTCTTTAATTCCATCTTCAAAAAATAGGGTAATTTGTAATCGATTTTTAAATATTTATCTGATATAATTAAAAATAATTCCCTTTCAGTAATAGTTACATATAGATGTATTGGGTATTAAATAAGCAATATATAAATAAATATCAATTACTCAATATCATTAAAATTGTCTTAAAATAAAAATTGAATGAGAAACCAACTTAATATAAATTCCTTCCTTAATTGGTTTACTATTAGATAAATCCATTAGAAAAGAAAAAGAATATTTAATAATATTATTATTCGGAAAATATCTTAATTTTAGAGGTTATAACAAAATTTATAGCTAATTGTATCTAAGATAAAAAATATTTGTATTCTTTTCTATAATTAATGAGTTCTTAAATGCATAACTCAAAATATAAAGCATTCTTATTTAAATGAATTGCGCAATTTATTCAAAAAAGGATAATTTTTAATAATCCAGATCTCTGAGTATAAAATTACTTATTTAGTGTTATTTTATACTATTTATTACCTTATTATATCAATTCAACTATTAATATACTTTTTGATGTTTTATCTTTAGAAAATCCAATTATAATTATTAAGTTTAAATTTATCTTCAAATTCTTCTCATAAATCCTTCAATACTTGAATCTCTTCCATTTTAATAACTTTTTTTGAATTCAAGCGTTAATATTAAAATTTAGTAATATAATTCAAGCAAAATAAGAAAAAATAATTTTATCTATTGAAATATAATTTTATCCAATTAAAATAAACTAATAATTTATAATCGCTGTTTTTTAGAATCCTGCCATTTTTATTGTGATATTTAAATTATTGCTTGATAAATCAATATCAAACTAAATATCCAGAATTCATTAAATAAATATACTATCTTAGTTATTCCAAAGCTTGATTCGACATAATCATAGAAAATACTGAAAAATAATTTTAATTTTGAGGAGTTATAAAATTACATCTTTTGAAATCCCAATTAAAATATAGAAAATTTGAATGAAATAGATTTTAAAAATCAATTTAATAAACATAAATTAGTTTTATCAAATAATTGAGAGTCAAACTATTTCTTATTATTGTAACAATAATCTAAGTTATCTTTCATAAGATTCATCTTCAATCAATATCTGTAAGGGAATTATGTTAACTATTTTCTTTATTAAATACTATTGAAATATCAAATACTATCTTAATAATTTTGCAATTAGTAATAATCCAGCTAATGCTATCACAAAATAAACAATTGAAAGAGACTAAATCAATATTAAGAATTTACCTTGCTAAATTGTAGCTGCACATTGGTTATTTCTTCAATTCCATATGACAACTAATCATTCAATTGTATAAATATTCTAGTTATAACTTAGGAGCCTTCTTATTCATAGAGATTATATGCTAGCCTATGAGTGAAATTATTGATGGCCTATTCTGCTTTTACTTAGTTGGTAATATAATTTAAAGTCTAAATGGTACCTTCCTTTAATGTTCCCTCAAAGGCTAGATTACATTAATTGTACATAAAAGCTTTATAGTTCTACAAAATTAATTACAAATACATCTGCTAAAACTTCACATAGATTTTCAGTCAATACATTTGTTTAATAATCAATAAATGTCTGAGTGACAATTAATTGATCAAAATCGAAAGAATTGACTTGCAAAACATATTAGTTCATGATTGAAAGTGCTTCGTCTATTAGAATATACAATTTTTGTTTATCACTGTCAGTCAGATATGTAAAATTGTCCCATCGATAAAAAATCTCTTTTTACATCAGAACACCTCCTGATCTAAGTTTCAAATCAGAGATCAATTTAAAAAAATCTATTGTTGATAGATACTTTCTAAAGAAGCTTTAATTAGATTAATCTACTAGTGTTGAATAAGAAACAAAAATAGTACAAAAAAATAATAAAATTAACGCAGGCTTCAATCTACTTACTTTAAATACTCTTTTTAATTTAATATTTTTTTTATGTTAAGAATTATTTCCAATTCCATTTTAAACTTTATTCTGGCAATATTCAAAACTAAATTAATAATCAAATATCATTTTTTCATCATGAAGAATTTAAGATAGCATTAATTTTAATTTTGTAATTTCATTCTCCAAGCGATCTAAAGATAAATAATCCATCAGATATAAAAACTTATCATATTGGACTAAATATTGATTGTAATAAAAAAATGATATCATATTTGCTAAAATTACGATTAGAATTGAAATCAACCAGAATATCATCCATTTTTGATTAACACTGTTTGATCTTTCTTTTGAATAGACAAAGATCTCATCACTAATTTATGTTAATAAATCATGCAAATCAAAGTAGTTAGCATAAAGAAATACTTAAAAAGGAGACCCACTTGGGCTTTCTCTCGTTGCATACTTTTTCGCATATGCGAATTAATATTGTAATACAACCAATAGCACCTCCCTAAAAGTCATTTGTTTTGAAATCACAGAAGTTTCATTCTCCTTCATGAATCTGATATTCATATCATAATCATTATAAAACAACTACAAATATGGATTATTTAATTAAGTATATAGACTATCTTTAAATTCTAGATATCCTTAATAAATGTTATCATAATACGGATCTGTTAATTGTTTAAAGAGAGTCTAATTTATGAATCCTTCACTTAAGGCTTACTAATAAGAAGATAATGTAATTCTCATTGAGAAATAAAGATCATGGGGAGCCATTACATCTGAGTGAAGCCCTATCATGTTTATGTCAACAATACTGTTATCCAAGTCAGTTGGCATTTATGATAAAATGATGATGAAATAAATCATTTATATCAAGTTTTGAATTAATAAAAAACCTATAAACTAATTGATTTTTAAGGGAGGTTTTTAAGAAGTTATCTTCTCGATTAACTCATACTTTTTATAAAATAAAGATTAATTTATGCTTGCAACGGATGATTAAGATTGAGCCTATTAATGTATGTGTAAATCTTATTCCTCCTATTATTATCTATCATCGTTTTGTTCCTATGATTTTATTGATGATTTATCCTAATAAGGTAATAGATGAGAGAATTTGCAATTATAAAACGTTTATTATTATTGCTTCCTTTTTATTTTTAAAGGAGACTCATTGATCTCGTATTAATTTAATAAGTTATCAATAACTTGATTTTGAGGAGTCTCTCTCATTTGTGTTTGCAGTTATCGGGTACTCTAATCAACGTTATTATTAAGCATGGTAGTTAATGGTGAAAAAAGAGATGCTTAATTATTTAAATCTTGTATATAGATCTAATTTGGATGATCATCATTACCCTAACTGATAATGCAGTTTTAACTATAGCTTATATTGGATGTTTCCGATATATATGATTCTTACTCATAAATTTCATCTTCAAAAGTGTTGTTTTGTCCACTCAATTACTATATATCCTAAATTTCTATTACATAATATGAAAAATCTTAATGGTTTCTTTCAAATATATTGAGTTTAGCTATAAAGGATAAAACTTTTTCCTTTTATTTCCATATAATTGGATTTAAATTGGACATTCTTTTCTCCTTATCCTCCACCATTGTGGATTTTCTCACTTTTAAATAATCAAAAAAAAATAGCTTTTCAACCAAAAATCTATTATCTTCCTGCTTCTTTTACAAGGCTTCGTCAAATAAAGGGAAAATGTTATATATTGATATTTCATTCAAATATTTATGTTTCACCATTTTTGTAATCAAATTATCATCATAACCTATTTTTTACAGAAAATTGAAGGATAAACTTACAAAACTTTTATCAAAACCATCCACAATGATGTAGCATTTTTCATAAACTAATTCTTAAATAAACGCAACAAAAACCAATTGAGAATGATGAAAAACAGATGTCGTATCATAGCATAATTAAATCCCTTTAACTAAACAATCATGGCAATTTACAAAATTTGAACTAAAATTTCTATAGTATCGAGATTTCCCTGTTGATAAAAAGTTGTTAACCATTAAAGGATGGTATTGATAAAAAAATAACGGTAATATTTCTCTAAAACATGTATTTAATTAATTTGGTTTTCCTATTAGATTGAGCATTTGATTAGAGATAGTTTACACTTCTAATTGCTTTAAGTCTTCATTCAAGGATAAGATTACATATGCACTCTATTACTAAGATAAATTCAATGCAGAATGATTATTTTAGATGAACTTTAGATCTCCATTAATAGAATAATTGTATATTTTATTAGCTTCTAAGTAATTACTGTATAATTCAGCCAAAAAAAATGTGAGTGCCTTTTGTAATCTAATACTAGGGTATTTCTCAAATTAAATTTTTATATAATTCTCTGTTTCATTAAGATTAGAGCAAAGGTCATTGGTTTGTTTGAGGGATTTCTGTAAACTAAATTATTTTTGTGCTTTAATTAATTCAGAAAAAAAGGAGACTTTTGAATTTATAAGATTAATGATCATTTATTTGACCGTTTATATGATGAATTCATAATTTAAATATTGATTAATAGAGTCAGAAATAAATGTTTATTAGGCTGCTTATAAAGAAGAACCAAAAGAAGCTTTCATATTCCATTTTGTTTAATTAAACAGTTGGATAATCCTCACTCTATCAATAATTCCTAAAGTAATTTTAAAATACAATTTCATCTCATTGGCATTATCTTTCTCTTTCTAAGAATCCAATGATTTTAACCTCCTATATAATTAGGTCGTTGATCTTATGGTCATTTCCTTATTGTATTTTTAGATGTTCGTTTTATCAAATTATTGATTAGCATTTGAATTAATTGGAGGATTGACAGTATCATTAATAAGGATTTTGTTAAAAGCCTTAGCTGCCAGCATTGTCCAACCAAAATCATGAAGTAATATAGCATATTGAATGAGTAATTCTTAATTACAGTAGAATTCTGAGGACTTCTTATTGATAACCTTCTAAATGATAGATATTTTTTCAAATATAAAGTTTCTAAATATTTATCCTGTTATCGCATTCGCTTATCTTGGTTCAGCTATATAAAAAGTAGTTGTGCAGGAACATTATTTGTGTAGACATTACTTAGAATGGAAATAATTAATCAAAGAGGACCTAATAACTACATAATGATCACCGATATCACATTTATTGAGTATGCAAATTAAAACATTCATAACTTCTTTAATATTAGGTGTATTATCAGATTTAAATAGTACTAGAAACTGTTAAGTCTTTACTTAGTTGACATTCTATAAGATATATACTAAAATTAAAGGAGTTATATTTAGTAATAAAAAGGTATAATTAATTGTGTAAGTAAAGTTCTCAATAAATTTAAGGATGCAAAAGAGCAATTAAAAGAGATGACCAGAATATAGGATAATTTCTTAATATCTATAAATATAAATGGAATTAGCAAATTAATTTCTGATGGCAACTACTTAAATAAAGCACACTAAAATACACTGTAGAATTGCAATAGATTACGTAGTTTCCATCAAAGCAAATAAAATGACTGAGATAGTTGAAAATATGTATATAATTAAATGAGATTCTGTAACTTTGGATCTTTCCATAGGCCGCATTTTAAATGTTATGGGTTATCTGTTGATTAAGCAAATCATAATTTAATCTAATTGTAATAATACGAATGTGATAATCTATAATGTTAAATTAATGTATTATAAGGTTTAGCCGGCTTAGATTAAAGAGACGCTTCTCTTGATTGACAGTAATATGAGAGTGTTAAAGGGTATAATAAAAATTGGACAAAGTAATTGTTGATAGCAGCTTTGAATTCTAATAAAAATTTGTAAAGGCAAGTGATGCTAAATTAATTGCACAAATTTATCTGAGTGTTAATGATTTTTTAAAATAAACATTAGCAGTATAAAGCCTAGTTTACTTATCAATATGAGTCCAAAAATAAATAAATATATTAATTCTTCTTTGACTTGATAATTTGTGAAAATGTAAATCTCTATCCTAATGATGAAGGTATATATTAGATCTATGGATGAGTTTATTTGGAAATCCTTTATTTGTGTTATTGTTGGATGAATAACCATCAGTAAGGATTGGAGAGAATTTGTTAGCAGTAAATAAATTTCAATGGCTTATGAACAAACAAATTATCCTCTCACAAAAATGGCTGTCATCACCCAGAGGTCATAGAGAGACGAAATTTTATTCAATTGTTTTTTTATCATATATATGATGATGTTTAAGATTGATTCGTTGTTTAATATACTTATGACTATAAATCAAATTAAACCTTGATGCAGTGCTATTTCTCTGAGATATCTTTCCAAAGACTCATCATATAGGATTGATTCTTTCGGTATCAAAAATAACGACTATCTGATTTAGTGGTATTCCTTTATTAAGTATTTTCTATAGAGTTACTTTATGAAAACAATTAGAAAAGCAGATATGAGTAAATAAATTAACGAGAAATACTAAAAAAATTAATTAATGATCTTACTATCAAAAAGTTGTTCTATTCATTGCAAGTGTCTTTAACACTCTGCAACAACAAATCAGATAACTTAAAAGGAGATTTAGTGATTATCTATGATCCTTCCTACTCGTACAATTCAATTTCTACTCTTTTGGTGAAATTATTAATCTACTATTAACTACGGATTGAGTTGGAAATAGAATTCAATGTTTGTATTAACCCTTTTGATAGTGTATCTTCAAAGGACTTATCGCAATAAAATAACATAAAATCTTCCAATTGCTAAAATAAATGAGCTCTTACATCTATAATTTCTAAGCAAATATTATTTTGCTAGATGTCTATAAACTTATCCGTAAATTTGTTGCCAACCAAATATTATGATGAATCATAAGTTGATGACAGGAGTATATATTGAGCAATTACGTAATGTGACTAATCAATATACTAATATAAGAGGTCTCTTTCACCTTGAGTTAAGAAAGTGAAATTATCCCATCTAAGACTGATTTCTTTAAATAAATAAATGCTTCCACTCTTTAATTTAAGATCTTGAATTATTTTATAAAGTATGACAGTATCATTATATTTAGATAAAAATGTTTACGATTTATAGAATATTACACTTGTGTATATCAAATAAACCACAGTGATAGAAACTATGACTGAGTAGACATTAAATCTTGACAAGTGTTATCTATTTCTATTCAATAGCTTAAGATGATGCACTTTACCTCTGCCATATTAAGTTTATGTTTTTTCTTACTCATATAATTCTTGATCAAAGTGATACCTCATTATGTCATCCGAATTTGATTGCAACTATTATAATATAGTTTCGCATCTATTTAGTTGATCATAAATTAATTATTTATTAAACTCATTGAATATTAGTAGGAATTGATCATAATACTTAATGTATTAATTAAAGTTACATAGTCCAACAAAACCAAAGGTTATCAATAATACTTAAAGTATAATCCAAAATATTTTACCCTTATTATCAATAACCTCTTTTGTGTTTATTAACCATCCTTATATATCTTGAGCAATTGAATCAATCTTCTCATGAAACAGAAAATAATTAGCCATCTAAAAAATTTAACATGCCTTTCCAGATGTGCTTTATCTTTATTCAATAGTTCTCATATGATCATACTAATACTATAGGATTGTTAAAAGAGATTCTCTAAAACTTGTTTACATATGTTGCAATTCTGTTTCATTTTCATTCATAAATCTTAAAGTTAAAACAATGTCATTAAAAAATTCTTACAAATACACATTTCTTAATTGTCTGTAGAAACTATCTTTCAATTCCAAATAGCCTTATCTTATATTCACATAAAATGGATTAGTTAATTAATCTACTTAATTTTGACTTAACAATCCTTCTCTTTGCATCTATTAATATGAAGACACAGTAATTTTCATTGAAAAAAATAAATCATGAGGTCCCATAATACTTGCATGTAATGATCCCATTTCAATGTTATCTATTATAAATATCATGTCTGAAGTCATATTTATGGTTACTAAAAAAGAAAATACAAAAAATATTAAACTTTGTCCTATAAAAAAGAATAAAAATGAGTCTATTTTTTTTGGATTCCTTTTTTCAGTCATCTTCTCAAATAATTAATATCTTTTATAAAAGAATGGTCTATAAAAGCCTGCAACACTAGATGATTATTGTCCCATTCTTTCTAATTATTGATTATTTATTCTTGAATTTTATACTTCATTATTTTTTTTCTTCTCTGGTGAGTACTCTTCTTTCTCTAGTTAACTATTTTAGAGATCGCTTTCAACAAATGATTTATTGAATGATTTATAAAACTCTTATGCATTTCTAGCTCTGCTACTTAATAGATTTGAATAACTTTAATTTTATTGTATAAATGATGATTAATTCAAGTTCTTCATTTATTCCTAACTCTAATTCAGTAAAATGCTTTATTTTAATTTCGAGGTTTATATTCTTAAATTGTTCTTCTTTCTTTCTTGACCAAACTAACTAAATGATAATAAACTCATAATCTTTAGATGCTTCCCTTTCCATTTTGATCCCTTACTCATAGTACTCTCTCCTAAGCAAGGCTTGTAAATTTCAAGCATTTTCTTTCTCTCTTCATAGCTTAAAATTTGTTTCAATGATATAAATTCTAATAAATAGTAGTAAGCAAGTTGAACAATAACTTTTTCTATTTTTATTTCAATATTAAAACAGTTAATATTTTCTTTGTTTCTCCAAATATAATAATTTTAATCCTTTTTAATACTTGATTGGGTTAATATTGCTTCTTAACTATATTATGGTTTCAGAAAGAAACACAATGTAGTCACTATATCAGTATTCATTTCTGCTTTATTCAACATATTAAAATAAGGAATCATAGTAAGAATTCTTATTTAGTGCAATGCACCATCCTCAATAAATTATTTTTATTAAAATTCATTGATTCCAAAAGTTTAGAGAGCTTAGCTTGTAAAATATGCAATTTAAGTCTGGCCATCTACGACTATAATCGGAAGATCTGTGTTTACACTTTATAAAAAACTAACAAATATAAACTTATCTATTTTAAAAATTTGAGTATTATCTATGCATAAACTCACTTATTTCAACAATCCATTATGACTCTTAATAAATGTATGATTAAAATTTCTATAAAACTTGTTTTGTCCAGTATGAAAAAAGTTCTAGACTGAAGTCTCATGATACTTATTATAAAATTAAGGAATGATATCATTAAAGTTATAGTTAGCAAAATCAAATGTTACTCCAAATAATTTAAAAAAATTATGAGATGTTTAGATCATACTAAAAGTTCTAAAATTTTCATCCACTGATATGAGAATGTAAGAACTTATATCAGCAGACAAGTTTAAGTTTTTTATTCCTCTGTACTTTATTTAATTCTCCTTTAAATTTACCTCTGACTATTTTATATTAAATGCTGCTAGTAAATTATTCATAATTTATGCCTCGAAGTAGCAGAATGCTTTTTATATAGACAAATCTGGATTTAAAGTAAATAGGGAGTAAAATTACTGTTCAATTTTCAACAAATATTCTGAAGCTTCTTTGACCTTGTTGAAAAGATGAGAAAAAGTATATCCAGAATCTGAATCTAATATTTCATAAATCTAAATTTTTAATTTTACACATTCTTTCATTCCAACTAATAATTCCTGCTAATTTGATTGACTAATTAAAAATTCATTTAAGTATTATCGTATCAAAGTTTGGCTTGCTGCCCTAAGGGATGTTCCTAAATTTGCTTCAAATTTGATTCTAGACTATTATAACACTAGGTTTATCTAGACTTATTCAATTATAGACAACATGATTTTGATTTTGGTTTATTCCTTCTCCTTATAATCTTTCTAACTAAATTAACCCTATTTTATACTTCATAAAGTGATAAAGGAATGAAACATTAAAGACTTGATTTTCTTTAAGCTTTTTCAATTGGCTAAGAATTTGCAAGGAAATCATCATTTAATTGAAATCATGAAGAAGGATTGCTGTAGATATCAATAAATCCTGTTTTACTTAGTTTTTCATTTTGGTTAAAAACAGTTTCTTAATCAGTTGTTTGTATTGAATGTTCATAAAATTATTTACCATTAAGCTTGTTGTAGCATTAATTTATGTGCTTTCTGTTATATTGTAGTCCAGTTCACAAACACAAGATGATTTCTTGCATTATTTTTTATGATGGAAGTATATTAAGGATTGCTTGAAATTCTTGTTACTTTAAACGCAATCGCAATTGTTTAAGATTCTTACTAATTAATAAAGAATTTAATTAATATTCAAATTCTCAATCTAATCAAGGTCATTATTTTTGTTTAAAAATATAGCTGTGAAATGTTTAATATCCTGATTCTCTTAAAATTTATTAAAGATATAGATAATTGATGGCATTGTTAAAAGAGACATTAATTAAATTTCTTGTTGATTTACACCGCTATAACTCATTATAGTATATATTCCATTCATAATTAAGAAGGCCTGAGAGGCTAAAAATATTTTTTTTTATGTTTCATATATAAAACCACAATTTCTTACTTAATTTATAACTTAAAAAAGTGATAAGAGTATAATTACGATTTGTTAGATTTATTGTAAATATATCGATTGACTCTAATCAGAGAGGATGACTTAAAGTAATCTAATTTTGAGGATATAATAATCAAAATTCGAAATCTGAAATTATTTGCATTTCAGAGTTTTAAAAGAAGTAGGATGATGATCTATTCTCATAAAAAATAGTGTATCAACTGCATAAAACACTTAACCAAAAACACAAAGAAAGGATTTTAGAATTGATGAAGTGAGACCTGCATTGAAATCTCTTAATGATTAGTTAAAAGAATATAAAAAAATCCTAGTTATTGGCAAAATAAAATATATTCCTAAGAAACTTTAATAATAAGTAATTATCTAAATTAAATACTAGACTATATCCTTTTATAAGTACTTCTTAAAGTATGTTTCATAAAAAGAGTTCAGCAAACAAATCAGAATGAATAATGATTTCTGAATAAGCCAAATTAGCAATAAAATGATGTAAAATTCTCCATTAAAATATCCATTTTATATAATTATGATGTCTGGTCTAATGAACATTTGCAAAAGTTTATAAATAATATTTTCATCAACTTCAATTTACTTTTTGAAATAAAAAGGCTAAAATAATGCTAAACTGAAAACTAAATATTACACCACATTGGGGCATTTGAATTACTAATTTAACAAATATGTAGTTTTAATCCATTAATCTAACATCGAAGAGAATTTAATATATTTCTATTTGGAAGCTGCATACATATTTAATTTTATATATTTTATTTTAAATTGTCTTGATTAACCAGCAATAAAATTGTTAATAAGAATATATTTAGCATAACGATGAGAAGTTGATAAACAATATTCAAAACAAATATCAAATATACAATTTGCAATAGAAGTAATCACCTGAAAAGATTCTTTCAAATATATATAATTAAAAAATTCTAAAAAGAGTATTTAATTAAATTGTTGAAATCCTGTATGAATAAAACATAAGATTTACAGCTTAGAAAGGATTGAATATCAATTTATATTTCAATCAGTAAAATTGTGTATGCAAAGTGAATAGAAATATTGTATCTTAGAATAAACTCTTAATAGAACGTTGGATATTAATACTCATTAATAAAGCTATTCAGATACTTACTGTTTTGTACCTATTGAATCCATCTATTGATATTCTATAGGATATATAAAGTGAAGGTTAGAAAGCTTGATTTGAAAATGGTCTTAATAAATGATATATTTTGAGACTATGGAATAATAAGATTTAAATTAGGTTTTATATGAGATTAGGTACTGTTTTTAGTTTAAATGAGAAAATATCATATAATATGAACTCATATCATATTCTTTTGCGTGGTTGTTGTGGAAATTATAATTGAAAAGACTTGGATTTTGTTAAGTTTGACTCACTAGATAATAGTATTCCTTATTTAGAAGGAGAGGGAATGATAATTAAAATAACTACATAAGACTAGTGAAATAAAAAATTATATATTTTTAGGTTTCCAATAATTGATATATGTAGAATTTAAGCAAGAATTTATTTTTAACGTCATTATTAAAATTTAACAATATTTATTTTCTGTTATTACAATGAGTACATTTTAAAGACCAACATCATCTAGAAAGAATACTAATACGCTACCAGCTCAATAGGGAGACTTAGAGGAATATATGTAATTTATTTAATTTGATGTTAGTTAAATCTTATATGATCATTAAAAGAGCTGTGAAAAGGCTGGAAAATATCTTGAGGCAGATCAAGCAAAAAAGAGACTGGCTGAATTGAAGAAGGAATTGGATTATAAAAATAAAGGAGATGTCAAAGATAGACATTGTTCTGAGAAATAGGAAATTGAGAAAGCTCACTGTGAGGAATTTAATCAATTCAATACATTTTGGGATTAAAAAATGATAGAGTTTGATTAGGAAGCTCAAAAGGTGAAAGAGTAAACTCTTTAAAGACACGAGGATGAGTTGAGACAATTTTCAGAAGAGCTTGAGAATTCTATTCCTGTAAAACCAAAAGACTCAGCTGAGTTATTGGCATTAAGAAAGACAGAGGAGTAATTAGCTAAATAAGAAAAGTATAGCAGTTCAATTAATTTTACAGTTATATGGAAGCCCATTTAATCTAATAAAAAATCTTGGCATAGGAGAGAGACGAATTAGAGAAATGGACAGCAGGAAGACAATAAAAAATAAGAAATTTAATCACCTAACTTAGATAAAAATAGATTAATGAATTGAATGCACTTACATAAAGAATTTTAAGTGGACAAGAAGAGCAAAGAAAAATCAGATCCTAAGAATTAGAAAAGTATTTTATTTGTAAATCATTAATTAGATTATTATAAAAATATCAAAATGTTAGGAAGGAATTAGAAAGCCAATAGGTTCAAGAGATGACTAGGTTGGACAAATCATGTAAAAATTAGTGTAATCTATTCCCAGTATGTTTTAGCTATAATGCAATAATCTAGAATGAATCAATCAAGAATGTAGTAAAGTTATGCTAAGGACGAAAACTAATATATTAGATGAGATTTAGTTAATATACTATAATAATATATAAATTAAAAATCTAAATAGGAACTGCTTGTGTCAAAAAGCAAAGAATTTCTCAAAAGAATATAACCATAAATTCATATTTAATCTACAAAAACCTAGAACTCAAGTCCACTTGTCAAAATAATTAAGCTTATGGAATTTGGCAGACTGATTTAGACAGATGGATCTAATTATGTAATATTTAGGTTTTGTAAATTTACAGGAAGGTAATTGGATGAATAATGAATTATAATTTGGTTTTTGCAAATTTATAGATATTGAGGGTAATTATTATTAAGGAGAATGGAAAGATAATCAAAAGAATGGTTATGCTATGGAATATTGGATATCAGGGGATTCATATGAGGGTTAATATCGATGTGGTATGAAAAATGGAACAGGGAAACATTTGCGGGCAAATTGTAATAGTTATGAAGGATCTTATATGAATGATTAGATTCAAGGATTTGAAAAGTAAAAATGGTCAGATGGCCAAGAGTATACTTGTGACTGGTTTCAGAATTATATGTAAAGTAAAGGCACCTTTGAATGGCCTAATGGAAATACATATGTTGGAATTTATAAGGAAAATAAAATGATGGAAAAGGTATTTTTACTTTTAAGATGGTAAAATAATCAAAGGGACTTGGATATAAGGTAAAAAAAATGAAGTTGGTGTACTTACAGAACTAGATGGAAAGGAAATTGTGAGAATTTGGGATTAAGGAAGATTAGTTTCAAAAAGAATGATAATTTATATACACAAACACTAATTAATTTTAATTAACAGATTAGATGTCGGTTTAAAAATATAAAAAAAGTGGAAGTTGTAAAAGCGATTCAGCATATTCATTTAGTTAAGATGTCAATTTATTACAGGATTATGAATATTTATTACAAAAGTCTGCTGAAGAATTAACAAAAGTCAAAGAATAAAATCAACTTTTAGAATAGTAACTCGCAACAGTTCAACCATTTCATCATAATCAATAGCAATAGCAATACTCTACATTTTAATTTAATAAGAATGATTTATTGATTGAACAATTAAAATAAGAAAATGCAGATCTCAAACTTAAATTAGAAACTAAAACTAAAGCTCATAAAAAATTAAAATCTAAACTTAAGCAATATGAATAGATAATGTAAGAGAATGAAAATCTTAAACGAGATATATAAGACTTGTTAAAGGAAAAAATAAATAATAAAGAAAATAGATAAAATTTTCTGAATTAATCCTCAAAGACTCATCAAACAAACATCTAATAATAAAATGTTAATCAAGCTTCTTGTAATAAGTTTAAACTAGATTTATCATTGGCATCAAATTTCAATTTCAAAGGTTTAGAAGAAGCTGATAAATTTCTATAAGAAACCAAAATTCAGTCTTCAAGAGTTTCAAAATTATAAACCATACCAACTCCAAAGAGATGTTAAGAAATCTAAACTATTGAAATTAATTTTTCTGATTTTGATTTATAGAATACTTTAAGTCTTCAACAAGAATTTGTTTAATTCATTGAAGAAGCTATCTCCAAAGCAATTAACTAATTAAATCAAAGAATTTAGACCTCTTAAATTGAAAATTTTATTAAATCTAATGCAGATTTGGAATCTTAAATAATTGAATTATCTGAAGAGGTGTGGATTTTAAGAGAAAAAAACAAGATTCAATAAGAGTTTATTAAATAATTGAAATCGAATTTAGAGTAGTATGATTAAAGAGATTTTTAAGAGTTAATAAAACTCAACCAATAAGCAAATGATGTTATTTAAAATTAGTAATAAGAAATATAATCATTGTAAGAATTAGTAATTAAAACAGAGCAAGAATTACAATAGAAGTCTGAAATCATATTGGACAATATTTAAAATATTGAAAAGGCAGTAAAACAGCTAACCATTTAAGAGAACATTCAAGATGAAAACAAAGAAAATTAATCATGTTTCAGTAATTAAAAGATACAAAAGAAATAGATAAAATATTCTAGTTTGTAATCAACTTCAACTCTGAGTAAATAACCTCCATAACCATCAGTTGATTTTTAAGAGTTTAATGAAATGAAAACAAGCTTTTAGAAGATCTTTACAGAGGTAGAATAATTTCAATAATTACTTATTGAATTTTAAGAGTAAGAGCAAAATAATAGTGTTTCAAATTAAGAATTATTTGAACTTCTAGAACTATTTTAAGAAGAATTCAGTTATAGGGAGAACACAACTATTAAAGATCAAATCAAATATTACATCACTTAAACATTAAATTAGAATGAGCTATTAAAAAATAAATACTTAGATCTGATATACAAAGTAATATTGAATTAAATAAAAACAGATACTCGAAGAACTGAGTAATTAGTGAAAAATGATTAAAAACTATAAGATGCTTTGAAATGGTTATTACAAAATACTAAGCGAAGCCAATCTGTATAAACAATTGTATATAACTGCGATATATTAACAGAAATGATAGTTAAAAAACTCAATAATTCAACAAGAATGAGTGAACTTCATGAAATAATAACTATGTAAATGAAAGTTATTTATACATTACTTCAATCTTTGTAAATTGGAAAAAATGCCTTATAAAGTAGCAGAACAGTTTTAGTGAAAAATGAGAAATAAGAAAATTTGATGAATGAGGCAATTTAAGATTTGAAGGAATTAAATAAAAGAATAAGCAATTTACCAGATACTAACGACGATCTTGAAAGTGCAGACGTAAAGGAAAACATTCGTTAAATTTGCAACAAATTTTTAATGATTTGAACAAGATTGAAAATTCTAATTGTTTTTTTTACTTTATAAATAATTTCAGATTATTTTTGTAATATATCTTTAGTCATTTCAAATGAGTTCTTTTTGTAGAAACAAAGTATTCTTAGTAAACTTGAAATTGGTAAATTAATATTTAATATTAAATATTTTGAATTTAACGATTAAAATGTCAGTTTATATTTGGGGAACTACACCTTCATAGGAAGAAACTACTACACCTAAACAAATAATCATAAATTTCCAAATAACCAAAGTATCATGTGGTGAAGAGCATATGCTATTTCTATCTAATACTAATTAACTATATGCATTAGGGACAAATAATTATGGCGTATTAGGAATAGGAAGTGATGATTACTCAGAGAGATCTTTGACACCTTAATTAATCTAATCAAATATAATCGATATGGATTGTGGTTGGAATCACAACATTTCTTTGAATATTAACAATAATGCTTTTGTTTGGGGAAAGGTCTTCAATGATATCACACAACCTAAACAGATAGGACAATCAATAAGATATGTTAAATGTGGTGCTAGACATACTATGATGATAAATAACAAAAATCAATTATATGCTTTAGGGGCGAATGATTCAGGATAATGTGGTGTTCAAAACACAAAGAGAATAAATGAAGTCACTCATGTAATGGATAATGTACTGACTGTAGCATGTGGAGTGTCTCATTCATTAATTAAAGTTAATTAATAATTATTAGCTTGTGGATCCAATAATTTAGGACAATTAGGTGTATAAGGAGTCAAGAATACCTTCAAACCTTTGTTGGTTGATATTCCAAAGGTAGACTAAATAGCAGCAGGAAACCATTCAGCTGCAATATGTTCTGGAAATCTATATATTTGGGGATCAGGTTGTTTTGGAACATTCACTAAACCAACATTATTTTTACCTGATATTGTTGATGTAAAAATAAATGGAACTCTTGGATTAGGCGTAGACACTTAAGGATAGTTGTATTCATGGGGTAGTAATGTAAATGGAGAATTAGGAGTGGGAGATACATAGACTAGAACAGAAGCAGTCAAAGTGTTAAAGAACATCTAACATTTTGGAGTTGGAATTAATTATGCTATTGCTATATCTAAACGACCTTAACCAGTCACTACAGAGAAAGAATATTTAACTAAGACTCTATAGATAGAAAGTGATGAAAGAAGTGCCTTAGAAAAGATCAATCGAGAATTGAAATCTAAATTTGTGGAGTTAGAATAATGCAACAGCGATTTGAGAAAACTCTTAGATGTCAAAAGCGAAGACATCAATAATTTATAAGCTTAAGTTGAGAGTTATACTAATACTATGGCAAATCAAGAAAGCTAAATTAAAGACCTTAAGTAATAGTGTTAAAGACATCAAACATTTTAAAAAGATGCTATTTCAAAATTAGATAAATATGAAGAATTTATTGATGAATTGGAAAATCAACTCAAAGTAAAAAACGAAGAAATTGATGGTCTAACAAATTAATTACAAAACTTTAAGGATTCACTTAAATAATATTAGGATGATGAAACTTCTTAACTAAATCAATTTAAGAACTAATTGACTGAATTAACTGAACAATTAAATTATGAACAGCAAGTGAATGAGTAGTTGGTTGAATAATATAGCAAGGAAAGGGAATCATTCCAATAAAGAGGTGTTTTGATCTAGTAATATGAATTTGAGATTGGAAATTTGCAATCTTAAAATAAGACTTTGGCTTCTCAAACGAGTAGCTCATTATAGCAACACTAAAAGTTATCTGAAGGCTTAACTATTGCTAATCATAGAATTGAATCCTTGTAAACTTAAAATGCAAAATTAATGTAAGAACTTAGCTTATTGCGTACGAGTATATATTCTGATTTATAGAAACCTTAAGCTTTAGAAGTATAAACAATTATTGGATTAAATAAAGAATTAACCGAATTAAATAACTAGTTATAGAATAAACTTAGAGAAAAGGATGCAGAGATTTTAAAATTAAAGTCTCAATTAGGAAATCTTGGAACACTCAAAGACAGTCGATAAAGTCTATCTTCTCAAATGAAAACTTCATAATATTAAAATTAGTTGTCATAATAAAATTTGAATATTCCAAAGAAACAAAAATAGGAGAGTCCCAATGGAAAAACCATATAAGAATTATTAGAATCTGCTCATAAGCATGCCAAATATATGAAAAAGATTTTAAAATCATCTGAAAATTTTGAATCGGACACTCCTAGTCCCAAGAAGAAATTAGAATTTTCAAAAGAAAATTCTTTCATCAAAAATGATAGCTTGAGTGAAGTGAGAGATAGATTAAATAAGCTACAATAAAATAGATAACTATATGAACAAAAGCTTAGGATTTGATATTATTATATTGCATTTTAAAAATTTTTACAGTTCTATTAAGAATTTTTATGTTATATAAGATTTGTTTATTGCAATATTAACAATATATTATGAATTATCATTAAAGAATAAAGGAGCTTTGCCCATTTAATATCTAATGTAAGGATGAAGTTTGTAACTTTTTGCATCCAAGATGCCTTGCAGGAGTTTGTATTTGGTGTTTGCAAAACAATAAAGAAAAATGCGATGGAACTTTATTGAATTTGAGTAATAAAGAGCTTAGATCCTATCTTCAATAATAAAAAATTAATGGGGTCTTTGCAATGAATCTCTGCAAAAAATAGAATTAATGTGAAGATAAACAAAATTGTAGATTTTTACATCGAAAATGGGCTGAAGGTATCTGTATTTAAGATATAATTGATGAATGCAGCAATACCGAAACATGTCAACTATAGCATGTAAGTTGGGAACTTGTAAAAAAGGAGGCGTATGCATAATTTAATATTCATAATACGAATCCAGAATCAATAGAAAATACTGGAAATCATAAATTGCCAGACAATTTGTGCATATAATATTTAACTGGTGTATGCGAATTTTATACTAGTTGTTCTAAAATTCATGTAGACTGGGAGTGCTTAAAAAATAGCTCTTATACTGATATTAGAGATACAAGAAGAAAATCATGTCTTTTTGAATAATCCACATCAATTATGGTGTAATCAGAAAAATTTACGAGATCGGACGTCGCTAATGCCTACTTTGATAAGATATACACCAATCAAATTAAAAAAATGGTACAGAAAGCTTAGGTGATAGATGTTTTATTTATTATTGATATTACAGGAAGCATGCAAAGATGGCTGACTTCTGCTAAGTCGAATATTCACAAAATCATTGAGGAATTCCAGACTCAGATTGATAAAAAAAAGAATATCGTAAGAACTGCTATAGTAGCCTATAGAGATTTTGGTGATGAAGACAATATGCTATATCGTGAGTTCACCTCCGATACTAAGATTATCTTTGAATTTCTAAATTAGTTGTAAGCTAAAGGAGGAGGTGATGATCCAGAGGATGTTATTGGAGCATTAGAAAAAGGATTTAGGTTGAATATCAGTAAGGATGTGGAAAGTGTTCTTTGCACATTTTTAATATGTGACAATCCCTGTCATGGTCCATATCATGAGAATTTGTAAGATGAGCATTTTGATAAAGTGAAAAAAGGAGATTTAGAGAAAATCATGCAAAAGTATTTTAATTTAAAAAAATTCAATTTCTTTACTTGTTACAAAATCACAGATGCTACTGACTTGATGTTTAATAAAATGTAAACTACTTTTCCCACCCTAAAAATTACAGTTAGTACTCCAGATGACTTTAAGCAATAAGTAATTTTTTCTCTTTAATAATCCTTAAAGTAATCTGAGACAAAAACATCTAATACTTAGTAAACTTAAAGAATAAGAGCAAATTTTTCCAAATCAAAACCATTCGAAATGAGTAATTCTTTACTAAAGGATAATAATATTGATTATTGGAAGAATTTTCAAAAATAGTAAGAGTAAAATAGTGTTGAAGGAGAAACCTTATTAATCATTAATAAAAATTAAGAAATCCTTCCAGAAAAAGATAGAGGGTAATTATGCTAAATATTTAAATTATTTGATGTAGTACTGAATAGAAATCTGGTTTTAAAATTACCTTATTACATTATAGAATCATATAATAAACAGAAAGAATTGTCGTAAAAGGAGAATGAAGATTATTAATTGTTCATAAAAAAGAGATATATTTCATTGCTAATTGCCTAATAATTAGCAGATAGTTTTAGATAAAAAACATAATCCATTGAAGGAGCACCACCAATTTTTTATGTCTCACCAATCATTTATGAATTATAAACACCATTCATGGGCGTTACTAAATTATTCGCTGAAACTTATATAGACCTGCCAAATTTTTGTGAATGGAAAAAATATACAAATAATACAAAATATGCTGATTAGGATGAATATTATTACACATCCTTCTCTCATTATTCATATGAGGCTACCTAAGGAAAACTAATTATCACAGACTTATAAGGCAAGAATAATATCTTATCTGATCCAAGCATTCATACAATTGATGAAGAAATTCGTGAGATGCTTGGGTATGATGAAACCGATTTTAAGGAAAATGGAGTCCTTTTATTTTTTTAACAATAGCATCGTTATTGCCACAACTTTTGCAAAAAACTCAATTTAAAGCCTTTTTAAGACTGTTAAGAGCTCTCATCTAACTCAAATAACATTATTGAAATAAATAAATCAATTTCTTGGGGCTGTGATGATGTCGTATATGTCATCTGTTAAGTATGTGGAGAATTTTAAGATTTAAAGTATGATGATTATTTAAAGAAACACTCTTGCACTTGTGATAATTGCTTAGAAGACAAAGAACCAATTCTCCTTACTTGTATTTGTTGTAGAAAATAATTTAAATGCTTTTATAACTAGGAAGTAAAAGTAGGGAAAATACCTTCGAAATGTGATTAATGTATTTCAAAGTGTGTCAAAGGGAACCTCGAGTGTGTGTATTGTAGTTGTTATTGCGAAAGTAGAGTAAATAACAAATAAGTCGGCGATGATAAAATAGCAATTTGTAATGAAGGTGTTAGATTTCTAAATGCTTTAAAATGTTCGAAATGCAATTAGTTATATAATTATGAAGTTTAAATCACGGCAGATGATTATAAGATTTCAGTTTATGTTTGCAAAAATTGCAAACAGCTAAAATGATTTCTTATAAATTAATATGGAACTAATTTTATATATAAAATTAACATTCATTTTTTAGCTGCCTTCTTTGGTTTCTTAGATGGTTCTATAAATATGGATTGAATTTCATACTTTTAACTTATTACAAAAAGGCTTAAATATGTTTAGCTGCTTCCGATTTCTTTTCTAATTCGATTTAATGTAGTTCTTTTAATCTTCTGAATTCCTCTTCCAATTGTCTTTCTCTTCCCATCTCTGAATCAACTGCTTTGAAATACTCCTATCTATCTTTCAACTATTTCTCAATTGAGGCACATTCACTTTATAAATCAGTTAAATTTTTCATATATTCCTCCATCATCTGATCGTATATTTATATAGCTTCGGACAATGATTAATCTTGAACTTATTTACGCCTCTTCAAAGTTGCCTCTTCCTGTGTATTCTCATCCTTCATTTTAATAAAGCGAGCTCTCTATGCCTATAGTTCAGCTGCTAATTTGTCTTCCTTGGTTTTATGGTCTTTTTCTAATGCCTCATACTTAGTCTGGATTTCCTTTGCCAATTGATCTTATCTTTTTTGTTTATTAGCTTTAACTTCTGCAATAGATTGCTTCAACTTCTCGATTTCTTCCTTCATTTTGTTCATGTTTGCAGCTCTTTCCTATCTAATCTTTTATAATTCTTGTTCTAATTAGCTTTTAGTCTTCTCTTAGCCTGCAATCTATAAATGTAGAATTATATAAATACTTTAGACTTTAAATCTTCCAGTTATTTAACATGACTATTTTATTCTTCTTATGCTGTACTTAACTTTTTCAACATAACTATTTTGATACACTTTACGCAATGTAACAAATCACTCATTTCTGTGTTGATATTTGTTTTCATTCCTTTAATGATATCATAATCCTTTGGACAATGTTAAAGTCTCCTTAACAAATTCTTGGAATTTTCTTAGAGTAAGTTTTCTAATCTTTCTGATTCCATTTTCTTTGTCTCATCTATCTCCTCTCCCTGATTTAATGCTGTATCTAAATTTGCATAAGGCCTGTATTTCTGTTCAATTTCAGCTTAGGATTACAGTAGTTTCATAGTTTCTTCTGTTAGCGGTTACTTAGCATCTTTTAAAAATTTTCCAGTTTAAAAGCGCCCAATAAATTCAGTATCCAAATATAAACAATATTCTAAATTTTAGATAAGCTAATCCAAAACTCTTAAAACTCTTTAGGCCTCCACGATCGTTGGTTTTCCTATGATTGTAGACATTAGGTTTTTTATAATTTCTTGATGTCCCTCTTGCAAAGACCTCTACTGTTGTTTGACTCTGTTTTCACCAAGACTTGTTTCCATCGTCTTTGCGAATTGTTTATGTGCTCCTTTCATTATTATATTATTTTTAATATATATTATTAATATAAAATTATCACTCCTTTTTTGTGCTAAGCTCATGAATATCTAAAGCTATGTTCTAAATTATGTTCAAGTTTATTACTAAATCAATTGAATCTATGCTTCCCAGACGATGTCTTTAGACTTCCTTTTCTTTTTTGAGTACCTCCTGAATTCTTAAAAATTTTTCCTTGTGTCTACGATCATATTGTATTTTGGCCTTTTTGTATTTATTCTATAGTGTTTAAATCAATTGAAAAAATACAAACCATAATTTATTTCCTAGTTCTATTCTTAAATAATAACTATATTAAATCGAAATCAGTTCCCAAAATAGAAACGCACTTCTCTAATTTCTTTAAATCTTCTTGATTCCAACAAGGATTTGAATTGCATTTGTTGATTTTGGTTGCTTGTTATTTTTTTTAGATTCTGGGTCTCTATTTCAATAATTCTTTTAAGGTTTCGCTATCCTTTGCGCTGCCTTCGCTTGATAAGGAAGCCATAAAATAATTTATTTTATTTTATTTGCAATAAAACTGGTGGGGGCCATGAAGGAGAGAGAGAAATATCAATAAATATTTTTATATTTTGTATTATTATAAATTTTGTCGTGTGTTGCTATCTCAAATAGTCCATGGCTATCCATTTACAACTGATCTTTCCCACACTGGAAGTACACCTCTCTGATAATATGAATTTCTTAATGGTTCAAAAAGACCAAAATGAGCCAATCCCAATGCTAACAACATTCAAAATCTATTTTCATACCTAAAGTTGTAAATAAGATTTCTCTTCTGCCTCCTTTTCTGGATTGTCTCATAAAATAGTTGCTTGGTAAGGTCGTAAACCAATGTTTTGCCATTTACTTTTATTTTTATATAAATTAAAATAATTAATATTTATCTCTTAGTAATATACTACTTTTATACATATATTATTTCATTAGCATTTAATTATAATAAAACTTACTTGTAATCTAGATATTTTTATATTCGGCATTTTGATACCATTTGGTATCCTAACTAAATTAACTCGAGAATTACTAGCTTTATTATTTAAACTTATTAAAAAAAAGAGAACTAGGTTATCAATAAAAAATGTATCCTCATTCCAATCTATCATGTGTAAAATATAAAACTTAAATATAAATTATTCTTTAATATATACAACATTAAGATAAATATTATTTTTCATTCATTGCTATAATAAGGATATTGTTTTGATGTATTCCATCTGTCTATTTGCTGATTTCTTGTAATATTAAAAATTAAAATAGGTATGTATTTATAAAATATATTCACAAAGTGATTTTCATCTCCTTTCTCTAAAATACAGTTTAAATTTCTTTGCGCCCTTTCCAATCAGAATCATTCTACAATTAATTATCATCCATCTTAAAAAATGAATAAAATTTTAATTATATCCCATTTATAGTAATTCCAGTAATAATTCTAAATCAGATATTTATTTCATTCTAATGTTAAATTAGAATTTTTCTATGATAGATTTAAAGACTCGTGAAATTACTCCTACTTCTTTTTTATAAAATAATTAATAACAATTAAATCATTTGCTATTTAAAAGGAAATTTATTATTTATGTATCTGATAATAGTTAATAAATAAAAACTGTATCGTTGCATTTTATTCATTAATTCTGAAAGGTTTTAGAGTAGATTCGTATTTAATATTCTTCTATTAATACTCGTTCAAAATAGATAGAGCCGTAAACATAATTCAACATAAGTATTGCTTCAAATTACATTTAACATATGATTTATAGCCAAATCCTTAAATCTTAAGAGATACTTTTTTAGATTTAGACTCCATAATTTAATAAAAACAATAATTACACTCATATTGTAATATTTATTAATCATAAAAATAATAAAAAATTTTTCCGATACCGGGGATTGAACCCGGGTCCCCAGGGTGAAAACCTGATATCCTAACCACTAGACTATACCGGAAATGTTAATATAAAATCAACAAATAGAATTTTATATGGCAACCGAGAAGACTGACCAACAATAGATTATAATTTCATTATGATCATCTGAATTTGGCAATTTTAGAATTATTAATACAATCAAAAATGAGATAAGTTGAAATGCTTGAATTAATTAATGTAAAGAGTCCTAAATTTATGGGAGTAACAAAAAGGATTACTGAAAAATAAAAGAGACAGAATAATCTAATTGTCATTTTACTTAAGATATCAGATAATCATTCTCTATATAAGTAGATTTGATATTCATTTAACTTGATAATAGGAAACTACAATTAAAGAAAACTCTTATATTTAAGAGCTCTTATGATAGCAATGTTATAAAATCACACTTATTATTTTGATTACTCCGTTTTTTTTTGTACTTCTTCCATAGCCTTGGTTTTCATTCTATTGATTTTATCAAACAAGAATTATTTTTCCTATTCTTCTGTTTCCCAAGAAGTCTTGAAAATAATATAAATCTATACTTCTGGTCCTAAACCTAATTTACTCAAATCTTCTTTTTCCATAAGTCCATTATTCATTCTGCATTGCAAATAGTCAACTTAATATTTTCTACATCTCTTTGGCATGTTCTCATGTTTTTGGATGCATTAATTATATTATTTTGCTTCATTGTCACACTCATGAAAATGATCTAATGGAAATGCTCCCTTATCTTATGATAATAATATGAATTACCTGGTCCTTTTGATGAACTCTACTTGCTCCTATTAGACATAATTAAAATTTAAAATATTTATATATAGATATATATTTAAAGTATCACATATGTTAATTTTCTAAAATTGTTCTATATTTATCCTTCAAAATTTTAAGTAATTGAATATAGGCATTATGTTCCAGTTTGTATTTCTGAGCATTTTCTTAAGCAATTTGGATTAGATTATCATTTTTTTTCATGACTACATTAATTGCCTTGCCTGTTTTGAGTTTAAATTGTACAGAAAACAATTTCTCATTTCTATTATCTTCCAAATCAACACATTTTATGAGTTATTTGTTTGGTGTGATAGATTTATAATTCAACTATCTTTCTGGAGTTTTATTAAATTAAGTATTGACTTACTCTCTCAATTAAACAACAATACCATTCTAAGATTTATTTCTATAACTATTTCTATTAGTGCTTTTACCAGGATAATTAAAAGACTTGTTGGTAGCCATTTTCGAAATATACTCTTAGCTGGATTAAGGATTTTATTCAATAGTCAAAATAGTCGATTTAGTTTGGTGATGGAAATAATTATTCTGAATAGATTTGGTTTTATAGTTATTATCATTCTCTTATCTAATAAACTAAGAGATATCATAAATATTGATAGAATCTCTGTTTTTAGCTACTTTATCTGGTTTCAAAATTTGTTCCTGTTATTAAAATAAATCTTAATTGAAACTATCAAAAACCTTTTCACAACCAACTTAAATATAGGTCTGAATTTCTGAATAACATTTTTCCTCAATTTCTACTTAAAATTATTTAAATTATTCCAATCCATTTTTCATAGAGTCCTAGATGGTTGTAAATTTATCTTAAGAATTACTCATTTCATTAAATGCTGATCTACTTGTATAGATTTGAGATTGAAGTTTAGAAGTAGATCTTTAATAGATGACTTAAGAATTGAAATTTTAATTCTTATTTGTATCATTTTCAAGCCATCTACTGATTCTTGAATTTTTAGGAGTATTATCATCACCAATTTAATTGAATTTAGTTAAATTGACTTCTGAGTATTTTTGCTAGGTCTATTATAATGTATTAGTATTTTTATTTGAAAAGCTCATGACTTAGTCTTATCTGATTGATGGACTGCTTTATGAATCGTTTAGATTAGATTTGCTTTGATTCTCCTAATTTTGCCTTAAAGGGGAATCTGAATCGCCAGGTACATATGTTTGAACTCTTCTCATTTGGATTTACGATTAGTTAACATTTAATTCTCTTTGTCTGAAGGAATGAGTAGAATTCGTTTTTTATTAGTTGCTTCCTTGAGAGTTATCAATTCTAATGGAGTTTGGTGAGGCTTCGCTTTCAGTTTGAGAAACATTTCCATTTTTTTATGAGATACGGTTAAACTTAAGGACAGAAATTGTGGATGATTTTTGATGTCTTTAAGACATATTTACGCTCTGTTATTGCATCTATAATTAAAGGGCCTGAGGGAATAATAGAAATGTGTACGTAGATAAGATGACTAAGATTTTATTTGGTGATGCAGGATACTTCATGGTAGCTCATTCCATACTTTGCAGAGAATTTAAGGGCATTTTCACCTTTGTAGATGTAAAGCATTTTTACTCGAAACTTTTCTACGATCTATGAGATCAAGTTTATTGCCAATCAAATAGGTACTCTTAGTTTAGGTTTCCGAATTGTAACGATTCTTTAAGTATTCTAGGCTGTTTTGATCACTAATGTCAAATAAATAGATTGCAACATCAGGTCTAGATGTAACCAATTCTAACTGGAATTGTTATTAAAGTAGTTCAATTAGAGTTCTTTTTCCAACACCATTTTTGCCTATGATTTAGAATTACATTATCATTAATTAATTAGTTGTTAATTTTATATGACTTCCCCTTCACGCCTGTAAATCGAATAAGCACTTGAACTTGAGAAACAATTTGAAGATGGTGATACTTAATACGAACAGATAACTGAATTAGCACTTATCTATAGATAGTTCATCGAATACTATGATTTGAATAACAATCCAATGAAATAATACTTTATAGAAAAGATGAAGCGTTTAATGCAATCACCTTGCACTATGCAAACCTTGATTGTTTCAGCCCCAAGTACAAGGCGTAATTCACCTACTGGTCAAGAGAATCTAAAACATTATTATCAGAATTATCAATATGAAACTATGAAAAACCAAACTATTACTCCTAGAGGGATTAAATAATTACAAAATGTAATTTACTCGATATTTATTTTTTTAGGACTTTTTGTATTAGAAGGAGAATATTGAAAAGATAATAAATAATGATTATGCCAAATAGTTGTAGTAAGTAACGGAAAAATTATAGTAACGAAAATAGAAAAAGGGTCCTAGTAGAAAGTCTCCAAACAGAACCTTCACCAAAATTTATAAGCCTCCGACTCTAGACATGCTTGATTTATGATTTGATAGTTGTTATTTATATTGAGATGGTTGTTATAGTAATATGAAAATATTGAGTATAATTTTAAGTAATGAATTTTAAAGATTCTAATGACTTTTTCATATTTTTGTGGCTAGATTCTATTTTATTTCGCTTGTTTCAATCAACATGGTATATACTTGCTATTTTTAAATTGTAATATGAACTTTGGGGTAATTATTAAATTTTGCAAACTAATCTACTTATATGTCTCGATTTTGTGCTAGAAGGGAGTTTAATTTGGAATATTATTCAAAGCTGAATGGATTGGAGTAGAGTTTTTTTAGGGAAGAGATCGAAACAAAGGAATTGATGCAATTGATATTAAGGATAGCTGAACTAGTTGAATATTTCGATTTGAAAAAAGATCCTGTAAAGGGTTACTTTTTGGAGAAAATGCAATATATTCTTTCTCGACCTTATACACTTAATAATTTAAAAAAGAAAGAGGATGAGAATACAATCAATAAGGAAATGAAAAAGTCACGTCACTCTCATTTCTCCTCAAATGTATAGAAACTTGAAATGTAGTCATTATTACAAAGTAACTCTGAAGATAATGAAGGAACAATAAAATTATTATAAGAAGTATGTAATTATTAATAATAATAATTATAGGATTATGAAAAATAACTAAACAATTAAACTTTATTGGTTTAAATGGACTTGGACAATTAGATGGGCATAATTACGAGTAAATTGAGACATCGAAAGAATAAAAGCATGTTTTCCCCTTCCAATAGAATCAACAATTAAGGGGATTAGTAGAGAGGAACGACAAGATAGAATACTTGTAGTTCGAGAAATTCGGATCGAGGATAGATTAATCATGATGATAATATTTGTTAAATTCTGACAACACAAAATCAATGAATATAAAATTGTTTTGTATAATTAAACATAACAAGTTATTAATGTATTTCTTTTAATAATCATTTAGATTGATCATCATTTCCTTCTTCTATAAGAGCTTCTTGACTAGTGATTGCTTTAAGTATAATTTTTTTACTTGGCTCTTAAATGAAGCCAGCCAATAGCAGTTCATCTAAGATGTAATAGGCTTTATGGAAATTGAAGATGAGGTCTAACTCACAGACATTACCGAAGTACTTATCCAAGACTTCCACGAAATGATGAATGATCTCCAAAATCAACAGTTCATTGTCTTCCTTATCACAAATAGCTATGAAATAAAGTGAGGCATATCGCTTATAAACAATCTTGTATTCCACATACTCCAAGAAGTTGCACATCTTTTGGCCGCGTGTCAATACTAATGAGTTTATCTTTACAATAACATCAATGGCAATACTTCCTTTAAAAAACGTTGCTTCTCCCTTGTGGTGAGTGACTGATTGTACCACTTCGTCAATCTGGTCTTGCCTTGTCTGCTAACTAGAAATAAACACTAGATCATTGTGGAAACTCTTTTAATTTATTAATTAAAATATGTTACTCATGAATGAATCCATAAATGTATTAATTCAATATATACTACAAGGTGACCATTCCTTCGTATCAATAGGAATCTTCAAACGTGCAATACGTGATCGATATCAAGACGAGAAATAAGCAACAATGGCAAATTCCTAAGCGCTATTCTTAATTCGAGGATTTGCACAAGAAATTGATCCCACTCTTTCAAGAACTCCCTGAATTGCCAAAGAAAGCCTTCATTACATTCTTGGTTGGAAAGTCAAAGGAATAATTGGAGGATCGAAGAGCTGGCTTGGAGAAATATCTTTAGTAATTAATAGTTCGTCGTGAGATATATCATTCCTAATTACTCCGAGACTTCTTGCAGGTATAGTAATCTGTAATAAGCTTGAATAATGCGAAGAAATTCTCCCTCCCAACTTACTTCATTCCTTTAAGACAATTATGGGCATACGTGATGTTGCCCAATCTGACCAAGGAGTGATGTTCCTCCTCTAAGCAGATATGAGTGTGTTAAATAGAGTGGATGCTTATGTCAACAACATGAAAATGCCTTGGGATTCAGAATAGGGAGAACTCAAAACCATACCAGTTGGATAAGTTGAATGCTACATAAAGTAAGAAGAAGGAGAGTTTTGCTATAAGAAATTATGGACCAAAGAGTATAGTACTTAAGCAATTTGCATGTTTTATGAGCCAATCACATGCACCTTGCTTGTTGGGTAACACAATAAACTAATAATATAGATTGGACTCTGGAAATATTAATTTTATTAAGGTGTCAGAAAGGGATTCTTTCCAAAAATACGAATAGAGCATTGAGATTGAAATTCATATGGCCAGAATAATGGGTTTGTTTTATAGAAATGGGCAGATTCATTCTGTTTCTAAAGATACTCATTACAAAGTCATTGATATGGATTAAGGTGGATTAAAATCAGGTTTAACTTTTCACTTATCATCTTAGATTTTTCGATTGGCAAACACGAACTAACATCATTGACATATAATGAATAGAGACAAATCTCTGTAGTTGGTAATAGGAATGGTTAACTGTATATACTAAACATAAAGCCTGCGTAACCAATAGTAATGTTGACTATTGAGACGAGCACTTCATTTATCAGAGGTCTAGTTTTGGACTACTAGAAGAACTATTTAATATCCGTATCTTATGATGATGGTGTGATTTGTGTTTTAGATGTTGGCAAATGTCTACAAGAGAATGTGGGCAAGATTAAAACCAAAATTTAAGCCAAAATTAAAGTATAATAAAACCATTACTTTTTAGACTAGAGAAGTTCAATGGTCAAGTAAACGAGGGGAATTGTTCGTTGGTAATGATGATGGGACAGTCACAATTTACAATGCACTAGATTTACAACCTTAATGTAATATGTTTTCTTATCTCCCAGTTGTACTAAAGGCACATGATAAAGCCATCACTAAATTGATTTGGTAGGAATCTACTCAGATACTTGTTACTGGTGGCAAGGATGAGTTGATTAAGTGGTGGCATTTTCCAAAAAAGTGGAAGGCTGGTGATCAAGATGAGTAGGTCAAATCAAAACAGTTGATTGAGGCCAAAATGGACAATATCTTAAAGTTGTAAAATTAGAATCAAAAAGTTGATTCAGATGAGGAAGATGAGACAGGTTTAGGCAATTGGCATAAATGATATAGCATGATGACTTCATCAAATTCTTAACAAATTATATAAAATTTATTTTACAATATGCAGCAATAGCAATCAATCAACGTAAGATCGATAGTATACATCATAGAATCGAAATTATTTCTTACTCATATGAGGGTACGCAACCCATTTTTTATTAAATTTCAGTCAAAGTTGGAATTAAATAATGGATTGTATATAAAAGATATTCGTAATTCGAAGAGTTGAATCGTATTCTTGAATTAACCTTTAAATAGCTACCTATATTGCCTAAGAAAAACTTCATAACATTTCTAGTTGGCAAATCAATTGAACAAATCAATGAACGCAAATATGGACTATAGCGCTATTTATAGACATTAGCCTCTAGATAAGATATTTTAGATAATGATTCTTTTTAATAATTCTTAAAACTCAAACAGCCAGAATAATTAATTAAAGAAGAGTTATTCAAGGAAAATATCATTGAATAAGTGTAGAGTCCCCTTAAAATCAAAAACTAATTTGAAGAAATCTAAGATAACTAACCTAAACCTCAATAAGTATTCGTTGGTAAAAGAGATTATCAATAATAAACCTCATTCATTGAAAATTAAATTGAATAAGCAAAAAATAACTCCTTTGAATAACCTGACAATTAGCAATCCTCAGACATCAAGTAAAATTAATCAAATGATGATGCTGAATTAATCGCATAAATGAAAACACAACTTCAAGAGTTCTATGATCAGATAACTGAAAAAGATGCCATTATCTCTAATTTCAATCAAAAAGAACTTGAAACCTAGGAATATTATAACTAATAGATCTATGAGAAGCAGTATAGAATTAATGAATTGAATGGGTAAGTTAGCTAATATTAAGAATCCTATGCAGAATTGTAGAAATAGTATTAAGATATGCAAAATTATGTTGAAGAGTTGAAAATTAAACTTCAAGAAAGCTAATAATATGCTTAGTCATTAGAATAATAATTCAATGAGCAATAAAATTTAATCTCACAATAGATGGCATCAATAGGGTATGAGAATTTAAATTAAACATAATTATCATAAATAATAATTGAGTAATAAAAGAAAATAGATTAATAAATTCAAACCGACAGAGAAAGAGAACTTGAGTTCAAGCATGAATTAGAAAAACATTATATAGTCGAGGCATAAAGAGATGAATTATTTTAAGAAAATTAATTATTAAAGGATCAATTAGAGGAAGAATTACAATAAAGAAACGAGTAGACTGAAGCTATAGAGCAATTGAAATTAGAAATGGAATATCTATAAATGCAATTAAAGGAGAAATAAGAACTATTAGATATTAAAAATGAATTATCATGATTAAATAAATAATTTAAACAACATTCAATTAAGGATAAAGTTTTTATGCCTCTTATGACCATCCCCATTTAGTTTAGCAATCAATATCATCATTGCTTTGTTTTTTATCAAAATCATCTGGCTTAAAAAATTGATTATTAGTTCAGTCCATAAGATTTTATTAAGTTAATGGTATGTTAACTTTATGAATAATGTTAAAACAGATTTTTGACTTAACATCCAGCTAGGATTTGGTATTTATTGTCCATTTCAATATAAATAAAAAATACTAATTATATATTATTTCTATGAAACTTTGAGAATATGAAAGTTTATTTAATGTAATCATAATAAGTGATTATTTTTCCTTCTCTCTTTAATTATGAATTACAGCTTTTCAATAATATTCTTTATTTTTTATGATTCTTCTTTTATTTTTATTTTATCGGCATCCTAATTTTCTTGGGGAAACATGAATTTTATTACTTTGATTTTTTCATCATCCTTAAGATATTTTATTATCAGTATTTAATTATTTTTCAATCCAACCTTAAGGATGGACGAAATTTAAATTCTTTTATAATCCTTAGATTGTCCAGAATAATGATTTTGCAATAAAAATTGAACCACCCATTTCGTTATCTTGTAGAAAGAATATTTTTATTGTTTTTGATTGGCGTAGTAGTAATAAAAGTCAAAAAAGTCTATTCCAATAATGACTTCACTTATTAATCCATTGTTTTCTATCTTTAATAACTTATATTCTTAATAGTTAAACATCTAGAGAGCTTTTTGATCAAGTTAGTCATCTTTTTGAATTATGGAGGAAGTTTTCGACTTCATTGAAGATGTTTTGAATCCATAATTGTTATTAGGATCATTGAGATGATCTGAAGAAGCCTTGCATTAAATAATTAACCAATGAATTGGAAGTAAGGAGATTGGGAATTTAATATCCAATGGTTCTTAATTGTTGACATTAACACAGGGGTATTTAAGTAGGAAAATACATTCGCTTTGGTTATACTTAAAATTGTTTCTCTTTTATAGTTATTTATAGATATCCAAAATGGTTGTGTTTTGGTCGAATTTTAAATTGTAAAATATTTCATTTTAGGTGTCTTCTATTAATAAAATGATTTAAGTTGGATACGTCTTATGAGTTATTTCGATAGTAGATAAATCAATGCCAAACATTGAAGTGTCTGATATTTATAGAGTGAGCCTTTTGAAATTAATTTTAGAATTTAATTCCAAATTAAAGTACTCCCTGTCCATATTCATTCCAACGTTATCAGTGATATATTAATATTACTGGCCATCATTCTATTTCATAATCTAATTACTAGCAAGACTATCTTTAAATGATGGTTGTGCTGAAAAATCACAATAATCATCAAAGCTTGTCAGTTAATAAGCCAATGAGAAGTTTGAGTATTTTAATAAGTTCTAATCGAATTCTGCGGTTCTCTTGTATTCCTGAATTGCAAGAACTATTAGTTCACAGGCCAAGATTTCCTTATTGACAAAGAGAGTCTTTGAGTATCGCGAGTTTAAGTAGTTAATGGAGACTGTAATGACATTTTTATTTTCGTTAGTTTTAAATAAGGGAGTCATTAATGATCTCTTAGAAGAAATCAATACTAGTGTTTTGGCACTTCTTTTGCTATTACGATATCTTTTAAACTTTTCTTGTTCTAGAATCACCTATGAAAATGATTTCGTATGTTCTTTGTAAGATGAGTTACTGCGTTTTAATGCAATTTTCTAGGGTTATACATTATATTTTTCCTTTTCGTCTTCGTTGACTTCGAGAGTGGCTTAATTTTCATTAACTTCACTTTGGCTACTTTGATTATTTGTTCTGACTAATTGATTCATTTTAAGGTTAAACTCCGAATCTTGGCTACTTTTGATAATGTTGGTCACGTTTGAGGCTTGATCCTATTGTTAACACTGTTAATAGAGACATTCGATATCGTTCCAATCAAATTCTTTGCTGTTCTATTCTTTTGATGAGCAAGTGCTTCTGGATTAGTTGTTCCACTTGATTGGTTATTAGTGCATTTGCAAATATAAATTGTCCATTACAATTAAAATATGATTAAACAATAAATTAATTTTGATCATATTTTAAGATAAACCCTAATAGTGATATATTGGCTACCACCTTCTCACATTTGTGCAAACGACTTTAATTATATCATTTGTTGCTATTTAATTTAAAATATATCAATTGAGTATAAATTATTTATTTAGAATAATTAAGAAATGGATAAATTGTAATAATTAATTTAAGAGTTCTTCAATGTTTTAGAATAGAATTTCTTTCTTTCTAGAGAATTCAATAAGATTTTTGTATCCCAAGACAATGCCAAATAAATAGCATAGGAAAAAAAATATTAAGAACTGACAATTAAACTGCTTGAGTTTATTTTGTCTATCCATAAGAGCAACCAACACTCTGCACTACAGGATAGAATTGCTCAAACTCAAAAACTACTATTAAATTACCATAGTTAAATCAATCAATCACAAAAAAGGGAAATATAACCATTAAATTAAAATTTTGACATTCCTACAGTCAGCAATTATAAAAGCAATCCAGTCTCTCCTAGAAATGTCTAAATCAATTAAAGTAAAAGTGCATAAAACTTACATGGACTTGAGAAGAGACAAAAGTCAAATTAGAACCCAGTTTAAGGAATGACAAAAGGAACCCCCAATAGTTCATCTTCATAGAGATTCTTTATCGAAGATATCCCCAAGATGGGCAAATCGCATGTAAAAGATGATCAATAGAGGAATTACAATATTATTACTGGAATGTGAAAGAAAATGAATAAATGAATTATGAGCTTCAATGATATAAATATAATAATTTAGACATATTGATTATGGTATCAAATTGTTTACTTGTGCATGAGTATCCACCAAATCTTTGATGGTAATATTTTTAAAATCATTTTATCATAATTTTACCTACAATCAAAATCAAATTATGGAAACTAATTCGAAATGAAATAAAATTTTAGTTAATACTCTTAATCTTAGGCTCTTAATGCTTAAATTTTGAATATATAATGTTCTACTTGATTAGATGAGCTTTATTTTTTATACTTTATATCTACCATATTTTTGTAGTAATTATATCAATAATATTTTGTTTATAAGAACTGTATAATTAATTCTAAGATATGGTTGATTCATCTAGTACTTAAGATAAATGCTCTAGTTTCAAAATAGGAGAACTCTTAATTGGAATCTTTTTACAGAATCAAAAATATAGTAATTGAACACAATAAAGGATATATTTTATAGACACCTTTGAAGTTCAACATCATACAGCCTTTAACCCTACTCCCTTATCCTATTTATTATCCCTATTCTGCATGAAAGATATCAATGATGAGAAGAATTAAGACTGAGATTAATTGAATTAAAATCATAAAATTAATGTAATAAGTAATTCCAGCACCAAGAGTTTAAGTAACATAACCATATGCAGGGCAAAAGCCAGGTACTTCAGGGTTACGTAAAAAGGTGAGTGAGGCAACTTAGCCTAATTATTTAGAGAACTTTGTGCAAAGCATTTTCAACACATTACGCAAGGATGAATTGAAGCGTATCCAATAATACTAATTTTGTTTAGCTAAGAATGTTCTCTTTGTTGGTGGAGATGGAAGGTACTTTAATAGATAGGCTATTTTCTCAATAATTCGTTTGGCTTATGCAAATGATATAAGCGAGGTACATGTTGGCTAAGCAGGTTTAATGTCTACTCCTGCCTCTTCACACTATATTCGTAAGGTTAATGAAGAAGTTGGAAATTGCATAGGAGGAATAATCCTTACTGCTTCTCATAATCCAGGTGGCAAAGAACATGGAGATTTTGGAATCAAGTTCAATGTAAGAACAGGTGCTCCTGCTCCAGAAGACTTCACTGATTAAATCTACACAGTATAATAGTTATATAAACATCTTAGCATACGACTAAAATTAAGGAATATTTAACAGTAGATTATGAATTCGAGAAACACATAAATTTAGACTAAATAGGAGTATACAAATTCGAAGGCACTAGATTAGAAAAATCACACTTTGAAGTGAAGGTAGTAGACACAGTTTAGGACTATACTCAATTGATGTAGAAACTTTTTGATTTCGATTTGCTTAAAGGATTATTCTCAAATAAAGGTAAAATTAATTTAATATTAAATAAAAAGATTTTTCATTTAGATTTGATGGTATGCATGGTGTTGCAGGACCTTATGCTAAACACATTTTTGGCACCTTATTAGGATGTTCAAAGGAGTCTCTATTGAATTGTGATCCATCTGAAGATTTTGGAGGCGGTCATCCAGATCCAAATTTGACTTATGCTCATGATCTAGTTGAATTATTGGATATTCATAAGAAAAAGGATGTAGGTACAGTGCCATAATTTGGAGCTGCATGTGATGGAGATGCCGATAGAAATATGATCTTAGGTAGATAATTCTTTGTAACACCTTCTGATTCCTTGGCAGTTATAGCTGCTAATGCTAATTTAATATTTAAAAATGGCTTATTAGGTGCAGCTAGATCTATGCCAACTTCAGGAGCTTTGGATAAGGTTGCAGCCAAGAATGGAATAAAACTATTTGAAACACCAACAGGTTGGAAATTCTTTGGAAATTTAATGGATGCAGGATTGATCAATCTATGTGGAGAAGAAAGTTTTGGAACTGGGTCAAATCATATCAGAGAAAAAGATGGAATTTGGGCAGTGTTAGCATGGTTGACTATTTTGGCACATAAAAATAAGAATACTGATCATTTTGTCACTGTTGAAGAAATAGTCACTTAATATTGGTAATAATTTGGTAGAAACTATTACTCAAGATATGATTATGAATAAGTTGATTCTGCTGGTGCTAATAAAATGATGGAGCATTTAAAAACTAAATTCTAATATTTTGAAGTAATCATTATATATAATTGTAGTAATTGAAACAAGGAAATAAAGCCGATATTTATGATTATGTTGATCCTGTTGATCAATCAGTGTCAAAAAACCAAGGAGTTAGATTCGTTTTTGGAGATGGATCAAGAATTATATTTAGATTGAGTGGTACTGGATCAGTAGGTGCTACTATTAGAATCTACTTTGAATAATTTGAATAATAGTAGATTCAACATGAAACAGCTACTGCTTTAGCCAATATTATTAAGCTTGGATTGGAAATCAGTGATATTGCTTAATTCACAGGAAGAAATGAACCAACTGTCATAACTTGAACAATCAATCATATTAATAAATCAATATACAATATTCTTATTATTATAAATACTACGCTAAGAAGGTTTAAGAAGTTATACAATTTGTGATTTAAAAACATCGCCATTAATTGCATTATGAGACTTAATAAAATTGTGGATATCATATATATTAATTTAATTTTAATGATAAATAGTAATGAAGTTTCTCCTGTTAAAATGTCCTAAGGTATTAATTGATGTTTATATCCCAGAGTAGAAGCAGGATATTATGAGATCGATTTTGAAAGAAGAATCAATGATAAATATCACCTTAAAACCAATTGAATAGGAGGTGTTCTTGACTGAGGATCCATAAGTAGCACTGATTAAATTGAAATGTTTCTAAGAACTGATCAACAAAGAGAGGTAACATATGGAGTTGATTGTAGATTAGCGTATGCAGAACATCTAGCAGAGGTCTTTGAAATGATTGGAGATGATGCATATAGAAATCTAGGATTTATTCTTAAGCAATTCGTAATTGTTGTGTAATACTTATTTGCAAGGTTCAAGATTCCTATTCAATCTAATTGTCTATTATTCGATAGTTGCCTCTACTTGTAGAACAAATTAAGAAACGATAATCTGGATATGCGGAATTGAAAGATCATGTTCTGCCATTTATGAATATATTCATCATGCACGAAGACTTTGATGTAAACATATCCCATCAGACTTAGATTAAAAAAGAAGTTCTGACCCAACTAATTAAGATAGCACCCTTTTTAATCGAATAAGATAAAGTTGATACCATCTTAGCACACTTAATTGAGATGGCTCACGATGAAAAAAATAACTAAAATCGTATGTTGGCAGCTACAACCTTTGGTTAAACGGCCTCTCTCTTTTCTATGAAATATTGTGAGTCTTATATTTGCGGAGAACTCTTAGCTCTTGGTATAGATTTAAATGAATTTGTAAGAGAAAAAGCTATAGAATAATTACCAAATTTATCAGTATGTCTCTCTGAAAAATGCATAGAACTCAAAATTATACCGTTCTTTCTTTAGTAATATTAAATCTCTATTCTAGATCTTGTGAAGACAGACTCTTGTAAATTAAATTTGCTTGCATCAGATCTATTTCAGGTATTTCAAAATACGCCAGACATAACTTAAAGACTACAAAATTAATACCAAAATATTTGGACTTTATTTCTGATTAAAATAAAGAAGTCAGAAAGACTGCATATGAATATTTAGGTGAGTTCATCAGTACGATTAAATTTACTGACAAGGATTAGCAATAACTTGAAACCTTATTGGCATACTACTAAAATCAATTGGATAAGAACATGAACATGATGGGTGTTGATGTAAGTTCAATTTCAATGATATTTTAAGCTTGTTTATAAATGTGCTTACTATTTTCCAGGAGTGCTATAAGCAATTGGCCGAGCTCGTTGGCTCAAGATTCAGCCTTTGTATGGATTTCTCCTGAAATACCCTTCAGATGTAATTAAATATCTAGTTTAGAAAGTTAGAATTTCCTTATCTCAGAGTTTTCATGAAGTGGCTAAATTGTTGGGTCCCGACTTGTCCAAAGAATATTTGATCACTGTTCTAGAAACATTAGCATAAGATAAATTGTAAGAAGTCAGAAATGGCATAGTAGTAAATCTGTCTAAATTTATATCTATCTTTCCTATTGAAGAAAGAGACTATGTCATTGAATCTATTTACTAAACTTTTTAAGAAAGACTAACATAAATGGCGAACTCGCCAGACTATTTGTACTTCCATATTTCCAATCACCAGGTGTTTTAATAATGATACCATCTTTTTTTAAATTGCCCCAATTCTATTTAAGTTTTGCTCAGATACAGTTGCTAAAGTAAGAAGGAAGGCTTCTAAAAATGTTGTTCATTTGGTTGAGACATTTGAAGAGGAAGGAGAATAAAGAACTGTTATTCTTGAATAAATTAGAGCATTCTCACATTCTAAGAAGTTCAATCAAAGACAATCTTATTGTTGGATGTGCTATAAATTATTTTATAGACCAGATTTTGAAGATCTATTTTTTGAAAGACTCTTTGAATTATGCAGAGATCCTGTATAATGTGTAAGATTATCAGCTATTACAGTTATTGATAAATTCATATAAAAAGAAAGTTTCTCAAAAGAACGCAAATATTTAAAATATCTATTGGTTCAATTTATTGATGATCAATGCAAAGAAGTTTAATAAATTCTAACTAAATATAATTTTGTCATCTAAAAAACCAAAAAAAAGACTCTCTCCTGTAGATCACGCAATAGCGGATCTTCAAATGGTCATTTGGAAGACATTCCAGAATTTGATGAGAAAATTGAACAGATTCGTAAGACATCTGGTAAAGTTTGATTTTATTATAATCAATTTAAATTCCAACTCTAATTATAACATTAAAATTGATCAAAATTCATAGATAAATCAAGTAAGTATTTTTGAAATCTTGTTTAATTTGTAGTGCTTATACTATATTTGTGTGCATAATCCATAAATTATATAAGTTCATTAATTCTTTTCCCCAGATTCCATTTTAGTTGTTTTAAATTTAGATATCAATATAAATCCTATTCTACTATCAGAAATTTGATTAGAAAATTCATTACTAATTTATAATCAATTTTAACATCTTAACTCCAATAACTCAACACTACCTACGCTGACTTATTAAACACACTCAAACTTACAGAAGATTAAAACACAGCCAATTCTAAGTAAATCCTTGATCTTTAGAATAAATTGATGGATTCACAAATATAATACAAAGAAGAAATGACTAAAATTATGCAGATTCTTGAAAAGACAAAAGAAAAAGTATTTGTTTTTTTAAACATTAATTAAGTCTGCTCATGAGTAAGACCTATTTAAAAACAGAATGCTTGAAAAGGATGATATTTTGAATGAAGCCAAAAAATAATTCGAATAAACTACTAAATAATTTGAAAAGTATTTACTCATTGTATTTATATCAAAGTGAAAATGCTGCTCTCATTACTTAACTATCATATGACATAAAATTACTGTTTTATCTATAAGCTAACAAGACTCTCAAAGAATAGCCTAAGAAAATCTGTGATCTTGAACTCAAAATCAAAGACTTAAATCCAAATTGCAAGAAAGCAATAGACAATATATAAATCGCTAGAGTATTCTAAACAATTAGACATTGAAGTAACAGTATACCTTACTATCTATAGCTAAAAAATCTATTCAAGCATCCTCAAAGCATTAGGAATAATTAATATTCAATGATGAAGAATTATAAAAATCTAAATAGCTTTAACAAAGAATTCTTTAAGATAATTCTTACTCAAAGTTGAAATTAGAGTCTTTTTTGTAGATGAATTCTAAAAGCAAGTCAAATGAATTAGAGAATCTCAAAAATCAAATCCTAGAGAAAGATTAAGAAATCGAATTACTAAAATAGTAATAGAAATCAATGGCAACCCAATTGAAGATTAGTTAAGGCTATGCAACTAGATTCAAACAAAGAAATAAGCAATTAGAAATGGAAAATACAGAACTATTGAAATCTAAGGATAACTTAGAAACTCTGTTCTTAGAAATACTTGATCAAACCAAATAAAATCAAATGTAAAGAATTAATAGTTACAATTTTCATGAAATCATTCCTTATATTATATCAGCTTTATCGAATAATCCTACTAAGTATTAAATGAATTTACTCACATAAAGAAATAATTATATGCAAGAAAACACCTCAACTCATTCACAAGAAAACAGATCGTCAAGTCAAAAATCCAATAACACTACTCCCAATAAAGTGGCTAAAACAAGAGATGTGTCCTTTAAACGAACCATCCTAGTGAGTGGATCGAAAAAAACTACTCATTCAGTTTCTTAAGAAAATATTAATTCTAAATAATCTAATAAAGCACTCAATGAAATACAAGAACCTGATGAAAGCTAATAATAAAATAAATCGTAATCTTCACAGGAGCCTTAAGAGTAGTAAATATTGCAAGACTAACAGCAAAGTTTATAATAACAACAGGAGCACAAAGAAGATCAAATATATGAAGACTAAGAAAACAATGAAGAAGTTGCAGATTTCATTGATGACGATAATGATCTTAAATGACATCTATTTAATTGATAAAGTATTATTATAAAATCCTCTACTATGTTCCTATTACAAATCATGTCTAACATCAATTTTAAATCTAATATTTTATATTTATCTAATGTTATTTGATAAATTATCAAACAAGATTATTTGAATAAATTCCAAGATTTGATTAGAACAGAACTAAAGGTTTAAGGTAAATATTTGTGATCGAATCTAAGTATATTAGATGGCTAGAATTATATACCGAGAATTCCAAATAAAGTTTATATAAATAATATTTTATTTTCACTTATTCAGCTTTACTTTTTTATTTATGGAGTCTGGTATAATAAAAGGTTTGTACATAATATCTTCAAGTTCTTTCATAGCATCCTCATCAAATTCACAATTGCAATATAATAAATCAGTAATATCATGTTTAGTAAAATTAATTACTTTTTTTTAGGTATATTTTTAATATTTTTTTTCAACAACTTTTTTAAGTAATTCTATGATTTCATCTGCAGTACTTGCACTTTTTTCTAATTTATCAAGTAAATCTACAGCAACATATAAGAAATGATATTTGTTTCTATTTTAATCGCATTTTTGATTATTATTATTTGAATTAGTACTGGATTTAGGAAGAAGTTATTGTTTTAACTGTTGATAATCTTTTAATTGAGATTCAGATTAATCTTTTGACTGAAGATCATTTTTTGAAAAATCTAGAAGATTGATCCAATTGATGGACAACAATTTGTAACATTCTTTTAATTTACTTTTGCATTTAACTTTTTAATTGTGGAATAATTAGCTGGCAATAATATTGAAATAATTAGTATCTGATGTGTGTTCTTTTTTTTGAAAGAATGAATTGAATTTCTTATCAACGTCCTAAACCATGTTTCTTTCAACTTCATAAATTACCTCCTCGATTTTTTTTCTGCATTCTTAGATCTTACTTGGTTATTCTAGAATTGGTTATTTGGTATCAGAAGAAGTATTGTACTGAAAAAAAATTTCTAATTCTCTCAAAGCTATTATTGCCATATCATATTTTATTTATTTAGTGTTCCTCATCAATGCTCCTTTTTTAATTTTACCTTGTATAAATTCTTCATTAAGATCCTTTACTTACTCCTTAATTTCAACTTAATGGTCTTTATCATAATTCTATGGTGAAGCTTTATAATAATTGGCATTTGTAAGTGTAGGATCTTAGTTCATTTATTAATAGATCGGTGGAGGTTCTTATTCATTTTCATCATCAATTTTCATCATCCATTTTATCATCAATTTCATAATCAAAAACCCAATTTTAAAATATTTACTATCCTGTTTTTACCAATTATTCATTATTAATATTCTCACTTTAACTTTTCCTATCGATTTCCTCTATCATCCAATCAATTTCCTATATCTTTTCATAATCTTCCTCTATCATCCTATCAATTTCCTATATCTTTTCATAATCTTCCTTTATCTTCCTATCAATTTCATATATCTTTTCATAATCTTCCTTTATCTTCCTATCAATTTCATATATCTTTTCATAATCTTCCTTTATCTTCCTATCAATTTCATATATCTTTTCATAATCTTCCTTTAACATCCTATAACTTTCCTTTAGCTAATAATAATTTTCCTCTCGAATGCTTTCACTTTTCATTATTCTCGATTATATTTCCTCTATCTTCAACAACTATATATAATTTATATTACCTATATTTCCTCAACCTTTCTTTCACCTTCCTCTTTCATTCCATCAATCATAGTTATTATTTTCTATATCTTCCTTTTACATTCCTCTCTCATCCTTTTAATTTCCTTTTCAAGTTCCTATCCAATTATCTATAGGCCCTTGAAGTAACATATTTCCTCCTTCTTAAGCGGCTAGAAAGTGTTAAACCCATTGAAAATCAATTAATAAATCAATTAATAAATCAATTAATAAATCCATGTTTTGGGCAGTGAAATGGCTTAATATAATTTTCATAATACTCATTAAAACATTAAACCTTTTGATAATGCGTATTTATTAAATATACTAAACTATTTTATAATTCATTTTGTAATAACAACAGAAAAAGCCATTTCTTTTTCTTCTAGCAACTCTTTCAAAGTTTTGTCAATCATACACTATAGGAATTGATCCAATTTCAAACCTTCAACAACTTTGACTTTCCATCTTAGCAAATGCATGGGAATGAAAATCAAACTTATTCTTTGATTCCAAATAACTTTCCATCTGTAACAACTCCCATGGAGACAAATATCCTGTGAATATAAATAGATGAATTACCCATTATCAGTTCCAATGAGCCAGTCATGAATATGATCACAAACAGCACTTGCAGCAGATGCAGCCGAGAATGCCTTTCTCTTTTAAATAATGGCTCCACCTCTCTTGGCCACCTATTCAACGAATGCCTATTAGAGCGAAGCATCATTAGCCACAAGTCCTCGAACACTAAAATAGTGGAGTAGATTAATACGTTTATGAAATTCCATTCTATTACACAGTTTCTTGCTTGACTGACATCAGCAAATTGATTAGTGTTATGATTACCCCAAATGATAATGTTTCTAACATCCTCAACATTGGCACTGACCCTTTAGGCAATGATGGATTGAGCTCTCTTTTAACCTAGACGAGTGAGTGCTGTGAAATTAGATTTTGGTATGTTTGATGCGAATTAAGCTCTGATTAAGGCATTGGTATTGGCAGGATTTCCTACAACCAAAACCTTAAGAATTTTGCTAGAGTACTTTTATAATGCCTCTCCTTACTTCTTGAAGATATGAGCATTAGCAGCTAACAAGTCCTTTCTTTCCATGCCTGGTCCTCTTGGTTTTGCACCAACCAAGATAGTTATAATTTTAATGATAATTTTTTGTTAATAATATGAAATATAAATTCGTTATGAACAATATTTGAAGAAAACAGTATTCAAAATTTAATATTTTTTAGTATATCATCAATTTTGTTTGAGATAAATCTATTATTCTAATCAATATATTTGAATTATCCATTTTTTTCTTCCAAATCATTGATATCTTAAAATAATTTACTTTCCAAAATACGTTTGTTTATTGAGAATTTGGATTAAAGAAAAGACTATAATTATTAATAGGAATCTCTCTTCTATTGTGAAGTAAACAAATTCTAAACCTCAATTTCCTTGTCTATATTATAAAAAATAATACTTAGAAGTTTGATCCTCGAACTTTTCATGGATTCTTGTAGTCCTTAAAATTATGATTCATGAACTTTACGAAACATTTCCTCAAGCTTGTTCAGAAATTCTATAAGCATCTAAAGGAAATTCGAATCAAGTTTGCTTCTCTTAACAATAGTTCTATTATCAGAAGTGTAAGTAAATTATTTATAGATTTTTTTGAATAATTGTTCAGAAGAAACAAGGTCTTTAATTTTTGCATCAACAAAAAGAAATGAAAGATCATGAAAACGTGAATTTGAATGAATTTCTTTTTCGATTAACGAAGTTAAGCCTTTCTCACTTTTATATTGCTTTAATTCATTTATGATGTATGAAATCTAGTTTAATATCTACATTAGGTTGGTTTCTTTAAATGAAATTTATCGTATTTATGTTGAAACATCCATGCATTAACTTTGCAACATTGCTCTTTTGTTTGGAACAAATGTGCATAAAGAGTTTTTCTCTTGCCTAAAAGACTTTCTCAAAGCTAATTCAGAACTCTGGTTATCCAAATTTAATTTATTATTAAGAAGTGTTCCCAATGCTTATTTCGATTTTAGTGATTAATGCAGGATAGATTGTTATGAACTTTACGAAATTTGAATGATATTAGTACTTTTAACCATAGAAAACGATTTCTTAGGTGAAAGTGAAGGAAATTCTTAATTAGACCTTTCTTATGATTCTCGTTAAGATTTTATCATACCTTATATAATTTAAGGAGTGAAAATATTAATAATTTTATAAAAATACTAAAAAAAGGATAGTATATTTATTTTCAATTCAATAGATATCAAAAAACAACTATTCTTGGTGATAAATACCATTAATTAATTGATTTAATCATATATTTTTCAGAAATTAAAACAACCATTTGAATAATCATTAAAAACACTTTCTATAGAGAAGGCTTCTAAAATGAGTAGGTGCTTTTAAGATATATTAAATAAGTTAAAAATGAATATTTCATTTAAGGCTGAAAATCTTACTTTCTTATTGCATTCTTCGAAATTTTGTTCTTGATATGAGATTATTACTTTTCGGAGTTAAGATTTTAGCATTAGAATTGATAGTTATTGGCTATAATAATTACTGATAGAGTTATGTTCCTCTAATCGATCCATTTGACATCAAAGTAGTTAATATTTGCTCAGAATGAGTCAGCAAGATCAATTTTTTTTATAATAGATTTTTCAGATTGCAATTTTTTTATTAGAGCAATAGCATATCTTTCAAAGAGTCATTAGATTATATCCTCTTTAACAGATTACTTTATAAAGAAAATTTGGATTCAGATTCTTTCAATTTTTGTTGATGAGAATCATTGGTGATTAAACCAATATTAGGAAGCTAATCTTTAATATATGGAAATGAGGACTCTTTTAGATTGAGATCTTTAATTTCTTGCAATCTTGCTGATTAATAAGCTAATGGCCTTAAAGTTATTCTATCCAGAGATTTTTATTAAAGGTTTCTGTTTGATAAAGTAGACTTTTAGATATCCATGTTTTAAATATCAAATTATGATGTTGGAGGCTCAATTGTTTGATGTGGAATATTTTGAAATCTATGATTTGACTATGACTTTTCACTTTGATCTTACAACTTTTAAGTATTTATTTTTCTATAATTTCTACCAGTGCTTTAATCTAGTAATTCAGACTATTAGAAATCAAGTGATTTAAGAGATTATTTAATTAATCTTTACTCTAATTTATTAAAAGATTCGTTTTAATTGAATCGAAAATTCTTCTATGTTTCCACACATTTCATTGCAGAATCTTAAAGATACTATTGTGATATGTTTAAGGACTTAGCCTTTGGAGTTACACGTTTGCTGTCACATTACTCTTAATTAGATATAGGATGAATTTCTTGAGATTCTTGTTCCTTTATTTGGTTAAATATTTGAGACTCAATTACTCTGATTGATTAGAAGGGAGTAATTTTAGGAGAGAAATCAACAAAGCTTTGAGAATTTAAAAGTTTGAGATTTGTATCAATTTAACTTTAGATCAGTTTTTTGTCACATAATTATTTGATTTAAACACAAAATAGTTTTTTAATTTCCTTAAGAGAAGTATCTGTATGGTCATCTTCAGACTTAATTTCAAATTATTTGATTTTATTTGAATACCTTTTAATTGTATATTATACCAGTGAATTCCTTTACATGAGCTTATTTAATTTATGCTCGAAGCTATTTGTTAAGGATTCATAATTAAGGATTGGTTGGATGAGATTGGAATTCATGAATTAAAAAGGAGGAATGTCTTCTAAACTTGTTATGCTAGATGAGAGTTAATTATTTTGGTGTCTTGCAGTTGTCTTGTGTATGTGCAGTTTTAAATTAAGGATTAAGTACGGTGCCATGAAATCATTGTTCTTGGGAAAGAAATATTTCTCTTGAATGGTTTAAATGTAGTCTAAATCTATTTTAGAATTCATTAATTTGGGCATAATTGGTTCATCTATAAGTTTTATGGATTTAGTGATTTTGGATACATCTAAATTAAGACGAGTCTACCTTAATCAATAATAGTGTTACTCTTTGTTATTTGAAAACCTCCTCAATTGTGACTCCACCAAAATTGATTTGTTTGACGACATTAACAAACTTTATATGTTCTTTAATTTATAGAGCTGAATTTGCTGGGAAGTGAAATTTGAAGTAAGAAAAGGTTAAATTGGCTATTTATAGAAAACAATTCTGAAAATAGTCTAAATCTTATTATGGCCATCTTTCTGTTTTTAGAATTCTATTTTCAGATTTTTGGTTTTGAGAATCAATTTTTTAAATTTGTATGTCTTAATCGGTTGTGTTCTCTGTTATCTAAAGCATTTTAGATAGTAAAATTAGATGTTCTCTTTTTAGAAATAAAGACACTATCTTTGCTTTCATGTAAATATAAAATTATATTTAATTCTTGGATAATAGTGACTATATGCAAAATGAATTACATGGATAATTGAGAAGATGGATCCAATTATATGTTAGAATGACATCTGCCATTCTTTTCGAATTTACTTCTTAGATAGAGAGTGAATAATTCCTATTTTGAAATATTAAATTAAATAAAAAATTATGAGATCGAATTCAACAGCATATACACCTTAGAATCCAGAGATCTTCCACAAAGGACACATCCATTTCTTTGATTTATTGTCTTCGTTTCATGGGTTGGAAGATCAACCAGACTATCCAGTTTAATAATAAACCATTTAGGATAAGCTTAGACATTAATACCTTCATGATAACAATTGGGAAGAGAGTATCAAGCAATTAATTATCATTTAGAATTGTGTTATAGAACATGCTTCAAAATTTAAGAAAAAGATTACGTATAATTCTGTTTGGATAAGAAATGCTCAGGCGCACCTTATTTGAAGGCTGCTCAAGTTTTGGGATATGTAAAATCTGGAAATCCAACACCTAAAGCTCATGGACACCATCATCATTGATCAGGCATTAATACATAAACAATAAATTTATCAAAATTATGGTATTCTTTAGGAATTCATATAAATATCTTTTTTCGCTTATTTATTTGTAATATTGCTTATTTCGATCATTTTTATTGTAGCAACTGAAATCATCAATGTCTGATCAGGCCATAACAATTAAAATCAAGAGAATGTAGTTCATTTCCCTGCATTAATAGAAGTAGGAAAATTGAATTATTAATAATAATAATGAGTTTAATTATTTATAATAATGAGGAATATATTTAGTTATTTTTATGGAACGCCAGTATTCTTTATTTTAATGCATAGGCTAATAAACCAGGGACTGAATTGAAGATGGACCAAACATACGAAACATTTAATTTTGAATTTACCTCAAATGAGCATGTTCCAATTTATGAAAAATGGACGAAAGGAGAAGAACAAGAATATATAGGTGTGTATATAAAATAAATTAGACATCAAATTGCAAGCAATAGAAAACATTTATTTAGATAACTATGACTAATAGCTAAAACAACCAGAAGAAATTAATCTAATAAATTATATAGTTTAAGAGAATGATACTCTATTCGGACTGGAACTCAAATTTAATATTAAGTATTGAAGTCTTTTCATGTTAAGCTAAAACAGAATATTGTAGTTAAATGACATATCTCCAGAGTGTTTTGTACCTGGGATGAGAATTAAACTCCCCAATCCACAGGAATAAGAAATCTAGTAAGATTAAACAGAAAATGATCTTAATACTCTTAATCAGAACCAATCCTCATATTTTGGGAGAAACTTGATGGATGAAATAATGTCTAAGGGATAAACAAAGAAATGTATGTAATTCACATATGAATCAAATTAGTTAATGTGTTTTATTTGACCCATTATGGATGCATAGAAGGAATATTAACAATAAATAATGATGTTATTCTCTTTGATCCTAGTTTCATCGATCAAAATAAAGAAATTGTTAAAAGAAGTCAAAGTAATAAATATTATTAGATAAAAGAATAAAGCATACTTAATTTTTAAGCTTGTATGATGACAAAAGATGTGCGATCTGTAGATTTAAATGAGTTGCCAATGAGGATTGCAAAAAGTTCGAATAAGTGTTTTAAGGATTATGTCATCCTCATTCATGTAAATTCTAATGTGACGACTAAAAAGTTGGTTGAGATTATTCCTATTTTGAGTTTCAGAGTATGTTTTGAACCCTATGATAGATATAAAATGATTAAAATCAAAAGGAACATATCCAATTGAGTGTTGATTTATATGAAACTCTAAAACAAGTAGTGAGAACCAAATCTTAAAAAATGTTAGAAGACTTATAATAATCAAAAGAACAAAATCTAACTATCATCCCCTTTTATGATATTCAAGACTCTTTATTAACTGAAAAACTATTGAAAAGGACAAATAATTTATGGGGAGCATAGGATTATTTGCCACAGATGATGTAATAATCATAAATTTGTGATAATGATGAGTTAATATAAGTAAGCCTATTCTAATTATATTTCAGATTATAGCTCATGTTCCATCAATCTACAAAACTTCAAATTGGAAATTGATTTTCTCTAATGTTATTAATGGTTCATCTTTTCACACATTACTTCATAAATGTGAAAACAGTTCACCATTAATATTGGTAATCAAAGATGTGCATGAATGCAAATTTGGAGCCTATTTAAATGAATCTCTAAAATTAACATTTGGGAAGTTCTTTGGCAATGGTGAAACATTTTTATGGACTTTAAAAGTATTTATTCAATGTTGATGGTAGGAAAACGAATTTAAAGCATACAGATGGGCAGAAATAAACAACTATTTTATATTTTGTGAATCAGATGGATTTGCTATCGGATGTGGAGATTAATTTGGTCTCTACATTAATCAATCCTTAACAGCAGGGAATACAAACAAATGCGAGACTTATAAAAATGAAATATTAACACTCACTAATGATTTTAGTATTAAAATACTTGAAATATGGAGTTTAAGTGAATGATAAAAACCATCATAAATAACTTTATTTATAAATCAGCATAAGATATAATCGACTATCATTCATTTTCAATGGTCTTAATTCTGGTTATCATCTATTTCTAGATATTTCAAAGATAATTTTATATTTCTATAATACATAAAAATATTGTTCTCTTATCTCTCAATTGATTTGGATTCTCAACCTGAAAATAGCATAAACTACCATTTTGATCATATGTCTGAATTGAGATTACCTAGCTTTTACCTGTCTAGTATAAAATAGGTGAATCATACAATTATGAATATACAATTATATATTTTTAATTAGTTTTTTCAAATGATTTTAAATGATCAATATCTAGGAACAATGTATAATATTACAGTTATTACGCATTATTACAGAAACAAAACTTGATCAAATTAGAACTGAGAAATCTAAAAAAAAATTTTTAAATAAAAATGATGGCTCAATCACCAAAGTTCAAAATTGAAAAAATGGCTCCATTAAGTAAACATCAAAAAGTCCTAATTGATGAAGAACCTATTGATGATATGGTTGAAGTTGATGAAACAAAAATCTCTTTCAATGAAAAATTAATTGTCTGTGATTATAAACCATGGCAATCTGTTATTTAAATAAGAAAAACAATCGAAAAATTAAAAGGATATTCAAATGTACATTGGATTAATCCTATCCTTGATGTCCGTCTCAAAAACCCATCTAGATCCATTTTAAAAAGCCCTTCAAAACTCTCATCCAATTTTGCTATACAAAAGTGATCCATATTTATCCTATATTACAACTATATTATTAATGAAAAAAAGAAAATAATTTAAAATGGAATGTTTTAGATTAGACTTACACTACTAAATCAATAAAGTTAAGAGATATATAGCACGGCTAAAAATTCTTAAACAACATTTCTAAACTCTATAATAAAGCCTATATAATTAATATACAAAAAGGTCTATTCTTAAAAGTAATGTTCATAATGATTATGATAATAATTAAATAAAATAAATGTTCATCTATTTTTTCGGTTAAATATATAAGATTAATGATCAGAGAAGTTGTACATCAATTTAAATTAATTTTATACTTCTTATTCAGGTATGCGCATTTTCTATTTTTCCCTAATCAATGCTATATAAATCAATTAAATTAAGAGAAATTCAATTATTCCTTATGATCGCCCTCATAAGTTATCTTATAAATCTAATTTTAGTAGCTTCCTAATTTTTAAGGCTTATTGATATTTATTAAGGCTATTATCCTTCTTAAGGGCTCTAGAATTTGATTTTACCATATTGTTTAAATATCTATTATAGTTTAAGCAATGCTAATTATTGCCTTAGATAATAATTCTCAAATAATACGTTCATATATTTTATAAAATGATAAATAAGGGTATTATATTTAACAATGAGATCAACTTAAATTAATACTTATAATTTTATAGGAGTAACAATCATCATTTTAATACCAAGATAATTTGCTGTAAAATTAATTTTGAATTATCAAAATTATAAAATTTAAAAATGCTTAATATATAATGTTGAGCATGCTATGGTTCAGGATATAAAATTCAAACTTTTTCATTGTTTATGAAATCAAAATGATTTAATATTTAGTCTGTAATTTTTTCTTCATTTATTACACTTAATTTTAAACTTTGATTCAAATTCTTGAATGATATTCTAATAATATGAGTCTAAATAGTAATTCTAAGTATAAAATCTAGAATCTGTAAAATATAAACTGCATTTGATGTGCTACTCCTATAATCGTAATAGTATTGGGACTTTTTATGCATATTAAATCAAAAAGTTAAAAATCAATCATTCGATTCATAAATGGAGAATCATAATGTCCTACAGAATCTTTTTATTGAGGTAATATTATTATTTATCATAATGATGCGTTTAAATTTTAGAGAAATTAATTAATATAAACTTATCATTACAACTTATCAAGAATTCATCATTACTAATTGGCATTTGCATCACAGTTTTGGATTATAAAAGCTTTTGGAGTAGCAAATGTTAATTATAAATATCAATTTGATTGAAAGAAGCACAAATCAAGCACAGAGAAGCTTCAAAAAGCTCAAGTGTTTTATCAATGTTGGCAATTCAAAGGCCAGACAAGACATAATCGAGCGTTCAAACAATAGTTGGAATAGTGAATTCAATGGTTGGATCATTATGCTTAGTTTTACCCTTAGTATTTTTGAATTATGGAGTGATATCCTGTACAGTGATAATGATAATATTGGGATTTGTTTAATACAATACTTGTTCTCTTTTAATACTTCATTTGAAAGATTAAGAAGTAGATACTGAACATATGATCAAGAGAATTTTAGGAAAGTAATGGATGTAAGCCTTCAGATTTTGTTCTGGCACTCTCTTATTTATAGTCGGCATAATATACTTCTAATTGATCAATCTCACGTTATACCCAATTATAACATACATTCTAAGCTATAATGATATTGAGTTTGCCGATGCAAGTGAACATTTTGTATTTAATAAGTATACTTTTTATAATAATTAAGATTTTCAATTTAATGGTAAGCCTTGATAGTCTTTCTTCCACTATCAACATTACTGTTAATCAAGGATATTACAACAATAGTTAAAATAGCTCATTACGGAGTAATTGCTTTATTTGCATATGGAATTTTTATTATTTATATTTTTATAGTAAATCTAGCAAGTGAGGATATTTCATAAAAATTTGAATAAATAACTTTATGGTCATGGGAATTCAGTTAGCCTGCCGGTTAATTTGCTTTAGCCTTTATGATTCACAATGCAATAGGACAATTAATTAAAAATAATGAGAAGAGGGATAACAATTCTAGAGATTTGGCTATAGCTTATGGGATTTCAGGGATGATCTATGGGATAGTGGGAATATTTGGTTCTATTGGGATTTGGTAATGCATCAAAATTATTTAGGGTTTTGAAAATGTTTCTGATGCTTAAACAATTCTGAACTGTTTTAAGAAATCGGATGTGGAGATCATTATAATAGAGAGTCTATTTTTAGTGCATTTGGTTACAGCATTTCCAATATTTAATAACATTAGCAAATATTAGATTTTGGAAGTACTTTATCATAAGAGGGAACCATCAAAAAAAGTGTATTGGGGATTCAGCGTTCTGTTTATGATTCTGTGTTTAACAACTCAAATTTTGAACATTCCTGTTGGACTTGTGATTTCATTTGATGGAGCAGTTTGTGGGTTCTTGTTGGTATACATAGTTCCAATCAGCTTGCATCTGAAATGCTATTACACTTAGAATAAAGTCACCTTGATAGGGGATGACGATGATGAATGTAATACTCACGCAAATTGCGTGAATCATAAGGATAAGAATTCAATTCCAATGTTCGCTAGAATTGCATTCTATGCTTTGATGATGGGAATCGGAATATACAATTTAATTGTATAATTTTATGATATATTTAAATCCTGATATTAAAATAAATTAAAATATTTAATATGCTACAATTAATTAGGGTAGGAAAGAGACAGTTAGTGTGTGTTCCTTCGTTTAATTATAAATTAAGAAGGCCCGCCCCGAAGATGTCAGAATATGACAAGGAAAGGATTGAATATAAACATTTAATGAATTAGGTAGGAAATTAGTGATATCAAAGTATAGGTCAAGAATCGTCAAGGACTTTTGGGAAGAATAAACCAAAATTGAAAATCAATATATAGACGACTATTTGGCAAAAGAAAAAGCAAAATAAGAGAGACTTGATATTTATAAAAGAAATTAGACTGTAATCTAAACATTTAATGCAACATAATAATTCAATAAGTTACAAGACATCAGAAGAGTCAGGAATGAAAGAGTCAAGAAATATCTGGTTGAATAAGACATTAAAAAAATGAATAGGCAATAAATAATCAGAGTATTAAATGAAGAATCCAAAAATTGGATTTCAGATAAAAACTCATATGAAAAGTTTGTAGGAAATCTATTAATTCCTGATACTGTTCTAGATGAAATATCATATTATCATGATCTGTAAGAGAAAGCAATTCTTTTCGAAACAGCTTAATATGAAGAAATTGATAAGTATTCACTACATTTAATTAATTAGATTGAATGATCCAAATATCTAGTTAGAATGGAAGAATAGACTGGGAATGCCAATATATCAAAGAATTGTGACTCTAATTAAATTTTTAAAACAAGATAATGTATTAGGAAATTTAAAATTTGAATGGGATACTTGTTAAGCAATTATTTTGACTGACAAAAAGTTAAGCGAAAAAGAAATGGCTGAATAATTAGATAAAGTAAATGGCGCATTTTAAACTGTCATTGCATAGAAGATAGAAGAGCTTGAAAATAACCCAGTGAAAAGACTAGAAGAAATGAATAAATAACTTATAAGATTATATAATCTCTTTGAATTATGGGATAAATACATCACCATTGTTAAAATGGATAACTCAACTGCTTAATAAATAATGTAAGCTGCCAAAGCCTAAATTAATTTATTTGAAACAGAAGGTGGAAAAGATTATATGATGACCTCAGACAATAGTCTAATTGAGAAGTTCGATGGCAAGGAGACTAAAAGTACGGTAGAAAAAGATGATAAATATATCAGTGCAGACGAAACACATACAGACAGTGAAGATATCGATTTGGAAAATCTATAGAAAAAGAAAGAGACCAAAGATATTTATGGTGGTAGAACCACAAAAACATATGACTTTGATACTCAAAGAATTAAGGACAAAGACAAAGAGTTTTCTAAATTGGTTGAAGAATTATTTGCTAAGGCCGAAGCAAAGGCTAAGGAATCCAATCTTGAATTCGAGTCTAATTACAGAAAGAATCCTCATCAAAAAGTGTTCTATAATGACAATCTAAATGCTCCTAATGTTCCTGATGCTAGATCAGTTTTCGAAGGCGTAGATTTGGAACAACTGTTCCCCTCTGAAATTCTCAATGATGAGACCAAGACTCCTTATCTTGATTTCAAAAATGTTGAAGATATCGAAAATCATTATTATGAATTAGTAATATCATCTCATTTATACTTCCTAGAAAGCTATCTATAGTCTTAGAAAACAAGGCGAATAGAATGTCCTTCTTAACCCAGATGTCTAAAAATTCAACACCACAATCACTGCCTAAACCTACAAATAAATCCTCAATAATCTTGAGGTACCAGCTGAGTATTCAAAATTGAAATAAGATACTTAAAAATTGGTCGATGCAGTAGGAGAGATCAAAGTCACTGATGCCGATTTCTTATTGAAGATCTGGAATTATTATAATTGATGATAAATAAGAATATGTATAAAATAAAGAAGCAATATTCTAACATATATCCTCAATCAAAATAAAATTCTGTTTAATAAATATTTTTAATTTATTTATGATTAAAAACTATGTAAAGCGAGCCCTCATCTAGAGGTATTTACCCACAACAGGGTGCCGTTACGAGTTTTCAGAGGAGTAAGATACGGAAAAAAAGTAGACAAGGCTTAGATATACTTATGAAGAATAATAAGATATCAATAGATAAAAATAAAGTAATACTGTCATTCCTATCAAGGCAACTTTTTATTAAGAAGGATTCTAATAAATTATTATAGGTATAAACCAAACAAAGCAGAAATGATAAAGAAAATTAATTAATATTTCAATCCGAAAAAGTAAAAGGCTGAAGAAGCAATCCCAGAGACTTAGGAAGGGGAAGAAGGATAAGAAGGTCAGAAACCGATTGTTAAGTTTTCTCGTATTAGTAGGACTAGTAAATAAAAGATCTTTAGGGACTTTGTACATGAGAAGAAAATCTTCAAGTTCAAAAGGGATTACATTTTTTCAAACAAAATAAGACCATACAAGCCAACTAAAGATGATATCATAGACTAAATGTAAAAAGAACTCCATGGTCAAAAATTCATCAACAATCCAAATTTATTTGATAAATTTAAACAAAGATATAGAGATTATGAGAATAACAATTTGACAAACCTCATTATGAGATACGATAACTTTTAACCATCGCTTGTATATGAGTAATTGAGATCTCATTTTACTAGTGGACTTTATGGATTTCTAAAAGAAGAATAATTTTAGTAATTTTTTAATATATATAAAAATAGAACTCTGATCTTTCACAGACCATCCTTTTAGATTTATCTTAATAAATTACCTGAATAATTCTTCCTTCAATATTCGAAGTATATAAATACAGATAATATTACTTAAATTATCAAAGAGGTAGAGGGCAAGAACTATAAATTTTTACCTATTCTCAGATACTGTGAATTAAAGAATAAAGCATATTATTTTGAACTTCAAGAAAATTTTGATTAATTCCTTCAGAAAGTCCCTGATTAAGATCAATTACTGATACAATACTTCTTTTTTCATGAAAACAATTCTAAATTGCTTAATTATGAATCTTTTCTAAAGGGTATTTTGAATATCCAATGGGGAGGTTAAGTAAATTAGGAACCCTTGAAGCAGCAACTTGTAACTTTGCTTAATGTCAAATTCAAGATTAATCTGAATAGAGAATTGCAGTTGTATTTAGCTGATTTATTTTTTGGATGTGACTCATTCGATAAAGCCATTGTTGCTATAGCTTTATAATATTTATTGTTATAAAGATTGACACATGCTTTCCCAATAAAAGACATTTTAGAGTGTTTTAAATAGACTTTAGGTGAGGAGAGATTTACATTTTACTTATAATAAGAATTACCTTAAATCCTATAAAACTTAAATATCAAAACCTATTACTCGTCGTTCTAAAAAGGACTCATCGAATATCAATAACATAAATCAAGTATATTATTTAATAAAACTTTAGAAAAATCCTTGACAATCTAAAATTACACAAATCTTGATGGAATATTCTTAAAAGGCAAATACATTGAGGTTTCATAATTCTAAATTCTCTATAATCCAAGTTCAACTAATTTGATGTACACTAATCAAACCATCGCCTACGATGTTAAAGAAAATGCAGTCAAGGAGGCCGTCTTAAATAACTCTACTTTGATATTAGAAAAAGAATTATCTAATCTCTTTAGCTATAAAGAATATAAATGGAATATAGTCGACATGGCACATAGATTAGTTTACAGGAAAAAGATCATGAATAGAAACTTTTTAAGATATAACCTAACAAAACACTACCTTCAGAGAAAGAGAAAATTGAGAAAATATAGACTTAGATAGGATATATAAAAAGAATTATATGATCTTTAAACAAATTTAAGATAACATTAAAAAATACAACCACTTTTATAAACTATATCTCCAATTTAAACAGAAAAAGCACCTGCAGAAGAAGTTTAAGAAAAACCATAAGAGACATAAGAGACCAAGGAGGCATAAGAGGCAACAAGTGAAGAATAGCCTTAAGAAAAGACTTTGGAAGAAGAAATCTTTTCTTTCGCAGAGGAGAGATAATAATATAATTAATTAAGACTAGCAAGGGTTAAGACCTTCACTAAGATCTCAAAAATGTTGCACACTTTGATAATTTAGAATCGTCCTATGATTAAGGAATATAGATAAAAGTAATTTGTTTAAAAACCAAAATATCACTTTTGTACTTAAAAGTTTGAGGAAATTCCAAAAGATGAAGGAACAGGTTTCATGAACTATCTAAAATCTGTCGAATCTATTGATTTAGAAGTTAAATAATAAGAGGAACTAAATTAAATTTAATAATAAAGAAGGTAACCATAGTCAAGAAAGCATGGAAAGATTCTTTTAGAGAGAGGAGAAGCATAATAACTTAAATCCATATTTTCAGAGGATAGTGAAAAGTAATACATAATATTAATAATTTATTAGTCTAATCAGAATTAGACAAGAGTAGAAGAAGTAATCTGATATGTTCCAGAAGTTAGAATAACCACAGAGATTTAGAAGAACCAAAGCTAGCGATACAAATGAGGTGGTTCATAAAATGCCTTTTGAAAATGCTGAAAAAGAGAAACAAAATATACCTTAATTACAAGAGCAATATGTAATTGATAATATATTGTACAACACAAATTTAAGTGCTAAAGCTCATTTTTAGATTACTTAACTCTTTTAAGAAAATCAGACAAGATAATAATTAGTTGAAGATGTTTAAAACTTTTTAAGTGGAATCAAATAGAGTTAAGATGGATATCATTTTTATTTGATTTCTGAACTTATTTCAGCATTGGAAACTAAAAGACCTTTAGAATCCAAAATAATCTTTACATAAATCATTTGCCAAGTCAAGAATAAGATTGAAGTTAATGAAAAGATAAAGGTGAAATATACTACATAATATGGAGATATTGAGAAGAATTATGGTAAATACATTAATTAGACATGCACTTAATTCTCACTTGGATCAAAAGGATACAACTATATATTAGATTTTATTTTGTAAGAAGGAAATTACAACAGATTGTTATATAAGAGAACATTAGCACATTATTGTCTTAATGAGACTGTACTTTATGATTCAACATTTGAAAAGATTACTTAAATTACAAAGAATAATAAGATTCCTTAAACTTGTGCCGAGTTCTTTTATGCATTTTTATCAACTAAAATTACTATCAATTTTACTTAGATGAGAAAGATTGTTAATTTATTATATCAATTTAAACACTTTGAAGCAGAAGCAGAATAATTGATTATTGGATTCTATTTTGCTTATTAATGGCAATTAAAGTTTGAAGAATTATAGCCAATATTTTAGAGATTGATTAATTAGAATAAGAGAGATAGGTATATGTCTTTGTATGAATCTTTGAAAGATTAATTAATGGGAAGAAAGCTTAGATAAATTCCCACTTAAGACCCAGTTGAAGTCAATAAAATTATGACTGAATACAAATAATAATAGAAAGACTAGCTTAAGGAATTTGTAAGAAAGTTTTCCTAATTATTGTTGGATTCCAAATTGCCAGACGATGCTAGATTAGTAATCAATGATGCCAAGAGATTCAGATATTAATATGAAATATTTGATTATAGACTTTGGCTTTTATCTCATGTAAACCATTTTGAAGATGCCTTAAAAATATGGGCTGATTATGGTGTCAAGTTTCCTAATGTTTATGATATCACCATGTTTAAAGCCTTTTTATCATTATTACAGCAATAAGAAACCGCACATGAATCAGATGATACTAAGGCACTATTTTAGGATGTTATTAGAATTTATATCTTTGAGAAGAAAATCACTTTGGATCATGATTTAATATTTGATATTACACATACTTATAAGAGATTGAAAGAATTTACAAGTTATTAGAATTTCATGAAGTTCTTACTAGAAATTAGATATAAATGTATACCTTCCCATAAGTACTTGTTTTACAAAATGATGAATTTCGCTGAAGTTGATAGTGTCAAAGAAACAATAAAAGGAATCATTGATATTCTATTTAAGGATGAACAAAGAAAGAAAGATGGCAAATAAAAATAAAATAAAAAAGAAGAGGAAGTTAATTATGATCTTGGTAATAAGGGTCCAAATCCTTTACATATTTAAGATTTGACAAAAGAGGTAATTTTAACATAATTAAATTTAGAATAAATTAAATAACAAGAAAAAGAGAGGAATTTTGGTTAGAGGTGGCAAGAGTAAGTTTACCCAAATTGAAACAGATGGTATAGCCGATAAAAATAAAGAAGAAGACGGCAAGACTACTACAAAGGATGGTAAAACAACTAAAGATGCCAAAGCAACAAAAGAGTGAGCTATAATTTAGTGTATAAATATGGTAAAATAATATGAATAAACAAAAATTATTAAAACATGTAGATATTCAAAAAAATCTTAAGACTTTAAGAAAGTTGTTATTTCTCAACCATCCTTTAATGTTTTTCGCATCTTTCTTTTACGGCTTATCTATTTTTTCTGAATTAATTAAGAATGAAATTAACTATTCACTAATAATTAAAATAAGAAATTTGTATATTTTCCATAAATATTATTAAAAATAAATCAAAATATTTTTTTTGGTTGAACGAAATTTAGATAATCGATTTTCTCTTTCTTTTCCTCTAAACTCTCATTAATTTTGAGATTCTTTAATAAGGAATCTGTAGATTTAAATCTAGCTTAATTTAATATTGGTTATATCGGTTCTTTTGAGGTTTAATATTTTCTGACTTTCTTAAAGGATGCTTAGATAAGTTATTAAACTTATCTAGCCTTTTTATCAGGGTTATTCGATTTATATGCTTCTTGATACATTAAAGAAAGTATTAAATTATCCTAAGGTACTTTTGGCAATCTTGTTATTGAATCTAGAACCTAATCTAAATTCATTTAGGGAAGTATTTTATTAGGACTTATGCTAGGCAATTTAGCATGAAAAGAGAATTTTTCTAACTTCCTCTACCTCACTTTAGGAACTGCTCTCTCATCAATGTGAGTACTTAATAATTTAAGTATTTTAATACAGTTCTCTAACTTATTTTGTTTAGGTTTCATAATTTTGATTTCCAAATTTCTTTAATTTTTACTAATATTATTGAAGTGCATTACTAAAAACTCTCTATCCCTTTTCTTCTGTTTGAAGTTCGCAAGAATCATCATTTATTATACCTGATTCTGTGATATTTTGAAATACTTAAACTTAGCTCATGCTATGGTTATTTGAGTGATACTTTTTCCTTTTTTCTTAAGTTTTTCTTTTCTCGATATGCAAATAAACCTATATTGATATAAAGCTATATTGTTACATTATTTTAATCACTAATTTATGCCATTGCAGATTTATAAATTAAATTCCAATGTTAAAGAATTAGTTTGGATTATTTCTTCATATTATCATAAACAATAAAGTTGCCTAGATTATTAAAAAACTTGTTTTTTCTTATTTTATAAACAATTAATCTAGGCGATATTGCCCTAGCCGTAGTAAACCTAGTGACTTTATTCAAAATTTCCACTTCTCCAAATTATTAGTTCTCTCCATAAGAAGATAGAACTAGATTTCTCTCTCCAATTCTTTTGGAAAGTTAAACTTCTCCATTGATGATAAAAAATAACGAATTCGATTTGCTCCCTTCTTCATATATGATTTCTCCAGCTTTATATGTTATTTTTCTGCATTCTAACAAAATTCCCATAATCTCGTTCAAGTCTGAATCAGCTGAAGTGAACAGTGTATTTTTTTTAAAATATTATATTTTCTCTTCTAATGCTTCACTTAAATATGGATCCAATAACTAGACATATGCTGCTTCAGTCATATATAACAGATGAGTATTTTCAACTGCAAACACTGTTGAAGCTCTAGAAGTTTCCAATTTTATAGCGACTTCACCAAAAGAACTAACAATTTTCGATAAAAAATTATACTCTCCAGAAAATAGCATTTTCATCATCATATACTCTGGAAATAAACTCTTTAGACCATAAGGATCTATGGTTGTTTTATTTTCCTATTCTAATTCAACTTCGATATTATTCATTCCAACCATTTTTTCTTTTGGTTTCAACACTACGCATCTTCCATCTAGAATAATATAATAGTATTTATTTTGGTCTCCCTATCTATATACCATATTAAAGGCTTGAAAGTATTAATATCTAAATGCTAAGTAAGTTTTACCTTAATTAAGTGTACACTTTATGCATTATTTCTGGAGGAATTTATTCTTTCATGTGTTTTATTGCTTTTACTTATCCAAGCTACTCTATTAAAACAGGTGAAGTTGGAACGAATGTATTCGATAAAGTTCTTAAACTTGCTTTCTGAAATTTTTTACTATATTTTTTTTGCTAAGGATCAAAAGTGAACGGTGGCAAATTATTTAATTCAGATTTTATCGATTCAATATCGATAAGCTTCTTTTATTTTTTATAATCTTTATTATTCATTAATAGCAATGATTTATTTAATTTCTCCTCATCCGAGTCTGAATTTGGTTAAGGCTTTGTAAAATCAAACATTTATTTGTCCGAAATTGTAAACTAGGATTGAATGTAGGAACTCATAAATTTCACTAAAAGGTTAAATTATAATTTTTAATTAATTTATTGATAATCCCAAATGTTATTGAAAAAATTCAGAAACTTATTTTTCATTTTTATAAATAAAATTATTTCTTAATTGTTCAAGCTGTTTGATTATAAAAAGAGAACTAGAAATATTCCTTGTAATATGATTTTGAATTTATTGTATTTCATTGTTGTTAATAAAATAGTAATAATAGAAACTAATTTAATAAATATTTTCATTAATTGATTATGTCTACAAGCTATTGATAAAAAAATGATTTCCTATTAGTAATTTTATCACTCAACAATTTTATTTTTAGTAGAGACTTAAAATGATTTTCGAGTGTATGATTACTAAAAATATAAATGCTTTAATTTTATAATGTACTATTCTAGTTATAAATAAATAAAGTAAGTTGAGAAATTTTGAAAATTTGTACTCAATAATTTTGCTATTTTAGCGTTGTATGTCCTCAGAATAAAAGGTGTTTAAAAATATTTTCTTATTCATCATTCACATAGTCGTTGGTTTATTATATTAATATATTATATCAAAAATATTCTTCATATTATATAACTTGACAAATTGTTTACAATATTTGTTAAAGTTCATCTTACTCTACAATTTAAGAAATCATATTCATATTTTTGTCTTTATTCAATAACTTTAGTTTTAAATAAAAACGGAATATACTAATTTATCACTAATGTCAGGATACTAAAGAACTTATTAACTAGTTCTATTCAGCTTCTTATGAGTATCACACATCAGAGTCTGATCTAAAAGGAGTTGAATAGTATCCTGAGATTATGAAACAAGGGTGAGATATAAGTATAAAAGATAATTATCATAGAAATGATTTGGGAAAACGCTAGAATCAAGAATTAGATATTGCTTGCTTTTTAATGGCTGTAGAAGTTGAGAGACTAGTTAGAGAGAATACGTAATTAAAATAGGAGATTCAAAATTTTATTGACTCAGGATTAGATAGAGTGAATTACGAAATGTAAATCAGGGATTTAATGGAAAAATTGAAGAATCAAACATCGTAATATTACAAATATCCCTTTTTAGTGAAGTGAATAGCTATTCTGAAGAGCGTGAAAGACTTGTAATAATTATTAGAGAATTGGAAGATGAAATTCAGAAGATTGGAAGAACAACTCAGAGATTATGATCCTAATTGGAGGAAGTCATAGAGAGATTTAGAATTGCAATTATAATTATAAAATAAGCTTTTTGGAGGGAAAGCACCTGAGGAGATTTCTAGGGAATTGGAAGAACTAAGAAAAAAAGCTAAGATTTTAGATGATTTGTAGAAGAAAATAGGTGCTAAAGCTCCAGGTATCTAATTTTAAGTAAGATTTTAGATGAATTATTAAAAGAACTAGAAAATTTGAAAAAAAAGGCCTAGCAATTTGATGATATTAATAAAAAATTAAATGGTAAAAACTTTTCAGATTTAGAAAAAGAATTAGAAAAATTGAGACAAAAAGCTGATAAATTTGATGAAATTAGTAAATAATTTTCAAATCCATGTAAGTTGTACTTAATATTCATAGCTGATATATAAAAGGAACTTGATTAATTAAAAAAAAAGGCTGCAGAATTGGATAAGATGAAATCGTAATTGAATAATTAAAATCCTGATTAACTGTTAAAGAATTTAGATGAAAATAAAAAGTAATTGCAATCAAAAGATAGAGAAATTGGGGATTTAAAGGTTTATCTATAAATTAATATTTTAGAGACTTCTATCTGAATTGTAATAGAATTAAGGCTCATAAGATGATTAAATAAGATTTTTGTAATAGAAGATAGATGAATTAGAAGAAAAAGTGGTTGGTTTGGTTCAAGAATTATCTAGATACAAAATGCTATTAAAGTCTAAAGAAGATGAACTCAATAAATTATAAATGTTGTTCAGAGACAATGAAACCAGGCTTGCATAAATGAATAATGAATTGCAAAGATCTAAAAATGATTTATAGAGAGCATAAGGAGATCTTTAAAAAGCCTAGGGTGATTTAAGAAAAGCTTAAACTGATTTATCAAAATCTTAATAAGAGAATTAGAATTTGAAATAACAAACTGATGATCTTAAAAGATAGAATTAGGAATTAGCCTAGGAAAATAATAACTTGCAATAAGATTTGGAGAATTAAACTTAAAATTTAGGATAATTAGATGAAATAAAGGATTAACTCAATGATTTATAGGAGGAGAAGAATTAATTAAATGATAAGGTGTCAGATTTATAGAATGATCTAAAGGAAAAGTAGAGATTGTTCGATTAAAAGTAAAAGGAATTAGAAGATGCATTAAAAAGAGTAAAAGATTTGGAAGCTAAATTGTTAGAAATGGATCACTATATTGATACATTGGAAGACGATTTATAAAAGTTTGAGAAAGATAATCAACAGTTAAACAGAGAAGCTGGATAAAAGTAATTGGCTGATAGAGAATTAGAAAGATTAAGAGGGTTGTTAGATCAAATGAAAAATTAGTATGATTAATAACAAAAAGAATTAGGAAAGCTTAAAAACAATCTTGATCAGATGAGAGATCTGTAAGATGAGCTTGCCTAAGCCAAATCAGAATTAGATAGAGCAAATTCTGTCATAGCATAGTAATAAGATGAATTAGCTTAGAAAGAGAATGAGATCTCTTAGTTGGTTAGAGAAGTTTAAAATTTAGAGGAATCTAATAATTAATTGTAAGATTAGAATAATAATCTGTAATAAACATTATAAGAATAATAAGCAGTAACTAATGGAAACCAGGAAGAATTGACTAAATTAAGAAGAATAGCTGAGGATTATAAGGAAAAGATCAGATAATTAGAATTAAAATTTAATGAATATTCTAATATGGAGGAGAGACTTAAGTAATCAGATCATAGGATTGCAGTATTAATGACTGAAATAGAGAGATTGAATTCTTTAGTGAAACAAATTACTTCTGAAACTGAAGATTGGAAGTAAAAGCATTCAAGAATAGAATTAGCTCTTTTAGAGTATAGACAAATTGAGAAAACTAATCGTGATGCTGTAAATAAGAATCAATAATTTATAAATGAAATAGAAAGATTAAAGAAACTATTAGAAGCAAAGCATATAGAATTATTATAAACTATAGAAAGATGTGACCTCTTAGAGTCTTAATAATAGACTTTAATGAACTAAGTTTAAGATGCTTTAAAAAAGGCGGACACAGGTGATACTATTTTACTCTAATATTTATTGATTGCAGCAGAGAATGAAAGATTGACTGGAATTCTATAACCGATTTAAGAAAAGTACAATTAATTGACAACATAAGTTAAGGAAATGACAATTAAATATACTGAATTATAAAATAAAACATTAGGAATTGATTTGGATGAGTATGAAAGACTGAAAAAATTAATTATTGAATATGAGAATAGAATTGCTATGCTTTCACTTGAAATTTAAAGATTAAAAGCAAAAACAAATATTCTTGATAGAAATAATGGCTCACAAGGTAATTATGGTAGTAATGATAACATCAATATATAGTATAATAGTACAATGTTCTAATCAAATGAAGATTTGTCTAAAAAGATTACTGATTTATTGTGTTTAATTGCAATGATGTCAGCAGAATTGGATGTCTTAAGAAGTAACAACGAAAAACAAGTTTAACAATAAATAGTAAATTAATATAGACAAAACAATGATGTTACTAATGTGTAAACAATTCAATCAGTTGAAACTACATCAGGCTTCTCATATCAGAGAATATCTTCAAATAGAAAATATTGAAAATTATTTGCATTAAAATTTTAAAATCACATATAAATCTAACAACCATGCATATCTCTTTAAACTAAAGGGATAAGTATTTTTAAACGAACTTCAACAGACCATGGAAGATACATTTTATAATAATAATACCAATTCAATATGCATTTCGAAAGGTAGTGATAAAATGGTTTGAAAAACGGGTGAATAAGAATATTTTAGAATCTTTGACCATTACTATAATTCTTAATTATTATTACATTATGATGAGAATAATTTCTTGCGCAACTTATTTAGATTTTCTTTTTAATTTTTTATTTTAATTTCAAATTCAAATGTCCTTTCTTCAATATCCTCCTGATAAGAAAATATAGAATTACTAATTTAGCTTCAAGGCAAAAGTAGGAAAAGGAGCTTACGGAACTGTTTATGCAGGCAAGAATATGAATGACAGTAAAATCATTAATAATATTCAATTCAGATAAGATTGTAGCATTGAAAATCATCGATAAAAAAATCTTATAGACAGACTATGCCAATTAATTGATAGCATCAGAAATCGAGATCATGAAGCTGATAGAAGATAAAAATATTGTCAAATTAATTGATGTCTTGCAAAGTGTGAACAATACATATATCATCACTGAGTATTGTGATGGAGGGGATCTAAGGGAGTATTTAAAAAAAAGAAAGTATTAAATATTATTACAATTAGATTAATACCAGAAGTCGATGCCATTAACATATTTAGAGATCTGCTTCATGGCATCAAAGCCTTGTTAAAGATCGGTATCATTCATAGGGACATAAAGCCAGCAAATATCATGATTCATGATGGAGAGTTTAAAATTACTGATTTTGGTTTTGCTAAACAAGTTGATTCACACATAGATGCCATTATGAATTCTTTGGTAGGGACTCCTCTTTACATGAGTCCTCAGATTTTGAAAAGACAATCATATACATCGAAATGCGACATCTGGTCACTAGGTTTAATTTTATACGAAATGCTTTATGGGATCACCCCATGGCACTCTACAAATTTAGTTGAATTAATGGCCAAATTGGATTCCAAAGTATTTTATATTATATTATTTAAAGCCCTTAGAATTCCCCTGCTTTCCAAGGGTAAGCGATTAGACTAAGTAAATCATTCGAAGCTGTCTCTAAATAAATGAAGATAAAAGGATTTCGTGGGATGCTCTATTTGAATTAACAAGTACATAAGATTAAATCAACATACCCAATCAAAGTATGCTCCCCATAATTTAAAAACATCCCATTCAATACTAGAGTTAATAAAACTAATAAAATTAATAAACCAATTAAGTCTTAGAGAATATTGAAAAGGGACCACAGCAAAGAACTAAAATGAGAACTGAAAGCATGGGTAATTGTAATTTCACAAGTCGTCATAATAGAAGCTTAAGTAATGCCAATAATCACGATAAGGATAAATCAGACGAAAGATAAAAAACTAAATGCACTACTCCAAAATTATCATATCTGTAAAAAGTCACACCTCAAAGATAAACTACATCCATTACATCGGATTCTGAAAGAGATAGGAGTAATTCAATAATTAAGTTTGCGAATAAAAAACTCAGTCTCATGAAATACTTGGAAAATGCTCACACAACACCCTAGGAATAAAAAGATAATAATGAGTATAGTAAGTCTCCAAGCTATCTCTAGTCTAAGTCAACTAACACATCTAATAGACATATTATAGATTAAGAAAATTCATCAAACAAAACAAAAGTAACTGAATTTTAGATAGAAGAAAAGACGAAAGAACCCATTAATAATATTATTAATAATGGGTATTACAATTTTAATTAGAATTCTAAATTAAAACGAACTTTTAGCAACAATTTCAAGGAAAACAGCTTATCTCCTATAAATTAAAATCAACATGGAATATCGTAGTTATTAAAATTAATATAAAATCAATACGATCTAATCCCAAGTCATTTTGCAATTAAAAAATAGGTCGAATAAATTATTAGTCAGCATCGATCAATGATTTTGTAGGCGAAAGACTTTCATTATTCCTATGAAGATGCTAAGGAATTAAAGAAGATAATTAATAGATTAATTGATTACCTAAATGAGCATCCTAATGACAATTTTGCCATTTAGTTGTCAGTGATGCTATTGCTAATTCTAAATTATAATTAAGTTGTGAATTTCTGCATATAATAAAAGTCCAGTGAGTTGTCGAAAGCACTATTAGATTTAATAAAGAAAAACTAAAGTATCTAATAAAAATAATTAATTCTGAACCCAGCATTTTTAAGAGAAAATATAAATAAATAACTTTTATGACTTACTTGAGTTAATTATTATTTATTGTTTTTTTTTTGTAAAGATTATATCTCTAAAATGCTATAGAATCAATAAAGCTCAACAGAACATTCAAGTATTCAAAAACTGCAATAATTCTTGCAAGGATTGAATAAGTCAATTGTTAAGTAGGGTGTTTAAGCCAATTTGTAAACAATATCAAATAATTTGGATGCTGCAGCAAATGAAATAGGGTTCTTGTTGTAATAACGAGATTTGAATGAGTTTAGTCATATTGTAAATAAATTGTCATCAGTTTGGAAAGAATTATACAAAACTGTTTATAATAGTAAATTGGTTAATGAGTTTGACAATGAGCCAAGTGATTTTCAACAAAAAATGGAATTGATATCATAGACAAAGAAGTAAATGAAGGATGGGGTAGGAGAAATTGGTTAATTGGGAGGAGTGCGAGTATCAGCTTATCAGACTCCTTAGACAAAAAATATGATGAGATAGATGAGCAGACAATAAACTGGTTTGCCTTCCATTTCAGGATAACCTCAAACTGAATACAAGCATAAAACGAACTATGAAATTGATGATGATTAAAGGGAAATTTTGTAGGAAGTCTTGAGGTAGAGCAATAAGTTGAATATGTAAATAGTAATGAAACGATATGATCCAAAGATAACATTAATGGTAAGCTAAGGAACAGACACCAATTTAGATATCTAGGAGGCAATAAGAGGATTTAACAAAGATTATTTAGAGATTAAATTATCAGAAATTACAAAGGAAAACTTAAAGAATTTGGAGGAAATACAAAAGGCGATGTCGGAGAAGCATGAATTTACATAGGTAGGTGAATCATCTGCAACAGAAAAGTTAAAATCAATCTACAAGACTATTTACACTAAGACAACTGAAATGGATCAATTAATGGTTGAGGCTTCTAGATAAGAACCTTAAATTGTTTAGGATGTTTTGGATGAGTTCGTCCATCATATAACACACAATTATAAAGACATACAATCAGAAACATTTAAGATTGTTGCTAAGTTGTTTTAGTCATTGCAGCAGAAATAAAAATAAGATGAGCTATAGAAAAGTAGAAGTCTGTAAGTTTAGTAACCTCAGCATAAAAAAGATAAGTTAAGTTCGTCTAAGAGAGGTAATCAAAGTTCAGCTGATGAATCTCAAATAAGTGAAAAAATTAGGTAGGAATTAATTGAAAAGAAAATAGAAGTGGATAAGAAGAATCAAGAAATATCTGAATTACAGAATAAAGTGAGACAAACTGAAACTTAGTATATCTAAACAGCCTTAGAATTGGAGTCAATGAAGTTAAATGTTAGTAAGTCAGAATAAGATAAGGCACATTTAAATTATGAATTTAGGAAAATGGAAAAGCAACTTACTACTTTTAATTCCAAGACCTTTCAAGATTAAGCCATTTAATGTACTGATATTGGATAGTAAAATTTAATTTAAAAATTACAAAAAGACAATCAATAAATTCAATAAAAAGTGTATCAACTCAAAAGTGAATTAAATAAAATAAGTCCAAGTTCAGGGAGAGAATTAAAATACTAAAATACAGAATTTTAAGATAAAAGCGATGATTAGAACATTTAAAATTCATAGAATGGAACTCCTAGATTAACTAGTAGGTATAAATCTGCATATGATTTTGACAATTAATTGAATGAAGATGTTTATTCAATTGATTAGAGATTAGATTCCTCTTAGTAAATGTATAAAAATAGTGAAATATCTAACAAAGAAAGATTAGATGATATGGGATTCGAGAGATCACCAACTCATTCAAATACTATTAAAGCCGGTTAAAAAATGAAAAATAAATCTTCAGCTCAACTCGAATCAAGATAAACTAATAGTCCTAAATCTAATTCTGAAAGATCGGTTAAGGTGTCATTACAAGTAAGTTAAACGAATTTCAATCCAAAGAAAAAGAAATAAAAGTCTATTCTTAAAATAGAAGAAGAAGATTCCACTCTAAATTAATCTGCTGAATTGAAGAAACAAAAAATCAAACAGCAAGCTTTTTCTAATAAAGTCACTAGGAGATAAACTACTTTAGAAGTAGCCTCCAATGATTTTTTCTAAAATTAAAATTCAATTAAAGATCAAGATGAAACATAAGCGGCCACTAATTTTGAAACTTAAAGGACTCAATCTGGATAAGCCATAAATAAGCCTAAAAGAATTAAGTCAGTTGATAAAAAGAATAATATAAGTGGAAGGAGAATTCAAACTGAAGGGCAGGAATAATTATAAGAAAGCGATGATAGTCAATCAGAAAATGGCAATACTAAGGTTAAGTTTTCAAGAAGCACCACTTAAAAAGATTAAAAAAAACAAACACTTAAAAAGGGCTAGTAAATGACTTAGAGTAGAAATATTCAAACAAAGAAATCTGGAGACATTTAATTTATTGAAACTGTAGAAGAAATTCCCTCTAATATTACATCTTAATAAAATTTAGATAAATATAGTTAAAGACAATAAAATACTATTGAAGAGAATGATGGGTAGATTAGGCATAAAAATGATTATTTGAAGTATAATGGAAATTCTCCAATTAAAAGATCAAGCACTTCAGTTCCATAATAACTCCAAATGATTATCAAATTAAATGATGAGGATTAACAATAATTTACAACCTATTGGCATTAGAGTAAATATTATAAGAGTATTATTAGGACACATTGATTAAGAAACTTAAACTGAAAATTATTTGTTGATGTAATTACTATAAAGTACAATTACTCAATTAGATCTTCCTCTGAATGTCAAACAAAATATAGCTTAACAATTGCCAAAAAAACTAGAAACTGCTATTGCAATAGCACTGAATCAAAGTTAGATTATACATTAAACAGGGGGTTTAAGTTCAGATAATTTGTAGTAATTTGAATACAATTCTCCTTAAAGTTCTCGATAATCATAAGAATCATTTAGATAGAAATAGTTTAGAAATTAGAGAGGTCTTGATTCTCAAGGAAAATAAAAATAACAAACTTTATTAGATTTGAATTAATGTGAACCTCCTCAAACAAAAACAAGTTTGGATAGCAAGATTGGTTAATTAACTTAAAAGAACTCAGTAGAATTGCCAGGGTAAGGAAATTCTGAAAATAGCGATGGAATATTGAAATCAAAAGGAGAGTTAGATAAGTAGTTCTTAAAATAATAAGAATAAGTATTAAAATTGGAAGAGTTTCTGAGATCCGAAGATGAAGAGTTGGGATATGAAGAATTAGCAAGGTAAATAATAGCAAACGAGAATGGAGGTTAACCTTTAGAACAATTCAAACAAAATGATCTCTAATCAGAGAATTTTATGAAAAAACTCCATAATAGTATGACGAATCATAAAACAAGAGGAGCTGCTGCTATTTAGGAAATGTTAAAACGATTCTACAAAAAGAATTCGAAGGAACAAATTACTTTCCAAGAATTCAAAGGGTTTTACTAAAAGGTTTTCTCGGCTCATAAACAATGTGGTTTTAATATTGTGTGTAGTCATTTATAAAGATTTCTAATGAAGTTAGGATTTACTTGCTCCTTGTTTTCTAAACGAAAAGTAATGATGTAATTTATTTTAGCTATTGAAAACTTCGCTTTCAATACTTAAACCTTTCAATCCATTGCATGAAACGAAATAAAAATTAGTGAATCAATCAGCCACTAATTAGAGTTCAAGCAAATTTTAAACTAATTAACATTTTTCTGTTGATTAATGAATATTAATAACATTACAACTTACAAATTAATGATCAATCAAAGATTACTCCTTCCTATTCATTTATCTCTTATTAAATTCTACTAAAATGAATAAATATTTATTCAAGAGAACTAGCATATAATCAAATATAACCTTTCATTAATTTAGAAATCTTCGATGATCCCGTTTTATATTTATTTTTCAAAATATTAAAACGTTTTATAAAAGCTAAAACTTTAGTCATTTATTGAAAATGTCATAAATCCAGCTCTTTTATCATCCAATCTATTAATAGTAGGGAATTCTTTTTGAATTGAGTTTAAAATCTCCTCAACTTAATTTTCTTCCACACTACTAAACTTAACCGATATTTAATAACCTTTACTATATTTTCTAATTATTAATTATAAACTTACTATCTTAAATATTAAGGAGTTCCTAAACATTTGAATTAACCGGCTATCAAAATACCTATTCTTTAACTCAAACTTTCAGCCTCCTCTATAGTATGAGTAGTCATAATTGCAGAACAATTTCTCAATTAAATGTTTCTTTAGAGAGTATTAAATAAAAATCTTCTTGATATTGGATCCACACCAGTACTTGGTTCATCAAAGAATGTGATGTCACTTCCCCCAATCATAGCATCTGCAACGCACAATTTTCTTTTATTTCCTCCACTTAACTGTCCAGCTTTAGTTTTGACAAACAAATCAAGTTACATAGTCTTGATAAAATAATCAACTGCTTATTTTAAATCATCTCCTTCTAATCCCTTAACTCTACCAAACAAGAGTAAATGTTCAATTGGGGTTAAGTTTTCCCAAATGCAATCAAATTATGGACATATTCCGACGTGTTGCATAATGTCTTAATTTCTTTATTTAGGTTCAACACCATTAATTAATGCAACACCCTATGTTGGAGTATTAATGCCAGTGAACACATTAATAAGAGTGGATTTTCCAGCTCCATTTGGACCAATAATTCCAAATATTTCTCCTTTTTTAACCCCAAAAGTCAATTTCTAAAGTGTAGGCTTATCCTTGATATATTCCTTCTCCAAATATTTGCAAACTATAGGATCAGAGAGATTGCCTTTTTCTACTCTAACTCTCTCTTCAATAATTTCCTGTTCTAAATTCTCATTCCCTTTCTGCTTCCCCTCATTCACAACAGTAGGCAAAATCAAGCTCTTGGATTCAATTATGTATAAAACAAGAATTTAGAAACAGATTTATGCCAATAATATCAATTAGAATACGTACGTTCTTTATATTAATTAAGGTGTAGTGTATAGATTGAGTTCATACATTTTTTCAAAATTATCTGCTAAAAATGTACAAGCTTCAAAAAATGCATAAAATGGAGAAACAAGGACGAAAAGCACTTGGAATATATAAATTAGTTGTTCTGCAATAACACTATCAAACTTTTGATAAAAAAAGTCTATAAATGCTATTAGGATGAAAGGAACACAGAAATTCACAAAAAAGCAAAACATAGAGTACAGCTTTAATGCATTCTCCAAAGTCTTAAATAGAAATCCCATTAAATAAGCAAAAAGAATGTAGCTAAATCCAAAAAGTATATAACATGATAATCCAGCTCCGATGTATTTAAATGCAATTTCTAAATTTAGAATAGCCGATATTATGTAAAACAATGCCACAAAGCACAGATAAATAAGGTAATCAAATATTAATGTTCCAACCCAATATGGAAATGTTCTACAGCCCATGCCTATCAAAGCTTGCTTCAAATATGTTTCTTTCTCTAATACTGGCTATGTTATGTAAACAGTAGCATTAAAGCAAAATGCTAACACACTGCAACTACTCAATAAAGATATTTTGAAAAATTCAACTGCCTCTACTAAATTATTGGGATCCATATCTGCGAAAACGTTTTTTAATATTTTATCAAAATCTACTCCAGCAACAGTTGTCATTCCTAAAATAAAAGTGAGCATCGGAATTAGAATTGAGAAATAGTTAGTACTTGTTCTTATTACAGTATAATATCTCCTTAAAAATATTGCTAGTAATTATGAGCTTAGTTTATATTAAGGATCATTTTTAAGGCAATCTGGAATATTCTAATTGATTACTTTTTCCTCTGTGAATTCCTGAATAATTGGAAGACTATGAAAATCTTCATTTTCAACTAAATTGCTTGTGTCCTCATCGTTTTCAGCTGGAATACCCATACTTTATTTGACATATTTAATTTCACTCTTTCTTACGTAATTCAAATGAATTTTTTCATCTTCCAATCCAATTTTAACAAAAGCATCTTCTAAAGTTTTCATCTCTAATCCAATTTTAACATTTAAGGACTCCAAATTATAAAATAAATTTCCCAGTTTTCCTTTGGAAGCAAAAGGAATATTAAATACTAATTTATTTTCATTTGAATGCTGAGTCTCTAAAAAACAATTAGGTATCATCTCATTAACTTTATCATATATTTGATTTCTTAAATTATTGTTATCAAAAGATAATTTCAAATTATACCCTTCACCAAATTTCCTTTTAATATAATCTGATGATCCTACAGCAAGCAATTGTCCTTTTGACATTATCCCAATTCTATTGGCTAATAATTCTGCTTCATCTAAATGATGTGTAGTTAAAATAATAGTTCTTTTGTCTTCTCTAATCCTTTCCAGTATATTCCATATTGCCCTTCGAGAATAAGCATCCATACCAGATGTGGGTTCATCCAAGAATATTATTTTTGAATCTCCAACTAAACTCATTGCCAAAGATAATTTTCTTTTCGATCCTCCAGATAACTCTGAAATCATTTTATTCTGTTCTTCGAATAACTCAGTCTTCTACAAAATTTGTATTATTTCTTCTTTATTTAATCTACCTTTGATTCCACTAATAAATTCCAAATGTTCTCTTACAGTTAGATCGTTATAAAGACAATCTTTTTAAGTGCATAATCCCAATGATTTTCTGATTCTTTCCAATTATGTGTCTAGATTCATTCCATACATACTAACAGATCCAGATGTTTTTGAAATCATACCTGTCAATACACTGATTGCAGTTGTCTTACCTGCTCCATTATGTCCAAGTAAACAAAATATCTAAGATTCGTAGAGATGCAAACTAATATTATCGACAGCATTAAGATCCCCGAATTTCTTGAGAAGATTCTTTATTATTATGCTTGGAGGACTAGCCATTTTTACATCTTCATTATACATGGCAGAACTACTTTCTGAATCATTTTCATTTAATTACAAAAATACATTAGTTGACTTATCTTGAATTTTAGTTTTTTTCTGATTAGAAATGTTTAAAAAAAATAATGGATGTTTAGCAATTCCATATTCATTTGGAATAACTTATTCAAAATATATAAATAGTATGAAATAGACTACAAGTTGAATTGCTTATTAAATGCCTGCCTATGCTGTTGAATAAGTATCACTAATGATTTCTGTTGGAAATAAATTTAATTTTGTTAAGTCGGCTCCAATTTCTGAGTTCATAGAAGAAATGTATGAAAATGCTATTCCACATTATGGACTTATTATTGTCATGATGATGTAAAATGCTATTTTATTGGCTACATTTTCGACAAATGAAAAATAAATAAAAAAAGTAAAGGCAATTTATAAAAATGATTACATTTCACCTGCAATTTTAACTTCATTAAATAAACTGGATAACAGCAAATTCTAATTCATAGCCTAAACTTAGTAACAAATTTTTACTGCATATGCAAATAAAACATAAGGCCACAACATATCACTAAATGATACATGAAATTCTTCGTCCCAATTTATACTAAAAATTGCATTGCATATCAACCAGCAGACTTCAAAGATAATCACCGACTAGAATATAGATTCAATAGCATTACTATTCCAACCCTTATGTATCCTGTCAGAATCCATCCAATCGTATATGCCTTTTCACTCATTCCCATAATCTACGGTTATTATAAGGACTTACTTTCTAAAGTTCTTTGTACCTTTTGCTTTTCTCTTCAACTAATTTTATTAACATTGACCTCTATGTTGAAGTCAAAGCAATACTGTAGAGTAAGGGCATCAACTATTAAATAGCCTGCAATTAAGCTAAATTGAATATTGATTCTCAAGGTACCTTTTAGTGATAGCATTCCAGCCACAACAATAGGTAAAATAGATTCTATCAAGAACTCTTTATTTCTAAGACTCACAAGCAGATTTTTTTTAATGACAAAGCCTATTTATTCGCATGTGCTCATAATTATAAAATAGACTTTTAGATTTTCTTAATTTTATTTAATATATTTAAGAATTACAATTTTTATGCCTATTTATATGATTATAATAAAAACTAGGCAAACATTTTCATTCAATCAATTTGTTTCTCTGTTAATTCAGACTTAATTATTAGAGCAATTTTTATTAAAAAATTAAAACACAATATTAAAGAAGTCTAATATTAGAATAAAATAATTCTAATAAATAGTATTATACCATAAATAGGTGAAAATATAATACTTAAAATGATTTAGTATAAAGTACAGTCATTGAGTTCAGCGAATATCAATTATTCATTTATTAATGATTTTCTGTTATTTTTTGTGCAGTGATCATAAAAGAATTAGAATATTTGAAATACTTAAAAATGCCCATGGCTTTTAGAATAGATAGTATGACATCTCGAAATTTTATATAAAATAGAATGTCCTTAAATTATTATAAAATTAGAAATTGTTTTTCCAAAATATTATTGACATCTGAGGAGAATAAATGTCCCAAATAATTAACTTAAAGTGATGATATATAGGCATAATTGGTGAATCCCTTCATTTAATATCTTTTATTGAGATAGACTATTTTGACCCGTTTATGGTTCATTAATTATATGTAATATTATTTAAAATTTATTTCTATTTAGTTAGAACAATGATAACATATAAACTTATGGGGCATCAAAAGACTGGAAAATACTCTATGGTGTTACTGTAGCTTCTTTTTATCTTGACTTTATTGTGATCAGTCTAAACTGGCTTAACATGCTAACAATCCAAAGAGATAACTTCTTTTGCCATCATCATTAAACAACATTTATACTATTAAGTTAAGAATTTATTCACCTCCTCTTACCTATCTGTAGGAAGCCTACAAGAAGATTAATAATTCACATCATCCTAATAATTAATTATGCTGGAAGCTGGATTGTTGTTAATATTATTCTTCTGGGAAGGATTCTTTTTGTATACCTTAGAAGAGTTCAATACTTTCTCAAATTCAAAGACACTAAACTACTACTGATCATCAGAAGTAGCAAATGATTAAAGATTATGTTGAATTTAATCTTTATGCTTTAGATAAAATTCCTTGTAAAATGAGAACTATTAATAGATACTGGACCATTTTTCTTCATACATTTGATTGGATTTGATCAAGGTTTCATTTACATTTTACAATTCCATCATTTGAAGGTTCAACTCTGTTAATTATAAGTCCAGCTGTTAATTCAAGACTAACTGGGCATGATATTTATTTTTTGTTCTCAGTAATTCATCTTATAACCTAAATAATTGGATTGTAAAATTACATATAAATTTTCTATTCAACTCCTTCATTTGCCAATTTATTGGCAAGTAACTACATCCTTTTGATATTGAATTATTATATTTGTTATGCCTTAGTTAAGTCTAGTTTAGGTATGTATTTTTCAGGTTCTTGTTTAAGATCTTTTGGTAACTGTGACTTTTATTGTCTTTTTACTTTCTGCGGCAATGTTGGAGAGAAAAGTGGAGAAAAGACTGCTGATTATTGCATATGCATCTTTTCATCTTATGAATCATCATCGAAAAATAATCTCTTTTACACTAGAAATTGAAATTGAATACTTACATTAGACTAAATTATTAATGAATTTTGATGGATCTTCATTTTGACTAACTAGGTAAAATTAATTATAATAAATACAAAATGTTTTTGTTTGATTTCTAGGGGTGAATCTTTGGGTTCTCATTTTTAGAATTTCATTTGATAAACTAAAATTTAATTGTGCTAGATCATTTTTTTATTCAATTAATTCTTCTATTTGTAATTTCTATTTCAATAGCATCGAATTCATCTATTAAATTACATTATTAAAATTCAATGTCAATTGTTCTGGTTGAGCCAACTAAGGAAAAATAATTGTGATAACTACATGTTTTTCTAAATAAATCGTCCCCATCATTTCATTTGACATTTAGACCTATTCATTTAACTTCTTTTTTAATTCAGTGATTGTTTTGTTTAAACTATTAATCAATGAAGATTCTACTCTCTAGTTTGATTCATTGATTTGCTCAGAAATAAAGGCCTAGAAACGCATACAGTAATTAGTTTACTTTATCAAAAGCTAGATTTCTTTCATCGCTTAACTATTCTATTTTTTTCATTAAGACCACGTTTTCCTCTTAGACAAATTTAAGTAACACTAATGCAGCCTTACATTCTGAACTTTAGTCAAATTATGATGGATTATAGCAAATTTTTAATTATTCCTTATTCAATCGTATTAGATCTTTGGCATCTGAAAGTTGTTGTTTCATTGAATCTAATTCATTCTAAAGGTACCTGCATTGAGTTTTCCATTTTTCAATTTCCATGTTTATAAATATAATTTAAATTAAATTTTTATATTTCAATTTTCATTATTAATAATTGTTTGTTTTTATTCTCATTATCTTAATATGATTTCATCTTAAAATTTCGAAAGCGACCCTTATACACTAATTATAACTAAAAGATAAATATTTGGTTCTGAGAATGAATCTAATTTGCATAAAATAAATAAATAGCATTCTCTGATGAATTAAGAAGATAATTTAAGTCAAGAGAAGTAATAATTTCATTATATGATTTTAGCAAACACTTGAATTTTATAGAGCTGATTTAATCAAGAAGTTCTATGATTCCAACAGTTAAAGTGGTATCACCTGAAAATGAATAGATTTTGTAAAATGAGGATGGGTTTTATTTCTAATCTAGTTTGCATCTCAACGAGGGGTAAGATCATTGTGTTAATAGAGAGTTTGAATCCAACTTGGCAGAAGGGAGGATTGAAAATAATCAATTACGTTGCGAAGTTCATGTACCAACTGAAAACTAAAGCAGACAAACTAAAGATTAAGCTTATGAATTATGAGATATTTATGAAATTAGGGGATAAAAGTGGTGATTTTTAAAATTTTAAGAAAGGCAATCAGAAATAAAAATTAAATAATTTAATTCATCTAATTTTTAATAAGATGATTTTCTAAATTATTTAAATATGGAATTTAATCAGCCAAAGTTTAAATAAAATAGCCATTATCTATCCTGAAAGTACTTTCAAGATTATTTGGGATTCCGTTGTGGTATGTTTCATAGTTATTAACATATTTTTCATCCCTATGAGTTTGAGTTTTGAATTGGACAAATCTAGTTAAATATCCACCCTATTATTTGAAACTATCCCCAGTTACATTTTTATTGTTGAAATCCTTCTGAACTTTAACACTGCTTATTATAGTTAAGGCATTATTCATACCAATAGGAGCCAAATCTTTTTCCATTATTTATCTAATAATTTCATTTGGGATTTACTAATAGCAATACCATTTATTTTAGCCTAATTTAATATACCTTACATTCAATTTATTTTGCTATTGCGGATAGCACGAGTGAGATCTATGATATAAAATGTGGAAGATCTATTAAATGCCAAAGAAGAGGTTTAGGCTGTAATTGAATTAGGAAAACTCGTATACTTTTTAGTTTTAGTTGCTCATATGTGTAGTTGTGGATGGCATCTATTGGGTAGAATTGAGTATGAGGTTTATTAGGATGAAAATAGTTGGCTCATCTATTATGGTCATTATGATTAGTAGTGGTATGATAGATATATAGTCTCATTGTATTGGAGTGTTATAACAACATTGACAGTGGGCTACGGAGATATTGTACCGCAAACTACAATTGAAAGACTGTATGTAGTTATAGTAGCTATGGTATTATGCGGAGTGTTTGGTTATATTATTTCCATGATCGGAGAAATCTTAAAGACTTTGGGAGAGAAGAAAGCTTTATTGAAAAGATCTATGAAAAAAGTCAACTAATACATCAAATAGAAGCAATTAAATATCTAATTATCACTTAAAATTAGAAAGTATTTTGAATTTAAACATCAAATCGATGAATAATTATAAGAGTAGGACGATTCTGTCTTAAATAAATTAAGTGGATCATTAAAATAGGAAGTACTGATTGATATCTACAAACCAATTCTAATGAAATCGAAATTCCTAAAGGAGAATATCCCAGATTATCTAATAAATAATTTATGCTAAAGGATTAAACAGGCAACATTTGCCCCAGGGTTTGATATAGTCAATGTGTATGATCCAGCTACAAAGTTGATATTCATTTTAGATGGCCAAGTTAATAGTTACTTTATTTCTAAAGGATTTGATGCTTTATAGAGAAATGAAAAGGAAAGTAACTCTGGGATGATGCAACGCAATTATTAAAGAGGTGATATCATAGGAGAATTAGAATTTATTATCAATTCATCCTATCAATTTTACTTTAAGGCACAAACGGTTTTATCTATTGTATATATTGAAAGAAGTGACTTCTTATAAGTTATCTAAGAAAATGAAGAATGTAGATAAAAATTTCATCAATTAAGGGAAAAGTTAACCTATCAAAAAACGTATGGTAGAACTTGCGATGTTTGCAAATGGACTCATAGATATAAGGATTGTCCATTTGTATTCTATCAAACAAATATTTATAAAATAGCAAGAAATGCAAATATAAGTTAAAATCACTAAAGACTTAAATTTGATAGGCCGAGAGATACGAGAAAAAAACAAACTAACAATGATCATTACAATATATTAAATTAAAGTATTGACTTTATTATAAATAATGGATACTTAAATGAAGAGTAAATATTTTTATAAAGTATTTTAGTTAATTAAATGAATCCTATCTCATTAAACTAGGATTTGATATCTAAGAAGGCTTTTATGAAAAATCTATATAATCTCAAGAGAGCTAGTCCTAAGAGTCTCATTAATAGGATAATCATTCTGTAGCCCAAAGGAAATGTTCATCTCAAATTGAAAAAGTGAGAGCAAGCTTAAAGAATTAAAAACTAAAATCAGGATTAGGTTAAAATCAAAATTTGACTAGAAATTAAAATTTCGATGATGATTCAAATGGAACATAGTACAATCCGTATTTCTAACTCTAACGTAAGACTGAAAATGAAATTCAAATTGAACCTAAAGAATCTTCCAATTCAAACCCATTTTCCAACCATCGTAATCTAACCAATAATACAATAAAGCAGAATCACAATCTCCATTCTTAAGGAAATTTAAAATCTTCAGTTGCAAATCACATAGCAAGAACAGAAACTTCCATGGCCAAAAAGTCCCTTATAAGTTAATAAAAGCCCATTCATCAATCTTTGAAAATAAACAACAATAATAATAATCTAGAAAATGATACTGAAAAGAGCCAATAGCAACATTAATTATAACCTGGTGGAACCATTTATTATATTCCAGAACTAGAGTTTGATAAAATGAAAAATTATGACTTCTATTTTCCACAGTTTAATGTTGTGAATATTTTAGAGTCTTTGAAAAAATATCGCGTTAATTAATTTAACGAGATCAAAAAGAAAAATATTAAGGAAAAATTAAAGTCAATCAGATAAAACAAAACTATGAGCAAATGCTTTAATTCATCATTCAGAAATGTAGATGAAAGTACTTGACATTATTTCTCATTTAATGTGATTTATTATAATATTCAGAAATCATTCAAAATCACCTGAATGTTCATTTCTAATAAAGTTACAGGGTATTTCCAATCAAATCTTTCAAGTACTTCTGGGTGGACAACTCCCAAACCTCCTATCGTTTAATCTTTATAAACAATTTATGCTTATAATTAATGGAAGAATAAAGGATCTAAATTCAATCTAAATTTTACCATTTGATTATTTCAAGTGATAATCTGTCTTTTTGACTCTTAGTTTTATCATTAATTAATCTAACAAACCGTGTAAAATCTCTAACTCCGTTTTTTTACTGCTTGAATGAATAGCAACCAAATTTCTTTAATTATGAGCTCCCACTTATCCTTCTCCTTTTTAGAATCCATCCTTCTCTGATTTCTATCCTTTCACACAAACATCTGAAACTTCAAATAATTTGATTGGCAATTTGCTATCTGAATTAGCTTATAAAGTGTGCAATATTCCAGGAATGAGAGTTGATCTCACAGATTAAAATTATGGAGTTTTAGAATTGTTGAGAGACACGTAATTTTACAGGTTTGGTCTATTTAACATCTTAGTTTATTCATCAATTGACATTAACACGAAATTCAAACATTCTACAAAACCACATAAGGCCACTTCTTCTCTCACCATATCTGATAATTTATTTAATCTATATTCTGATCCAGTTGTTGCAGTCTCTGGTACTCTAAACTCTATTTTATTGTAATCATAAGCAATTCCGATTTCTTCAGCAATATCGCATTATTAAAGGATATCACTTCTATAGAATGGCACTAAACAATCCAAAACACTTTCATCTTTAGCGACAGCTTTTATACCCATTATTGACAACCGCTCACATGCTTATTGCGTTGCTTAAATTATTATTTTTTTATGTACTTATATGTATTCCTAAGACTTTATTAATATATTAAATATTTGTTGTTAAGATTCTTTCATCTACGACAGGTGTAACAACTTATTTCTTGCTTAATTCATAGACAATATTGACTTTTTCAATATTTAATTTTTGATTGTAAATAGCGAATCCACTAATCAAGCAATTTAACGTGTGTAAAGCCCGTTATTCATCTATTGCTGTGACTTCAATCAATATATTTTTAGTTTCTGCTGACATTTTTGAATGCTCTCCGTTAATAATTGGTGGCAATGAACATACTCTCTTTTTATTATCATAAATAACAGGGTAAACAGGAGAATTCTCGATTATCTTTAAATAACCCTTTAAGTATTAATCTTCCTATTATTGATAAGGAATATCATTACTCTTAATTTGCTAAATAAATCAATGCAATTCATAGATTCAGTTTATTTTAGCGCTTAGAATACAATATCTTAAGGTGGTTATGCATCATAAAAGAAAGGTCCTTCTATCTTATCTAAATCATGAGTTCCTATGGAAACTAAAGTTCTTTTTCTAGCGTAATTTTGATGAATTTTATCTTGAAATGATAAAAAGGATTTAAAACTATCTTCTGTTAGAGTAACATCTCTCAATATTGCTCCAACAACAAACGGTCTAATCTATTGTGTCTATAAACAATTGATAATATAATTTACTGCAGCTTTCACATAAATTGTTTCTTTAGCAGGAGTAAAATTATAGACTCTTTATTTTTCCAATCCCTAATATACTCTTAATGCATGCACTAAATTTTCTATGCATAATAAATCAGGTCTATTGGCTGCAATTTCAAAATATAATATATCTGGTTCTTCCTCTCTTTCTTCAGCTTCTATACCGAATCTGAAAACTAACTCTTCCAATTCTTCTTCATTTAATTCCTATCCCAAAAGCTTAAAGAAAAGTTTTTTGTCAGATGATATTTTAGGCATAATTAAAATTTTATATATTTTATGGCAAACTTTTCGATCGTAAAATTCAAATATTACTTTTCTCAATCAGTTGAATCATTCCTTAGACCGCTTGCTATTTCACTAAATTAATCCATTAAGCTATTTAATTTCAATAGTTTGAACTATTTATTAATTACCATCATATTGCTATTTTAACTACAGCATTAATCTTTACTTCTTATATGCAAACTGTTTTTATCAATAACAAAACAAATATTATATCAGGTCGAGTTGAGCATTTAATCCAAATTAAAATATCAATATTATTTGTGTAGAAAAAGTATTGAACTTCTTGTTGAGAATTTAATAAGGCATAGATTAATAATAAAAATGACTAATTCTATATTTTATTTCGCCTTAAAGCATAGATATATATTTAAAGTCATAATTAACTATATAATTTAAATATTTAATGAAATTAAGTTAAAAATTAATAAAATAAAACTAAAATTGATAACAAAATAATATGATTCTTTCAATGATATTGATTTTTTTATTGTTGTTAGAATCTTAAATCATAATTTTTGCTTTTGATAAGCTACTAAGAGCTTGTACGCCTATGATCTGGAAATTCATTAATTTAAAAAGGAGCATTTTACACTTCCATAGGTTTTGGTTTTTAAGAATTATGTACTCCAATATTGTTTTATTAGAAGTTCTAAAATCCTCCATGAATCGAATAAGGTCCACCCATTCCAGAATAAATTTGGCTATTTTCTGTTTATTCTATCTAATTGCTCTGATTATTTGGTACTTCTTAGTTCCACGAATATTATTATTTTAAGGTTTGTTTAAACTGAAGATTTTGGATTTCAGCCTCTAAACTCCTGATTCTAGATTCCATCTAAAATAATTGTTCCTAAAAATATTAAAATTCATATACCTTTTCCCTTGCTAAATCATTTTCTAATTAATTATTTTTTTCTTAAAGCATACTGTTTTATAAATGCAAGTTTTAAACTTCTCTATCTTTGGCATTGTTTTCAGAATCATATTTCATTTAAATTGCATCAAATTCCCTTTATTTCAAATCATTTTAATTTTATGTCCTATGCAATTCATCCATTAAATTTTTCACTTCTTAATTTAATTGCTGCTTCTCTTGTTCTAACCTTCCTTGATTTTGTACGGCAATGTTGTTTTACTCCTACTATTATTATAAATCTACAATATAACTATTGACTTCTACCTCTTTCTAATTAATTACATTTCTTTTCATACAGTAACAGATCATCATGCATTTCTTTCATTTTCTATAATGTTATTGCTCTCTCATTTCTGAATTAGACTTCATTTTCTTAAGCACCTTTTAATTGGCTTTGCAGATGCACATATTCATTTTCTAATTGAAGTAATGCAACTTCTCTTTTCTTTATTTCTTATTCTAATGATAATCCATAGTTTTTCCATCTATCAAGGGTTCCTTTTAAATCTGCAGATTATATTTGTGATTTAGATAAACTATCTTCAATCGATCTTTCAAGCTGATAACATTTATTTTGTAACATTTGGTTTTATGTATTTAATTGATTAACTTATTCTTTCATCTTCCACATATCCTATTCTTATGATTAACTTTTGAGAGCTAACTTTTGATACTCATTCTTTCCTGTTTATATAGTCATTACATACTGGTCAATCTGTCTTTATTCTAAAATTTATATCAAAAATTACAGTCTGAAATTTATTATTGCATCTATCTTAATTTATTTTCATTCTATAAATTTACATTCTATGCATTTTGTAGCTCTTTTTCTTTTTATTGAAGCTGGAGGATTTAATTTTTTAATTGATCATTCTAAAAATTGAGGTTTTAGATATTTTTCTATAGATTATTTATCTAATCCTTGGATCCCTAATTTAGCTGATTGATTTTTTAAATTAACACTTAATTTTATTCTTATTGGTTTGTAAATTCTTTATTGATCATATCTAATGCTTATTTCATCTTTCGATTATCGTTTAAGAGCGAATCGTTTTTTTAACTTTGTGCATCGTTATTTTATGTTAACTCTTTAAGCTGGGCCTTGAATTTCTCAATAGTATCTTTTTGTGTCTAAATCTCACTATCCTGAAATGAATTTTATCTTTTTTGTTCTTAAACCTGTTTATTAGCCATTGCAAGCTGCTACTCTAAATCAGAGATCTAAATTTCAAGTCCTTTATTTAGTTCCACTTGCTTTTTTAATTTTTATAAATCTAAAAGCTGATATTGATCATCCTAAATTGTATTCATTAATCTCTTATTTTCATTTTTTAACTGAAACATTTGATCCCTAGAATATTTATATATATCATACTATAATCCTTATATTTCCGTATTATTAATCTTATCCCTATTACTTAATTGAAGACTATTATACTCAGATTTTATACTTATCGTTTTTCAACTTTTAGTTATCTTACTCTAAGGTTCTCCACTAATATCTAATTACTGTTTGTAGCATACCTCAATGTTTCATTATCTTTCGTTAATCTTTGAATCTATTCTTCGTTTTCTTATTCTTTCATTGTTTATTACCCAATTAAAGGGTAATTGAATTGTGGATATTGTTAAACTTAAGGAATGTTTTAAGAATAACCATAACTAGATGGTATAAATTGCTTACTTATTTGTTTGCGAAGATCTTCTTGGAACAAACCTAAAGTTTAATCATAAATGGAATACTCATTGTTATCTATGTTTTTAACATTTTATCCATTTTATAAATTAGAAGTTCCTAATTATCGATTAGAACTTGGTTTGCTCCTTTCTTGATTTGAAATTTGAGCTTAAGAATTTGTTTCGAATTAGCTCATTTAGTACTTATAGAAATATTTTTTATAAACAAAATTACTTTAAGAATACTTTATGATATCATATAATTTTATTGTATTAACGTTAATATGAATAAAGAAATGGCTCGGCTCTTATAAATTAAAAGCATCTAATGCAATAATACAATTCATTTAATTTAATTATATTTCATTCTTAAGATTTATAATGATATTGACAATCATAAAAACTCAATACAAAATGACATTCGATATAATTTTACAGTTATTAAAGTAAATGTAATTCATTAAAATAATAATCTCAAATCTTTATCGTTATCTATAAATTATTTTATACAACTGGAGCACAATTAAGAACTTCAATGCATTTCTATTTTGTTGTAATGTATAAATTATATAAATTCAAAATACAGATTAAAAAAATATTTTATTTTAAGATTAGAGCTATTGTTCAATAGAAAGTCTTTTAGAGTTTATATTTAATTTGCTTATTAAGAAATTGCTTGAAAAATTTGATCTACTCTATAATAAATTATTATTTTTAGTGTTATTAATTTTTAGTTTTAGCACTTCGATGAATTGATTTAAATCTTTCGGTGAATTATTTCCTAAAAGTTGAGGTTTACTGGATGATGTTTTTAATTACAATACTCGATCAATCTCTTTAAATGGCGAGGGAGATGCTTTGAATTTCTTATTAGAACTCAGTTCTTTATAATTTGAAAAATTTAACTTTTTCTAATACCTATTTGATTAAATCGAATTGTCCTGATCAAAAAACTCAAGTATTTAATAGTTCAATTCTGATACCTTATTAGCAATTTCTTAAAACAAATGATATTGTTATTTTAAAGGCGATTATATAATTTGACAGTTAGAATGAGATTTGAGAAGCTCTTTATTTTTTTAAATTTCTTACAACTGCAACCTCAGTTCATATTCTTGTTCTTATAAATAGCGATTTCCTTTGTCCGCAACTTTTTTCAGAGTCTCCTTAATAGATTACATTAATTATTCTTAGTAACGTTGCACATTTTTTTGGAATTGCTTATAGTCATCTCTCAAATTCAACAATCTCTTTATGATTGTTTATTCCTTAAATGATAAATAATCGATTTGTTCTTTTTAATCAAAATGATCTGCATAATTCAATTATTCTTTTTAGGGTGAGATAAATGTTGGTGATTAAGCTTTATGTATTTTTGTTTCTACTTGTCTAAGTAGTTCTTAAGAGTCAATAGATAATCTAGATTCATCTTTCGATTTTGAAAACTCAAAATATTTATCCATACTGTATTTATATAAAAAAATAATGAAAAAGTAGTAAATAAAATATTCATTACTCAAAATCCTACAATTAGCAAAAGCTATCTTAATGTACTTTTAAGAGTATTATAATTTCTTATTAATTATTTTACTCTATTTCATTTTCATTTAAAAAATAAGAACGTTATTCTCATTATTATATACTTTTAAGCTTTATTTCAGGATAAATATTATATGTTAAGTTCATATTAATAAAGAGCTTTGCTAGCAATTAAATAAAAAATATTTCTAAAAATAGATTGACTTTGTGAACATAATAATATTCTATTTTTTTGCATGTAAATATTGACTAGAAGGACCATAATAACTAATTATTGATGATGCAATATATAAACCAATACTTCAAAGGAGATTCTAAATTCTGAAATTCTGAATTAAGTATTCAAATATAAAAATAATGATGGTTGAGCTATCGGAGATGAGTTATCGCTAAGAAGATCGTATATTGGTATTCTTTTGAAAATTTGATATATATTGGTTTGAGCGATGTTCAAATGAATTAAATTCAAAAAATATAATAAATTAATGGGACAATTATGTATTGAGAAACCAAAACAAAAACACTCTGAAGATAATTTACATGAACTTAATCCATAAACATAAAAGTAACCATAAACATAAGAATCCTCTCTTTAAAATCCCAATTTGACAGAATAAGAAGTAAAAGAAAAAACTCAAGTTAAATTACTCGATTCTGTAAACACTCATTAAAACTAATCTATTCATGATGTTTATAAATTACTCTCTCCTCCGTTAGGGAGTGGTAAAGCTAATATTAATTTCAGGGTCGTATGCTGAAGTGCGTAAAGGTGTTCACAAGGTGTTAGGTATTACTAGAGCAATTAAAATCATATCCAAAACAGAGGCCACCAACGAAGAGGTATCTAGAGTCTTACATGAAGCAGAAATACTTAAACAATTGGTATGAAATATGTAATTTTAGGATCACCCTAATATAGTAAAAATTCTAGAGATTTACTAAAATGCTCAATAAATTTTCATTGTAACTGAATTATGCACAGGAGGTGAGTTATTTGATGCGATAGTGGAATCTCAACAATTCTCAGAGAAAGATGCAGCTAAGTTAATGAAATAGGTATTACAAGGATTAAACTACTGTCATCAACATAAAATAGTACATAGAGATATCAAACCTGAAAATATCGTCTTCGAAAGCAAGGATAAAAAAGGAACAATTAAAATCATAGACTTTGGAACCTCAAGAGTATTTGATCCTCATCAAAAGATGAATCAAAAGATAGGAACTGTAAATCATTATATTTTTCTTTAGCCTTATTATATAGCACCAGAAGTATTAAAAAAAAAATACGATGAAAAGTGTGACATTTGGTCATGTGGAGTCTTAACTTATATTTTATTATGCGGTTATCCTCCATTTAATGGGAAATCCGAAGCAAAGATTTTAGAAAAGGTTGAATAAGGAAAATATGATTTTAATTCAGAGGAATGGGATATCATCACAGAGGAAGCAAAAGATTTTATTTCGAAATTGATGGAAAAGGATCCTTTCAAAAGATACAATGCAGAATAAGCACTCAAACATCCATGGATTACATAATAAAATGAGGATGTCTAAAACGAATTGCCATAAATTGACAGGGCCCTAAAGAACATGAAAACATTTAAAGTAATTCATCCTTAATATATTATTAGTCGACTAAATAACTCCAATCTGCAATTTATCAATACATTGTGAATTAATTTTCAACTTAGGAAGATAAGTCAGAACTTTTGAAAACTTTTAAAGCTCTGGATACAAATAATGATGGCTAATTAAGTCGACAAGAACTTTTAATTGGGTTAAGGAAGGTTATGAATGAAAATGAAGCTGTGGAGGAAGTTGAGAGAATCATGAGGGATATTGATTAAAATAATTCAGGAACTATAGATTATTCTGAATTTGTTGCTGCTTCTATAAACAGATCAAAGTTATTATCTCAGGATCGTCTTGCTAAGACATTTAAGGCTATTGATAAAGTTTATATATCAACTTATTTTAGGACGGTAATGGTTCAATAAGTATTGATGAATTGAAATTAATATTTGGTAATGGGTTAGTTCCAGATTAGATTTGGAAATAAATCATCCATGAAGTAAATGATAAAGAGGAGATAACTTTTTAAGACTTTTCAGAATTAATGCTAAATTTGGCATTTTGAATATTTGTGCTGTTATCATTAATATTATATTAAAAATATTAAAATTTTATGGTAGAAGAAATTTCGAAATTTCAGATGAATAATTAGATATATGAATCAAATCATTAACTCAAATCAGAATCACCAGCAGCAACTCTCATAGCAATGTATTCTTTTAAGTCTCTCATGTTGGAGTTCAAATGTCCGATCAAGTCAGAAACAGTTTATCTGTCTCCATCTCTTGCGGTTCTTCTTTATTAGTATTCATAAGCAGCTTATTAGCATTCTGCTCTTCTGTCATCTCTTTATTAGGTCTTGGCTTCAAGTCTGGCAGCATTGTCATCTTATGAGCTGTGAGTGGCAGCAAGTTGGTCGGCCAATGATTAGATTTCAGCTTCCAAATTAGCAATTGCAGAGTTAAGCTTGTTCATGTCTCTGTTCAAGAGGGTATTGTAGGCTTCATAAGCTTATCTTCTAGCATCTTCAGTCTTTCTGGCTAAATCGAAGGCTTAGTTCAATTAGTTTTATAAGTCATCGATCAATTGGATGATTCTTCCTGTTAACTCTTAATTGGCATATTATTAAGATTTGGAAGCTAATGTAGCCATAAGTTTGATGGCTTTTCCGAAAGTTCTAATGTGTTTCATTTATCCGGCTTTGTGAGCAGCAGCATTTAAATGGGTAGCAACTTAAGCAAAGACTTATGGGGTATAGTGAACAGCTTCACTTGCTCCCTTTTATAAGAAAGCTGGGGCTTATAAATTGTCAGTGAAGAGTCTTCTAGCTTCAGCAAGAACACCTGAGACAAATGTGAATTCTTCTCTTTAAGCTTCAAAATCATCGTTTTATTCTTATCTCTTGGCTTAAGCTTCATCGATAACCTTTTAGAGGAGAGCCTTTTCAGCTAATTTGGCAACTCTTTATCCGACCTTTTAGTCATGGACTGGTTGGAGTTCATCGATTTTGGCTTATAATTCTGTGTCTCTTTATTCAAGATTGGCGATTTCTTAGTTAAGACCAGCAAGATCAGCATCACAAACACCTTAGAAGGCTTTGTTTTCAGCATCATCTTCTCTTTAATCATTTTGATATCTCTCTTCCAAATCATAAAGTGTTGAGAAAATTCTTTCTAATGGTTCTCCTGTTTGCATTTGGATAGCAATTGTTTTCAACAATGTCTTTCCGAGTTTGGATTGTTCGAGTTTCTCAAAAGCAGCTAAATTAGTAGCGAAGGCTGTTGCAACCAAAACTAACAAAATTATGGATTTCATTTAATTATACTTTTCTTTTCTTTAACTTAGTGATTTTAAACCGCATATTAAAGGAAAAACGAATTTCTCCTTTAAACTAACGTATTTAATAATTAGGAAATTAATAATTCCTTTGTTGAAGAGTTAATTAATAATATATTAAATTATATAACATATATTTAATGTAACTAATCTAAGCAACTTACCTCTAGTTGTTTCATAAAAACTTCAAACAACTATCTTATCTATTAAATAACCCATTCTAAAAGGATTTTCATTAATATGTTATTACTCTTCTCATTAGCACTTTATGCTTCTCATACTCTGCTAACTCTATTGGAACTGATATTTATGCACATTGGCATCTCGAAATTACTTTGATAAATGAGAAAAATGAAAAATGTAATTATGTTATGAATTATTACGATTTTTCATTCATTTATTACTTTATAGTTTTAAATTAAAATTAAATAGCGCCGGTAAAGTGCGCGTAAAATAATTATTATTAAATTTCATCAAAACATGAGTTAATGCCCTATAGAGCATCATGATTAATAAAAAATCAAATATATCTGTATTGATCCAAAATGTACCCACGAATAAAAATTAGGTATAAAACTATTGATTTGATTTATTTTAGGCTGTGCTGATTGTTTTTTAGAAAATCATATTTCATAAAATCCATAGAGTCATAGTCATACAAGAGTTCAAATATCGAAGTTTGAGGAGGATTTGAATTCAAAAATATTAAATGTAAGAAATCTTCAAATAGAACCAATCACTAATGATTCTAGTTAATTTGATGAAGATTTTAATATATGCTTAAATTAAGTAGCATCAAAGCTCAATAATTTTAAAGATGAGCTAAAGAAAGAAATGAATAATGATGTATTGAGTTTTGATGATCATGTTTATGAATTCAAAAACACAATCCAAAATTAAATTGATCCAATACTTCCATGTCAAAATTCTACTGTTTTTACTTGTACTCCAGAAGAATTATCAAAAGCTATTTCATTTTACTAGGATTCAGATTAATTATCTTAAGTCATCTAAAAATAAATTGATTAAATTGAAAACCATAGAGAAAAAGTTTAACAAAATAAATAAAAAATAACCTCTAAATTACAAAATGTAGTTGATTAAATGTTGAGATAATTAGACGAATATTAGGTCAAGAATTCTAATGGTGAGATTTAGGGAACTCCGGAAAAAGTCAATGTATCTTAGACAGCTATTTTCTTAAGTGCAAGTAGTACAACTCAATCCCCACCTATAAAGACAATAATAGATGCTGCTAGATCGCGAAAAACTATTTTTCCCTAAACCTAATAATAGTAATAGTAATAAAAAAAAGGAATACGAAATAAAAATTGAAATTATAATTAATGATATTTTATCAAATAAATTGGTCTTTTAAATATGATATTGTTTATTGTTATGTTACAAAGAAATCATTTAGATATTGATTTTTCTTGTCTAACTGAGACCTTTTAGCAGATTGTCTTGACGAAAGTAATAGGCCAAAACTTTAAGCATACTAAATTTCTCTTTAACTTAATTACTTCATGATTTCATAAAATATAGAATTATTGAAATATTAGTAATTATTATTTATATCATAATAAACCTAAACAGTAAATTTCCTCATTTATTTTATAAAAATCAATTTTAATATCTAACTATTGCTTATTTTGATGGAGCTAAGACTTAATTTACTCGATTCTGAACCATAATGCTTTCTGTGAAATCATTTAATTTATGTTCGATTGGTCTTGCATAATATCCTGTTTCTATCTAGTATTTTGTATTTCAGTAGGTTTACTTGAATCTTTTTTATATAATCCGCAATCTGCTCAATTTACTATAATAGAGAAAACAATTACTTTTATTACTCTTCTATGATTTACTATTATTTTATCATTATTATTATTATAGCATTTATTACTATTATTTCAATTATTATAATTATTATTCGCCGAATTAATTATTATTCTCTTAAGTATAATCCTTCATCTGATTTTTTTCTAAAGGAATAGTATTGTTGAAAAATTGAAATATTATCAAATTAATATTTAATAAGTCAAGGTTAAAAAATCATTTTATGCAAGATTTGATTATTATTCTGATCCTGGTACTAATAGTTATATTAAAGGCTTTTATTACTACTAAATGATATTTTAAGAATCTTAGATAACTCAAGTCTTAAAGGAGAGAAGTTGCTGGTGCAATAAGTCAGATTTTTATCAAGATCTTATGAATTCTTAAATATGATAAAATATGTATTACAATATCTCTTATTTCAAATCCATAGTGTAGATCTAATTGAAGCATATTTTTTTGTTAATTTTATTATATCATCCATATAGATTCTTAAAAACGTTCTTCTAATAATTGTTCATGAAATTAAGGAGGATTTAAATTTAATGAATTGCAATAAAAACTACTTTTTAGTGTCATTAATTCAACCATAGTTGTACCTTAAAGAATATATTTGATTTTGTAGGACACAAGATTTATATTTTTAAGTTTAATTTGTTCAGAAAATAAGAACTAATTAGGATGATGATAATAATGTACAGAAATTTATCAATTAATTCCTCAATCTAACCCTCTCTACTAATTAAATTTGATTAATTAACAAATTACAAAACTGGAAGAAATTGTGAGAAGGATATATCGTAACATTATTCTATTAAATTTTAATAACTGAATTCAGTAAAGTAGATTAAATAAACGATAATTTATGATATCAACATCTTATTTAACAAACTACATGTAAATTATATGTATGAAACAAACGTCAAAAATAATTTTATTCTCTTCATTTTTATAGGGATAACCAATTTAATAATTTAGAGAAGATTTTCAAATATAGAAATAAATAAATGGTTAAAAATGCTATCATTTTCACTTTATAAGCTCACCCTTGACCATCATACATCAAGAATAAATATTTATTATATAATTTTAACTATCATAGCAATCTAACCATTAATTATTCTAGTATTCCATATGAGAGGCCCTCTGATGATTTATCAGTCATTAATTCTGTGTGTGCGTATCTAGCAAAACCTCTATAATCCTTTAAGTATTCGATTGCTTTTTGAAGCAAGAGGTAATAATTGCTGAGTCCTTTTAAAATATATCCTGGCAATTAAATCTAAATTTAATTATTTATATACTTCCTCTGCTATTGGAGAATCTAGATTAATATTTTAGAAATTTTATTATCTAAAGTAATTTTTTATTTCACTTAGGCTTTGTTTAATATACTATTATGTAATCCGATAAAATGTTTCTGTCTCTGTAAAATCTTAGTTTAAAAGACATACAAAAGTTGTATCCTTTTATAATTCTTGAATATGATTATAGAAATACCTGATTTAGAGCTGCATAGTTTTAACAATTTATCAAAATACTTTGTATATTTTTCATTATATTCAGTAATAGCTTAAGTAAATTTTTAATAAGAATCTGTTTTTTTGTAAGAAATAAAGTCTTCTAATTGTAAGCAATTTGGTTAATTATTTTCTTTATCAGTAATTTAATTGAGTTTTGTAATTTTAATTGCTATATTTTTACCCATCAGAAATAGTAATTTATCTTTTACTTCCGTGCTAATTACTTTACATTAAAGTAGACTTGAAGAGAACTTATAGAGAAACCTACAAAAATTTACTTGAGTAAACAAAATATCATTATTAACTTTGCATTCCATTATTATTCCTATTGGTTTTATATCTTCAGCAGGTTATGTCTTTTATTTAATATAATGTTTTTGAACTTATTATTAACTAGTAGACCTTTGCACATTCTATTATTATGTTTATAATGGTTATCTATTGTTCTCAACTTATGTAGGTTTCTGAGGTTATTAATTTTATTATTGATGGTAGTTTTCTTTGTTTTCTCTATATCTGATCTCTTATTTACCCCCTTGACTAAGGGATCTTTTAACTCTTTGTTATTATTATTATTCGTTTGGAGGAGGAGTGATTGCTTATCTTTGTTATTACTAGCGAGGGTATTATTGTTATTAAGGTTAAGAAGGACTGATCTATTGCCTTAACAGTTAATGATTAGCCATATCGCGGACTCTCATTCTTCTACCATCATCAACAGTTAAACATTATCTGATAAAATCTTTAGCAGCAGATGAAATTTAAGGGTGAGATGGTAAATGAAGAGGCTGATTCATTATATTAGAAATCAATGCTGCTTCTGATTAACCATTAAAAGGAGTTCTTCCAAATAGCATTTCATAAAATACTACTCCAACTGCCCATACATCTCCTTATTCAGTATGTCCCTACTATCTCAAAGCTTATGGACTCATATATAGAGGAGTTCCAACATTGAAATTCCTGCCTTACACTCTAGCCTCATGTACAGGAACAGCAAAACCGAAATCAGCTAACTTTGGTATTGAGTGATCAATTAAGATGTTGGCAGGCTTAATATCTCTGTGAATAAAACCTTTTTTATTCATTTCTATCAATGCTGAAACGACGCATTATAATATTCTTGTCGCTTCTTATTCATCTAATCTTCCTTTTTTACGAATGTAATTATTGAGATCTCCAGAGTCGCAATATTCTGTGATTATATAAGTGTTATTCTAGGTTTGAAAGACATCATGCAATTTCATTATATTTTTGTTATTAAATGAACGAAGAGCATTGATTTCATTTTTTAATAATTAAGAGTGAATTGATTGTTTGATCATTTTCATATCAATCACCTTTACAGCCACTGGTTCTTGGGAAACATCGTCCTTTCCCTTATAAACTTTGCTGCTAAAACCTCTTCCGATTTCCTCATTTAGTATATAGCTGTAATGATCAATTTGTTTTCTTGTTATGTTTTATCTTCTATACATGTTAAAATTAACGATATTATTAAAAAATTAAAACACTCTTTCAACTGTTAAGGATATTAAAATTTTTGAAAACCATATTAATTAGATGCCTTTTATGTGAGTTGATTACATACATAATATGAATTTGGTTTTGATTTTAGGAAGAATATAAAAGCAATAAAATGCGAAATATGATATTTTAATTGATTATAAGCAAAAATAAGGAAGATATATATTTTGAAATTTATTTTAATGTATTATCCTTAAGGCATACCTTAATATTTTCCTCGTTCAGTGTACCAACCTTAACACCTGCCATACCGACCTTAATACTACCCTTATGTGCCACAATACTTTCCACAATAGTCAATATATGCCTCCTATAATGGATTTCAAATTCCCAGAACTAATGTTCCACCTGTTCACCCTATGGCTAGTCAAGCAATTCAATCTCCAAATAAGAATTTTCAGAGTCCAACCAGAGGATTTGCCTCACCAACAAAAAATCATCTCATGCAATCTTAATAATAACAGCCATAAAATAAAACAACTTAATAATAACAACTGTAATCACCTACAAGATCTGGGTATTTAACTTACGAATAAGTGATGGACAGAATTCAAAAAGCCAACACTTAATCGTAATCATTTTAGCCGTCGCAATGTAATAAATCTATCACTATTTTAGAATCGGCCCATTAGCCTTAAACTTAATAGAAATCGCAAAATGGTCAAATTCCTAAATCATAATAATAACAACCTAATTAACATTAAATTCACTTGTAATAGCCAAATCAACAGTAGACATAACAAAACAAAACCCCAAACAAATAAATATCTGAAAAAATAGAAGATTAACAAAGGCAACCAACACCACCAAAAGATGCAGAATTTGAGGCTGGAGATGGAGAACTAGAAGGTATCATCCTTTTTTAAATTTTAAGAGTTGGCTTTATAATATGAAGACGGTTATATTTATAGAGGACAAGGTTTTCCTCCATAAACCAGAAGTGGATTCGGAATTTTAACAGATAGCGAAGGTCAAGAAGTATATGCTGGATATTGGAAAGACAATTTTTATGAGGGTGATGGAAAATTACGCAATTTGTAGGTTGAATAAATAAATGGACCTTATGATTACACAAATATGACAAGTATTGGAAATGGCTGGGAATTTTATGAAGGTATTATTTGCTAATATTGTACTAGGTAAGTTTGAGGGTGGTAAAATGCATGGTGAAGGCACTTTAGTGTTATCAAATTAAGAAAAATACATTGGTTAATTTGATGATGGAATGATACATGGGGAAGGTGAATTTATAACTAATAATGATAATGCAGTGAAAGCACAATGGAATTAAGGAATTTTAGAATAGTATATTGAATGATTTATTATTTTTTTCTTCATTCAAATCCAGTTAAATTTTCTCCACTTAAAATATGAGCATGTAAATGGAACACTGTTTATCCTCCTTTCTATCCATCATTTATTATCACTCTATATCCTTCTAATTGTAGTTATTTCCCAACTCTATTCACTGCATACATCAAATTTCCTAATAGATTAATATGCTACTCAGAGGCATTTGATAATCTATCTAAATGCTCCTTAGGTATTACTAAAACATGTACTTTTGCCTTAGGATTTATATCCTCAAAGGCTAAACACTTATTTATCAGACTATTCTTACATGTTTATCTTCGTATATAATTTTTGCAGGTATCTGCCTTTTAATTATTTTTTCAAAAACTGTCGAGAACGAGTAATATATGGATTTCATTATATTTGATTTGATTTTATATATATTAATAAATATCTACTTATCCAATTCAAATAGCAAGCCTTATATTAATAACAATAAATAATTGATAATTTGCAACAATTTTAATAATATATATTAACTTAAAATCAGACTTCTGCTTTATTTTTGATAGTAAATTAAAGTTTTCCTTCATTGAATATGTATTTTATTCTAATTGAAATTTTTATCTATTATTATGAATGCAACCAATTAAGAAAAAAGGGTAATAGATACTATTTAAGAAAATAAGACAACTTTTGGCGTAGATAAATATTCATAAAATGAGATTTAAGGTCATATTATCGATAATTTTACAACATTGAATTATAAATAGTGAAATAATTAATTAAATTTACTATTTTTAGGTTTATTAGAATGTACAAATATTTTCATTCAAACATTTAACCTATATTTTAATCTACTATAATTGATGCTCTCAGATACCGAGTCATGTTGTGAATTCATAATTTTAGTTTAGAAATGAAGAATAGAACTGAAACATGATAATAATTTCTAGTAGGATGAGAAATGCAGTTTATGATATATTAGACCTTAGATATAAATAGAGATTAGTACTAGATATAATTTATATTTGATAATACTCTGTTGTTCAATAATTAAAAATAAATTTATTAAGATTTAATGAACAATCCTCGTCCATCATAACTTCCAGCCCAGAAGGCAACACCATCATAATTACCACCTACTTCTTAATAATAGGTTCCAGAAACATATTAGGCATAACCAAATTGGGTTCCTGCAAGCTCATAAATTCAGCCAGGAGTTTTGAGCTAACCAATTCCGCTTTAACAAACAGGATTAATTTAAAATCCACAATATTTATAGTAGCCAGTTTATGCTTAATAACAATTGATATAATCAAGTGCGCCAGTTGTCACATAAGGAAATGTAATCATTAATAATAATCAAATAGGCAATCAAGGGTGAATCTCGTATTGAATATATTCCTTATACAAAAGAAGTGACGGAGTATGTAACATAAGAGGTAGTCGAATATGTGCCAAGAGAGAGAAAAATTACTGACTATTATGCAGTGGAATATGTGACTGAACACATTCCTTAAGTAATCTAAGAAAAATACATTGGTATTTGATTATGTTTATTATTTACGCAGAGTACGTGCCAGTAGAAACAATAAAAGAGAGAACAGAGTACCAAGCAGTGACAAAATAAAGCGTGGTATAAGCACCAATCGATTATTAATAAATCCAGAAAACTCAATAATATCAAGGTAAATAAATTTATTTATATTAATTTCAGTAGCTGCCCCAATTTAATACGCCTAAACCTATACACAACCAATTCAATATGCTTAAACTACTGTATAACCTATTTAATATGCTTAAACAACTACCCAATTTGTACCAACTACTTAGAGCCAATATGTGTCAGCTCCTGTAACAACTTCTTAATTTGTTTCATAACCTTATCCAACTACTACATATGGAGCTCCCATTACAAATTATGGTTAGTTGACTTAGAATACAGCTTATTTACCAGCAGCAACATATGCCCAACCTGGAATTGGGTAGGTGACAACAACTACACAGTAGTATTCAACTGGATGGCAATAAGTATATCCAGCATCAACAGGAAATTTTTAGCCTTAATTGCAATAGTAATAAGTAGGTCAACTTCAAATACAAGGATAGAGTCCTAAGTACGCATGATGATATTATAAATAAGGAATTATTCAATTGTTACAATAATTATTCTTAAAGGTTATATTTTGTGTTATACAATCTAATTGCAAAGAATAAAAAACTAAAATAATAAACTCTTCCGCTTAACTGCATTAATATGAATCACTTTGCTCTGGCAAAACCATCTCTATTTTTTATCATAAACAGAATAATATTTGCTAAGGAAAGTTTCACCCAAAATCCAAGCTGGCCCTTATAGTGATGATGTGATATCTAAAGGCATGAATGAACCAACACATTAGCGATTAGCTCCCATTTCTACAAAACTATTACTTGCGAAAGTGTCATAAGCAACCTAAATATTTTGAGATTATAATTCATTTCTTTTTGAATCTCATAATTTAATCATTGGCATCAAATCATAACTGTTACCATCAAAATGAATCTTAATTTTGGTAAATCTTTAAGGTTGCTGCTATTTCATCAATGTTTAAGGTATATATAGGTAAAATAATACCCAGTAAATCATATAAACCATCTGATGGACCAGTTAATAATGAAGTGCCAGTATCTGCAACTACCTTGCATCCATGTTTGCAAAGTCCTATGTCTTTCCAGAATGTTATCTGCATCCAATAACCAATAATATTGTCAGCAACATTATGAAAATGCAACTCTCCAGTGAAATGATCATTATTCCAACCACCCAAGGTAAATTCAAATGATCGGGGAAACTTCATATGTTGAAAAGTAGAAAGAAAATATATATTTCTGACTAACAATTTCTATTGCATTATCTTTTCAAATAAAGGGTTGAAATTTTAAGAAGCCATTTTTGGATATGCTAATCCAACAATGCCATCAAATCTGATTATGAAAAAACATCACCTTTTTTCTCTAACAATTTCTGCAAATTCTTATTTTGCGACAGTGAAACCTCCAACATAAACAGTTTCTGCTTTAATCTACATTTAAGAAAATTTTTCCCTCTCCCATCAATTCACCAGTTCCGAATTCAGCGTCTAAATAATAACCTAATTGTTCATAGGTAGATTATTGTGATTTTTGCATCAATAATCGTGCATCTAGCAGAATTCAACCAAAAATTAGTAGATAGATATCAAATGATAACCGAAACTACTACCTAATTGTACCTTGAATTTGTTGTTTTAAACGCCTAATCCAATCTTTCCAGTATATTAAGTATTCTTAAAGTTGTACAATTTTATGGATTCCTTTTATTATGTCAAGGCCACTTTTTGTGATAAAATCAAACAATGATTTTCTGGCTTATGATTCTGTTCTGTCTAACTTGACCCTTCTAATGCCGAGCTTTAATTTTTATAAATACAATTGATTCAAATTTCCTATTTCTATCCTCTAAGTTTCGCTATTATTATTCATAAAAATTTCTTTATAGTAAAATAGGTATCCTCAAATTTAATTTATTTTGTCTTAATAAAAAACAATTTTTCAGATTAAAGGTAGCAATTAATAAATATTAAACATTTTAAAATCGTATATTATAACTACCCCAATGCGATATATTCAAAAAATGTAATTCTATCCCATTTTCAAATTCGATCAAATTCTCATAACTCAATTAAAACTCTTAAACTCAAAAATTAAGAATAAAAAATCAATTTATTAGAATATTTAGTCAAACAGACACAAAAATTTTAATATCCTAATCCCAAATGTGGAAACAAAGCATAATGAGAGATTAAATCTAACATAATTTATTAAAATAAAAAATTGCACTGTACGAGACTCGAACTCGTGTCACAAGGATGGCAACCTTGTATACTACCCTTATACTAACAGTGCTTAATGAAAAATCACACTTGATATTATTGATATATTGTAGGTGTACAAAATAGATTTAGTTGAATATTGTGAGTTTTATAATATGAGAAAACAATATAGCCATTTTTTATTCTTATGCATGATCTTATGAATTAGCCGGTTAAATAATCAAATGGTTTTTTTTTATCTTCGTAATTGGCTTTCAATAAATCTTGTGGACCTTCCCATTATTCTGTGCCTGGAATGAAATCAGGATTTTGGGTGAGTATTTATGATGTCTCTAATTTAATTTGAAGATTTTTCATTCTCAGTCCAACATGTTTGGCTTATGGCGAGCCTTAGCCATAGATAAGTGAATTTGGAGGAGTCTGCATTACAGCTAGATAATTTACTTTTATTCCGTTAAAACTAAGCTGTCTTATCAAGATTATCAACATTAATCCTGTAGAATTTAAAATCAACAAATAGTTCTGAAATTTCATTCGCCCTTTAATAGTTAGGTTAAAAACTAAAATACTAAAGATGTCCAACTTTGTTCAATATGATACAATGTAAATATGGCTTTGTTTAATATTTTGAATCCAATAATTCTTTCAAGCTTCTCACAACTTAATTGAATAGGAGATAATCATTTGTATATTTTGAAAAATTGATCTATTTCTACATTTCTAAATTAGTCCAACTTGAAACTTGCAAAAGGGTAGACAATTTTTCTATTGATTACAATAATAACATCTGATTAATGAGCATTTTTGAGTGAGAAAATTTCATTTATTTATATCCACAGAAAGGATTTATTATTCAAATTGCTAATATATTTCAACTTTATATTCATTTTAAATAACTCTAAGATAATCAAGGATTTTTAATGAAATTGTTATTGATTAGATTGTTTTTTATAAATAATATTTCATAAATTGAGTTATTCAATTAATTCGAAATGCGGTTTAATTCATAGAGGGATCATTTGTGGAAAATATTTCATGTATTGATTTACTAACATTTTTTCGATTATGAAAACTAGGAAGTTTAATACTGCATGTTCGAGGCTAAAGTCTAAAATTTAAATTAGTTTGATGCACAGTAGTTCGAATAGAACTTCTTCTATCTTATCTAAATTAGAAATTTACTAAAATATTAAAACACTCTCAATACCAGGTTTTTCATATTTCTGTAAAAAATCAAATTCATGTTTTCTTTGGTGAGGTTTATAGATTTCTCTTGAATCATCATGAAATTAAGACATTATAGGTTTTATTCCATCATACGTCAATTTCCTGAGATTTTTCATTTGGTTGATTCTGTAATTCAGTGAAAAGGCTGTATTATTTGACATATTAAACAAATAAATTTTATTATTATTATAACTAAATAATCTTTTAAAATATAGAAATTAAATTCATACATGTTCTTCTACTATTCAAAGAGTAAAACGCAATATTTTCAATAAATGCTTAGTAAAATTCTTAAAGGGTTTGGGTTTGGGTTTGGGGTTGGGGTTTGGGGTTGGGGTTTGGGGTTGGGGTTGGGTTTGGGTTTGGGTTCCCAGGCGACGCACGCGCAACGGCGTTTAACATGGTCTTTCCGGGAAC